CACACACACACACACACACACACACACACACTTACACGCATGGCACTGCTCTACCATATCGCATTCCATTACCAGAGCTTCCCAACGAAAGCTTACCATTGCATTCCATTCCAAATCGACCATCCTCCCTACGCTACTCACCCCCCACCCTCCCCCTCCATCACACTTTCGTAAAGCAAACTCATACACAACTCGTAGTTCGTGGGGATATGATCCCTCAACATGCTCTTTGCGAAGACGGGCTCGCTGAAGCGCTTCTCCACGTCCTCGCAGAACCTCAAAATCACCCTGTGCGCTTCGGCCCTCCTCGTGCCTTGCTTGGCTTCCGTCCGCTCGAAGACGATGTCGCTGTCAGCTTGCATCCTCGAAGTGACAAAGACGGGGAAGCTTTCGATGCAGTACACGTCGCCAGGTGGATAGAGTTTGGCGGAATCCATGTCGGCACGGATCGTTTTGATGAGCGACCAGAGCCAGTCCGCCAGTCCGGTATCGCCCTCCGCATCCGGCGGAGACGGGGCTTGGTTAGTCGATGTGGATGGTCGAATGTGACCGCCTCCCGAAGAGTAAGAGAATGGATCCAATTCGTCTTCCCTGAGATTGGGATCCGTGTAGTCCGAGTCGGCGGCAAGGTTTCGCGTTTTGCCCTTCATCAGCTCTTCTCGGCTCAGCTTCAGTTCACGCTCGGCCAGCGGTATCTCTTGCGGACGAGGCGCTTCCAGTGAGGCGAGATGTTCAGGAACCTTCTCCTTGAATCCTAGACTCGCGCGAAGACCAGATCGTTTGCGGTAGGTGCCCAGCACGCGAGTGATGATCTCACGCGCAATGTCCGAGTCACTCTCTTGGCTGAGTGCGTGTGCGATATTTTTGAAGTCGCGCACCATGCCGAGCGATAGAGTGGGGATAAAGTCGTGACCATGGATGATGCTAGTCACAAGCCCTTTGCAGTGCGACGAAAGGTCGGGTGAAGCGACTGCGGGCACTCCGTATGCATAAGCATGGATCGGACGACCCGCCGGCAATCCACTGTCCATCGATGTAACAAATGGCGTGTAGATGCGCGGGTGTTGGGTGTGATGCCCACCCTGTGACCTTCTGAGTAGTGCTTGTTGTCGGAAAAGATCAGCCGGACAGCTGAGCTCGATGGCTGCCAGGGAAGCCACACCTCCTCCCAGAGAGTGTCCCGTCAGGACCAGACCATAGTCCGGATTATCCTCCAAAGCCCGTCGCACAGTCTGCATGACAGTGCTGTTCTCGTTGCAAAGTCGACGCGTGCTAGCCAACATCCCTGAATGGACCTGGTACAGCTTGGTTGATCTCCCGCCTTCGACTGCGATGGTTTCAAAGTCGCACGTGAGATCCGTGAGGATGTCGCTCAGACCCATCGTACCGCGACAGGTGAGGACCACCGCCTTGGCTCCATCGTCAACCGAGACGTAGTTGACGAGCGGCGACATCTGCTCTGTGAACAGCGGCTGCGCCTCAGAGAAGCTGTTTAGGAGAATGCAGTCGACTGGGATCCCCACGTGATGAGCAAAAGCCCATACGTTGGCGTGATGCTTGCTTGTATCCGGGAAAAAGTAGTCCAGGCTACCGATGCCGAGGATTCGCATGAAGTTTTGCCCGTATGCTGCGGACGAATACCGCATGAAGCGACGCAAGTTTTCCACCAAGTGGGCTTGCGGGAACGCTGTGGCGTCTCGAGCATGTTTTCCCTTGTCGGCGTCAGCGGGTGCTGATAAGCTGGAAACATGAGAGCGTGAAGCAAACGAGCGAATCGAGGTGATGGAGGGTGCCCTATTGCGGCGCTTACTGTCACGCAAAGAGCCTTTGGGCGTCGAAGAAACAATGCCCGCTCGTCCTGACTCGGTTGGAAACAGTGTCTGATACGACGCACCTCTTTGGGGAATAGAAGGCAGTTCCTTCATCACCGCGCAAGGGCTGACCTTCTCAGTGAAGTCTGTGATTGCACTACGCTTCGTAACCTTGAGGTCTGATCCCGACTCGGTCTCCGAGGCGCGCTTGCTTTTGCTCGGCGACTGTCGGGGGGACGTGAAGGCGAGAGGTGGAGCGCGTCCTGTATCATTGGACACGGACGCCCTGTTGGTGGCCTGTGGCTGCTTTGATGGAAGATCAGGAGCAACCGATCTGTCCGTCGAGGAGTCGCTTTTAAAAGGATATTTCGCGCGTCGGAGAACCTTGTTGAGACCACGGCCAAGATCAACGCCCTTGCTCGGCGATGGCTCTTGTCTCACCCGTCCACCGGAAGTATGCGTGTTCTTCTCCGTCACCTTAGCTGCATCGCGTTGAGCTTTGACTGAAGAAAGTCGGACCGGAGATACCGGGCTTTGCGATCGACGAATCGCCCTCGCCGGTTGGTCTACGCTCACGTCATCGATCATGTCGTCGCGCGTGTCGTTGATATGTATTTTGCGAACGGTCTTGCGCTTCTGGATCAGCTTTCTGGTCATGGTCTTGAGTACAACGGGTACCTTAGACGATGTATCGTTCTTGCTGTTTGTAGTCAACTTGTGACCATTCGGGGCCTCGGGAAGCGTCAGAGCCTTTGCGTCTTGGTCGTCGGCCTGGATGAAACCACCAAGATGCGCCGATCCGGTTTGGTCAAGGTCTGCTGTGTTACTTGCACCTGTCGTGCGAATCTCACACCATTCTTCGTCCTCTTCCAACTTGATCTCTTTTCCACCATCAAAGATCGAGCGCGTCTCTGTGTCATTCCTGGAGCTGGAGACGTGGCGCTGCAACATGTCTGAATTCGGGGTCGATTCGGGGGTTGTACTGCAGTCCGACGTGCCTTGAGGATTAGAAGCACGGGTCAAGTGCCCACCTTCCCTGAGAGACGATCTGGCTTGCCCATACATCGTCGTGGTCTCGATAGTCTCCGTCTCGATGGTCTCGATGACCTCGGTCGTGATCTCGTATATGGTCTCCCTCTTGCCGTTTGCCCGGTTCGTCTTGCGGACACGTCGAAAATGCTGTTCTGGTGCCCCAACTTTGGAAGTGTCTCGCAACCTGATCCCGTCGCGAAGCTCGTTGTCCGTGAATACTTCAAGTTGACGGCGAAGCTGTGGTGGAAGCTGGTCATCGGTGAGACTTGTGTCGCTCACAACATCCTCGTCTCCAGCGCCAACGAGGAAATCGAGGTCAGCCATCAGAGAATCAGCGTCACCACCTGCCTCGCTGTCACAATCGGCAGCATTTGAAGACATCTGCGTTCCGTGCCAAGAAGGCGGGGGCACGACGTCGGTCAAACAGAGCCCATCTCCAAGAAAGCCTCTTGACCTTGATGAAGGAAGACTGTTGCCGCCCGTCATTTCGCGTCGATCATCGTCTGCTGCGGTGAGGAGAGATGCAGTCCTGCGAGGTGGAGAGCGAAGCGACATCGACTCGAGCCCTTCAGCGGCTGACGCCAGTAGTGCAGCGGGTCTAGCACGAACGAAATTGCCGGACCCAACCATGAGCGAGCGCCAAGTTTTGGCTTCTACCTCTCCGAGCACCGTGCAATCGTAGATGACGCGCATCTTCATGCTCTTGGCGCTGCGCTTGTACGTCGAGTTTTGAAGAACAGCGAAGGCAGTGACGGCTTTGGTGAGCTTGTTGAGAATCGAGATGGTGCTGTCGTTGGAGAAGCGCTGATCTCCTCCGGTCTCGCTGCGGACGAGAGTGATGAATGATGCAAGCGCTCGCGATGTCTCATTGGAGCCAAAAATGCCGTCGATGGTACGCACGGACTCGTCAGCAGCTGCGAGTCCGGCAGTGAGAGTGGTGCCGATGATCTGGAAAGTGCCCATAGCAAAGAGCTCCGTCAGCGTGAACGTGTGGTGGATGAGATAGATGCCAACTGCTGTGTACTTGTCGAGGATGCTGAGAAAGGAAGTGTTTGTGGTCTGATGTGACGTTCCCGTAGCCTTGGCATCCCATACTTCGCCTGAGGTGAGTGAGTGGACGGCTCTAGCCGTGCCGACTGCACTGATGAGTGCACGTCGAGTGATTCCAAGTGTCATTCCAGTGCTATTTTTGACCGATTCAAGGATGACTTCGATGAAGAAAGCGGCAGCCTTCAGCGAGACACGAGCAATGACGGAGAGATTGGAAACCATCTCAGCCACCTGCTGTGGCAAAAGCGGGGTTCCTGTGGCGTATTTGATCAGAGCACCGCTGGCGCCGTACGCCTGATGTTTGGTCCAGGCTCGGACGCCGCATGTGACGGCGACATTCTTAGATTCCTTGCCGCAGTAGGCTACGGTGAGAGGTGTAGCGCTACGAGAGCTTGAGCCTAGAGGTGTGGCGGGTCCAGAGGTGTCTGTGGTGAGGATGTCCTCCTCGGATTGCTCGGCGTCATCGGCCCATTGGAGCGGCTTGGATGTCTGTTGGCGGAACAGAGCATCTTCACTCAAGCGTGACGGCAACCTTTCGAGGTCCTGGCAGGTTGGATCTCGAGGCAGAGGAGTCGCCATTGCCATCGAAGCAGGATGACATAGAGGATTGGATGCGATCGTGGGCGAAGCTTGAGATGAAAGCCGCAGAAAAAGGAAGTGCAGCCGGTTTTTTTTAAGAAGAGCGGTTGGCTTCGCCAGGATGGAAGGATTATATGCGCATGCACCGGTGCAAATGCAGGACCCTGCAGTCCGTTCCCCGCACACCCTCCACGTTTGCTCGAAGAGATCTCGTTCCGGGGGTGGGCTACGAACAGTGTCGTCTCAACGGCAACTGAGGTGGTGATCAATGATGCAAGTCGAAGTTCGACGGGACAAGATCAGAGCGGGAAATGGAGTCGAGCGTTCACAGAATCGCTGACCGTAGTATTTCGATGTCGCTATTGGCCAAGCGGGCGCTACGGTCGGGAACTCAGAAATGCTGATGAGTGGGTGACGGCAGAGTGTTCGTGACGTGCTTGAGGTAGGAGAAGAAGAGCTGCCAGATACAGTGTGGATGGCTGCACACTGGCCGTCACAAGCATGTGGCGCAGCGGCTGGGTCCTCCGAAAAAGACGTGCGTGACAAAGGGGCTGCAGTTGGCGCTCCCCATTCTTCGGTGTTTCCGCCATCAGTCCTGCCGCTTCCTCACGCTGTCGGCTTGGCTCACGTACTTTGCCATTACTCCCAATTCTCGACATACTGTAAGAGGAAGAGCCACAGACTCTTTGAATTGCATCGTTCCAAGTAAGATCTGCTGCTCGATTTCGAAAACATGCTTCCGCTTCGGATAAGCCGAGTGAGGAGGAGACCCTTTGTTGTGTTGCAGGTGTTGGTCTCACGTTGACCTGCGCCCGAGTCTCAAGTTTGCGAGCTGCAAATTTCCGTTGCATGCGTGAGTGCGGCTGCCTGCATGCATGACTGGCGAGCCTCTACCAATTTTCACGCTCTCTTTCCAGCTGAGCGACGCTTTGTTGGTCAATTGTAATACATCGGGAGATCCAAAAACGCATCTTATCGAGATCAAAATTTGGATCTGCAGGACAGAAAGTTTCCGCTTGGCTTCTCGTCCCTCCTTCACTTGGCTGCCTTTCATCAACCCTACCAACTCCCGACATCGCCCTCGACGACAGTGTCAACCTTCCCCACCAATATAGACACGAAATGGTTCGGGCAGATCAAGGCATTCAGGGCCGCTCGGCGCCTCGCGCCAAGTCACGCTCCTCGGCAACAGCGTCCATCCGAGCTCGTTCTTCCACCTCGGCACCCAAGGTCGCCGCTGCTCCACCTACCCAAATCACCAAGGCGGCAAAGCGTGCAATGAAGCGCGCCGACCTCATGTCGAAAGTCAAGCCAACATCATTGCTCAATCTTGAGCCACACAACGGTGCTCTGTCAAAATCGTCCTTGAGAAGGCAAAAGAGAAAGCAGAAGGAACAGTTGGCGGGCAACACGACGGGTCTGAAGGATCTGCAAGAGGCGATGGATGAAGTGGCTCAACAGGTAGAGGAGGATGGTGAGGATGATGTTGCAGAAGGTGCTCTCGATATGGAATACGACGACGGCAATGACGACGATGTGGAAGGCGAGGCGTCAATGCACCGGAATAGCACATCTGCGGCGTACCCGCAGGTAGGAGCGCAGAAGACGAGAAAAGACGCCACCGTCACCGAAAAGGCGAGAAAGAAGGCATTGTAAGTTCACGTCTCAGCACCGACAAGTCTCTGGCAAACACCCCATGCTGACTCAACTTCTTCCTCCTTCTCACAACAGGAACTTGGAGATGCAGCGTCAAAACCTGATCCTCTCCGACCCAGCATACACCAAATCCCCCTTCGCAGCGCTCCGTCTTCACGCACAAAACACGCTCGCCTTCGACAAAGGCACTTCCAAGCCGAGACGCTGATCTTCTTTGGCTCTGCAGCATCTCCTCTCATCATGTACTTGTATCCGTCGCAATCTCATCTTGCATTTTGAAAATTGACCAAACGAGCCCCTTGATCTTGCCCAGGTATGTACACGTTGAATTACATTCTGACATCAGTCAAGATACATTGGAGGCGTCAAATAGTAAAAGTCTCTCCGATCATCTTGTTCTAGACGAAGTGAACCGCAGCTCTACGCACAGCCATTGTTCTCGGCGGCCTCCTGCCTTAAGCGCGCGCAGCGACCTCGGGAGCGGTGCCGGGGGCGGGAGCGGCACGGCGCGAGAACTTCATCCTAGCACCGTCCTTGGGGAAGATGGTGGCAATCACCTCTACCTTTTCGCTGAGCGGTGTGATCTCGTGCTCCCAGTTCATGAGCACACTCGCAGTTCCCAACACGGCGGTGAGGTGCATGTTGGCGTACTGCTGACCGATGCAGTTGTGAGGACCGCTGCCAAAGACGAGGTAGTTCTTGGGGTTCTTCTGCGCCGGGTCGGCCTCGTCGAGCCATCGCTCGGGCTTGAACTCGTCGGGGTTAGGGTAGACGTTGGCATCGTGCAACGAGTTCCAGAAACTGGGGATGACCATGCTTCCCTTGGGAACGGTGTAGTTCTTGTCGATAGGGAAATCCTTGTGGTTGAGGTAGGGCACCATGATGACGGGCGGCTTGACACGGAGGGATTCCTTGACGACGGCTTTGGTGTAGTCCATCTGCTCGATGGCGTCGTAGGTGAGGGGGGCGTTGACGTCGTCGCCACGGATGCGGTACTGCTCCTCACGCACCTTGCGCAGGATCTCGGGTCGGTCAGCGACGTGCTGCAAAAGGTAGGTGAGACCAGACGACATGGCGTCTTGGGATGCAAAAAGGAAGCTGAGCAGCACCATACCGATCTCGCGGTCCGAAAAGTCGCGCACCAACACGCGGCGGGTCTCGGCCTCGAGATCGGCGTTCTCCTTCTGCAGACGAGCGTCGATCATGGCCTTGATCCAAGCATCCGTGAGACAGGTGACCTCTTCGCCGTCCGCCATGCGCTTCTTGCTCTCGCGAGCAGTCAGCTCAAACCACTTCATGGCGGTCTTGCGAGCCTTGATGGCATTGTACACCTTGGTGCCGGGGAAAGCGAAGGGGAAGTTGACAAGCTCGAGCGCGACGGTGATGAGCCAGTAGTTGTCCGAGATCTCCTTGGCACCCTCGTCCGAGATGTAGTTGCCGCAGAATACGCGAAGCGAGGTCTCCATGTTGAGGTCACGGAACTTCATCATGTATGGCTGAGGGTTGGGGTTGGCGTCGGCGAGCCATTCGTCAAAGTAGCGTTTGTAAATGGTCTCCTGGATGCCGAGGTAGATACCAAGAGCCTTGCGGGTAAAGAGCGTGTTGAGCCCCTTGCGGTAGTCGACGTGCGTCTTGCCGTTGAGGAACACCCTGTAGCGTAGTAAATGGTGATAGTATTCGATCGTTTGGTCAGCTTATATTCGCATGCAACCGAAGTGGGCCTGAGCGCAAGGATGCGCCGGAATGACGATTGCTGCAGATTTTGGGGCGCGCTCGGCGCCGGCGGTATTTCGAGAGATGAAGTGGGCTTCGGCGAATTCCTACCGCTATAGAAGCGTTGGAAGCGTGGGTTGAACACTAGCTCCGGATAGACGCGGGAAGAACGCCCAGGAACGTCTGGTCGCGGCATCGGTATGAAGATCGAAATACTCACCAGTTGTCAGGGCAAAGCACCTTCTTGGCAGAAGCGACGAGGCATGGCTCGGCGTAGGTAGGGCTGTTGAGGATCTTGCGAGCGTACTCGTTGGAAGAGGCGATAACGATGAAGCTGCGAAAGCGGAATCGGGATGCGGATTGCATCATTAAAAACGTGTCAGTGAGCCGAATCGCCGGAACAGAAAAGCCGCTTTGAGACGCGGAAAGAGATCACCTACATGTTGAAGACGCTAGCTACGCTGAGAGGACCAGAGTTCCAGCCCTCTTGGTACTTTTCGAGCGATGGGTGGAGCGAATCGGCAAACTTGCCGATGACAGGGATGGTCCACTTGGGACCTGGAAGGCCGGCCTTCTTCTTTTGGTAGTTGTATTGCTCTGCGAGGAGGAGGGTAGCAACGACGGCGAGAACAGCAAAGACGACAGTGGTGCGATCGGCCTCCTGAAGCGAAGGAACGCGCGTGAGATCGAGGAGGGAGAAAACCTTGCCGAGCGCCGAGTTGGGCTGGATCAAGGGCGAGGACGACGCGGAGGATCGCGAAAAGTTGAGGCCCTGCTGGCCAGCGTTGAGGATGGAAGCCATGTTGATGCGATGTGCAGGTCAGAAGAAGCAGATAAGCGGCGGTGGCTTGAGCACGAAGTCGCCGTGGATCGTCTAAAGCGGAGGTTGGTCGAGGATGAGCGAGCTCGGGTGAGGGGCGGTCAGGCTCGACGGAGAACGGATGGTATCGGTAAAGAAGGAGAGGCCCTGTTGGGGACTGGAACCGCCTACACAATCCGGCAATCAGTGGATGAGGTAGGAAAGGGGAGGGCGGATGGCGTTGATGGTGAAGGGGCGAGAAAGAACTTGGCTTCAGGAAGGGTTACAAAGCAAAAAGGGTGAAAGTACCGACTCGACGCTGGACGAACAGACTGACTGACTGACTGTGCCCTGTGGCTCTTCGCCCTCTCCGAGGCGATCCGCAAGCTGCTTGCTTCCTTCCGGATGGTTCACGTCGCCAAGAGCTTACCGCGCTCAAATTTTGCAGGATCAGCTAATTCTTAAGAATAGAAAAAAGTTGGAATCTCGGATGGAAACTCTGTTATAATAGAAAAGTCTCTGATCTGCCAACTTCGTACAGTTCTTTGAGAACGAGAGAGTCCGATGTCCAGCAGGCTGCGGAGGGTCGAGCCGATGAAAGACGGAGCGAGCCTGAGCAACTATGCACAGCCCATAGCAGGTGTACCAACTGCTATACACACGGTTGGAAGTGAGTGGCGTCGGCAGAGCTCGACAATAACAGGCGCTTGCGGAATGGAGCTTCCGAGGAACACCTTGCCGAACTTTTCGCCAGTCTGCAAACAGACTAGCGCAGCAGCAGTCGGTTGACCTGGTACCTATAACAACATAGCGTGCGAGGGAAAGTTAACAATACCTTGCATCTAGTCGGGGCTCGTTTCGCCGTACGACTCGATTCGAGAGACCGAAGTGACAGCCACCAGCTCGAAAATGAGTCTGCTGTATCTCCGTGCACAGCGAGCAGACCGTCGGTCGCCACATGGACACGCGGATCCGATGTTTCAGAGAAAAAAGAAAGAAAAAAAATAGGTCGTATCAAGGCAGAAGATGCAGATGACAGGGAAAGGATCGACAAAGCTGCCTGTTGTCAGCAAATCTCGAACCGAAAAAAAAGAGGCGTAGAGTCTAATTAGACGACGAGACGCGTCAGGCAATCCTCTATTCTCGGCGTGCGTCTTGCCCCCTCTCCCCCGCGCCGAGGAAAGCCCCGACTCGTTCGCCCCGAGGGATTGCCGCGTCGCAAAATCAGACCACTTCGACGAGCGTGTGCGTCCGTCTGCATGCTAGAAAGCCGACACGTGTGAATTTAACATGAAGAAACATTATGGCGAATATCAGCATAGGGACGGTCAACGAGGTGCGCGAGGCTAGTTCGAAAAGCCTCAGTAACTCAGAGTTGGCCAACAAAGTGTGAGTTTACGAATTCGTAAGCCCTCAGCCAATTGTCTCGCAGAGATTTCTAAGTTGGCGCAACAGAACAAGCTCAACCAAATGAGATCGCCAATGGAGACTTACCTCCCCAATCTCGTCATCCACGACGGGCACTGCGCTGAGATTCAGACCTTCGGTACACCTTGGTACTGTACAGGCAAGTGGCACTGCTCGAAATGAAAGGGACGTGGATGTACCGAAAATGCGGTCAAACGTGGCGCAGCGTTTCATCAAGTCACGACGCCTGGTGATATTAGCGAACAAGTCAGCGTCCATGCGTAGCTTGGTGAGAGAGAGAGAGACGCCAGCACTCGAGAAGTTGATCATCAACACCGTTGCGCCGACAACCGCATTCGACGTGGATGCTTCCGTTTCGCTGATTTAGGGATGGGCCTCGTCACGAAGTCTCTTTTATTCCCTACTCATATCATCTTCCAACACCCCTCAACGACCAACAACGCCATGTACCATCCGTCGCTATCGTCTGTTTCGCCAGCCGACGCAAACGACAATTCCGAGCTTGTACAGCGCATTTACGAGCTCGGTTCTGATGCAGAAACGCACGTCGTAACAAAATCAGCGGCAGCACCACGCATTTATGATGGCATGACATCATGCGACAAGCGCGACGTTGGCCGCATCGAATATTGTCGAGACATCATTCTCACGGATGACGAAGGGGAGGTACTTCTGCAGCGCTTTGGGCCATCTTCCTTGGCTGAGGAACGGCGCATGATGAAGCAAGCGGGCAAAGGCAGACCGCTGCTGGATGCCCTTCACAAGAAGTCATGCGCTCAGCCGTCCGACTGGGCTTACAAGCCGGAATGCCTCTGGGATAATGCAGAGTACGAGTTTGGTGCGGTCTACTTGGACGACGAGCCGTATCTCAGCTGGCCCACCGTGCAAAGGTACAAGGATAGAGACGAGCGGTCCAACAAGGCTGGCCGGAAGGCGGTGGCTGATTTCTGCGTATGGTTTTCGGACTATGCACAGGAGTTTGTATCACCGCTTGTCTCTGAGAAATGCTTTCGATTCCCATCGCAGATGGTTGAGCGCAAGGCGTCGCACTTTCCGTGGACCACTGCGCAGGTGCCAGGCCTCGACGACATTTGCGCCTCGCTGTACTCGACCTTCACCGCATCAAAAGGGTTTCCTCCCCGACCCAGGAAGCGCGAAGGGGCAAAAGGCAAGGGCAAGGCCAAGGCAAGGGCAATGTCGAATAGGAACGAGCAGGAGGAAGAGGACGATGTCCTTGCCTCGCCCTCAATCTTGATCAATTTTGGTCAGCACGCTCTGCTGAAGCTGACCGAGTACAACTGCAGCATCGCATTGCAGCCGCTCGACATTGTCGTCTTCTCGTTCTCGTCGTACTACACCAAGCTCGAAGCGGTACAACACCCTCTGCAGACGACCAACCCTGAAGGGCGGTGGTCAGTGCTCGCCTACTTCCTGCGCGCTTTCCAGCAGCGCCTACTTCCGGACGATGACATCCTGGCCATGATCAAGGAGGCAAGGAAACGACAAGGTCAGTCGAGCGGCGTTAGGCCTCGCATCAAGCTGGAAGAGGACGACGAGGATCAAGCAATGGGCACCATCGACGCCGACAGCGCACAAGATTCGAGTATCCAACAAGACGACGCCGACACCGACGCCGAGGAGGATGAGCTCGGTGATCATCGGGACTGCGGCGACGAAGACATCGTCCACCTCGGGACTCGACGCAGCAAGCGCAAGCGCACTTCTCGACGATGAGCACGAACATCTTCACAGATCGAACAAAGAGGTATAATAACGGCGTAAGAATCCGGTAAATCACTATTGCGCTTTCATCGTCTTTACAAACACCCCGTTCTTGGTGCGAAGTCCATGCTTCTGCACGTCCACCCTGTATCTCGCCCATGATGACAAGAACCATAGCAATAACAATGCGTGTACCACCACCAGTACGAGACCCGAAGCCCAAACCCTGGCAAAGACCTGCTTTGCCTCGAACTCCAGCTGATATGCTTGCGAGAGCCACAACGCCTGTGCCCCCACCCACGCTACCAACGCGACACCCGTTTCGACTTTCCCGACTTTGAGACTTGGCCAGACGAGAGGTAGAAGCCAGAGGAACCATACGAAGTACTGGCTGGTGCAGACCTTGTTGAAGGCTACGAAAGCGATGGTCTGGGCTGTCATTGCTGCGACGACGTCGCGCTTGCCCAGGTGGTAGCCGAGGAGGATGACGACGAGGAGTTGCGGGAGGAAGGAGAGCAGTGGTGAGGCGAGAATACGTGCGCCGAGTGATGATGATGCGTCGGGAGAGGTGAAGAGCGATAGGTAGGTGGTGAGGAAGTACGGGCTGAAGTTGTGTCGATGATCCGCACGGTGAACGTGGTAGAGGAAGGTGTGCTCGATGAACGGCGATCCCCATCTGTTCGGTTGTGATAAAGTCATAAAACGAGAGCGAGTCAGCGTCAGCGAGAGGCAGTTCGAATGGACACATGGTTGTGCGCGGCAGCACCAGTCGATACTCACATCAACCAAGCAGCGATGTTAGCCGCCATGAAAGCGTAGAAGGCGACAAAGCCGAACTGCAGACCTGCCGCATGCTTTGTCCAGAGGCTGAGCGAGGCGCGTCGCTCTGGAGAATACGCCGTGACAGTAGAGTGGTAAAGATGGGCGAGAATGGGAATGGCGTAGATGACGGGGAAGAGCTTGAGATGTGTCGCAAGTCCAAGCATGATGGGGGCTATGTAAGCTTCGAGCGCCCAGTCGAGCACGTTGAAGGCGCTCTCTGGCGGGAGTGCGTCGTACGTGAGTGCGTCGTTGGCATTCTGTCGTCCATCCACCGCAGTTCTGTCCTCGGCTTTGTCGGTGCCGTCGCTCGTATGCTGTGCTGAAAAGGCGGGCAAATGTTTTGCCTTGAGACCCAACGGCGCCTCTGGGTTGGCCTTGAGGAGGAAGTACAAAAAGCTGAGAACGAACAGTCCTACCAAAGCTTCTGATGATCCGCGGGTCGAAATCTGAGCGACCATGGGGTTGAGGATCCACAACAAGCCTGGCAAGTGGACGTAGAGCCCAGCCGTCGAGCCTTGTGGGCGGCGTCCGTCCAAGATGAGCCACATAAATACAGCGCAGAGCAGATCGGAAGCAGCGAAGATGTGCTTTCCGAAGTTGGTCCAGCCGAAAAGATGAATCGGCGAGAGGAGCACTGCTAGGAACGGAGTGTATCTGTATGTGGGCCTGGCGTAAGGATCGCCGAGCGAGGCGAGCAGATCAAAGGCGGATTTGGCGAGCTGGTAGCATCGTTTTGCCCAGAAGTACATGACATCCGAGTCATCCGGCTTAAGTCCGTCCGTCGGTGCGTGGCTGTTCGGGTCGTTGACGAGCAGGAAGCGCGCAGCGGCAGGAAGGACACCTCTTGCGCAGTGAACATCGTCGCGGTCCAAGAGATCAGCATCCGTCTCGTAGTTGGGTTGCTCTACGGTGCGCGAGAGAGGACATGCATCAACCAGCAGCTTGGCAGCATCGGAGAAGACGAGATAGTCGACGTCAGTGTACGGTACGGTGTGGGTGGCATCCTGATGTTGCCCCCAGAGAAGGAGACCCGTTCGTAGAAGGACACCGGCGACGATGTAGATCCAAGACCAGAGCAAGGGCTTCATGGCGATTATGCTTGCCCTACGCTGGCTTGGTACAGCAGGACCGGATGACCAAGATGACGATGATGGTGGTGGACAAGATCCATCGGGGATATTGAGTCGGTGTATTCTACCAGGCGTACTTCTTCTGCATGCGGACGTTTCAAAGCTGAACCGGGCGCAGAGTGTAACACACCACGAGCCAGAACGCGTTCCGTTTGCGGGGAAAAGCTTTAAAATCTATTAATAAAACGAAGACAGAAGCTACTTCGGCGTAACATTCTCTCCGTTTTTTTCGCGAGAATCACGACTCTGGTGGCACAACTGACGAATGACCGGCGTCTTGGTGAAAGTTGTACCGCCGCCGCAGCCGGCCTCCACCTTCTTGGGTGGCTTCAGAAAGTGTGACTGATATGTGATTCATCTGGCTCAGTTCCGAGTGCTGAGCATCCAGCTCCCGTCAAGATTGCTTGCCACCAGCTCGGTCTTGATTCAAGACTGCCACCATTGACTCAAACCGTTCTTCAAACCATCAGAGGCAGGCTGACTGTTGTAGCGACTCGACGATCCATGGTGTTGACCAACACAGTGGCAGCTGTTCGCACTTCTTCATCTACGTATCGCACTCGAGCTATCACCAATCGCCTTTCGATCGCATCGCACAGCCTTCACACTTCAGTTCTCCGTGCTCACACCAACATGCGTGTTAGACGATACGACATTCTCAACTTGCCACTCGTACCTGCGTCCGAGCGGCTTACGGTCAACTTGCTCGCGGACCCGGTGACACCAGAGCCCCGTTCCATCGTATCCGTGCCAGACTCTTCTCCTTCCCTCGTACGCAGATCTCGCCCCGTCGGCCACGGCTCTCACTTCAGCTTCCTCTCCACTCTACCTCTATCTTTCCCGTACGACTTTCCTCCCGAACAGGAAGGCGAAGACTCGCTCGGCGACCGGCACCAAAAGGAGCTGGAACAAGATGACACGGACGACTCCCAGCTCACTGCAGAGCAAAAGAAGCTAAAGATTGAACAGGCACACAAGAAACGCATGCAAGAGGTCGAGCACATGCTGCAGCGATACGAGGTACAAGCTTCCGAGGCAGCAACGAGCGCCGCCGCTGACGGATCGGCTTCATCGACCGGCTTGACCGGACACGTCCCGCCTCGTCGTCGACACCAACACTTTCCCTCTGCCCGCCTTCTTGGTGTGTCACCTGCAGCGCTCCGCGACTGTCTACCTCACCTCGACGTTGGTGACGCATTTCAGTGGATTCAGAGCCAAACCATGAGCGCTGGCCCCAGCTCGTACAGCTCTGGGCCCATGGCCGATGCTGCATCCTCCGACACCGTTGCCCCGGACGTTGCTGCACGCAAGACACTCAGCGACTTTGTGTCCGGTCGACTCATTGGTGCACGCATCAAGGCAAGTCCTCAAGAGCTAGATAACGATGACAATGCTGGATATGGCACAAAATACATGCGTCTCCGCGAAAAGGTCATCAAGGGCGAACAAAAGGAGGAGCCTCCCGCCGATCGCACCCTTCGCCGCCTGGACGAGCTCGAACGGAAGCGAGCTGCTGCCGACGCCACCGACTATGCTCCCTGGTCCCTGTGCTACGCTGGACACCAATTCGGCGTCTGGGCGGGCCAGCTCGGGGACGGCCGTGCTTTCACGCTGATGGAAACCAAGAACCCAGAGACCAGCCAGCGTTGGGAGATCCAGCTCAAGGGTGCAGGCCGTACACCCTACTCGCGATTCGCCGATGGACTTGCAACACTCTCGAGCAGTGTACGCGAGTATCTCTGCAGTGAGGCCATGGCAGCGCTAGGCATCCCCACCAGTCGTGCCCTCGCCGTGGTCGCCCTTCCTGAGCTCCAGGTCGCGCGCGAACGTCTCAACGTAGCCGCTATCACCACCCGTCTTTGCGAATCGTGGCTGCGCATCGGCTCTTTCCAGATCCACAGCTCTCGCAGCGAGTGGGAATCCGTCCGCATCCTTGGCGAGTACGTCTCCCACGACCTCTTCGGCTTCAACGATGTCGTCAAGGGTGGAGATGTTGGCGACGACACGCACCGACCGGTTTGGGTGCAGAGGATGGTGGAAGAGGTGGCGAAGCGAAACGCAAAGACGATCGGCCTGTGGCAAGTCTATGGGTTCATGCACGGCGTCATGAATACCGACAACATCGCGTTGACAGGTCACACCATCGACTACGGACCGTACGCCTTTATGGATCTGTACGACGAAGGACAGATCTGCAACCACTCGGACGGCGAGGGCAGGTACGCCTATCGACTGCAGCCCACCATGGGTGTCTTCGCCATTCGCGAGCTGCTCAACGCAGTCGCGCCGTTGGTCGGCTTCGAACTCGAGCACAAGCGTGCACCTGCGCCCGGCGAGCTTCTCGCCGCCAGCGAAGCGCAGATCGATGAATGGCGCGAGCTGTGCGATGATGAGTACTCCAAAGAGCTCGAGGCTGTCTTTACGAGCACCTTGCTGGAGCAGTGGAAGCAGGCGTATCGCGCCCGATTGGGATTGACCAAGGAGGAGGGTGACGACAAGACTGCGCTCATCGATCCGCTTTCGGGTGTACTGTCGGACCTCGACTTTTCCACCACGCTTCGTCGACTGTGTCAGCTGCCAGCGCTGCTCAAAGCGCGCGGTGTTTCAGCTGACGACGAGGAGAAGCTCAAAGATGTTGTCGCTGCCTTTGTCGCTGGCGACCCCAACACGGGCCTGGAACCGTGGTACGACGCTTCCATCCTGCCCGAATACATCCGATCGCAGAAGGAGACGCAAGCGCGCACCTGGCTGTCCACCTACGCCCGTCGTCTGCTCCAGGAAGGCAGGGACGGAGATCAAGTGACCGCGGAGATGAAGTCGAAGAACCCGCGCTTCGTGCTGCGCAACTGGGTGACGAACGAGGTGGCGAAGCGCTTGGAAGATTTCAACGAGACCGAGGTGTTGGCCAAAGTGTTGGAGATGGCGACGCAGCCGTTCGAGGATTGGGGTTTGCCGAGGGAAGGCAAGTCAAAGGAGGAAGTGGAGGAGGAGGCGAGGTGGTGTTCGTTGGGTCGACCGTTGACGGGCAACCTGCCTTCGTGTTCGTCGTGATCCTTGTAGCAACATCACTTGGAATCGTCAATGCTTTCCAGCAGCAGCTTGCATCTTTGAGCTGTCTCTCGTATCCCGCTGTCTAACCATTTTGCATCTTCTCTCAGCTCGAAACCTTCAGCTAGCGGTAATAGCCTTTCTCGCACCCAACCGTCGTCTGGCCTCGACCCTTTTCCCGTCGCTAGACTGACCAAATTGCGCTCCACCATCTTCCAAAACCCATCCCATGCCCAACCAGCGTCCTTTACAGCAACATCCTGTACCAACGCGTAGAACTCCTGCTTCCACTCTTGACCTTTGTTTGCGCGGAGCATATCTTTGACATCGTCTAACGACTCCTCGACGTGATCCAGCTCCTGTAAGATCGATTCGTACAACGAGGGCAGGTTGTGAGCATTGCACCAGTTTCGATTCATCGAAATGACATCGCTGACATTGTCCACTTGGTGGTACCAATTCGACGGGACGAAAATCGTTTCGCCCGCCGACTGGATGATGATCTGCATCTCATCGAGAGCCCTCGACAGATTCGGAAAGTGCTTCCTATCCGATCGATCCAGAGTTTCCATGAGGGTCTGAATATCCGAGATCAATGCCGAAGTTGACACGGCGGGGAACTGACGCAAGTGCGGGATGACATGCGGTGGGAAGAGGTACCACTTCTTAACACCGACGATGTTGGTAGACCACGAGTACGAAGTGTACACATCTCTATGCAGGAGTGTTTGTGAGCCGGATGTTCCGGCGTATACGAAACGAAAGTCGTCCGGGGTATCTTGGGATCCAGTGGAGGGTAGGTTGTTCATCCAATCATCGGCAAAGATTTCGGGTACCGTGTAGGTTTCCTTCTGCGTAGAGGATTGAGCGTTGAGTTGTTTGATGAGATGCCAGTCCTTGATGTATATCGACTTGACCTCAGGAGAACCGCCTCGTTGGAATGTTTGGATTAGATCGATGGCGGAAGAGATGCTCATGTCCGAACGATCTTCTTCGACCTGCAAAGATGGATCGACGCGAGAGATCACTACCGGCGCCGTGTGATTTCCGTACTGCTCCTTCAGCGCTTCCCAGTCCACCGTCATACCATCCGGTGCGTCCGAAGAGGGAGTTGCCCAGGAACCTGACCGAATCACATCCCAATCCGCGACCAGCGCAGGTGGGAGAATACACGGTCGATTGGGTATCAAGCATTGCCGACGAAACTCCGCGTAGGTCGGTGCGTCGTCAAAGTGGAGCAGCGTGTCTCGTTCGCGAACCGATCGACCAGCTTCTGAGATGCTACGGGTCATTGTTGTAGGGTCGCATAGACCGCCGCTCGATACGGTATGGCGGAAGTCGTGAACGCAGCAGGATCAAGAAGAAATGCCTCCACTCCGTCAAAAAATACGCCTCGGGACTCGGCGCGGCTCAAGCCGAGAACAACACCTCTCAACTAACCCTCCTCCGCGTTTCGCATTCTTAGCGCGCTCGTCTGACAACACAGCCTGAAAACAAGGATGTTCAGAATGAAGAGGGGCAGCCTCTTCTCTGAGAACGATGTGTGATTAACGCGATTCACTGTTACAACATAAACTGAGCCTGCTTCTGCTAATCAAGCAGGTGCTTCGAGTAGATCTCGTACGCCATCCTCCTGCGCAAATACGGCATATTCTGCTGACCAAAGTTCCACTCGTACTCCTCCCCCTCATCGTCACTATCGTCACCTCCCGCACCGCCGATGCTCAACTTGCCCGCGCCCTCATCCAGGCTCTCGCCCTTCCACGTCACCCTCGGCGCCTCGAGCGGAATTGGCGTGTGCGGATCGCGCCTACTAACCTGCTCCAACGTCTGAGCAGCAAACACGCCGCAATCGTAGCTGTTCTCCTGCTGCGGACTGTCGTCGCTGAACACGTCCTTCCAGCCTCGCAGATCGATCTCCTTCTTCTTCTTGTCGCGCGCCTCTTCAGTCAGATAGGTGCGCATGAGGTTGAAGGCGGCCTGGTTGTGCGCACCCATCGAGTCGTAGTACTCGAAACGGTGCTTGCGCATGTTGATGACACCGCAGACCCAGTGTGCGTTGCCGAGGTTGATGGGGAACAGGATGAGGTCTTTGGAGAAGATGTCGATGCGACGCGTCCAGCGTTTTACACCGTCGAACCCTTTGCTCTTGAGGTTGGACCAGAAAAAGGACGAAAAGTAGTGCACCCGCCAGAACGCATCCAGCGACTCGTCGTAGGGTCGTTTAGGTTTGCCTTTACCGCCCTTGCCGTTCGGCTTGCCGTCAGCTTCCGCTGGTGCGTCTTTTGCAGCAGCAATCGCTTGGGTACGCTTCTTGTCCGCCTCGTTGGCACGAATGAGGATGAGCGCACCGTAAAAGTTGATCACCTCGTCGTTCAACCACTGTCTTGGACGTAGCTTTTGCACGTCCGCGTCCGATACGGCTGCGCCCGTGATCTCGGAGATGACGCCGCGTTTGCTGAAGACCGAAGTAACCGCCTGCTCTTCCTCAACACCCAAAGTATCCGGAAGCTCCTTTCTGCCAAGGATGCGTCTGAGTTTGCGCCACTTCGCCTTCTCCTCCCTCCTAAGCCTCTCTCTCTCGAGCAATTTGACCTGCGGGAGGGGCAAGATGGCGGTCTCGGCATCGCGCTGCTTTTGTCGCATATACTCATACCTCTGTGCTAAGGCCTTCAGCAAATCGCCCCTGGCATCGTTGACGTTATCTTCAGCAACAAGCTGGTGCACCTTGAAGGTTTTTGCAGCTAGCTCGAGCTTCTGACTGGGATCGATTTTGCGGCCCGACAGCCTGAGGCGACGCATGCGCGTGAGGGCCTGCTCGATAGCGCGCTTCATGCTTTGCCTATTGTGAGTAGAGACTTGCTGGAGGTGCTTTTTGCTGTAGATGGGATTCCGTTTGCGATATAAAGAGTCGTGTGATACGCGTGCGGGTGTCGTGGCTGAGAAGTTTGATACATTGCTGCTGAAGGACGCGGAGCGGTCAGGCGCAGATGGTCGTTCGGGTCGAAGAGGAGTTGAGCCGTGCTGTATGCTTCGACGGCCAGGCTGAACGAAGCGAGTCTGACGGCCGATGCTGTTGACCATCTCTGTCGCAGTTGTGTCGGCTGCTTCAAGGCTGTTCGACATGAATGATGAATCGGCCCCAGATGTGCTTTGGCGATCTTGGCGGTATTTATACAAGGACTTGTGGGCCATCGGGCCGGCCAGAGAATATCTCGATTGAGAGGAGCGAGATGGCTTTGCAAGGGCGTCTTGAGATGCCAGGGGCTCCAGACCCGAGTTGGAATCCAGGCGTGGTGTAGCGCTGGCCAGGGACATATCATTCTCTTTGTCCGGGTCTTCTTTGTCCGAACCGCTTTCTTCCGAGTCGGAGACCAAATCGACAATGTCGTCAGCAGGACGGTGCAAAGAAGCAGTCTTGTCGTCCGGTTTTGACGCGTCGGTGGTGACTTGATCGATGTCAAAGTCACTAGCGCTCGATGGCTGTGGCTCGTCCATGCTGAGATGTCCGTTCCAATCTATCAAGCCTTCGATGTGCTCTCCGACCTTTGCATCTGCGATGGCCTGGATGTGCTCTACATCTTCATCGGTGGGGATCGTTGCTTCGGCCCTTGTTGCGATCGAGTTTGCCGTTGATGTTTCGGCTTGGACCGACTCAGCGGCAGTTGTTGATATTGATTCCGCATCATGGCTAGGCTCGAAGGGCTCGACTGGCAAGCTAGGGCTAGAGGGTGGAGAGGTGTTTTGCTGAAGGGGGACTTCTGCAGCTTCCTCTGATGAGCTGCGGGTATCTGTGATGACAGCAGACGATGTGGAAGGGGACGGAACTTTAAACGTGCGGCCAAGTGGATCGCGGATGGCGACTTCGTGCGATTGAAGCGAGGAGGGTGTATCTGTGGTGTCAGCTGCCGCTGCCGCCGAAGCAAGTTTGGTTGGAGTAGAAGTGAGCAGTTGGCGCTCGGGAGGCGTAGGCGACGATGAATTTGACGGCATGATGGACGACGTCAACAGAAGGTGACCGTGCGACTCTGGGTCTGCGTTGGTCTTTGGTCGCTTGTTGGAGGGCGATAGTGCGGAGACGAGTCCGTTGAGGCTCCTCTTGAGGAAGCCTGCTGGCTTGATTTCGGACTGCGAGGTATTGGCGGAAGCTGAGCCTAAGCTGCTGCCGTTGGCGGATGAAGAGGAAGATGCGGACGGTATCTGGGATGCTGCATCAAGCGCCGAGCGCCCTCGCTTCAGAGGCATCTCGCCCTGGAGTGGTGGTGTGGAGAGACCCTTGCTGGCCGAAACGGGTGCGGATGGAGCTGCAGCATGCGTCTCGAAGCGGATAGGCTTGAGCTTGCCAGTGTCGATGATACGAATTGTCGAACGAAGCTGGGCTGAGCTCCTTGAAAGTGATGTAGAGGGGAAGTGGGATGGAATGCGGCTTGGCGATGGCGGGAAGAGCAAGACGAGAGCACCAAAGTGTTAAGAACGCGTTTTGGTGCATGCGGAACTCGGGCACACAGCGCTGCTGACCCGCGGCGCGCAATAAATGTTCGTGATCCAGAAAAAAAGAAATGTCAAAATTAATGACGGTCATAAAAAGCTTTCTTCTTGTGGAGGGCTCACTCTACCACTTCTCACTTTCTTCTCAAACGTCACTCTCACTCGAGGCCATGTTGCGAGCATGGACGATCCATCACAGCAGTCACAGGATGGCGCGCTGCCGTTCTCCGACGTGACGGATCTGCTCGCTGCGGCTGCAGGTGCAGAAACACAGCAGGCGCTTGTGGCCCGCATCTTTGTCCCTGCTCCTTCAGTTTCAGCCTTTTCCGGCTCAGTCGACCAGTTCGCCCGACTATCGACCCTGAGCTCCCAACTCAACAGCTTCGTTCAGCAGCACACCAGACGCAGCGACTATCTCGACGGCCAAGATTACATCTGGCATAGGGAACCGCCTTCCATATCGGTTGTCTGCCCGCCATCGTCCTCCCGTCCATCTACCACGACGAACCCGACGCAGCTGTCGCCGCATATCCTCTTCCATCTGCGCACAGGAGGCGAGTGCATTGAGGACGAATGGTTCGCGACGCATCTTCTTGTTCGAGCATCCACGCACTTTTCAGCGCAGCATCTTTGCATCAGTGTGGAGGACGAAGACGGCCAATTCCTTCTCATCGAAGCTGCCGACTACCTCCCGGAATGGGTCGCTCCTGAAGCAGTCACCAATCGAGTATGGATCTACGATGGTCATCTGCATCTTATACCACCGCATTACAAGGCTGATGAAGGGCCTTCTCTGCCAGCATCTCAAGCTGTCGAGCTTGTGACCGATCAACTGATCCCGACTCGTGCCTCAGACGACGTCGAAGCAGCTGCCTTTGCACGAGCTTTCGAGTTCCCATCTGCCGCCAAACTGCACCATCATCGTACGCTCGCTTATCTGCCTCGCCGTATCGCTAGGGTGCTGGCGGCTGAGCCACAGCTCATCTCCAACTGCGTCACTTCGATTCAATCTCGAGACGTCGTCAGCTCCCGCTCCGGATCTAGGCTCGTGCGCTTTCCACCGCCATCAAAACGTCCAGACACGTCTGCAGACAATGACTTCTACGTTGGCCTCTACTCAGTACGCATGACACGTCACCTCTACGCACAACTACTCCATGACCGCTTCTTCCCACCACGGCAGCTGGGTCCACCTTGGCAAGCGGCAGTTGAGAGCTATCGGCTCCGTCTTCACGGCCAATCCTCCACCGCATCTACACAGACTGGGATCGAAGATGAGGCACAAGTGCAGGTAGGACTACGAGACGGTCGCTGGCACGATTTGGGAGCCAAGATCTGGTGTGGAATGGAAATGTCATACTCCGAATCGCTCGCTCGTCGAAAGCGAACAGCGGCGCGCTCCATGGCTGGATCGGAATCGACCTTGCCGGCCCAAGTGCGCGAAACTTTGATACAGTCTCTGGAAAAGCTCGGCTACTTTCAGGGGGAGATCGAGGGAAGCGCGAAATGGAAGCAGCTAGAAGCGGAAGCCATCGATCAGTACGTCCGGGGAAAAACAGGTGCACAGATTAGCAGCGATGCAGGCGACGAGGGTGCGCTGCTCTGCGATGCGGTCGATCGTATACTTCAGCAATCCAGCACCGAAGCACCGTCTTCGACGACACTGCTTCCGACTGCAGCCCCCGAAGAGCTGCAAATAGCAGAGGATGACGATTCGTGGCTGCAACTCAACCCTGACGACATCGAGTCCATACTGCAAGGAAAAGCAGGCTCGTCCAACGATGGCTCACGTGCCATCGACGAGCATGATGCATTTCAACGACTGGACCAGTTCAGCAGCAAGATGGAAGACTTTATCAAGACCAAATCCGACGTCAGGGGTGCTGTCTTTGAAGACGAGCTCGAAGCTGAAGATATGCAGGTCGACGACGAGGATCTGCTGTTCGAGGATCTCGATGAGGATGAGCAGGAAGAGAGAGTGAAACGAGAGGTGCAGCACAGGATGCAGACGGAGGGGGAAGAGGAGAAGAGAAAGTTGGTTGAACGTCTGATTCCACGCATGTCGGAGCAGGAGTGGACGCGCCGACCGCAATCTACCTCTCAGTCCGAGGTCGATGTTCAGGCGGGAGGTGGAGGCGATTTCCTCTCATCCATCGATCGGATCGCCTCCGAGAGACTTGCCGCACAGGTTCAATCGTCCGATCTGCAAAGCAGAGAGATAGCCATGCGCGAAGACAACCACCTCTCTGCCGCCAACACGGAGCTTCGTCGTCGCCTGACATCGCAGTACATGCGCGAGACATCCACCCTCCTCTCCTCCCAAGGCCATAATCAGTTCGACGGTGCTTCCGACTCGGACGACGAGGAGCTCGAGCAAGAGACTTCGCCCGAGGTTCGACGACAGCGTGCGCGAGACTACGATATCGAACCGGACGAGGTTGTGGCAGCAGATGCGAAAGGGGCCGCAGAAGTGGGGTGGGACGAGGTAGGTGAACCTGCCGAAATGGGTGACGAGTCGGAGGTGGGGAATCTGTTGGAGTTTGCTAGGATCAGTCTCGGATTGACGAAGGAGCAGTACTGGGAGATCTTGGAGGAGAGGCAGAGCAAAGGCAAGTACGTTCCTCCTATACAGCCGGTACAGAAGGAGAGTCAGTCGAAGAGCAAGGCTACGTCCGAGTCGAAACTAGATACATTCGAAAGCGTCATGGCTGCCATGGAGACGCAACTGCATCAATTGCGATCATCCAAACAGCCGCCTACCCCCACATCATCCACTCATCCGACACCGACCGCATCCCAAGGTCCTCCCCAAGATCAAGAAGACGCGGAACTCCTCGCGCACTTGCTCAAGTCGAACTCCGAGCTCCCCTCCTCCCTCCAATCCCACCTCGACCCAGACTCTGCAGACGCCATCCAAGCCGAGCAGCTCGAATCGTTCCTGCGCTCGTTCCAGGCTCAATCAACAACCAGCGGTGCAGGGTCCGGATCGGGTCCAGTGGATGTCCTCATGCGTCGATTTGGTCTAGGCAGTCTGCCTGCTGATCAGGATTCAATGTCCCGAAACCCCACAACCTGAGCTTCATCTTGTTCACACACATCGGAATAGGGGTTGGAAGCTGGAACATGACAATTCAAGCATTTAGCCAAAGAGCGAAGCCTTCAATGTGTCCTTCCTGTACGGTCCCGGAGTCTTGACGTCTTCCTCCGAATCGCCATTGAAACCCTGAGGCAGCGACAGCTGCATCCGCGTCCCAAACTCATCGGCGTCCCAGCTCGTATCGCCTGTTGAGCCGGGTAGCCTCGCGATGGCTTCCTTCTTGGGCGATTGGAGGATCGAGTCTTCCCTGCGTGGAATGATGATCCTGCTCGACTTTGGCATTCCGCCGCCGACGTCGAAACCACCGCCGTCGAAAGTCGGAGAGGCTATTTTGAGCGGGAGGTATTCGTCCGATGCATGGTCTGCCAACAGGATGTTCTTCGATCTGTCGCCTTGCGTAGGCAACAGTGCAGCTGCGGCTTTCAGCATTGCATCGATCCGATCAAGCATTCCATCCGGAAGCAGAGGTACGGGGGACCAGTATCCGCCCGCTGCAAACCCTTGACCCGAAGGAAACAGGCTACTCGCTCGACTGACGTTGCTCGCATCCGTGTGCGACGACGTCTCGCTCGCCATCTCTTCATCTTGCGCGACCAAGTCCCCCATGACCAAACCAGCGGTATCATCACCCTCATCCTCGGAACGATGATTTCGGAGAGAAGAACTAGAAGCGATGGAAGAACGACGCGAACTTGCTGCAGAGCCAGGGTTGCTCGATTCAGAATCGCCATTGACGCTTCGCACCGACGGCGTGCCCGTGCCGGTAAAGTGTCCCCTTCCAAATCCGAACGCATCGCCGGGGGTAACGATGAGCGCATTGCGTCGAGAAGGCAAAGCGAAAGGCAGCATCTCTCGGCTGTTCAACAGACCGTCTTCCTTGGCCGGCGAAGGCGGAACACTTCCGGCCGCAGACCCTGTGTCGTCGTGCAAGCCCAGCGGAGGGCCCGAAGCAGTCCACGGTGGAACGTAATCCGTCATACCTTTGCCCGGTGCAAAGAGTCCATCGATCATGGCCTGAGCCGAACGTGCGGTTGCCTCTGCCACTGTGAGCAGTCCGTCATCGTGTGTGCTCGTGAGCTTGGCCGTACCGTTGCTGTTGATGCTGGCGTCGGCTTGACCATCGATCGCATCCGCCGGAGCCAAATCCTCCCCCTCTCCGTCGCTGTCATCCTCCTCCACGTCCAGCGACTCCTGATCGAGCGAGAGCGTCTGTGGCACATCTGTCGTGTAATCCTCCTGTTTCGCCGTACCCGATCTCTGATGATGCGAAGTCTGCTTCTTCACCTTCTTCTTCCTCTGCTGTACCGCCCTCGCCTCCTCCTTAGCCTGTCTGATCTGATCGTCCTGCCTCCTCTTCCAATCCAGTATCAACTGATCCAAATACTGCAGACACTCTTCGCTCATCCTCGTCTCTCCCACTTCGTATCGATAGTCCTTGACAACCCTCTTCATCTGAACCGGTGTCAGCGCCTTCAACCCTTGCATAGTCGCGATCAGGCCGTCGAACTCTTGCAACGAGCTCTGGCACTGCAACCAAGATATCAGCTGAAGCAGCGGCGAGAGATGAGCATGTACGATGCCGAGTGGAAGTGCGTTGGAACGTGCCCAGTCCTCGAGCGCGCTGACGTTCATTCGGATCTGAATGGCGCGAGATCGGCACACGTAGCGCTTGCGGGAGATGACGCGGTTGAACAGCTCGCAGCCGACCCAGAAGAAGACCTGCGATAGAGCCTGGATGATGATGGCTGGATTGATCTCGTAGAACTGCAGCACTTGAAGTGTCGACGAAAGCAGCGAGGTGATGGTTCGTGGTGAGGGTGCATTGAGCAGGTCGGTCGCAGAGGCGTTGTAAGAGACCTCGCGTATGGCGCGGAAAGAGTCGCCGAGAGCTCCTTTGCGCGGAGAGCCTTCGCCGCCTCCGCCGGCGCCCGCAGTGCGGAATCCGGAATGGCCGATGGTCGCCGGACCAAATGGATTGGATGGACGACCGTTTCCAATGGAAGGCGAAGACGACAGCCGCGTCGATTCTGGTGTGTTTGTTCCGGGATTGCTCGGTGAAGGAACGTCTTCCCTTCGACCAGAACCAAAGAGCTGACTGAGCGAAGCCTTGCTGGGACTCGAAGACATGCCTTGCCCCAGCGAGCCCCCCTGACTGATCCCCTTGACACTACCCGCCAAAGTCTTCATGAATTTCCATTCGCCTTCGAAGCGAACCTCATCGAATCCAGGAATAGCTTCGTGATCCAACATGGCCGCATCCAGCACCTTGTCTATCCTCCTTTCTGCGTCTCTGATGATGAAAACAAAGATCTCGTTCAGCAGATCGGCTAACAAGCTACGATACTCTTTGACGGAGCTCGACTTGCGAAGTGTACGATCCTTGTCCATGTAGTAGTAGAGTAAGCAGCAGTTGGAGAGCCAAAAAGCGAGGTAGGTCATGTCGGTGGGGTGCGAATAGATGGAACCTTCGATGCGGTCGATAGCGCCAAGGAAAAGCTCCTCGAGCAGGTCTTCGTCTTGCAGGAAGCAGGCATATCGGGCACAGAGGAAGAGGACGTTGGCGGGTGCGGCGCGCGAGGTCCAGGGAGCACGGACGGGCTTGATGTTGGTGATGAGCATGCCAAGCAACGGCTCTATATCGTTGGAACCAAATACGAGCATCTGGTCGTTGCGGACCCTTTTCCAATCGAATTCGACCGAAAGAAGGTCGGCGCCAACTTCAGCAGCTCCACAGCCAGAAGCAAGATCGGAATGCACCGTCTTTGCTGCTCCTCTCCTTCTGCGACGTGCAAAGGTGGCAGAGGGCCCTGCACGTTCGTCGGCATGCGGGCTGAAGGGAACCTCGGTCCCGCTCGGCTCTCCTATGAGTGCGTAGAGATCTAGTTCGAGAAGCGTGGCAATGTCGGCGAGAGCGCTCTTGCGGGTATCGCTGAGCTCCTTCTGTCGATTCTTTTGCTCTGCAAGGTGTGCACGCTCGTAGCGTCCGACGAGCCTGCGCTGGGTGAGTTGCGAGCCGGTTCTCGAATGGCCAGGCCTGAAGGCCTTTGTCGGAGACGCCGAGGTCGAAGGCCGAGATGACCGCGTTGGGCTGGCAGAGTTGCTTTGTCGGTCGCTATCTGCCAGCGAAGGCGATTGTTGGCGGTCGGGCGAGTTGTCGAGGAAGAGACTGTTGAGGCGCTGTGCAGCCGACTGCTGGACCGAGACGTACCGCTGATGTTCGTAGATGAGGTCTGCGATGGCTTGCTGCTCGGTAGGAGCCGACTTGGACGAGGACGCCGTAACAGCCTGCTCTGCACCGGCGGGCGTGGAGAATGCGGCCTCGGGAGCAGCTGAGAGGATGAAGTCCTCGCATGTAGTGCCCTTGGTGCTCTTTGCGTCAACATTTGCGCCACGGCTGAGCAAGAAGCTGGCAAGAGGCAAGTTGGAGCTGTTGATGGCCCACATGAGAGGGGTCCAGCCGCAAGCGTCGCGTTCGTCGATCTCCGCTCCGTTGATGACGAGCATGGTGACGGCATCGATATGGCCAGCGCAGGTGGCTAGCACAACGGGACCCGTACCTTCTTCGTCGCGAATCTGATCGAAGTCGATCTTGGACCTCCCGTTGGAGCCCGGGGTAGCATGGGAAATGATTTGGCGCGCTTCTGCTCGGGAATCGAGCAGCCAAGAGAGCATGTCGGTGTCTCCATTGCTAGCAGCACGGAGCAGAGCGCGACTGAGCTTGGCGCGTTTGAGAGGTGGTTCGACGGAAGAGGAGCGAACGATGCGTCTGAGGATATCGAGAGAGGGACAAAGCTCTAAGATGGGATCCTGCACTACGCTGAGATCCAAGTCGGCGGCAGCGGAGGCACCACTGCCGTTGGGCTGGTTCAGCTCGACATGGAGAGGTGGACTCGCTGGCGGCACCGAGCTGGGTGCGTGCACCGGCGCATCGTTGGCAGCGGACATGGTAAACGTAAATGATGATCGGAACAGCGCGAGGCTTCGTCTATCGAGGTTAAAACATGTTGTGAGCGGTGCGACGTGATGGCCAAGTTCCAAGGTCTGTACGTCAGAAGCACCCGGTGCAGGCACGCGAATGAAACGATGGCCGAGGCGAGATGAAGTGGAACCAAAAAGGCTATGAGCGGCTCAGCTTGCAGGATGAGTCGTAGGAAAGATCGTGTTAATGACGGGAGGAAGGAGGCAACAGGTGTGCATGGGTGAGTGATGTGATGTGTTGTTCTCGCCATCGGTTCTGTGCGAGGTTGCTGCAGCTTCTGCAGCTGCTGCAATCCACCCAGATTTGTGGTCGCGTTGACTTGTCTAGTGTGTTGGTCTCGACAATTTCGCTCACTGTTAGGCTTTGCTCGCGGCAGAGAGAGCCACCCGATCGCCGATGTGAGAGTCTTCAAACTCGACACGTATCATCGATTCGCTTTTTCAGCCCGAAGCGAGAGAGAGGGGAAAAATGTTACTAGGCTGGTCTTAGCGTGGTGTTGCCAGCCTCTCGCTGCCTTCCTCTCTTCCACCAAGGGTCTGGAGGCGACGGATGGTGAGGATGGCGCTCCGTCCTGTCCCTCTACGCCACGTCTTCTTCTTGAACCGTGGACGGAAGTCAAAGGCCCTCAGAACCGATTCGTCATTCATGGCGATGGCTGACTATTTGAGTGTGCCTCGTCTTTGTCCATAGACGATGGTCACAATTGTGTTCAGCCACATTCCTTCCCTTCTCAGTCACCACTCATTGCATTCGATGCGTATCGTCCATAGTCGACGAGTCATCACTACCTTCTCGTAGCTTAGTTGATGCGAGGTATTCCTGTTGCTCAGTCTGGACTACCAATTGATCTTGACAACCTCTCAGTGTGAAGTCTCGATATAGCGGATGGCAACGGCATTCGACGTTAATTAGTGACCTGGATGCTTTGCACCAGAACCTTGGCCTGCGCAGTGTGCAGTGTCATGCAGGACTGGCAATCATATCAACCCTTTGTGTGGCCCAACTTGATCAGGCCAAGAACGAAACCGAGCGTCGACCTTTTTGATGTCAGTGGAGAGGATGGAATTGAAATTCAAAAAAGAAAAAAAAAGGTGAGCGGTTTGGGGGGCTCTTAGGGTGCCTTGCGTCTGCGTCTGCGTCTCGTCAAGTGTTGGTCTCGTGTGGGGCGTTCGGCTTGCTGCGATCCAAGTCGCGCTGGAATGCCAGCCAAGCCGAACGACGTGCAATTTCGGGGTTGCTCGCCTCGGCAGGCTCTGCACCAACTCTGCGTCTCGTGGCAGACACTGTCTCGCCGCCGCCGCTGTGCTTCTGCTGACGATCCATCTCACCACCATCATTATCACCACCACACTCCTCTCCATCACCACTCGACTCTTTCTCCTCTCGCATCCTACTTCCCGACTTTGACCCACTAGAGCTGCAAAATTCCCACGCCGCGCTCCGTCGGCCCCACAGTCCAGCCTTGCTTCATCTCACACGGTCATCGCCGTCCACCTTCATTAGTACAGAATCGGTCCCGGAGTTCCGTCATCTCTCCACATTGGCTGGTCCAACGTGTGATTGCTACAGACAACCGCGCGCCATCGACTCCATCGCTCCGATCGCCTTTCTTTTCAGACTTTCCGACCCGCTGAATCCTCTATCGCCATCCGCTCCCCCAAACACAAAGCACCGTGCCGGCCATGGGCTTGAAATCGCAAAACACAATCTCGAGCCGTCAAAGGTCGTATGCGTATCCGCCACCAGCAAGAGGCATCAGCAGACTCTGGGCGTGGATCCCCGACTCGTGGGCGTGTCGCCTGTTCCTTCTCATCACGTTGGCAGAAGCATCCATCGACATTGCCATCGAGAGCGTCTTGTTTGCACGATACCAATTTCACCGCAAGACACACGCATCGCCGGACGATGACTCCAAGTCCAGAGCACTCCCAGTGTTTGTGATCGTGTTTTCGCTCGCACACATCTACCAGTTCCTGCTCGCCGTCGACGCCGTGATCAACAGGAACACGATTCTCGTTATCGGCGCCATTCTCTTCAACGCGTGCTTCTTGGTCTACTCGCTCATCCAGATCTCCGAAATTCGTTCGGTGCTGGGCGATGGTGTAGCACAAGGTTCGTCGCAGACAGTGCCCGTTCAGGTACTGACGGGTGCCATCCCCATCGTCATCGCCATCGCCGAGATCTCGTTCATCGTGCTCGGATGGAAGCTGTGGAAGGAGTTCGGCTGGCAAATCTACAAGAAGATCGGCGCCGACAGGAGCCTCAAACGCGGCTATCTCCACTACCAGATCTACGTGGCGCTGCTCAAATTCGACTTCTTCATCTTCATCGCATACTGCATCCAGCTGGTTCTGGTGGTCAAGCAGATTGGCTCAGCAGAGCGATGGATCACCATCATCTCGGCTCCGTTCTCGCTGCTCATCCTCGTGTTTGCATGGTACTCGGTGCGCAAAGAGCTCAAGTGGGGCATGCTCACGTTCCTGGTCGGATTGACGGGAGCGATGGTCTACTTTGTCTATAAGCTGTTCCGCATCTGGCAGCTCAAGGACACGCTGTACAAAGAGGTGTACAAGAGCTTGACCGTCTTCTCGACGCTCTCGATGCTGCTGCTCCTCATCACGGCGGTCATGACCATCCAGTGCATGCTCAACTTTGACCGCGGCTTGAAGAACGCCATCTCGAGGCCGAGGAAGGAGCGTGCAGCAGCAGCCGCAGCCGCCGACAATGGCTACATTGTCGGGTACGACGGCAAAGCGTTGACACATGTAGGCGATGGAAGCACCAGCGTGCTACATTTGCAGCCACGATTGAGCTTGGATTGAGCTGTCGTCGTTGCTGGCTGTCACGTTGTCATGGGTTGTGCGCTGTTGTATTTTTGTATCGTTTGTCCCCGCACACTCTCTTTGTGGTTCTTCTTGTCGAACAATGCCATTCGCTGCAGCTCGAACCGATCCTGCGTGCTTTCGTTCGGAGAAGTGAACAGAGACTTTGAATAGGTTGCCATGGCGGCTGAGCAGAGGCCAGGCGTTTCATCACATCACATCAAAGTATACTTGTATGATACTGTAGGTCAATTCATCCGGACGTGGACCATCAGAAGAATTCGACCCAAGAGTAGGAGAAAAGCGGTTCGGAGAGACGGCAGTGTTGACAACTCGCGTTGTCACCGAATTGGCACTTAAATCTCAAAAGAAGGGGTCCAGAAAGGTTTACCCTGGTGTGACAGCCGACACCAGAGCAAGCGCGTGGTGCCACTTGCGGAAAAAGAAAAGGACGGAGAGGAAGGGAGCGTGTGTGTGCGCTTCGGCCACCTGACTCTTGGATCCATCATGCACCGCGACCTTGATTTTTGGTGGAATTGCACCTTGAAGCTTTCTGGACTCCATTGTTGTGCCACCTTGCCAAACGAGCATCGACCCACCATCAACCTTCTTTCGAGCATAACACCCTCAGCATCGTCAATCACACAACGCACCTCCGACGACAATCGGTCAATATCGCCGCGGCGCATTTCCGCTAGAGACACTGATCTTGCAATCCACATCGCGACCATTGGTACTCTGTACCTGTCCGACGCGCCAACACATCATCCATATGATACTCTGAGCTGGATCTGGTTGCCGAGCGAGCTTGCTTGCGACCGTACACGGCGTAGCGCGTTCCGACCAGCTTTCGGCTTGGCACGGCTGCCAAGGTCGTGAGTTTCGTCAACACCTTGCACGCCGACTCGACACCTTTGGGATCGTGATGGCGCAGCATTATGCCTACTCTGCGCTGCGTGCAGGGCGCGAAACATCCTTCCTCTCCTTCGACGACGCGCCCAACTCGCCCAATCCACAACCCCTTGGCGACGCACCACAGTCCTTCTCTCCCAACCTTGACGGTTCTCCACAACACTCGTCTGCCTCTCACGACCGTTCATTCCCCAATGCAGCCTCACACTCGACTCGCGCCTCACCATCCAAAGCATCTCGATTCCTACGATCACGACCCGGCAGTTCCAAGGATCTCGCCGCCAATGTCGACCAAGCATACAATCCCGGCGAATCCACTTCGCCGACCAGGACAGGTGCCAAACCTGTCTCTCGTGGAAGTCGCCTCGGCGCTCTCTTGGGGAGAAGTTTGCCTCAGAACGATGCGTCGCATGCGAGAAACGCTTCGTTGAGCTCGACCAACAACACCGAAGGAGCGAGCTCAGACGATTCGGGCTTCTTTGCAAGACGCGCTCGGAAAGCGTTCGCCGCCAACGAGGATGTGGACGAACGCGTCCAATCCTCCGACAACACTGCCATGCTTACGTCGGGTGAATCGCGACGGGAAGCGGCAAGAGCGGCGAGCGCTTTAGGCATGTTGGATTACAAACCAGATCCTGCAGTCCAAGCGGAAAGTGGCGGGATGAGCATCAGCAATGGGCGATTGGCGAGACCTTCTTCACAAAACATCCTCATGGGGCCTGCCACTTCCAGTGCAGACGCTGCGGCCACAACGTCGGCTGGTACAGCACAATCTCGCGTCGGTCGTCTCGGTCGACTCGCATACAAGAAGGATGATTCAATAGCCTTTGTCGCCCAATCGCGCAACGCGTCTCAACGCATGGCTGCAGGCACGAGAAGCAGCAGTTTGCAAGGTTCCGATCATGCGTCTCAGCAGACGGGAGAATCCTCGAACGGTGCTGCTGCTATGCGTGGGCTCGGCATCGATGACGGTTCGGGGCAGTATGCGCAGGGAATGCACAATAGCAGATATGAAGAGGCAGACGAACAAGGTGGATCCGATGCAGGATTGGCAGTTGCATCGAGCAGAGCGGATAACGCCGCAACTGCATCTTCGAGCAACGCATCCTCACGTGCGCCTTCGGCCACCGGTTCGCATGCCGCCAACTACCACAACCGATTCAGCCGACAAGGTCTTTCGCAAGAGCTGATCCTCGATTCATCCCACGAACTGGAAAGCAGAGCTGTGGCACACACTCATTCCGAAGCGACACACTCTACCCGAACCTCGTACGAGAGAGGCAACGATTCGCCTCGCGGCACTCTGTCTGATGCCGCCATCGCCGCGCTCGGTGCCATGCCTGGAGCGAGTGCCGGCTCCTTACTCAACGCCAGCGGTGCACCTCTCAGCAGCAAGAACATTCTCACGATTGCACTCCAAAAGGCACAGAGCGCCGTCCAGCTCGACAGCGCCAACAACGTGCCCGACGCGATCGCGGCCTACAAGCAGGCGGTGAGGCTGCTGGAGGAGGTCATGGAGAGGATCGCTCCGAGGAACGGCAAGCGGTCGAGACCGAGTAGGGAGGAAGAGAGGAGGAGGCTCAAGGTTATTCACGATACGTATGCGGATCGGATCAGATTGTTGTCGATGATCTATTCTCCGGATCCTGATGAAGAGGAAAGGGATACAAGTTACAGCGGACATCAGCACATCGGGTCCAGCAAAGCAGATTGGCTGGATAGGGTGAGGGACGATAGTCAGGAGGAGTCGGCTGTGACGCCGAGGATGAGGGAGGAGAACCTAGACGAAGGAGTGCAGAGATCACCGAGAGAGGACAGCAAGAGCTTCTTGTCCATGACTCCAGTGGCGACTGCATTCCAGGCGACGTCGCCTCAGCCAGATGCTGGTGCTGCGTCGTCGGCAGGCCAGATCCGCCATCCGTTCCCGAAATCGCCGCCCCCGCCCATGCAGAACAGGCCGCTGTCACCGCTTTCCCCCGCCCTCAACACGTCTCCGCGCCGACGACTACGCGAACACGCCCGACCTGGTTCAAGGGACTCGCATGGTAGTCGTGCGTCCGTTTCGCTTTCGATTGCGGACGAACAGGAAGCGCAAGACCATCGGTTGCCACCTCCTGCGATCGCAGAAGAGATGCTCAGAATCTCGGTCGAGGATTCGGCGGCGAGCGTCGGTGGAAAGAGGCTGTCTTCAAACACGAAGAAGGAACGCCTGTCGCAGATCCGAGGCGAGCAGGCGGCGCAGCAGCACGTTCGGAGCGGATCGGATGACTCGTACAAGAGCTCCACTGCCAGGTTGAAGCCCTCGAGCCATCTGCCGCAACGCGTGTTTGGGTTGGATGACGAGGTGCGCACGCCGTCTACGCCGTACTTTGATGCGACGGGCGAGGTGGCGACCGCTCCGGACAACACAAGGTCCGGAGAGCAGGCCGTGCGACAACGCAATCTGTCGATGACTTCGGCGCCCAAGACACCGTCGGAGGCCGTGGCTACGGAGCGCGCAGCGGAGAAGCCGGTCAGGATGAATCTGGCGCAACGTGCTCGTGCGCTCAGCTTCAAGGGTCCGTTGCTGCGGCAGAAGGCGTCGATGCCTTCGCTCGGTGATCGCAAGAGGGACGATGCCGGTGAGGCTGCGAACGTGCCTGCTCTTCCTACGCGTCGACCCGGGTCTGCCGATTCCACCTCGATCGAGCCTCAGAAAGACCACCCTACGCCTTGGGATCTGGAGCATGGCTCCACCACCGCTGTCCGCCCAGCGTCCAACCGACCCCGCGCATCGACCGCCTCGGCGCTCGTCAGCGCCTCCACTTCCGCCGGTACCATCAGCCAACGTCGCAAGAACGACCGAGCCGTCCAAGGCCTTTCCGACGAACTGGAGCAGCTGGGAATGATGGAGGAGGCGGCTCACAAGACGACGAGCTCGACGATCCGGCAGAGGTCGAATTCGCAACCCGGATCGAGGAGGCCTTCGATCCCGGCGGCGTTCGTTGCGGCGAACGCGGGTGCTTCGGGCGGGATGTTGCCGGCGACGCTGAGCGTTGAGAAGCTGCCGCCTCCTGTACCGAACCTGGCGAGGACGCTGTCTGCGCTGGAGCTGAAGAAGGCGGGGGACGGACAGACGACGTTTGGGAGAGCGGGCGGGGTGGACGCTTCGTTTGCTACGAGCGGTGCTGGCGATGTGTCGGTTTCGTCGTTGGCTATGCCGCTGCCTAGGCCGTTGGTGAAAGACGCGTCCGACTCGACGACGACGACAAAGGACTTTTTGATCACCGACATCTTTCCGTCGGGTCTGCCGTCGCTCGCGGCCGGTGCACCGTCGTACGCCTCTGCCAACGTCCGGTCGCTTGCACCGCTTCCATCGCTACCCGCCATCCCCACGCATGCGCTGCTCAAACCGTTTGGCATCATGGATCAGCTGCGACAATCCATCATCTCCGGTGCGCACATCACTGAACGACTGTACCTCTCTCGCGCCGCGTGGCGTCAGGCCGGCGTCAAACTCGTTTCGGTCGAGACCAAGTTGCGGGCGATCGAGGTGTTGCTGACTGGGCTGGATACGGTAGAGAAGGTCGGGGAGGCGCTGCTGATGCCGTTGGGTAGTGGGGCAGGGTTGGAGACGTCGAACGCGAGCCGGTTTGTCAAGTGTCTCGATGAGTGGGAGGTGGTGCTGGTGGAGGTGCAGGGTACGTTGAGTCGGAAACTGCCGTTTTTGGAGGGTGTCAAGGACGGCAGTGTGGGTGGTGCTGCAGGTGGGACGGGGAAGAGCAAGTTTGCGAGCAGGTTCACGCGCGGGTTGGACAGAATGACGGGCGGGGGAGGACAGGCGAAGACGGTGGATTCGAGCAGCATCGGTGCGTACGTGGATGCACTCATGCGCTTGTTCGGCAAAGCGGGTGTGCTGGGCAAGCACATCAAGTGGTTGCTGATCGCGGATGGGTTCGGTGCGCCGCTCAGCCCGACCACGCCCAAGACCGCTCTCAGCTTCGGCGACACGCCCGTCCCCTCCCCCACCACGGCGGTCGGAATAGCACATTCCAACCGAACAGCCTACAGCGCTCTACCGCCTGCGCTGAGGAGCGTTCTGCAGAACAAGCTGGGCAAGAGCTCCGAGTTTTTCGGTAGGGTGGTGCTGGCGTGGGTGCTGCAGGATGTGAGCGTGCTGTTGGAGAAAGGAGTTGCTGGAGCAGGAGGAGCGGGAGGTGGCGGGAAGAGGGGAAGTGCGGGGGCGAGTGGCTTGTTCGATTGATCGTGCAATGCAGCCACGTTGAGAGTCGATCGAGGTGTGTTTGCGTGTGATCTATGGTGGACAGCAATGTGAGCGTGGTTCTGAGCAGGTCGAGTGTCGACGAGGACCACTGAAAATGCTTTCGTCAATGTTTCTGCTCGTAAGCAGACGCTCAACACCGCATATCACACTCGCTCGAGCGGTTTCTTTGGTCGGAAGATGTTCCTTTTTACACACAAGGCTCGTCAACTACACCTGCTATCTCAGCCACCGCCCACTCACCCGCATCGTCTCAACAACCATTCCCGCACACCACACGAACAAAGATTTCCCAAAAGCTCGTATTCAAACATCGTTAAGGGTGAAAATCAAGACATGAAGAAGACGAAAGGTATGAGAATCGTCTTGCAAGTCAGAAGAGTAAGGAGGGATGAAAAGCCGATATGGGTATGAACAAGGATACAGCTGTGTGGATGAAGAGCTAGAAAAGTATCGAACTGGTGGAGCGGCCGAAAGCAAGATGGCGCTTCGGAACGAAGAACAAGTAAAAAGAGAGGGGCAAATTAGAGCAACTGTTCCGCGTGAACGAGAGAATGTCGGCTCTGAGCCTGGTCGTACAGTCGAGGCTCATCCGATCATGATCAGATTCGCCGATTAGTAGTCGTCATCTCGGCCAGTGCAGCACGAAATGATGTAAGGAACGATGGAAAGGGCCACGGCAGCAAAGGCGGCCCAGGTGATCCAAAGGGCGTTTCCGTAGTGAACAACGACACCGTACTGTGCGTTGTTGACCGAGGCCTTGGCCTTGACGTAGATGGCTGTCAACAGGGCTGCACCGACACCGAGAGCGAGGGCCGAGAGGAGAGCGATGAAAGCGGCGCCAAGGAATGCGAAACGGTGCGAAAGCAGACCAGCGATCCAGGCGACCAGAGCCAAGCACGAGCCGATGAAGATCAAGTACATGGCAGGCTTGGAAAAGTCACCGAGGTACTTGGAGTCACGGAAGGTGCTGGCAGGCAGGAAGTTCTGGATCGTCTGGCGCGCATCCTGAGGAGCGTCCGAGAGGATAGCATCGACGGGAAGGAATTCGAAACCGAAGTTGCGCTTAGTGCAAGCTCGTTGGCTGCCAGACTCCTGGCCTGCACAGTAGTTGTAGAGACCCCACTGGTAGTCGTCCTTGAGACCGTTACCCTGACCGACGGGCGAGGACTGGCTGGAAGCGTAGAGGTTGCCGATCGACTGGCCGTTTCGTGAAAGAGCGTCGCCGAGACCCGAAGTGTCGACCGAGACGTAGCGAATGTTGCGCGTGACAATGTTGTTGGACAGTTGACCGATGTTTGCAAACACGCAAAGGACGACAGCAGCGAAGGTGAGGAACTCGCCTACGTGGATCATAACCAGCCCACAGGTGTACCAAAGGTGTCGCGCATAGTTTCGGGTATTGATCAGTTTGTAGGTTGGCGAAGACATTCCGCAACGCACAAGGCGAGGACAGCCGAAAGCAGCGGTGAGAGAGGGAGGTGAGGATGCAGGAGGAAGGACATCATTGGGGGGTCAGCTAGTCGGGTCTCGATGGTTGATCTTATATGTCAAAGCTGGATCTGGTTTGGCAGCAAATGTGTGTTCGAGACCGTCTCGAAGAAGGAGTTAGCTCGTAGCAGTGCCCTACGCCCTGCATATCGAGCACCTCCTAACTTTGTCTACGGTGATGTTCTTCGAAGCATCCGTGCACTGATCTTTTTGGCACAAAGGCATGCAGGCCTGTGCAAAGCGCTTTCAAGCGGGGTTTGGATGCAAAGCGACCACACCTTGGCAAGGTGCGACAGATTCTGCGTTCATTCCACGTGCATGAAAGTGCACGATTGCTCCCATCCACCCTAAACCCTGCTGTGTAGCTCGAGCACGGATCGTTTTCGGATTTGAGACTTACCGAGTCCGACGCAAAGACCTCTGAACACCATTTTGGAGCTCTAACGAGAGATCGGGTGAATCCGTTCGAAGGAGAAGGGTATCGGTCGGTGGGGTATGAATCCGCTAAGTTGGGAATCGATGGATGGTCGATTGAAAGGTGGAGTGTAGGATGGCGATGCGCTCAAGCTGTGGTTGGGCGAGGGTGCCGGTGAGGGTGATGGTGTACAGAGGAAAGATGTCGAGAGAGGATGGAGTCCGGAGAGTTTTATCTGGCAAGCAGAAGGGAAGGGGAGAAGAGCGGAGCAGAGCGGATGACGGCGATGTTAGTGAGCCACAGGCGAGAGGGATGGAGAACTCGGCGGTGATTCTATGCAACCACAGACAGAGATGCATTTCACTCAGGATACAGGCCATGAATGGTTGGAGCGGCACTTGAATTGAGCGAGCGAGCGAGCGAGCTTGGCAGAGCTGCACGGTGTGTGGAAGTGTGACGTTGATGGGCGGCGGAACAGCCGTCAGAGGAACGAGGAGAGATGACGGGCATGGTAGCCATGACGAAAGAGAGCGAGGTTGCGACACAGCAGCACGCAGCAACGGAATCTAGACCTTGGACGTGGAGTGCAGCTTCTGAATCAGAGGAGGGCTCGAGACAGAAAGGTGCAGGAAACGGGCGTGTGCGTGAGGGCGTCGCCGGTGCCTTAGCTTGGCTTGGCTTGCGCTGACTCTATGACGGATTGGGCGCCGGAAAAAAAAAGTTGGATGAGCGTCGTCGGTCAGTAGATCCTCAAAGCAAGCGAGCGAGCGAGCGAGCGAGCGGAAACACGGCGAGCGATTTGGACTTATCGGAGTTTGATCTGGTGCGTGTCTCTGCATTCGCGGCAAAGGCGGGCACTGGCACTGGATCAGGCTTTGGAACGACATGAGGACCGAGACTGGATCCAGATGTGGGCGCATCTCAAAAGCGTGCTCATCCAAAAGCGGTTCTGCACTATGAATAGGATCCGTGAGCAACCGTGATGATGACGATAATGATCCACATGCTGCAGCTAAAAACCTCGCTTTCAGCCAGACACACACGCTCACTGCTCCACCTCTTTCCGAGCCTCTCGATCCTGTGTCGCCTCTTTTGGTTCACGTCAAGCCAAGACACGCTGCAGCGAGCTGCACGACTCGCATGAGGCGATGAAAAATACACAAACAGAAAAGCGGCAGTTGGTCAGTCTGTCCTGCAAGCTGTCGCGGCTTGTTTTACCCTGCTTGACTGCAGTAGGGACTCAACCGTGTAACATAGTAGATCCACAGTCAACGTTTGCAACATGTCAATTCTGTGCAACACCCTTCCGATGCTCGAGCTGCTAGAGAAAGCTTCGAACCTCGATAATTCTGCGTGTCCTTGCCTTGGGTCATGACACGGCTCTGAGCTGAACAAGACCGACAGTGAGCAGTAAGTAAAGATGCGATTACTCTACCGTCTTGCCGAAGAGGGTCTGCGGTGTCGAAAGGAGCAATCATGGTCAAGCCGGTGCGAGCCAAAAGTCCTAAATTTGGAAATGCTCGCCATTAGCGGGTCTGTCGCGATTGACCGCAGCTACTCACTACACACAGTTGCTGGCCGACGTCATTGTACCCGTCCAATCGTCGCTTCTCTCGCCCTGGTAAAAAGCGGGGTGTGTCAAGCACTCGGTTGCGCTCGCGAAAGGAAGCACACCTGGGGCTCAATCTTGCGACTCTGCGATCCCTTCCGCCGCCTCATAGCTGATACCATGCCCATCAGAGCCGATCGAACGTCAGGGTCGAACTCTCGACGATCCTCCAACTGGACCACAGCATGAAGCTTCGGCGTGGGATCTGTCGTCATCCTGCAGTCAGGCGACTTTTCCGTCATCGTACCACTTCGTTAGGTCTAACATTTCATTTTCGCGAATGAACTGCCCATCTCCCGATTTCAATTGTTTCATGTCGAGCGCAATCTGGTGGGAAATCAATTGAAATTCTGGAGCGCGGATGCAGGCGCAAATGCAATCTTCGGCAGCAGTGCAGGGGTGCGCAATTCTGTCAACTCGAAGGGTTTTCCATGAGCTCTTGTCGTAATCTCATCGCCGTTGCCATTCATCATCGATCTTCCCATCTCGCCTGCTCTCTGCCTTGCTCGATATTCCTCGATACGGAAGCTCCGTGTAGACGCACGCGACAAGTCAGGCTCTGGTACAAGCACACAGGTACTCCTGCTGTTGAGACTGGGCTCTGTGTTCAATTCCGTCGATAGGGGCCATCGGGAAGCGACCGTCAACTGCTCGACAGCAGATTTGTCTAGGCAGCAACCATGTCATCTCCGCAGCAGCATTACTACGGCTCCTTGTCCAGCGGTCGTGCCATCTCGCCACCTCCCGAGAGCCGTCCACCCCTCGACACCCACCGCGGCAGCACTTCAGGCGATCATCAGCTTCAGCAGGATCTCGATGCTGCCAGGCAGATGAGCAAGGCGCGTGGCGCACAGGATCCTAGTCCGCCCAGGGCCAGCTTCTCAGACGATCAGGCCGAACCATACTTCCACGAAGGTCTCAACAGAAGCCCAGCTGCCGTTCCTGTGCGCGCTCCAGCTCCTCCCTCCTCAGCTGCCGCACGCTTTTACCAGCACAATCGCAACGGCTCCAATACCAGTCTCGACAGTCAACACCACTTCATCGACCACCGTCACCAGGCCCACTCGCTCAGCAACGTGCACTCCCCCTCCGCCCTCCGCGGCCGCTCAGCTCTGTCGCGTACACCCATGCGCAGTCCCAACGTCTACTTCCCTTCGGGCCGAACCAACGAACACGCACTCATCGACGACCAGGACGATGACATCGACGCCGATGCCTCCCACGCCTCTCGTGGCCTTGAGCATCTCCGACGCACCAGCCACCAGTCTCATCTGTCTTCGCCAGGCTACGATGCACACGACGACGACCCCGCTGCACCACCCCGTCTTCGACGTGATTCCACCGCCGAGGATGACGTTTGCTTTCCCATGCACGACTCCGAGTCTCGTCCTCGAGAAACTCACCCGGAACACTTGCTAGACGAGGTCCGCGATGTCTACAATTCTCGCACCGACAACGGTCACGTACCACTCGGCTACCCTTTCACCTTTGATCTTGGCGCACTCGAAGAATTTGCCTCGGAGGAACGCGAACGCATCGGCATGTCGTCTTCCTGGAACGCTGCTAGTCCACCAGGCCAATCTGGACTTCGTCAGCGTGGTACTGCGGCTCAAAAGGTTTCGGCACCCGGCTACGGTGTGTCGCCCGACAGCGACGATGCTACCTTTTACAGCCGCCGTCCACGCAAGCTGAGCAACTCGGCCGGCGCCTTTGGCAGCAGCAAGTATCAGCGCAAGCTCGCCCTCTTCGAAGGTGGTGGAAGTGCTCCGCCGCCCGTAGCTGGTGCCGCTGCATCTTCTAGCATCATGGGCGGAGGAATCGCCGCTGCTGACGGCGAAGCAAGGCGATCCATGGACGTCAACACTCCGCTGTTGGACAATGACACGCTTCCTTCCTACCACGGCGCCAACGGGGGGTCCCGTATGCACATGTCGCACTCGCAGAGTGGCATGGGCCCAACAACCCCCGGCGCTGGCGGTATGGGACGCGCACGATCTCAAACAGGCGCACTCAGCAGCCGCGGCGAAAAACCGTACCGTTTCACGTTCTACTCGAACGCCCTGCCCTCCACCATCCACGCGCGTAATCTCTCTGAACTGCCCGCCGAAGGTCAGAGCTTCGAAGAGCTTTTCAGCGGTCGCGAAAAGAGCGCAGACCAGTCGCCTCCCACAGAGGGCAGTCAGAGTCGCAACGCCAGCCGCGCTCCGACCATCAACGCAGCCACTGCGCGCATGTCGTCGCTGGGTCAGACGCTCGGTCGCATGGAAGGCACCACTGCACCGCCCACCGGATCCAACACGCCCACCCACGCCGGCGATGTAATGAGCGGTCTCAGCGCCAGCCGCACCAAGGCGCTTCCCGGTGGCGGAATCCGCATGGATCCCGATCCGGAAGCCAACACCTGGTGGCTAGACGTGCTCTCGCCCACTGATCAGGAGATGAAACTCCTCAGCCGCGTCTTTGGCATCCATCCTCTTACCACCGAAGATATTCTCATGGAAGAGACACGTGAGAAGATCGAGCTTTTCCGCAACTACTACCTTGTCTGTTTCCGCTCCTTCGACCAGGATCCGTACAGCCCTACCTACCTCGAACCGCTCAACATGTACATCATCGTCTTCCGTGAAGGCACGCTCTCCTTCCACTTCCGCGGTACGCCGCATCCGCAAAACGTGCGTCGTCGTATCAAGCAGCTCAAGGACTACATCAACGTCACCTCGGACTGGATTTCGTATGCGCTCATCGACGACATCACCGACGCCTTTGGACCGCTCATCCAGAGTATCGAGTACGAGGTAGACTCGATCGACGAACTCGTGCTCATCCTCAAGGAGGCCGAACAGTCGGACATGCTTAGGCGCATCGGTACGTGTCGTAAGAAGGTCATGGGTCTGCTTCGACTCATGGGCAACAAGGCCGATGTCGTCAAGGGACTCGCCAAGCGATGCAACGAAAACTGGTCCGTGGCACCCAAGTCCGACATCGGACTCTACCTCTCGGACATCCAGGACCATCTGATCACCATGACGCAGAACTTGAACCACTACGAAAAGATTCTCTCGCGCTCTCACTCGAACTACCTCGCCCAGATCTCGATCGAGATGACCGACGCCAACAACCAGATCAACGACGTTCTGTCCAAGCTGACTGCGCTGGGTACGGTCATTGTTCCGATGAACGTGATCACGGGTCTTTGGGGTATGAATGTCAATGTGCCGGGACAGGGGGTGGAGAATCTGAGGTGGTTTGCGGGTATTTGTTCCGTGATGGTGGTGATTGCGGTTTCGGGGTATATTGCTGCGACGCGGTATTTGGAGCGATCGCATTGAACGGAGTTGGTGTAACGTACGTTTGTCAGGGATTTGGGTTACAATGCATCTTTTGAACTTCCATCGTGGTTTCCACGCGAATGTGTGTATGGTACAGGGGGTTGGAAACGGACTATAGAGTGGCTCGCTGTCGGTCTGGTTCATCGTCTGTCTCGAAGGGTCTCCACCGCACTCTGATCGTGTCTCCCTTTTTGAAGCCTCCGTACCTCTCCTCCTCCTTCGTTTGCTTCATTGGAAGAGGAATGGCGTACATGCCAAAGCACGGACCGGCTCTTCCATTTCCACCTTCCACGCCAGCGACCTTTTTGACCCGCATGCGACTTCTGTTCAACAGCTTCAGTGGGACGCTCGGATCCTTTTCCGCAGAGATGGGATCTACAGCTGTCAGGAGACATCGTTGACACCTTGCCACCAGCTGGAGTATCGCCTTGACCGAGGATTCGTGAGATGAGGTGGGGAGGATCCATATTCTTTCCCAGGAGTCTTCGCTGAACGCCGGGAGGTCGCCGTTTCCTTTGATGACGATGTTCGGTCGGAAGCGAGCCATGTTCAACGCCTCGGGGGAGGACCATTTTGTCGCATCGATGCCAGTGATGCGTCGACCACCACGTCCGTCGCTGTCGGAAGATGAAAGCGCGGAGGACAGTTGAGAGCGGACAAATTCGAGCGATTCCTGCGAGGCGACGAGGAGCGGGTATTCGTCTTGGAACTCTATGCCGCGCTTCCGATGGAGTTCGGAACGGTCGTTGCTTGACCAGAGAGAGGAGTCGGTGGGTGGTTTGAAGATGGGGAAAGCGTCGCGGGTGGTGGTGGAGGTAGTGTCAAAGTGTAGGAGGAGCGCAGGATAGCCGAGGAATCGACTGAGCCATTCGCTTGGGGTGGACTTGCAGTCGCTTCCATCTGGCAAAGCGGCGACGCGTCCATCTGCATAGTCGCCGTACATCTCCATGCCAACGATTTCTTTCCAGCTCTTCAGTTGAGACGCTGTGGGACGAAGGGTTGTTTCTGAAGCACCCAGACCTTTTGCTGTTTCTTGTTTCTGTCCTACCTCGCTCAATCTCAGCATAAGCGTGTTTGACTCTTCGTTGATCACCGGCTGAATCAAAGTCAACCTTGGCTCCTCCCTCAAGCTCAACCTCTCCACTTTGCCTCCCTCTCTCTCACTCCTTCGGACGACGATCCAGCGTCTGTCCAAATCGAAACCCTGCTCCGTCAAGCGGATGCTTGTCACCGAAACGCCAGCGCAAGACTTGATCGGATAGACAAAGATCTCTGCTACCTCGCCGAGCGTCTCGTCCTTCGCCCCCGGCCCCGAAGATGCGGCCGATGATCCGTAGGTATGATCGGACTTCTTGGTCGGGAACAGGTAGGTCCTCAGCAGGCCTATACCTATGAGAAGGCAGAAGACGTAGATCTGGGCCGTCACTCGGTTGGGTGACGTCGCTTCTCGCCATCGCTGTTGCAGCGATTCGGATGGATCAAGAAAGGGTATTTTGGCCGGCATCGTTGATTGTTGAGCTCGCCCGTGGTGGCACCTCTCGTTGATGGTCGAGAAGGATGCGCAGCAGAAGGAGCTGGATGTGTTGGGAAGCTTTCGAGATCGATGGCTTGCCGAAATCCGAAAGATCGTAGACCCGTGACCGAGTCGAAAGCAAAGTCAGATAGCCGAGAAGGAGAAACACAAAAAAAGTGACACACCGAGGAAGGACAGTGGCCCAAGCGTGACGTCTGCGTGCGGCCTAGTGCGGCTTTTTGACGCTTTCCCCGCACTTTTCGCACCTGTCAAGCACCCCATTCGCGGCATGACGGCTAGGTTGGATTGCCGATATCCCGTCAACATGCTCTACAGACATATTCCGGCAAAAGGCACGCCAAGAAACGGACAGAGACCTCTTGTCTAGATCACGGCAAGCTACCGCATCTGCCTGGATACTTAAGTTGATGCCGGTACCACACCCACCTTTTCTTCCGTTCCATCAACCTGTCTTTTAGCCAATTATAAGCAACCTCTCTTCATCATGGCACAAGCACATCCTCAAGTAAAGATCCACCGTCAATCGATCGACAGCAGGGAAGACTTCTGGCTCAAAGCTTCTCGGTCCATCCACTGGCATAAGCCGCCCACTGTCGCCTACGGTCCCACTTCCAACCGCGATGCTGCCTACTTGGATCCTCAGGGTCACACCTGGTTCCCAGATGCGCAGCTCAACACCTGCTACTCTGCCTTAGATCGTCACGTTTACGCACCCGCCCATGCATCCGCTACGCCCGTGACAGTGTCGCCGGACACGCCGCACCTCGCACTCGCACCAACCGCACACAGGGTCGCCTTCCACCATGTCTCGCCGCTCTCCTTCCAAACCCAGCAGTCGCGTTCGATCACCTACTTTGAGCTCCTCCAACAGGTTCAGATCGTAGCAGGTATACTCAGACACAAGGGCGTGGGTAAGGGAGACGCGGTGGTCATCTACATGCCGATGGTTCCCGAGACTTCGATCGCCATGTTGGCGTGTGCCAGGATCGGAGCTGTGCACTCGGTGGTGTTTGGCGGATTTGCACCCAAGGAGCTGGCGAAGAGGATCCAGGACTCGGGCTGCAAGATGGTCATTGCCGCTAGTTGCGGACTGGAGCCCAAGGGTCCCGTCGACTACAAGCCGTTGGTGGACGAGGCGTTGAAGGTGTCGGAGCACAAGCCGCAATCCGGATTGCTGTTTTTGCGACGACACACGATCAAAGGCCACACCCCCGCCCAATGCGCACGCGACGGAGGAAACGGTCCTGCCAATCTTCCCGAATGGGACTGGGAGGTCGAAGCCAGGCTGACCGCTGACAAGGTCGCCGGCCGTTCGCCGTGCTGGGAATGCGTTCCCGTCGCGAGCGAAGACCCCATCTACACCATCTACACCAGCGGCACCACCGGTGCTCCCAAGGGAGTCTGTCGTCTCTCCGCCGGTCACATCGTTCAGCTCCGCTACTCGATCGAACATATGTTCGGCATGACCCCTAACGACGTCATGTTCTGCGCCTCCGATCTCGGCTGGGTCGTAGGCCACTCCTACATCCACTACGGACCCCTGCTTCTGGGTGCGACTTCCATCATCTTTGAAGGCAAGCCTGTCATCCCCGACGCGGGCATCTGGTGGAGGATCTGCTCGCAGTACAAGGTGACGCAGATGTTCTGCGCGCCCACCGCATTGAGGGCGATCGTGGGACAGGATGCAGATGCCAAATTGATGCGTGCTCCCGGTGTGGACCTAAGGAGTTTGAGGACACTGTTCTTGGCTGGAGAGAGGAGCGAGCCTCAGATCGTGGCCAAGTTTGAGAGGTTGTTGAAGGAGCTGGCTGCACCTGGTGCGCAGACGAACGACAATTTCTGGTCGAGCGAGTCGGGTTCGCCCATCACAGGGTTGATGCTGTCTTCCGCATTCGGTCCCTTGCCCGCTCGTCCGGGAAGTGCAGGTCTTCCGATGCCAGGTATGGACGTACGAATCGTCGACGATGACGGTCGTGAGGTGTCCCGTGGCGAGATGGGAAATCTCGTCCTAGCCCCACCTCTCGCACCCTCCTTCCTCGGCGGTCTATGGCGCAACCCCGACCGATTTTTCGAGTCCTACTTCTCCACCTTCGCCTCCAAAGGTGGCTGGTTCGAGACCGGCGATCAAGGCGTCATCGACCCGGACGGCTACGTCTCCATCCTCGCCCGTTCCGACGATATCATCAACGTCTCCGCCCATCGTCTTGGAACAGGTCTCATCGAACAGGTCGTCACTTCCCACCCAGACGTCATCGAGTGCGCTGTCGTCGGCGCTCCCGACAAACTCAAGGGACAATCCCCCTTCGCCATCGTCGTCGCTCACAGCCGCATCGCTGCTGCTACGGGAGACGAGTCGCACAACTCTGCTCAGAGCGATTCGGCGAAGCAGATGCTGAAGAGCATCAACGATCACGTGAGGAAGGAGATGGGTCCGATCGCTCAGTTGAGCGGATTGATCGAGGCTCAGAAGCTGCCAAAGACGAGGAGTGGCAAAACGCTCAGGAGGAGTTTGAGGCAGGCCGTGGAGAACGCTGCTGCCGGCAAGAGGAGTGAGTACAATATTTTGGCGGATATCAGTCTGTTGTGAAGGACTGTTGACAGCTGACCCGACTTTCTTACTGCAACTCTTCTTTTGCACCTTCTCTCTTGTCGATATCTCGACGTTACAGATGCACCTGTCGAGTAAGTTTTAGACCCCGTGAATCCCCAACCCGAAAGATGGGTGGCAACGGTGGTATTGGTGATCGCCAAGAGGGGCTTGTACCACAGTGTCGCGCCAGCTGGACGTCGCAAAATCTCGCTCCGGCAGCTTTTTGATTGCCGGAGGTGCGGATTTACGTGGGCATTTTTTTTTCTTTTTGCCCCGCAAGCCACACGCGCACGGCCCAGTCTTTCCGCTCGCCCCACTTCCGACCTGTCTTGAACGACTTGCTGACTGACCCATCACCGATATCCTGTTTTCTTTTTCACCACCAGCTTCCCTCCCACCATCGAAGACAAGGACGTCATCGATATCGTGCGCAAAGCCATCGAGCAATACTTTGACGCAGTTGACGGAAACGCTTCCGCAGATACTGCCCCTCTCAGCGATACGTCTGGCTCAGCCACATCTGCTTCACAGTCAGTTCCAGCCGCAGCTCTGCCTGCCAACGTCAAATCCAACATGAAGGCTCTCCAACTCGAGCGTCCGGAAGGAGAACCCAAGAAGGGCCAGCGCAACGTTGCTGCGGTGCGAGATGTTCCCACGCCCAAGCCTAGCTCGAACCAGGTCCTGGTCAAGATCCTCGCTGCAGGCTTCAACCGTCGTGACGAGTGGTCCATGGTCGGTGCTTACCCGGGTCTGATCTTCGGCAATGCAACGATGGGCTGCGACGGTGCAGGCAAGATCGTCGCTCCCGAAGGCTTCGACTTGCCCAACGAGCATCCTGACAAAGTCGTCCTCCTCGTTCCAACCCGTGGTTGGGAGACCGACGTCCACGGACCTGAAGCCGAGCTTCCCGGTCTGTCCGACGAACAGCGCACCAACGGTCTTGGCGGTAAAGGGTTCGGGATCCTCGGCGCGACGAAACCGACGAATGGAGTTGGAACCTTTGCCGAATACGTAGCCGTCGAAAAGGACCAGCTTGTAGCGGCACCCAAGCACCTCACACCCGAACAAGCGGCGACCCTTCCCTGTGCTTCCGTCACCGCCTACCGCGCCTTGTTCACCAAAGCACAGGTGAAAAAGGGAGAGAACGTCTTGCTCACAGGTGTAGGTGGAGGTGTCGCCATGCTGGCCTTACAGATGGCGGTAGCAGCCGGTGCCAACGTGTACGTCACCGGCGGTTCGGCCGAAAAGATCTCTCGCGCAGTCAAGCTAGGCGCCAAAGCAGGTGCCGAGTACAAGGACAAAGATTGGCCGACCAAGATCCTCAAACTCCTGCCACGCTCTCGACCGTACCTCGACAGTGTGATCGACAGCGCGGGAGGCGAGATCGCAGTGCAAGCGCAGAAAGCCGGCTTGAAGGCAGGCGGTAGAGTCGTCATCTTCGGCATGACAGCTGCGCCCAAATTGTCATTTACGATGCGTGAGGTGCTCAAGAACATCGAGGTGCTGGGCTCGACTATGGGCAGCAAGAGGGAGTTCGCCGAGAGCATCAGGTTTGTAGAGAAGCACAGGATCGTGCCGGTTGTGGATACGGTGTTGGATGGGCTGGAGCAGGCGGAGAGGGGGTTCGAGCTGTTGAGCGAGGCGGATAAGAGGTCTGGGGGTAAGGTGGTGATCAGGGTGAGCGAGGTGGAGGGGGCGAGGAGTAAGTTGTGAGAGAGGGTTGATCTGGAATGAAAAGGATTCGGTCGAGTGGCTGAACAATGTGTGCGTGTGTGTAAGCGAGGGTTCAGAAGAGCCGGATTAGAGCGACGTGAGCTTTGTCAATCACAGACGTGTCCTTGAAAGCTTGAATCTCGCGTGGCTTTGTTCAGTGATGGTATTGATCGATACAAGTACATCTTCATCGTCTCACTTGGACTTTGGTGGAGGAGGAGGAGGCCCCATGCTCCCCGGCAAGTTCGCCTTTGCGCCGGGCAACAAAGAAAACTGACCCTGTTTGAACCACTTTGCCTCCTCCCCCTTCCCACCCTGTCTCCTACTCGGATCGACCAGCTCGATCCCCTGCACCGGCGTAAACGACAACGACGAAGCCGTGCCATCCACCGCTCCACCTACCGAGCTCAACCCGTTCGCGGCACTCGCTTTCAGCGCAGCCAACCTGTTCTTGTTCGCCTTGCTCATCTTTCTCTTGCTCCTCTCCTCCACGCCCTGCGCCCTGATCTTGCCCGACGAAGAGCTGTGGATCATTCCCAGCCCCACACTCTCGTCATAGCCCATGGCTTCCTCTTCCTGCTTTCCGAACTCCATACGGTTCTGCATCTTTCGCAACTCGGTCATCCCATTCCTCTCCTTTGCCTTACGCGCTTTTCGTCCTCCACGACGTTTCTTCCCCCCACTACCTTCCTTGGGGATGGGCAGCACCTTTTCCAGCTTCTGCGGTGGTGGTTCGAGAAGCTTCTCGATCTTTTTGGAAAGCTCTTGGTGGAGTTTCATGCCGTAGGAGCCGTCGCGACTGGTGGTTTTGCCGGCATCCATACGTGCGGCGAGGAGCGCTTTGGCAGAGACCATCCGGATGGCCTGTCGCTTGTAGTCGTCGGGGGTGTTGGCGATGAGGTCGCTCTGCACGATGAAGCCGGTGGAACGGGAGGAACCGCCGTGGGCGGACGAGAGGCCGACGGCGTGTTTCTTGGCTGCACCAAGCAGGTGGAGGTTGCAAGCGGGAATCTTGGATAGGCCGTCCAGTCCTCCAGCGACACCGAGCAGCTTCGTGGCTGTACGCGTTCCGACGACGGCGGACAGGTTGGGTGCGACAAAGGCCATTCTGGATTCGACGTACGCGAGGATGCGCGAGCGCACGGATTCGAGTTCAAAGACCATTTCTAGAGCTTCTCGAACAGCTGACCACTCTGATGGCGGTAAAGGTTGTCCTGATGTTGTGGATGCGGTCATGCTGATCACCACAACAGTGCCGTGTGGTAGGATGCCCTCGAGAGAAGACGTTGGGATCGTGTCGTCGTTGCCGATCGCTTTGACTGCCTGGATGTAATCCCAAGGGTTCGGGATGAGCGTCTCGAGTTCGGGGAAGCGAGGCGAGTAGTGGTCGCGGATGAATTTGTGTACGACCATCACCTCGTTGTCGACGTCAACAGCGATGTTGTTGGCTTTGACGATGAGGTGATATTCTGGCGAGTCTTCGAGTACTCCCGCGAGATCTGGCTCAGGGAGAGCCATAAAGTGGTTGATCTGCTCGAGGACGCTCTTGACTTTGCTGCCGCTGTTGAGCAGTGAGGCGACGCTACGCACGCTTGTTGTTTTGGTGAAGTCGAGATCGTCCACATCGGCCTGATCTCGCTCTGCGGCAGGCTGTACAGCGTTGCGACCGAGCGGGACGCCGTTGCCGTTGGTACCGCCTTGCCCTGCTGTCGAAGATGATGCTGTAGAGCCCGCCGCGTTTCCATCTATCATTTCATCGTCTTCGTCGTCGTCGTCGTCACTGCCATCTTCGAGATCATCGAGATCTGCGTCGTCGATGTGAGGGCGCTTGTTGTCGGGCGCTCTCCCGTCTTCCTCGGGATAAGCTCGCTTGCGGCTTTCGGTGCCGTCTCCATTGGTGGATGGATGAGCTTCGTCTTGTTCTTGAAGACCGACCCCCTGTTCGTCGTCCGAGCCAAAGTCGGCGAGCAGGTCGTCGGCGAAGCTGGCCATGATCGGAGGTCGCTCACTAGGGCCTTCAGCGCCGTGAATCGCTGCGCGTTCTTCCTCGACGTATGATGATGGTGATGGTAGCTGCGGAACGTGGGAACCAAGGGTCCGAGGTCAATTGAGTGGCACGCGGCGACTTTTCTGGCAGAAATTCAAGACTTCGCGGCTGCTTCAGGCTGCGAATGTGGAGAAAATGCGAGACGCTAGAGCTTCTCGCCGAGATCCGAGCCGTCCACCCAAAAAAGTCGACTCAGCCACCTGTCAGAACGCTCATACACCTTCACTTCTCACACAAACTCAACTCCTACTGAAGCAATCAAAGCTCTATAGAGGATACGTAGCTTGGATTCGTACCAGTCCTCAACATGGCGCAGCTTCCACCGTACCTGGTGCGGATCGTCGCCTCCATGCTGACACAGGCGCTCACACGGAAACTCGCCACCTCGCCATTGTTCTTCCGAATCGTCGACCGCATGATCCACGAGATCGACCACATGCCCCATCGCGTGCAGGGCCGACAAGTTCCAACGTATCAACCTCCACTAGGAATGCGAGAAAGCGAATGGGACCAAGACCATGGGGAGCCGCACAACGAGCCTTCACCCTTTCCCGTGTCTTTCAAAGGCAGTCAAACCGGTTCGGCGGCCGCAGAAGGAGATCCAAATAGACCAAAGATGAGCTTTGAAGAGGCTCAAAGACAGAGAGCGAGAATGTCGTATCAGCAGTCACAGAGGCTAGCGCAAAGGGATCGAGCTAGGGCGCAGGAACAGCAGAAGACGGCAAAAGACGATTCCGTATCGAAGGAGTTGAAGGAGCTACAGGACAAGTTGCGCGAGTTGCGGAACGGCAAACCAGGCTCGTCATAGCATATCCGACTGTCTTGCAACCACACACGCTTGACAAAGGCTCGCGGGCAACCAACCAGACCCATCCATTTCTGCAGACTCGCACACTATACCCTCAGGCTGCTACATGCTTCTAATCTTCATCTCGTTAAAACGATCATCTGTCGTCAAGCACGACGCAAGGCCCTCATTTGTACTTATAGGAGTCTCTCGCAAGCATCGCATACATCCTGTCAGGCTTGCAGTGAGTGTCTCTTGTACTCTTGCATACTCGTGTTGGCAGTGGCGAAACGCTGGGTCCTTTTGTCTGGTTGGACAGCAATTCCTAATGTTAGGTTGTTAGAGTCTACACCTCTATTCGGGGCAGCCCAAGTTGCATCTACTCAGGCTTCGAGCGCCCCTTGTCCATTGCCCACGTTGTGTTGCGGTCCCAGTCACGGTGTATAGCACCTGCCGAGTGGCCAGGACAGTCCCAGCGTGCACAAGACGGAACAAACGATGTTTGGACGGTTTCGTGCGAGCCGAAACTGCGCTTCTTTGGCAATGACAGTCAAAGCAGGCCTTCGAGCGTTTCTCGACAGCATTGGTCGGTCGATATTCGCCATGCTTCAAAGTCACCGCTCAGATACACGATGCCCACAGCACGATGGAGCAAGCCTGTACACTGTTGTCTCATCTTAAGAGGTTGCGGAACGATCAGTTGGCGCGCTTCGAGTGGACGCGACTCGGTTTGCTTGCACTTTACACGACACGCGTGCATTCAATCCTGACGCGTCAAAAGTCATTTACACGTCGAGCAGTGTTTGGGCGGAAATTGCACACTTGCGAACGAGAGAAGTTCTTGTTCTCTGCGCACACGAGACGGGCACAGGCGCAGTGTCCGTTCAGAAGAGCAACCAGCAATGAGCGCGCGCCGAGTTGAAAGGACCAACACTTGCGAACGTCCAGCCTTTGTCTCGACTCGGCACTTGAACTTTGCTTTGCTCCGTCCACTGACACCAACACTGCTACCTTCATCCCGTCCTCGATCACGTCAGTCCATACAGTCACCGAATCTCACAGGCCCTCAGATAGACGCTGATCCATCTCACCGCTGAAAACGAACACAACAAGGATATTGCACCAACTTCACACCCCCTTCGGACCAACAACTTATCACAGGGAAGAATGTCGTCCTCTTCCGCAATCCCTTCCTCGCCCTTGGGCAGGATCGGTGGCCAGAGCCGGAGCGCAGACCAAGACCGCCTTGACCCCCTCGCTCTTGGCAGGTCCAACAACACAAGTGGCGTAGGCGCCAGCGCACATCGAGCCTTTACACCAAGCACATCCGAAGCCGGATCGCTCAACCTCGAGCGCCAGCTACGAGGCCAATACGAAGACGATGCAAGCACCGTGAACGGTGACGCCTCACGTCCCATGGACGAGGACACTCCTCGTCGCCCTCGTCCCCGTGCCGCTGTCGACACGCAGGACATCCCACCTGTCGTCGACGAAGTCGGTGAGCGCGTGCGTGAGGGTTTCGCACAGTTCCTCGAAAGCTTTGTTGATCAGCCCTTGTCCGGCTCGCCCGATCCGAATGGCGAAAAGGTCCAGGACCCCGTCTACATTGACCAGATTTATGCTCTGCGAGACTACAACCGCACGACGCTCTTTGTCGACTTCAGTCACATTCTACGCCACGATGAAGTGTTGGCGCGCGCCATCAGCGACCAGTACTACCGTTTCGTCCCTTACCTCCGCCGAGCACTGCTAGACCTTGTCAACACGTACGTGCCCAACTACCTCTACCTCAACGCACACGTCGCCGCCACCGCCTCTTCCGGTCTCGTCCACCGCGACTTTTCCGTCTCGTTCTACAACCTCGGCCTGGTCGCCGGCATTCGTGATCTACGCACCGACCGCGTCGGCAAGCTCGTATCCATCAGCGGTACCGTGACACGAACCAGCGAGGTCAGGCCAGAACTCCTGTATGGTGCCTTCACCTGCACCTCCTGCTCCGCAGTCGTACGCGACGTCGAGCAGCAGTTCAAGTACACCGAGCCTGTCATGTGCAGAAACCCCATTTGCCAGAACAGGAGAGAGTGGCAGCTCAACGTCGACCAAAGTCGCTTCTGCGATTGGCAAAAGGTGCGCATCCAAGAAAACGCAAACGAGATCCCCACAGGAAGCATGCCTCGCAGTCTCGACGTCATCCTCCGTTCCGAGATCGTCGAGCGTGCCAAGGCCGGCGACAAGTGCGTCTTTACGGGTACTTTCATCGTCGTGCCCGATGTCTCGCAGCTCGGCGTTCCAGGCGTCAACGCTCAGATCCAGCGAGAGGCGCAAGGCGGTCGTCCTGCTGAAGGTGTCAATGCGCAAGGTGTTTCGGGTCTCAAGAGCCTCGGTGTGCGCGATTTGACCTACAAGACGGCCTTCCTCGCATGCATGGTCCAGAGCGCCGATGCCCGAGGAGGCAACGATATCCGAGCCGACTTCACCGACGATAACGAGGACCCTGAGACGCTCATGGACTCGCTTACCGAGGCCGAGAGGGATGAGCTGGAGGCGATGGTCATGTCCGAAGACATCTACAGTCGACTCGTCCAATCCATCGCTCCCACCGTGTATGGGCACGACATTGTCAAGAAGGGCATCCTGCTCCAGCTCATGGGCGGCGTCCACAAATCCACGCGAGAAGGCATGCGCCTGCGTGGTGATATCAACGTTTGCATCGTCGGTGACCCTTCGACGAGCAAGTCGCAGTTCCTCAAGTACGTCTGTGGCTTCATGCCTCGAGCCGTCTACACCTCGGGCAAAGCCTCTACCGCTGCTGGTCTCACAGCGGCTGTCGTCAAGGACGAGGAGACGGGCGAGTTCACCATCGAGGCGGGTGCGCTCATGCTTGCAGACAACGGCATCTGTGCCATTGACGAATTCGACAAGATGGACGTGGCCGACCAAGTGGCGATTCACGAGACCATGGAACAGCAGACGATCAGTATCGCCAAAGCCGGTATCCAGGCGACGCTCAACGCACGTACGTCCATCCTCGCGGCTGCCAACCCGGTGGGAGGACGATACAACCGCAAGCAGACGCTGCGTGCCAACGTTGCCATGTCGGCGCCCATCATGTCTCGTTTCGATCTCTTCTTCGTCGTGCTGGACGAGTGCAACGAGGCGGTCGACATGAACATCGCTCAGCACATTGTCAACGTCCACCGCTTCCGCGATGCCGCCATCGACCCCGAGTTCAGCACCGAGGCGATCCAGAGGTACATCCGCTACGCACGCACCTTCCAGCCCAAGTTGACGCCCGAGGCCAGCGATGTGCTTGTGGACAAGTACCGACAGCTGCGTCAGGACGATTCGGGACCGGGCAAGAACTCGTACCGAATCACGGTGCGTCAGTTGGAGTCGATGATCCGACTCTGTGAGGCGATCGCACGTGCCAACTGTCGACACGAGATCACGCCTGCCTTTGTGCGCGAGGCTTACTCGCTGTTGCGTCAGTCGATCATTCACGTCGAGAAGGACGACATCGACTTTGACGATGAAGAAGAAATCGATCAGGCGGCACAACAAGAACGAGCCGCTACTGCTCAGCCTTCGTCTTCGCTCGGCGCGATGGACGAGGATTCGATGGATCCCAACATGCAAGAGTCGCTGGGCGGTCAGATCTCATCCTCCGGTGCACCCGGTGCCCCTGCTACGGGTGAAATGGCATCCAGCTCAGCCGCGTCCAGACGAAAGATCCGAATCACCTTTGACCGATACATGGAGATCGCCAACCTGGTGGTGCTGCGCGTCAACGAGGTGGAACGTCAGACCATGCGCGGTGTAGCTCGATCCGAGCTGGTCGATTGGTACCTCTTGCAGCGCGAGAATGAGATCGAGACGGTGGACCAGTTCGAGGAGGAGACCGAGTTGATCAAGAAGGTGTTGACAAAGTTGGTCAAGGATTCCATGCTGTTGGAGCTGCGAGAGCAGCTTGACGAGGATGGAAACCCGATCAGCAGTGTAGGCGATGCATCCGGGGCGAGTGGATCCTCGGCTGGCGATCCGGTGCTCATGGTTCACCCTCAGGTCGATATCGACAGCATCGGCGCTACCACCGCTTCTGCTTAGGGATTTGCTGTGTCTTGATAGTGATTGTACTTTTAGATTCGTTTGTTTGGTATTGTAGCTTTGTGAAACATATTCAGCTTCTGATTTCCAACAAAATCGCTCGTGTATGAGGAACCTGCTCCTGATGTGGGACTTCTAAGTTATAGGGGCCATGGCCGTGACCTCGCATCTGCGAAATCGGACCGGTTTCCTGCGCGAGAAAGCATCTGCCGAGACTGTCAGCAATCCAGGGTCCACGCTGCAATTCGAGCCAATCAGCTCATTCTTGGCTGAGTTTTCGGGCACTTGTACCCTTGCATTATTCCGATTGCGGATGGGGAATGGTAAGCTTTATTTTCCTTACCGATAGTGGCGGGGGCGGGGCTGAAGAAGGACATGCTCTTGACTCCTGTCCACCAGTCATCCATTCGACCCAGTCAACGGCAACGTTCGAACACTCGACTCAAGAAGCTATAAAGACCCCATGCAAGCGTCGTGGACTTGAGACGGAAGCTACTTGCTTCGCCTCGTCGCTCGACATCACGATCCTGCACAGCAAACCGACTAAGCAGGCCTGCACAATCTTCAACAATCGAGTCGATCATCATCAGCTCTCTTTGCCATGACTGGCGCCAACTACCACCTGCTACCTAGCAGGGAAAGCGAGGAGACATGTGTTTCCATCGATGCTGATCTCAAGGTCTCATCCGACAAACATGCCCTTCACAGTTCCATCGATGAGATCGATGATGTCCAAAGCGATGGAAAGTGTAAGAGGCCTTGGTTGTTGATGAAAGCCATCGTTTGCCTCGTGCTCGTTTCGACGACTGCCTTCGCTGCATGCTGCTTCTATCGCAGCGGCAGCCCAGCATCCGCGATTTGGACGGACCGACCCATTACGAATCGTCCCATCTCCACCAACATCGCCTCCGACTCCAACCTCGTCTTCGGTCTCGGCATCGGCGACGTCACAGGACCCATCGTCGAAGTCAACATGATGGGCTACGCATCACTTCCACAGACCAACACTGGCTTGCACATCCGACTTCGATCTCGCGCTTTCATCGTCGGATCTGCGGACGCTCCCAACTTCTCAGCCAAGCTTGCATCCAGGTTCAAGAGCTTCATCCCTACCGCCGATGGATCTGCTACGCGATGGATGTTCATCAACTCGGATATCTGCATGGGCGACACGGCTCTGCGGAAGGCTATCGTGGATCGATTGAGGCAGACATACCCGGGAGTGTATGGAGAGAGGAACATCGCATTCGTGGGAACGCATTCGCACGCCGGACCGGGAGGATTCATGCAAGCCTTGTTGCCGACATTGACGTCCAAGGGTGTCATCATGCAGAACTTTGATGCAATCGTCGAGGGGACGGTGAGGGGTGCTGCACGTGCGCATGAGGATTTCGTCGCCAGGCAAGCCAACTTGGACAGCGGCGGTAGCACTCGATTGAGTTATGGCAAGACGAGGTTGGAAGACGCACACATTCAACGTAGCCGCTATGCGTACGAGCAGAATCCGCAGCAAGAACGGGACCTCTACGATGACGAAGACCAAGACCACGACTTCAGCCTGCTCAAGTTCGAAGACGTCACCGAGGATAGAAAGGCCTCGGCAGCAGGGTTCCTGTCGTGGTACGCGGTGCACGGCACATCGCTGTACGAGAACAACACGTTGACTTCGGGTGACAACAAAGGTCTGGCTGCGCTGTTGTACGAAACAGCGGAACAGCCGGATATGCTGCCCGGTGAAAACAGCTTCGTCGCCGGATTCTCGCAGGCACTGGTCGGGGACACTTCGCCGAACACCAAGGGTGCATGGTGTGACGACGGTTCGGTGTGCGAGTACAAGCATTCGACGTGCGATAACGGCAAGGGCAAAGAGAGGGTCCAGACTTGTCACGGCAGGGGACCCGCGTGGGGTGTGGACGAGTATCTACCGACGAGTCCGACGGGAGGATATGATTGGGCGTCGAACGAGATCATTGCGAGGAAGCAGGTGGATGCTGCGAGGCAGATCATGGGACGCGAGTCCTCGACGGAGGAGCAGGGAGAATTCGAGGGGATGACCGTGTTGAGTGGACCGGTGAAGAGCGTCAAGATGAACGTCGATATGAGTCAGTACACCGTCTACCGTCCTGATGGCAGTCGTGTCAAGACGTGTCCCGCTGCGCTCGGGTACGGTTTTGCAGGCGGAACAACAGACGGTCCCGGTGCATTCGATTTCGTCCAAGGCAGCAACAAGACCGACCACCACAATCCCTTCTGGGACCTTGTCAAGGGATTCATCAAGAACCCCGGACCGGAACAGATCGAGTGCCAAGCACCGAAAGCCATCCTGTTGGACATTGGCGAGATCCACAAGCCGTACGACTGGGGACCGTCGATCGTCGAAGTTCAGATCTTGAGGGTGGGGGATCTGTTCATCCTGATCGTTCCGGGAGAGTTTACGACGATGGCGGGAAGGAGGTTGAAGAGGGTTGTCGGGGAAGCGATCAGGCGAGCTGGGTTGGTGGAGGATGGGAGGGAGCCGATGGTGCAGGTGAGTGGTCCGGCGTCGACATATGGGCACTATGTGACGACGGAAGAGGAGTACAGTGTGCAGCGGTACGAGGGTGCGAGTACGCTGTTCGGTCCGCACACGCTGGAGGCGTACATGGACGTCTTCTCGAGACGACTCGTTCCTGCGCTCAAGGAAGGAGCCCGCGATCTTCCCGTTGGACCGCAGAAAGCGTTCGACATGTCGAAGACGTGGAAGCTCAAAACAGGCGTCGTCTACGACAATCCTCCCGTCGGAAAATCGTTCGGAGACGTCCTTCAACAACCGCTCCTTTCGTACCCCCTCCCCGACAGCAATGTTTCTTCCCTGCACCCGACCACTTCATCCCTTTCCAACATCACCGTCTCGTTCGTAGCCGCCAATCCACGCAACAACCTGCGCCTCGAACAAACCTACTTTTCCATCCAACGGTTCACCCCCGAAGGAACGTGGAAGACGGAACGAATCGACGGTCACCACTCGACCACGATGCGTTGGACCAGGACGAACGAGTTCCACGGCTCGAGCGTCGTCGACATCGGATGGGACGTCGAACCGGGCACCAAGGAGGGGCTGTACAGGGTGATGTATCATGGCGATAGGAAGACGCCTTTTACGGGCAAAATTCAGCCGTTCGAAGCAGTGTCGAATGAGTTTTATCTTGTATAGCTTAGCAGGTTTCGGGATACCCATGAATCGCACATCGCTTGCAAAAGGACTCGAAAGACTGTCTTAACAAAACGCTTCACACTCAGATATACAATGTCAACGTCAAGAACAGAAATGAGATTTCACAACAAGAAGCTAGTTAAATCCTCAAAGACCACCCTTCTGAGCGCTCTCCACAGCCTTTGCAGCAGCCTCGTCGAGACCGTCGAAAGCAAAGATCTTGAGGTTGGAGTTCTTGATCAGCTCCTTTGCCTCCTTCTCGTGGGTACCCTGCAGACGCACCACGAGCGGGATGGACATGTCCAACTCCTGGGTAGCCTGAATAATTCCCTCTGCGATCTTCTTGCACGAGACGATACCACCGAAGATGTTGACAAAGATGCCCTTGACCTCCTTGGAGTTGAGCAGAAGCTCAAAAGCCTTCTTGACGGAAGCGGCGGAAGCGGTGCCACCGACATCGAGGAAGTTGGCGGGGTTGCCGCCGTTGAGTTTCAACACATCCATGGTGGCCATGGCGAGACCGGCGCCGTTGACGAGGCATCCGATGTTTCCATCGAGCTTGATGAAGTTGAGACCGTACTTGGCGGCGTCGACCTCGTCGGGGTCTTCCTGGGTGGTGTCGCGGAGCTCAAAGACGTCGGGCTGACGGAAGTCGGCGTTCTCGTCAAAGCCGAGCTTGGCATCCATGCAGAGCACCTCGCCGTCCTTGGATTCTGCGAGAGGGTTGATCTCGACCTGGGTGGCATCCTTCTCGTCAAAGAGCTTGTAGAGCTTCTGGAAGGTTTCGGCGGCCTGCTTCTCCTGCTTGGCGCCGGTGAAGCCGAGCTTCTTTGCGATACCAAGCGCATCTGCGTCGCTGAGACCCTTCTCAAAGTCGATGGGGGTGGTGATGATGGCGTCTGGGTTCTCGGCAGCAACTTCCTCGATCGACATACCACCCTGGTTCGAAGCGACCAAGACGGGAAGCTGGGTGGCACGGTCGTTGAGGACGGCGACGTAGTACTCGTGGTGTGGTGGACGGGCCTCTGCGATCATGACGGCGTTGCAAAGACGACCGCCGGCACCGGTCTGCTTGGTGATGAGCTTGTTGCCGAGCATCTGGGCAGCAAGATCGCGAGCCTCTTCGGGCGTCTTGATCATGTGAACACCGCTCTTGAGACCAGAGTCAAAGTGACCCTTACCACGACCACCTGCAAGCACCTGCGCCTTGATGACCATATCCTTACCACCGAACGACTGTGCCGCCTTGAAAGCCTCCTCGGGTGTCTTGGCAGCGACGTACTTGGGCGTGGCGATGCCGTACTTGTTCATGAGGTCCATGGAGAGGTGCTCGTGGATCGAGAGGTATCGCTTCTGAGCAGCGGCTTGGCCGCCTCGGACCATGGTCCTAGCCATGGAGGCGCGTGTGCGAAGGGCGTTGAACAGCATGATGAACGGGGAGTTGTGAGGGGATGGGAGGGGGGCAGAGAGAAAAACGAAAAGAGTCCATGATATCGGAGTCGCACAAAACAGTCGTTCGCTCGCTCGCTCGCACACACCGACATCCGAGTGAGCGGATTTGCTGGACATTCAAAGCAAAGGTGACCGAAGAGAGCACGGACGCGCTCATTTTTCTCCATGACCAACGGCCAACTCTTCCGGCAGCAACGGAAAGCTGCTCTCGGCTCATTCCGTCGAGGGTTTTCCGATTCTCTCCCTCTCTTCAAGTACAGAAATCGATCACGCAAAAAACCACGGTTCAGAACTTGGATCTCGCCCGATGAGAATTTTGCCTTCTTCGCGGAAATCGGAGTCGAGCGAGACTGAATTTTTCGACATGGACCCTCCAAAACAATCGGTACAGAGAAGAGAAGAAAATTTGGTTGGCTGTTACTCGCTGCCCTCACCCTTCACCTTCTGAGTCTGTCATTCTTTCTCCACCATCAGTCGACAACCCAAGGCTTCAAACTACATCATACACCATGGCAGCAGGAAAATTCGGACCTAGTGGGTCCAAGATGACCATGAAAGCTCCATCGGCGGGAGCGACTTCTTCCAACCGTGCTGGACCATCGAAGCGAGACGGCGCTGCAGCAAGAAGCAAGAAGCCGGTTGTTCCAACACAGCAGGATGACAGCGATTCGGAGGATGCGATGGGTCATCCAGATCAGATAGCATTGGAGGAGAGTGACGATGATGACGAGCCCGACACTGAAGACGAGATCGAGGCAGCCAAAGGCGCAGGCTCCAAGAGCAAAAAGACGGCCAAACGCAAGCGCAGAGCCACTTCTCCGACATCTTTCGGAAGTGCGCTCGAGGGCTTGCTTGGCGTTGCACCATCAGCATCAGCAGACAATGCGTTGGAAGCGGTAGACGAGGAAGCGGATGCAGAGAGTGATGACGAGGCGAGCCAGAAGAAGTCCAAGAAGTCACGGGCAGGTCCATCAACAACCAAAGCAGAAACACAAGTGCCCGCCATCCTGTCGCTTGCACCTCATCTTCGTCGATCCGCACAGTCGACGACACTCAGCGCACGAGCTGCGCGCATCGCTCTCGAACAGAAGCGTCGACGCGAAGAGCGAAGCCACGTCAAGGACGTCATCGGCGGCTGGGGTCCGCCTGGTGTGCTCCCCGCATTGGAAGACGAGGACGGCAACGTGATCGAAGTGTTTGGCAACGCTCAAGACGACGCCGAACGATTGCAGGAATTCGCCAGTCAAGGAGGCACGCAGAGCTACGAGCGCAAGCTGCGCAAAGTGGCGCAACGAGGTGTGGTCAAGCTCTTCAACGCCATTCGAGCAGCCCAGACGACCACCGAGGACGACCTGGAAGAGGTCGAAGCAAAGAAGAGCGCTGCCTCTGTCGCTGCTTCTGCTGCCAGCAAGAAGAGCAGCACCAGTAGCGCCACGGCACCGGCCAAGAAAGCCGGTCTTGCGAGCAAAGACTCGCGACTGGCGGATCTGAGCAAGTCGAACTTTTTGGATCTCATCAAGAAGAGTTCCAAGTCCAAGAGCAATGGTGTTGCTGCCAAATAAGAAGGGGGTGTCGTGTGCTTCGCTTCCAATTTGCATCTGTTTTTGCGTCTAGATCATCCCTTTGTATACCACTGCAATCGAATCTTTCATTTCTTGCCTTACGGCTGGTCTCAACTGCAGCGCTATGACTGCACAGGCTGGAGTACGATGTGTTGGCATGCTCGGCAAACCCGCAAAAGACGTGCAGAGGTCACAAGGGTGCCTTGACAGCATCGTGTTTCCAGAAGCGAGGTCTCAAGAGCACATTGTGTCAATCGGCAGTCCAGCGACGCACGACGAGTTTTGTCTTGTGCTGTGCTACTTGTCATGGCTGTGATGCGTGCGGCAGGACGCGATTTCGGAGACCGACCTCGAGGAAAATCACATTTTGATTGAAAGGGAAGCAACGGTTTCGTCATGGTGCACCGCTCGAGCCCCAATTTATTTACGTCGTGCACCACGCCGAAGTGGGCTTCCCTCGCTTAACGTTTCCGAACAGGCGAGAGAGAAGTACAAGTTGGCTGACGCTCAGCTCCTTTCAGAAATCAAGGTGTGGGTTCCTGACCGTTGCCTTCGTCTGAGACAGCTTCCTCCTCACACACTTCGTCTTCACGATCACAGCACCTTGCCTGTCCACTCGCATCTCTGCAATATCTTTTGCAGGTTCCAAGCTGGCTCCTGCCATCCGCTGAGTACACTCGCCCTACGAGTCAGCTCATATACCCAGCCTCGCACCGCCTCGAGCACAGCTTCTCATGAACCTGTGAGCCTCCTGCGATAGCAACGCCTCGCAAGGCGATCACATCAATCTCGTCTTCAGCCCCGCCGGCCGTGGCTCTGGAGTGCAATCATGTCCTCGGGCACCTCTTTCGCAGATCTTGCCCACCAGGCTTGGGATACAGCTGCTTCCGCTACCGGGTTGTCCTCCGTCGGTGAATATCTGTACCCTGGTGAGGCATCAGAAGACGCACCGACATCGGGCGGAAACCCGACATCTCAGAAAGATCAAGACGCCAACCCATCCGATGATGCAACGAAGCATTCTGAACACCCAGAGAAGCCATATCATGGGGCACCGGGCAATCATCCCGACGATCCGAGGGCTCGCATCAACCATCCCGATGCTGTCAATGGACACGCAGATGCATCAGGTGGCCAATCTGCAAACGAGCCAAAGGTAGACAACCACGACAACAGCGTCAAGGAGCAGAGTGCACACCATTCCGCCTCCACCAAGCACCCTCACCTCGCCCACCGAGAGGATGACATGGGCCAATCCATCATCGAGCGTGCTCTTGGCGATGAGGGTCTCACCGCACAGCGACAGGGCACCATCTACGACAAACAGCTCGAAAACGAGATGGACGGCTCCTACAAGGACGTCCAAAAGCAGACAAAGCCAGAGGTCTCAGCCGCCGAGCTCGGCGAGCCTGTGCACTCAGAGCGCAACAGGTCAACAGAAAGCCACGACAAAGGTCCCACCGCCGAGCAGAACGAGGATGCACATCAGCCCCACGCTGCCAACCGTGGTCCCTCTTGGGCCTCGCGACCAGACGACAAGCAACGCGCCAAAATCGCAAAGATGAAGGAAGAGCAGGCAAACGGTACATGGAAGCGTCGCTTCTCCAGCTTCGGCCCTTCTGCCTCTGACGGAACCTCCACACCTTCCGGCAAGAACAATGAAGACAAGGAAAAGGACAAGGGCGGCAGTCTTTTCGGTAGCAGATTTGACTCCGACTCCCCTGCAAGACCCGGTCTCAACATCTTCAGCTCCAGCAGTGCCAACCGCACCAAGGACCAGAACGGCGAAGCCTCCGCCAACGAAAAGCAACGCCCTCAGTCGGGCTCCAGACCCGAAGCTTCGCGCACCTCGAGTCGATGGGCTGAGAACTCCAACAAGATGCGCAATGCCTTCGAGCCGCCGACGCCCTCCGCTGAAGCCGCTTCCGACGACGCCAACGCGCAGCAGGCAGACCAGGACGACCTGCCGACTCCAGAGCTTTCTCCCGACGACCAGAAGCTCCGGGCCATCACCAAGATCATGCTTGGCTCTGGCAAGCAAAAGCAAGAGCCCACTTCCCCCGAAGCCACCTCCGCTTCCGGCCTCGGCGGGGAGCCGCAAGCGCAGACCAGATGGGCACAGCTCAAGAAAAAGGTTCGAGATTCTCAAAAAGCCAAGCGGGAGCAACAGAAGGCGAGCGCCGTCGGTCTCGATCTCGCCAAAGAACTTCAAACAGGTATCCTGCCAGTCTTCCTCCTCAAGATGGCCGTCGAGCGCGACGAAGCCAAGCGTCGTCGTATCCCCGTCCTGCTCAACCACCTTCGCCTTCGCGTCACGGACAGTGTCAATCCCATGCACAACACCCACGCCGTTTTTCGTATCGAGCTCGAATATGGCGACGGTCTCGTCAAATGGGTCATTTATCGCGAGCTTCGCGACTTTATCAACCTGCACACCCACTACCGAGCCGCAGCGCTCCGAGGCTACCTCGGCAGATCGATCGGTGGCAACTCGACCGAAGGTGATGTAGGTTTGCCCAGCTTCCCCAAGATGAGCCTGCCTTACTTCAACCAGCTCCAGAGGCAGGGCAAAACCTCGCGAGCCGATTTTGCTCGAGCACAAAGGGATGCTTTGGAGAACTACATCATAGAGCTGATCCGACGCACCATGTTCCGTGCCGAGGCGAACCGCCTCTGCAAGTTCTTCGAGATCTCGGCGCTCTCAGTCTCGCTCGCCAGCCGCGGCGGACACCAGGGCAAGCAGGGCTACCTCCGTATCTTGTCGCGCTCGTCTCGTAAGAAGGACCAGAAGAGCATGCTGACGCCAGCGCGGTGGGCCAAGGCCTACGAGCCCAAGTGGTTCATCGTTCGCGAGAGCTTCATCGCCATCGTCGACGAGCCCGACAGTCTTCAGCTCTACGACGTCTTCCTGATGGACAACGAGTTCAAGGTCGAGAGACCCAAGCGTCTCTACAAGCAGACCATGCACATCGCCCACGGTTTCACTCACAGCGACGAGAAGAAGGGTGCCGGGTTCGAGAGCTCCGAGCAGCCAGATGCTTCCAAGGGTGCCGAGGGCAAAGATGCTTCGTACGACAAGACGGCTCTTTTGACCGGAGGTCACTTCAAGGACGCCGACCCGACCAAGCGCGAAGAAGCGCACAGCGACGAAAGGCATACCAGCAGCCACACATTCTACATCCACAACTCTGAGAGGAAGCTGAAGCTTGTCGCTAAGAACGAACGTATGATGGAGCAGTTCATCACCTCTATGCAAAAGATGGCCACCGGCAACATTTTCGGCGGCACCAATCGTTTCGAGAGCTTCGCGCCCATCCGACTTAACGTGTCGGCGCAGTGGCTCGCCGATGGACGTGACTACTACTGGAACCTCAGCAAAGCGCTCATGATGGCCAAGGATCGCGTTTTCATTCACGATTGGTGGCTCAGCCCCGAGCTCTACCTGCGCAGGCCTGGTCATCCCAAATGGAGGCTCGACAATGTGCTCAAGAAGAAAGCAGAGGAAGGCGTCAAGATCTTTGTCATCATCTACAACGAGGTCTCAAACAACTTTACGCCCACCGACTCGAACTACACCAAGCAGCGTCTCATCGGCCTGCATCGCAACATCTTTGTCCAGCGCTCGCCTAGCCACTTCCAGACCGGCACGTTCTACTGGGCCCATCACGAGAAGCTCTGCGTCATCGACGAGACAATTGCATTCATGGGCGGTCTCGATCTGTGTTTCGGCCGTTACGATACCCCCGCACACGTGCTTGTCGACGATGCGCTCTTCCACAAGCGCGACGGCGAATCCGAGGCTGACCATGGCCTGTCCAGCAGACCTGGCTTCCTCGGCCCAGCAAAGGATGGGCGAGAAGCGCACATCTGGCCTGGTCAGGACTATGCTAACGAGCGTGTCATGGAATGGCACACTCTCAGCAAGCCGGCCGAGGACCTGTTCGCGCGTGACAAGTTCCCAAGGATGCCTTGGCACGACGTAGGCCTGCAACTTGTGGGTCAGCCGGCTCGTGATCTCTGTCGCCATTTCATCCAGCGATGGAACTTTTTGCTGCGCATCAAGAATCACACGCGCCAGATGCCGTTCCTCGTCCCTCCTCCGGACTTTACGCCGGAGGAGCTGCAGAAGTACGGTCTCACAGGCACGTGTGAGGTCCAGATCTGCCGATCTGCCGGTCCCTGGAGTCTGGGTACCGCCAACAAGGTGGAACACTCGATTCAGAATGCTTACCTCAAGTCGATCCAGATGAGCGACCACTTTGTATACATCGAAAACCAGTTCTTCGTGACCTCCACTGTCATGGAAGGCAACAAGATCGAGAACAAGATCGGCGAGGCCCTCGTCAGCCGCATCATCCGCGCGCACCGGGAAGGCACACCCTGGCGCGCGATCATCGTCATCCCTCTCATCCCAGGTTTCCCCATGCCGATCGATCATCCAGATGCGTCATCGGTGCGACTCATTGTGGATCTGCAGAACAGATCCATTTCGAGAGGCGAGCACTCCATCTTTGGCAAGCTGCGCAGGGAGGGCATCGACCCGGAGCAGTATATCAGCTTCTTCTCACTGCGCACGTGGGGCAAGTTGCGCGGTGGTCAGCTCACGACAGAGCAGATCTACCTGCACGACAAGATCATGGTTGTCGACGACCGTTTGGTCATCATTGGATCGGCCAACATCAACGAGCGCAGTCAGCGCGGCGATCGCGACTCGGAGCTCGCTTCGGTGATCCGCGACCACGACATGATCGACAGCTCCATGGGAGGTCAGCCTTACAAGGTGGGACGATTCGCGCATACGCTGCGTATGCGGCTCATGCGAGAGCATCTCGGAGTCGATGTCGATGAGCTCGAGGCCAACGAGCGAAAAGGTGCCGCAAACGGTGACGAGGACTCTGCGTCAGAGGAGTCATCCGACGAAGAGGACGCTGAACTGGCCGGTTCGGACGACGAGTGGGATCCTGATCGCGAACAGAGCCACGGCGGACTCAAGAGGCACGGCGATACGGAGACCTCGCCATCGGATCTGGTGGAAGTGCAAGCCACCAAGGACGTTGTGAGAGACAAGGCATCCAACTTGGCCGAACTCGGCAGTGGTACCACGTCGACAATGCGCCGACAGATCAAAGACACGCTCAAGGGAAGTAAGGAGAAGATGGAGGTGGAGGCAGAGGGAGCCCGGGCGGATCCCGCTTCGTCCGAGTCGGCCAACCACAACGAGAGGTACCAGAAAGCTCGCGTCGAGCGAGTCGACCAAGCGCTGCGGGGTCAAGAGACCGACAAGTTTGTCGATGGACAGTACGACAACAGCATGGAGCCGACGTTGGAAGAGAAGCTGCTGGTGCAAGATGGACATGCCGTCAATGGCAAGTCGCGCCACTCTGCTGAAAACGACGCGAAGAAGGCGACGGCGCACGGGCAGCAACGAGCTCCGGCAGACCATCGCCAACTTCTTGGCTCGCTCAGCTCATCGAGTCTGGGTCCAGAGAGGGAGTCGGATATGCTGCGACGCTCGGGACAGCGAGGACGCTTCCTGAGCGATGGCGGTCCGGAAGATGTGCGTCGCAAGATTGCGAGCCGTATGTCGAACGACTTGTTCAACCTGCCGGCGGGCACATTGGAGATCGATCCGATGCGATTCCAGGATCCGGTGGACGACTCGTTCTACGTCGACTACTGGCTGACGTGCGCCGTGCACAACACGCAGATCTTCCGCAAGGTGTTCAAGTGCGTGCCCGATGACACGGTGACGACGTGGGCCGAGTACAAGGCGTTCGGCGCATGGTCGGATCGGTTGGCTCGCTCGGGCAAGTTTGGTGCCAAGGAATCTCGTTCGGAACGGGACGCACAGGCGCACAGCGCTCCCGGCGCCAGCGTAGGTGGACCGGCCGGCCAGGTCAGCACGAGGACCTCAACATCAGACGCCAAGCACGACGACTCCTCGTCGCAGGTGCCTTCCACCCTGAGAGACGCGCCTTCGCCTGGACAGGGTTCTGCGCAGAACGGATCGACTGCCCTCAACGGTGGTACTGCACCCAAGGATCACAAGAAGGAGGTGGAAGGCTTCTCAGAACGAGAGCTCGACCAGATGGAGTCGCTGCTCGAGGAGTGCAGGGGATCGCTGGTGCTGCACCCGACGCGCTTCTTGGAGGCGGAAGACCATTCGAACAACTTTTTGTTCGCCATGGATCGGATCAACCCGCTGTTGATTTACGATTGAGCGAGGAGAGGTAGATTCGCAATGCAGGAATTTTGTTTTCGAGATGCGTATGAAAATGTGATGCTTGTGAGATACAGTTGAGATGAATGCGATGAATGCGATGGGTACAAATACAAATGGGTGTCGGACGATCTGTGCTAAGCATCGTGACCGCTTGCGTGCAGCTTGGTGTACATCCTGCACAAGCTCTCGTACGCTCTTGTATCTCGCGTTCTGTACAGCGTTGCAGCATCGACGTTGAGCGGGCTATCGGGTTCCGGGTCATCGAGCAGGGCCAAGATGGCGGTACACGCGCTGCTGAGCGTCCACGCGGGGGTCCACTGAGCCTGCAGGATGTCGAGACATATCTCTCCGTCCTTCCAGGATACATTGGGATGGAAGATCTTTGTGCGAAACTTGATGGTAGGTGGTTTGGTGGGGTATGTGGGCGGGATGAGGATGGAGAGGTGGAAGAGGCCGGTGGAGTAGGGGCCGTGTGCGGGGCCGCGGATGAGTGCTGTCCATTCGAAGAGGTCCTCCCCTTCGACGTCGTACGGTCGCAGTTCGAGCAGATCCGGGTTGGCAGTGGGGGAGCGGGTGGTGGAGGTAGGAGAGAGACCGAGTTCGCGGGAGGTGGTTTGGTACTCTTTGAGCAGTCGTTTGGTCGTTGTTGCTGACGCCATGTTTGGGGCCGGTCCGATGAGAGGATGAGCTTAGACTGGTGATGAAGGTGCTGGTGTGTCCTGAGGTAGATTGTACAGGTACTGGGTTGTGTACAGAGAAGCTCAAGGTGCGATGTGGTAATGGCTGAGGAGAGCGACGGGCCGAGAGGTGGATATTGATGGCAGTGGTGATTGCGGATTGTGTTGGTGGTGATTCGAGAAGAAAAAAGGTCTACTAACGTGCCCCTTTCACAATATCAGTCCCCACAAACCTGTCCGACTCGCTTCGTCAAACGACGGCATCCGGCTCCTGTCAAGATGCCTGTTCCGGACGTATTTTTCGAGACTGATCGCTAGTTTTGAAAGGGTCTAACAGAATGAATTTTCATTCCACGATGGTCCGTGTGACGTCGACATTTGGCCGGCGTGGGAAAGGGTCGAGGTGGTGGAGGCATATCCCTCAGAAGCGAAAAGACGCGCCAACCTGCAGGGTTCGGGTCCCTGCTCTGCGACCGCACACTAGGTCTTAGACCAGATGACCCAAGAACGCATGCTTTGGCAACCAGAGCTGCCGACATCGATCGAACCACACAGTCCCCCAGGTGAGACACCAGATCGCTTCTCCTCTGGCTCCTCTTCCCGAACACACGCTTCTTCCGATGCAACAGCGATTCTTCGGTCGGAATGTCTTTGGGACAAGATGAAATGATAAGGATGACCGCGAGTTGAGTTGGACCCCGGAGCAGTGAAGTCACTTTGCGTCTTGGCTGAGGAGACTCTATTTCCGGTCCGTTCGATCGTCGCTCTCGCGAAAAGAGCGAGCTAGAGAGACTGGCATATATCCCCGCATTGAATCTTTCAGATGATTGCCGAGCTGATCAGGATCGCTGCGTCTCCTTGCACGAACCTCTCACCCGTCGTCAGAGCAAGAAGCTCGCGTCAGACCATTCGAGTTGCTAAGACGAAGCATCCTTCAGCTTGCGTTCCGATGTCAGACGCAGCATGGACAAGCGCCTCATAGGTCAGGATACAAGGACAGGCGCAGGGAGCTCAAGCTGGACCAAGGCAGACGGAACGGAAGATCCGCGTCGCGCCGAAATGACCGTGTCAGATGAGCAAACGGGAACCGTGCGCGACTGCTCCAGCTTTTTTTTTCGATGTCTGACAGCCAACGTGCATCGGATCGCGCTGACATCAGTGAGCAGCGCGTGCATTTTCCTCCACTCTCTCGTCAACCGCTGCAGGTTTTTTTTGGCTCGGAACCACCGATCTGGAAGGACACTGGTCAAATGACTTGACATGTCTTTTTCCTCTTCAGATGCTCGGCCCAAGCTCGTGGGGGCCGTTGACTTGCTCACGATCTCGGTCCCACATCAGTCCAAGAGCCAAGCGAACTCGTACTTCCGTGTGTGTCTGTGCGCAGTCTTGAGCCGAAGAGGCGTAGAACATCCGCTGTATGACGGCGTATCTCAGCAAGCAGCGATTCCCGAGAGATCACTTGTGTGCAAAGAGCCGAAGAAGGAGGAGGAGGAGAACGAGGAGAAGTCAATGACATTCCTCTCGCATGTGCCCACTCGAGACAGCCAAGCCCCCGTCAAAGCAGCCCGCCCCAGAGCTCGTAACAAGGCTCAGTCCTTCATTCCGCCTCGCCTTTCCGTCCCACCACCAACTTCACCACCATCCTCAAAAGCTGTCGACGTCGCGGCTACCTACACCTTCCGCAAGAGCATCCTTCAAGACACACCCATCCGGCCCTTGTCGTGCTAACTCTTCCTCGACACAATGAACTCGTTCTACTACGACAGCGTCCTTGACGCTTTCAAGAAGCCCGATGTCGGCATCCCTCCCATTCCGCCTCACCTCGAGCACCCCATCGTCTCGACTCAGTGGGGTCACACCTACCTTTGGGCCGTCTTCTTCATCATGGCCGGCTTCTCCGTCCTCTTCTTCATCTCGTCCCAGCGCGCTTCTTACCGATACCGTCTCATGCACACCACCACCTTCTTCATCACTGCTATCGCTGCTCTCTCGTACTTTGCCATGGCTACCGGCGTCGGCAAGACTTTGACCAACATTGGCGAACGTCACTCTGCTCCTCGCGAATTTTACTTTGCTCGATGTAAGTTGTCCTTTCGGTAGATGCAAGAAAACAGCTGATCTGCCTTCCTAGCGCTGCACAGACGATGAACAAATAACTGACGATCCTCTCTGCTTCCCCATCGTTTCTCATCTTCTTCGCGGAAAAAACAGACCTCGACTGGGCTCTTACCACTCCCCTCCTCCTCTTCGACTTGACCCTCCTCGCTGGTCTCCCCGTCGCCGAGATTATCGTCCTCGTCCTCGCCGATGAGGTCATGATCGTTACCGGTGTCATTGCCGGCGTTCACCCTACCAAGACTGGCAAGTGGGGTTTCTTCACCTTCTCGTGCGTCGCCTTCGCCTGGGTCTTGCTCCAGCTCGTCACCTCGGGTCGCTCCACCGCTTTCCTCCGCAGCCCCAAGGTCGGAGGTCTCTACAACCAGATCTCGCTCGCCCTTGTCGTCGTCTGGACCGCTTACCCCGTCGCTTTCGCTCTTTGCGAGGGAACCGGGAAGCTCAACCCCGATGCAGAGATCCTCTTCTTTGCCATCCTCGATGTCATCGCCAAGCCTCTCTGGGGTGCCTGGCTCTTGCTCGCTACTCCTGACGAGGGACATGTCCTTGTCCCCGAGGCTCTCTGCGCCCCTGCTGGCTCGCCTGCTTCGGGCGGCTACGGTGCCATCTCCCAGGAGCCCCGCGCTGAGGACGCCTAAACGCCTAAACGATAAGCGCTCCCAGACGCCCTCTTGCCCTTTCGTTCAGACACAAATCTGACCCGAGAAAGGTGCTTCGCGCCCTCCCATGCTCATCTCGTGGCAGCCACTGTTCCATCAAAGAACCCTCTCATCCGTACGATCTCCACCCTTGTGCCCTTCGACTATTGTCTTTCTATCAGTTCTGTGTCTATCCAGATATCTGCGCGCTTGCTTGCTCGCCCGTTGTTTCGTCATTTGCCAGTTTAACCACTTTTCACAAACACATTTTGATTTGGAACCCTTGGCAATGATCAGTGCTTTTCTTCCAATGTTTCGCTTCCTAACGACTAGAGAGAGAGAGAGAGAGACGTGTCAAGAGACTGTCGACAATTGAGCGCTGCGAGAGGCAGATGGAGAAGTGTGAGACGCAGCCGTTTGAATTTTTGTGACGCGAATTTCAGGCGTGGTTTTTTGGCCTGCGTGCGACTAAAACGATGCGGAATTTTGACCGTTGTCCGTGACGACGGGAGCTTTTTTGAACAGAAGCAGTGAGCTCGCATCATCGTTGGAGGTACTGGCTTGATGGGATGAAACAGTCGTTGCGAATGTCTATGTACATGGATGGCATAAGAGAACATCTTCCCCCAAGGAGCTCGATGAAGTGTGACGAATCAACGGGTTATCCGACTTTCCCTCTTCCATCGGTCACGAATCCCTTCCCGCTTACAGATCCTTCTTCTCCGCCTGCTTCTCCTCCTCGATCCTCTTCTCCACCGTCTCCCTCTTCCTCCTCTCGATCCTCCTCTCCGATCCCCTCGTCACCAACTCCTTCGGCTTGACATCCGCGAACAACGACCAAAAGCTCTCCAGCACATAGCTTCCCAAGAAGTCCACCGTCATCACCGCCACCAGCCTCACCTGGTATCCACTCTGCATCTTGACCAGCTGCAACCACTCGTTCAGCTCTGGCATGAACTCCGTAGCTCCCGCGATCGCGATACCGCCTACACTGACCAGTCCGTAGTAGAGGTACTTGTTCTCTCTGATGGATTCCCTCCAGGGTCGTCCGATGTAGTTGACCGCAAAGGTGGAAATCGTCTGACTGAGACCGAGAAGGTACACTCCTGTGTTGAGCAAGGACGGGGAGAACTTGGCTTCCAGATCGATGACCTCATCCAACGACTCGTACTGCACCGAAAGCGATTGGATGTAGTACATGCTTCCAATGTGCAACGCCGTCTGCGTCAGGATCGATCCAAACACGTAAGCGTTGAGAATGTTGGCAACCGGTCTCTCCTTGGACAACTTCTCGATAGGCTGTCCTCGAGAAATGCACAAGAAGCACACCGACGCCAACATACCGGAGATGGTCACCTGGTAATCTCCAAACTTGATCCCATCCAGATACAACACTGACAACGAGTACGCCTGGATCAGACAATTCAACGCCAGGATCTTGTACATCTGGATCGTCGCCACCAAGGTACACCTGCCCTGTCGAATGATGGCAATGATCGACGAAACGTTGGACAGCTTGGACGTAAACGGCGCTGCAACAGACGCATCTCCCAGTCGAATCTGCGGCGGTCCATCGTCGATATCCGCGTCCGCCATCGAAGACGTGATCGCCGACAAATCAAACTTGGCCTTCTTGTCCGTGGTCCGTGCGGTGTTCATCTTGGCCAGCGCTTCGTCCCTCGCCTTCTCGAGTTCGGGGAACTTGTCCTTCAGCATCGGTGGGACGGGCGGAGGCGGCTGTCCGAATCGCGCCGTCAGCGACAGCTGCGATTCGTACACCTTCTTCATGCGCTCCATCTTCTGATGCTCTGCGATCTTAACCAAATCCTCCTGAGTTCCGTCGAGAAGAGCAACGCCGATGTTGGCCGCTTTCAGCGCGCCGACGTCGTTCGTACCGTCTCCGGCCATGAGCGTGATGTAGCCGAGCGACTTGAGCGAGTTGAGGATGAACTCCTTCTGCGAGGGAGAGACACGCGCGTAGACCCAAGTGTTCTGGACGAGCTGGTTCCACGCGACGGCGTTGTCCTGATACTGCTTCATGGCCACGCCCGTGATGCAGATGTCGTATTGGTCGAAGAGCTTGGTGTCGATGGGCTCAGATGCTTTGATGGGGATGATGACCACCTCGTCAACCGATCGCCAAACCAGATCTTGCTCCGACGAAGCGCCCTCGCGAACATCCAAAATCAGCGTCTGGCGGTCCACAATCTCAACCTGGGTAGCAACGTGCACAGCGGTCAGCGGGTTGTCTCCCGTGATCATGATGCAGCGGTGCGAAGAGTCGTTGAGCTGCTTGAGCGACTCGATAGCGTCCGGCTTGAGAGGGCAGTGGAAGACGAGGAACCCGGCAAACTTGAGGTCCGCTTCCACCTGGTCTCTCTGCAAAGCGTTGATGGCGTTGGTGTCGTTGGCCGAGACATTGTCGACGAAGCGGTACCCGAGCGCGAGCACACGCGATCCACGGCGGGTGAAACCCTTGTATGTCTCGTCGTAGTGGGCGGGAAGCTGAGCAAACATGGTCTTGAGTGTCTCGGGTGCACCTTTGACTGCGATCATGACACGGCGGTTACCGGTCTGGTCGATAACATGGTTGACGGTCGACATACGTTTGAGTGCAGACGAGAACTGGAATCGACGGCGGACCTGAACGCCAAATCGGTGTGGGCCGGCCTTGGGATCGGTAGGAGTCAGCATGTCGCCCTTGTTGAGCTTCCAGTCCATAGCTTCCAGGGTCGTCTTCTCCATCGGGTCTCCGACAAGACCGTCCTCAAGCAACACGAGGGCGTGCGCGGAAGCAAGCGTCAACGTCGTCTCGGCGGAAGCTTCCTTGAGCGGAATCAACGGCGAGTCGCCGCTGGGCGAGCAGTTGACCACACCTTGCACCTCGAGATCCTCGCCCGTAATGGTACCTGTCTTGTCAAAGCAGCAGACATCGACGCGACCAGCATAAGGAATGCGGAAAGGCTCGGTACAGAAGATGGCATACTTGGCCAAGGCCATGAGCGAAGCGTTGACGGCCATGGATAGCTCCATAGGCAGCTCGGGCGGCACCACCGAGGTGATGATGAGCACGCAGTCGAGCAACAGCTTGCCCTTGGGTCGTTCCATCTCGGTACCGCGTACCCACACGTATCCACTGGCAGCGATGGCAAAGATGAGAAGGAAACCGATGAACACGAAGCTTTCGAGGTTGTTTGCGGTGACGCGGGACTCGTTCTGGAAGACCATGAGACGGATGAGCTGACCCTGCGAGGTTCCGAAACCGGTGCGGAGGACGACGCCGAGAGCGCCATTGTCGGGAGCGCGAATCTTGGCGTAGCTGCTGTCGGCTTCAGGTGCGGTGGTCTGGAGCACCTTTGTGCCACCAAAGACGACGTTGTTGCGGTCGGCGCCGTTGACGTCGAGGATGTCCTTGCTGTCGCGCAGCTCAATGTTTTCCTTGAGCAAAGGAGTACTCTCACCCGAAAGCATGGCCTCGTTGACGATGGTCGAGCCGGCAACAAGCAGCAAGTCGCAGGGAGTGGCCGAGTCTTCCTTGGAGCGATCGATCGACACGAGATCGCCGGGGAGGAGGTCCGAGGTCATCATCTCGGTCCACTTGCCGGCTCGATAGACCCAGATCTTGTAAGGCTGGATCGACATGGTCCTGAATTCGCTCAGTGTGCGCAATCTCTGGAAGACGACGGTGCACTCGAACACGACGAGCATGAAGAGTGTGAAGAGCGAGTAGTACCAGTATTCGTCGAGCATCCAGAGACCGACGCAGAACACCTGGAAGACGAAGAAGGGAGCGACGGCATGTTCGAGGAAGAGGTCAACGAACTTGGGCTTGGGAATATCGAGCTCATTCTTGCCAAAGGTGCCGAGGGCAAGCTCGACATCCTTCTCGGATTTGAAGCCACGGTAGGACTGGAATTGCGACAGTGGCGGCTTTGCGTCGGCAGGGTAGGGCAGACGACGGAAGGTGGGTTCCTTGATAAGCGGTGAGACAAAGATGTCGGTAGGTGCAGCGGAGGCGTCAGGAGTAGCGAGGATATACTTGTCGGCTTGGTAGGTGAACGAGATTTCGATGGGGAGGTTGGGTCGCTCTACACGATCGAGCGAGACGATGGCGCCTTCGCCCTTGTGCATGAGAGGGTGGATTCGGACGAGCTCGGCATCCTCGAGACCCTTGGCATTGACGCAGGTGGTGAGCACCTTGGCGGCAATGCTCCATTTTGTGACGAGGAAGCTAAGCGCGTGACCAGAGACGAGAAGGACCGTAAAGACAAAGGTCCACTCTTCGGACTTGACCCACTCGTCGTACTTCAAGAAGTAGGCATAGGCCCAGACAGGGTAGAGCGAGAGGAAGGGGAGCACGTAGAGATGGAGATGGGTGGGAATGCTCTTGTGCAGCGACACCGAGGCGATCTCGGGCGACTGGATGGCGATCTTCATGCCGGGCAAGATGTGCACCTCGACGTGCGACTGCAGACCGTTGCGGCGAAAAGCAGCAAACAGTCGAAGAAGCAGTTGCGAGCCAGAGAAGCTGGTTCTTGCTGGTCGTAAGCGAAGATCAAAGGAGCACCGTCTGAAACGATTGGTGTCCTATTGCGTTGCGATGATCTTGAGGTGATGATGAGAGAAGGAGAAAGAACCGAAAAAGATCTGTGCGTTGAGGTGGCCACACGAGTTGCGGAAATGCACGACCAAACAACCACAAATTGAGCGGCGCCGCTGTCTCGAGAAGATCTTCGTGATGAGAATCTAGAGAGCGGCGGAATGCTGAACCCCGAATGATAGGTTCATTTTGCGTCACAAAACCTTGTTCGACTGACCTGTTGGACATCCTTGCTCCACGTCGACTCGTGCGCGGCCTCTGAAATGATTTGTCGATATCAAATGTGTTAGAGCGCGTCTGTTTCTTCCGTACTATTGTCGCACGAATCAAACCTGGGAAAGCGCTCAACACGAATGGACTGTGGAACGAGACGCGCGCGTGTTTGGCAAAATGTCGGAGAGAGCAACACCAAAGTGACACTTTTGTTGCATTGCCCAGCCGCTCGTCGTCGCTTGCCTCTCGTTCACCATCGTCGCAATCAACAAGCAGTCAGCATGGAGAACCCACATGTAAGTATTCCACCGTTTCATCCCAGAACAGACTCGGCGAACATACCATTGACACGAGCTCCTTTCTATTCGTGCTTTGCATCTTGTACAACTCATAGGAGGAGAGGCAGTCGCTGCTGCTCGAACGTATCACCAAGAACGTCCATCGCCTCAACGAAGCGTTGCTCGAACTCGACAAATCGGTCGTCGAGATCAACAACCACAACCAGTCCATCACGATCGTTGCAGAGCTTTCCGAAGCCGTGAGTATCTTGTTCAGTTGCCGTAGCACTTGGCACAAAGTAGCGCTGACACACCACCCTCTCTTCCCTTCCGATCGGCATTGCCATGATCAGTACCGACGAAACGCAGCATTCAATCTGTCCAACATGGAGGCTGCTGACGACGACGCCGTGAGCAAGTCATCGATGGACTTGTAAACCATGGCTGTCCGGGGCAGCCATCGTAAGCTTACTAGATGATAGAACGTCAAGCGTTCACTGCTTGTCTCCCATCAAGGCAGCCTTCGACCTCTAAGACTTGTATTTGTACCGCTTTCCGCCTCAAAGTATCATCGCGGACGCAGACTTCACTTGGCGCTGCATCATCAGGTGTCGAAGACTCACGAAATGATACGTATACCCTTCTACTGTTGCCTCTCTCGGCGTAATGATTCGGCGGATATGCAAGCGTCACGTTTTTCAGTAGCGCGGTCGTTGGCGATCTTGGCGGCCACACCCGCTTGTACGATTGGTGTCAGATTGTCCGACTTTCGGCCACACGACGCAGCGATTTGAGAGGAGTGCGCCTGCGAGGGAAAGAGTCGGCGCTGCGAGCAATAAGGAAGGTGTCTTGACCGCACTGCGCACATAAACCTGCGTCGGTGAGCACCATCTGACCGATTACGTTGGGCTGATAATACACTGGAGCTTCCGCGTGTCCCTGAGGGACAAGATTGATGCCTCTCATTTGGAAGGATTCCATCAATGTCTGCACATGGTTCCGCTTGCAAGCTGCAATTCTTGGGATGTCCAACATCCCTTGGGTCTCATTGTTTGTGAGAGACACCGTGTGCAGGCCTAACACGCGCATTGAAGCCCGTGATGGTGCCGATTCGGCGCCTAAGGACCCCGGAGCCACGCTAACTGCATCAGTTGGCTTCTCTCTCCGATAGCCCTCTCCGTCGAATGAAACATCAGCAACGCGTTCCCAAGCAGAAGTACAGTACACTCGTGACAAAGGATCTGCATATTTAACCGATCTTTCCCCTTCGCTTGTGCCGTTCCTGAGAGAGCAGATAAGAATTCATGGCGAACTCGCCCGACCTGCCGCGATTGACGCTTTTCATTGGTTCGAAGCCTCTTGAAATTTCCGTGGTTCTAGATAAGCGGAACTGATCGAACGCGAATAGGAAGTTTCCATGGTGGCCGGCCACTTGCTACTCCGACATGTGATGTCGGGTTTATAGCATGGTCCTCGAGGCCATTCTCGAGCATTCGTCTGTAGACCAGGCGAGAGCGTCTAGCTATACGACTATCCTTGGACCGCCACACGATGACAATTCAGGACAAAGTCCTGAGTTGTATCACCTCAAAATGCTTGAAAGCGTATCAGAACGCCCTTGACAGTTTGGGGAGAACGGATGCTTGCTTGTGATTGAATCTACTTATGGCGCGAGAAGAAAGCTCACTGCCTGCAGCGATTTCGACATACGAAGTCCCAGAATCGTGTGTTGCCTAAAGCCGAGATTGCTTGCCGACGGTACCCGAGGCTCTGAGTTCGTTGTGGGCGGCCCACAAATTCGCCGATGCCGCCGCGTGCACATAAAAAGGTGCATGTGAGGTTTGATTCTGACACGAGATAGATAAGGAGATGCAGGTCAAGGTTCTGCACGAGGGCACCAATCAATCAAGCTTCGCAATCTTCTTGTGTGCCTTGCCGCTGGTCTGATCCTGATGAACTGATAGCAGACGAGATGCTTGGCGGATCTTTCCGAGCATTGGTCATTGGTGCAATGGCAATACTCCTGAGATAGGCGAGTATGAGCAACGTGGTACATCGCAGAGCATGCTGCACCTCGCTTATTCAGTCAGCCTCATGCTCGTCAAAGAGTATTTACACGACTAGCTTGACTTGAGGCTTTCCGCCACCGTCCTGACCATCATCCACCAAACCTTCGGCCTCGCCTCCCTCCCTCAGCGTCATACATCAAAGATGACCGGCCACATCGTTGAGCGCGACGTCTCAAAGTCGCCCTCAACACCCGAAAAGGGCGATCTCGACTCCACCCCATCCCCCTACGAAGTCACCTCGACCACCTACGCCGGTGAAAATGCCAAAGCAGCTGCCCTCGCCTCCTCGGCGTCCGACATCACCCCGTCCGAGCTTCGTCAGGTGCTGCGCAAGATCGACATCATCCTCATGCCCCTCATGTGCGTCGCCGTGCTGCTTCAGTTTCTCGACAAGACTTCGCTCAACTACGCCTCGCTCCTCGGCCTCAAAAAGGACGCGCATCTCAAGGGACAGGAGTATTCTTGGTTGGGAAGCTTCTTCTACGTAGGCTACCTGGTTGCGACGCCGGTCCACGGTTTCTTTCTGCAAAAAGTTCAACTGTCTCGTTACGTTGCCGCGTGCATCGTGCTCTGGGCCGTCTCGCTAGGTGCCCACGCAGCGTGTAGTAACTACGCCCAGCTGGTCGGTGTTCGCTTCCTTTTGGGTTGGTTCGAAGCAGCTCTCACACCAGCATTCATCCTCCTCACCGGACGATTCTACACCAAACAGGAGCAAGTCACCCGTACCTCGATCTGGTTCGCCAACAACGGCTGGGCTCAGATCTTGGGCGGTGGCATCTCGTACGCTCTGCAAGTTCAAAAGCCTTCCAACTTGAAGGTCTGGCAGCAGATGTACCTCATCCTCGGCGGCATCGCTCTGTTCTTCGGCATCGTCGTGTTGCTCTTCATGCCGGATTCCCCCGCAACCATCCGCTACCTCAACGAGAGGGAGAGACAGGTCGCAGTGCACAGGATCAAGCAGAACAAGTCCGGTATCCACGATACCACGTGGAAGTGGGAGCAGATGTGGGAGGCTATCCGCGACGTCAGGCTCTACATGTTCTTCTTGGCAGTCTGCAGTGCAAACATTGCCAATGGTGGCGTCTCGAACTTTTCGAGTGCCATTATTTCGGCTTTCCACTACAACACCAAGACGACAGCGCTGCTTGGTATGGCACCGGGCGCGATGGAGGTCGTCGCGGTCTACTTCGGTGCTTGGATGTCGTACAAGACTCGAACTCGAGTCATCCCCGGTGTCTTCATGTACCTCATCGCCATCGTCGGAGGTTGCATGATGATCGCCATCCCCCCGGCTGCCAAAGCCGCTCGCTTTACTGGCTTTGTACTCGTTTATGCTTACCCTGTCGCATCACCTTTTCTGTACTCATGGTTGTCCGGAAGCGTCTCGGGAACGACCAAAAGGATCGTCTTCAACGCCCTCCTCCAAGTAGGATACTCAGTCGGCAACCTCATCGGACCGCAAACCTACCGAGCTGCCGACGCCCCCGACTACGTTCCCGCAAAGATCACCCTCATCGCCATGTTCGGCTTCGCTTCCGCCTGCCTCATCGCCATCGGCACGACGCACTACCTGTGGAACAAGAAGAACGGGACTCTCGGCAATGCGGCGGAGGAAGATGCCCAGGTCGAAGATTGCGAAGATCTGACGGATCTGACGGACAAGCAGCGATCGAGCTTTAGATACCCTTACTAGATCGAGCATCGACAGGCGAGGGAAGAGATTGGGAGACAAGGATGAGTGACAGGAAGTATGAGCGGAGGAGGAGGAGAAGGCCTTTGTACAAATCAGTCTCATGCAAGTCAAAATGAATTCCGGACGTCGCACTGCGCGACCATTGTCTTTCTCAGGTCTGACATGTGGGACAAATGTGACTCCAGATGCGGGGTGGCACGGATCGCCTCGTCCTTCCCGAAACCTTCATCCTCGCGATCCCGCACACACACGCTTGAGCTTCGAGAAGTTGACCTGTCCTTACTCCCGACTTCAACAAGACCCGCTAATGCGAAGCGCCACACTCACCGGCCCCGACAAACTCTGCAAAAACGTCACATCCTGATTCTCCTTCCACGCCCTCATATCGACCTCTACGCTCAAAGCCTTACCTTCCATCTTGACCGAACCTCCCTCTACAAACACCTCCTCGATGCGAATCCATGGTGTTGAAGCGCACTCGTATCTGCTGCGGTCGATCTTGCACGTTTTGATCGAGTCGCGGTCGGCGCAGAGGACGAGGAAGCTGATTTTGGCAGCCACGTCGACGAGTGCGGTTACGACTACGTCTGTGGTCGTGGAGGTCGTTGCTGTACGTGGTGTTTCGACTCGAGGCGAGAGTGGCTTGAGCTTTGACGGGCTGAGGTGAGGTTCTGTGAGGGAAATCGGACAGTCGCGGAGCGGAACGATGGTGCGAGAGGTGAGGCAGCGTTTGAGCGTGGCTACTGCGTCGGCTGGTCGCAGTCGGACCCTTCTGAGGGTCTTGCCGTCCAGCCCTGGCTCGCCCTCTGGGATTTGTCTCCTGTCAAGGTACGACAACCACGATGCCCTCTTTCCGCCGTTCGTGGACGCCTTTGGCAACGTCGACGTCCAGGAAGCGAGCACGAGCAATCCAAACACGAACAACGTCTGAAGCTTATCAAGCATGCCGACCATCGTATCGACAATGTCGACTCCAGCTGTTCCACGTCGCCCGATGCTACCCTTGCCCTTGTTAGGAACGCGGACAACACCAGTGATGGTGGTGTGCAGAAACGCGAAGAGACCATTGATCAGAGCGAGCGAAAGAATCACCGCTTTTGCACCGCCGTCCGATCTCTGCATCAAATTGTCGACTGCGGTGACCGTCAGAGACGACTCGTCCTTCGTAGCGTTGTTCAAGTCGATGAATGCAAGCGAGCCGTCGGTGCTGATCGAACGAGTGGATCGACGTCGGTGGTGCGATGGTCGTCGAGAATGCGACAAGTACGACCGCCTTCTACTCTCCTTGTCGGGGTTCAAAGTGGCAATGGTGATCGAGCGTACTCCTTCTGGTGTCATGAAATGCTCACTTGAGCCAAGGAAAGCCACCCTCACCCCTTCGACCATGGTGGTCAGCATTGGAGCGATCGTCAAGACCTCCCAAGAGTCTGCTGCCAGATTCACACCCAGCAACCTTCCTCCTTGACTCTGATCGCTAGTGAGGAGCCAGATTTTGCCCGATCGGAAACTTCGAACAGCATAGTAGGTGAACAGCGAGCCAGACAATTGATCGTTGCTGTCAACCTTGTCGAGCATCTGATCAAGATCAACGACGTCGAAGGTCTCGGCGTGATCGGCACGCAGGTTCCAGAAACCTACAGTCGCGCTTGCGATCCCCTCGTGCTGAACGCCCAACTTCAGTGCCGGACCTGGTCCGTCACCGATGAGGTCTTCAAAGGCAGTCCCAGCGAGCAACTTGCCCGACGCCTGAACAGCGATCCTTGCCTCTTCGCCCGACAGTGACGGAGGAGCCACAAGAGCGCGCAATCCGGTGTGTCGAGGTGCATCCGTCTTGTCCGAGATCCACAGGCGTGCGTCTGTGAATGCTCGGAACGAGGCATGATATCCAGTATATTCGGTGTCGTTCGAATTGTCTGCGTCGCTGGAGCAGTGGGAGAGCATGTCTGCGTCGCACACGTGCTCGGGAAGCAACAGCGAGTTGTAGACGTTGTGTGCCAGATGATGACGGTGAGCTTCAGGGATCCGAGGGAAGAAGTCATCCGTGCTGCGGATGGTCATGCCTCGACTCGGGAGCGTACGAAGGGTGTTGGTGAAATTCGAAGTGAAGGCCATCGAGTGGATGACGCCGCCGGATGCGCCGAAATAGCGCGTCGCAGCTCCCTCCATCGCTTCGAACGCTGCCTTGCTGAGCGACGCTGCACTGAGACTAGTTGCATGGCGACCAAAGGCAACGGAGGTTGTCTCATCTTGGATCCATTCCCATTCGGCTTGGGCGTCGATCTTGACGAAATCAACGCCGCTATGTCGCAAGGAATGGAACGCGCGATCCCAGAAGAGATGCATGTCGAGTTCGGTGGCTGGCACAAACCAGTCTCGACTGGCGTGGCGGAAGGGATCGTCGATATGAGCGTGACGCAGCGGTGCACTGAGGCCAGCAGCGATGGGGCCGCCGGGATGAACGCCGTCCCAGTATCCAGCTAACGACATCCAGCAGCCAATCGAACGAATCGAAGGGAATCGCTTTCGGATGTAGGAGGTGTAGCGAGCAAGGACGCAATTGCTCACGGGTAACGTATCGAGATCTTCTTGCTCCTCAACAGAGGCCTCGTCAAGATCGAGCATCAAGGGATCCATGTCAAAGCTATTGAGTCGACCTCGATCGTCAACTCCTCGCGCGACATCTTGCCAGCCATCGTCGATAAGCAGGGCGACGATCGAGCCTTGGCCAAGTCGGCTCTCTGCTGCTTCGAGGGCAGCGACGACTTCGGAGAGGTAGGGCCGTCTTTCGTCGTTTTGCATTGCTTCCCATGTGCAGAAACCAAGCCCGGTCTGGGGTTGTGGCGGCTGTGGTTGCGTTTCAGCCTGGAAGGTGCGGTCGCCGTTGACAGTCGATGTGTCATCTTGCTCTTCCCGTTTTGCGTGAGCGTCGTCGGTGGGAGGGAGGATCATCGAGCTCGCCGAGCTGAGACTGGTCTGTGAGCTATCTACTGCGGTAGAGTCGGAGAAGAATGAGGCATCAGTGAACTCGGAGTCCTCGTACGCATATGGAAGGGAGGGCACGATGGCATCGAAGGAGAGGGAAGAGTCGGAATCAAGCAGCTTTTTCGCGGACCAAGAGAGACCCAGCGGTTCGTGGATACTTGTGCGAAGCGTTCTTGCTGCGTGAGAGCGGCACGCTGCGATGACTTGTTTGAGGTCGGTGAGGGTACCGAGAGCGAGCACGACTTTTGCCTGTTGGGCACCGGCGCCGACAATCTCGAAATTAACGTTATCGCCGTCGGATGAGCCACGCACCATTCGAGCCGGCGGATGACCATCTTCAAAGACCGGCAAGATCACCAACACTTCCTTGTCGGGAGACTGAGACAGCTCGAGGATGATGAGATTGGACCCAAAGTCCGCTGACACTTCGTCGAGCGATCGGAAGCGTCTGGACGTGCACCAGGTCGATTTGGTTCTCTCAACCACGATGCCTGCTTGAACGTGGTTGGCATTGATACTGAAAGCGATGCTGCCTTGACTCTGTCGACGCGAGGCCACCAGACTAGCCAGTGAAGCGCAACTGTCAAGCTCGGCGCTCGCAGAGTTGTTTTCGCTCAGTTTGAGATCTGAGCTCGAGTGAGGCTGCACGAGCTGCGCAAAGGTGTAACGAGGGAGCTGAGAACAAGGTAGGTAGATCTGACCGTCGTTTGACGGCGACCCGAGCCAATCGATCTTGCCGTCGGGATGAACGATTCGATAGGTAAAGCCAAAGGCACCGTCGGCTGCGTCTTCCGAGCACTTGACTGCAGCCGCAAAGGTGTATCCGCTATCGTTGCCGACGGAGGCCCTGAGGGGCTGAAGGGGCACAGCGCTCCATGCTGTCGAGCGAGAAGTTGAGGCGGCATCCACCTGAGAGACGGGAAGATCGGTCCAGAGCTCCAGACGAGCTGCACCGCTGGCTAGCGAGGCGGCGTAGTCATCAGCAGGATAGTGTGCAGCGAAGGTGAGACCCTGATCGCATGCTTTCCTCTGCGATACGGTACGCACCGAGTTGAGTGCGGGCTGAAAGACGGGTGATGAGCGCATCGCGAACAGAGGCAACGCTGTGGAGAAGATATAGATGAAGAGGACAGCTACCTGGAAAGCTCCCAGGCACCTATTAAGACGATGGTGGTCGTTTGATGGGAGGGAGGCGCAATGCCTTCGGTGTGGGGTAAATGAACCTGAGACAAGCCCCGGACTCGAGAGCTTCGACTGACAGCGGAGAAGCACTATCAGAGTCTGCAGAGACAAACAAGCTTTGGTAGCCGTCCGGGGTGCTTGTGGGAAGCAGCGCCAGCAGAGGAAGTGGAGACAAGGAGCCGCACAATGGCTAAGCGGAGCACCTCGGGGACGCCAAGATTGGGACCCCCAATGGAACAGTGAATCGGAACCTCGTCGAGATCGGACACCGCAGCCGCAGCCTGGACGATTAGGACAAGCGATGTTGCTGCCAGTAACGACGACCGGGACGGAGAGCGTTTCAGACTCCAGAAACAAAGAAGGATGCAGGGTTCTGTTTCAGTGTTGCTGTCAGGCTGCAGCGGCTATGATTCACGTCTGCAGCCCACAAAAACTTTGGCGCGTACACGTCGTAAACAAAATATCAACAACGCAGCCACGGCGAATGCTCCAGTAACAGAGAGCGAGAGAGCAAGCCACTCGTCGGGGTTGCTTTCGCCTGTTCGCTCCGACAGAGACGGACGTTTGCCAGTTCCGAACTGCTAGCATGGTGTGGCCAACCATGACTGTTCGTCAAGTGACCACCGACTGCCGACAATGACGATAGCGTTCGAGGAGATTTTTTCTCATCGCCGGAGGCAGGTGTTGAAATTTCAGCTGCAAGCTGCAGTCTGCAAGTTTCTGCATTGATCGATTGACACGTGGGCGCTGCTCCGGCTGCGTCTGCCAGGCTCGCTGTCGTTGTGCGCTGTGCGCGACCTTCCCAACTGTCTCTCCTGTCGGCGACGCTGCGATCGAAGTCTCGGCGTCCGTGTTTCGGCGGTACCTGAATTCTTGACTGCTAGCCCTCCTTATCGCTCGTCATTTTCAAAATCGTTCGCTCACTAGACAGGCAGGTCTCGTCGGTTCAGCTCCCCTGCTTGCTTGAAAGTATGCTATGATACAGCGGTCTGCGTGCTTAACGGTGAAGCGTGCCTGCAGCCACAATGCGATGTGATGGCTACGGCATTTCAACGCAGTCGAGCATGACTGATCTTTGCCCACAATGGCTGATGTTCGAACAAGCTAACGAGACAACGTTGGAAGGCATGGCGAACAACACAACAGCCGCCAACCGAGGTCGAATACAACACAACACGCGAGGGAGGGCGCGTAAAATTTTCCTCCGGCGCGAGTTTTGGTGGCCTCCTCTCTTGCACGCCATGTTCTTCGTTCGACTCTCATGGCCGCTGCATGTCCGAGCGGGGCTCCAAATCCAATGCTCTCAACGGAGGATGCCTTCCGTTCCTATCACAGCAGCATGTAGAGCGTTGCTCAATGCCTCTTGAGTCGTCCTTCAACCAAGCTCGCTTTCCTGAACAAACACAATATGGTCATACCATTGGAGGCCTGCGCTCTCACAATGTGCTTCGAGACGTACGTATTGTGATCTTTTCAAGTGTCTATATTCGGTTGCTACCAGAGCTGTTGTATTGCTAGTGTGATATGCTCGCATGTGCTTTCCTAATCTACGCTTCCCCAGCTTCATCCGTTCTTGCGACCAAACCCAAACGTCTTGCTGAACGTCCTCGTCGAGATACTAGGCTTGCGCGTCGGAGGGCCCGCTTCTTCTCCGCCTCCTGCTACATTGGGGCTCGCCCCATTCCCCAGCTGCTGCATCGAGTTGCGCTTCGACTGGGCCGCCGACGAAGAAGATGATGAAGACGAGCTGAACAGATTCGAAAGCATGCCATCCTTCTTGTCCGCCCGCTCTGCTGTCGGAGACATGGGAGAGTAGCTCGAGGATGCACGTCGTGCGGTCTTCGCTTGTGCTTTCTGTTTGGACGACATAAGCCGCTCAAGAGGCGCAAATCCGCTTCCTCCGGTGGACGCCTCGCGTTGTGGTGACGTCGAGGACGATGCCGCCGACACATCAGGATCAACAGCGCTTGGCGTTACCACAGCAACACGGCCGTCTTCCGGCTCGGCGACCAACGGACCAAGAGACAAGGGCGCCTCCACCACCATGCCAGAGGAAGGAAAACCCTCGGAAGCGGCGCGAGCACGGCGATTCATCGCACCGCGCATGAGATTCTGCTCGCGCGCCACACGGTTCGCGGCAGCGTCGGCTTGATTGCCCAGCATGCGGTCATACTTGGATTCACTTGGCGACTCTGTGGTGGCGCGAGTGACGTTGGCGTCTGAGCTGACTGTCGACGCTGCGTTGATTGATGTGAAGCCATTGCGCATCGGCGAAGTGGCTGTCGCCTCTACTCCGGCATTTGAGGCGCTGGTAAGAGGCTGGGGATGGTGCGTCGATGGTACTCCCTCCGTGGCTGGCGTCGCGGCAGACGATGCGAGTACAGTTGTGCCGCGCGAGGCGCTATCGTTGGCAGCAGCCGACTGCATCGGGGCCGAGACGTTGTCTGGCCTCGCACCGTCACCTTCGGGAGCTGTATGCTTCGCGAGATCGACATGTGTACTTGAAACCGGCAACCCTGGCAGACTGGGCATATTGCCCAAGGTAGGCTCCAAAGCGGATGCTGTCTTTGGCCTCCTTCTCGATTGGCTTCCTGCACGTTTTCGGAAGGATCCGAACCAGCCGTTTCCGCCTTGGCCGGGCTCGGCTTGACCCGCGCCCACGGATACCAGTGGGCTTCCTTCGGTGACCGAATCTAGCCGCGGTCGATTCGCCGTGGCAGCTGCGCCCGATCTGTCAGGTGAAATGTTGCCTCGCGGGTCGGTCATGTCTGGCACCTTGAGGCCTGCTCTGCCTCTCGCTTCAGCGGTCACGCCCGAGGCGGCTCGCTGCTGGGCCGAAGCTTGAAGCGCAGGATCCTCGAGTCCGAGTCCATCGAAATCTAAATCAACTGCCTGGTAGAAGAGTACGTAGGCGCTGCCCAGACCAGGACGGTCGCCATAGTACTTGGTCAGCTCGGCCTCGTCGATATAAGTGACAACGTCGTCGTCAAATTGGACCCAGCGATCGCCAACTTTGACCACGGCGATGTAGTGGCCGTGATGAGGGCCTGCACCTATGTGTACGACGATGGCGCAGAGCTCGTAAAGACGATCCGGATCTTCAGCGTCATCGGATGTGTTGAAGAGGCGAAGCTCGTGTGGGAAGACGACGCGGTAGGCGAGCTTGACATAGCGCTGCACCGTCTCTTCGTATTTGAATCGTTTGAGATGGAGGGCGAGAACGTTGGGCAGCTTCTTTATCTTCATGCGCTTCTCTGCCTCCTGCAAACCGGAGCAAGAGTCGCAGAAGAATTTGTTTCTGGACCGCAGCATTTCCGAGGCCGAGAACTGACGCAAGCAGGACGTGACGGACGAGTTCTTGTCAATGTCGATCGAGAGATCGAGGAAGCATTCGTCACGGGACGTGACGGTCTCGCATGTGAGGCAGCGGGTCTCGTTGGTGAGCACACCTTCGAAGAGACGATGGACGCACGTCTTGCCGTTGGGGCCGACCTCCATGACATTCCGCTTGCGTAGCGCATCGATCGTCTTGTCCGAAGCGGTTCTGGTGTTGAGGTAAGGGTTGCGACTCTGCATTTTGACGCGGCTTTTTGCCTTGTCGGCATCGATGAGGTCCTCGCCGACCTTGTTGAGCACAAAGTTGAGCATCTCGTGTGCGTCCTGATGCATGGTGCTGTCGAAGAGCACATTTTCGCGCTTGAGTGTGGTGAGGAAGGATTTGACGGCACTCGAATCCACCGAGGGGAAGCCAGAGGCCAGCGTGCCCGCCGAGCTTGTCGAGATGGATAGGTTGGGGGGTCCGGAGCCTGCCACCGAGTTGGGCGTGATTGGAATTGCCTGCGCCGCCGTCGCACCGGCGCTGACGGTGGCAGAGGAAACTGTATGACTGCCCGAACCACCTCTCCCGGCAACAGCGCCTGCGGTGGAAGGGCGGCCAAGAATGGAGGTCTTTCGTGCGACAACGACAGCGGGCTGCTCTGCAGCGCCTGCAGCGGGCGGGGAAGGGGATAGGGGGCTGGCGAGGGGTAGAGATCCGGGAGCGGTGGATCTGGTCGGCGACGACAATGCCTTGTGATGGCCCGACTGCTGTATCACTTCGAACAGATCACGTAGCGATGCAAACAGGGTATCTGAGGGAGGCACGCCGTCGGTGGCCTGAGCTGCGGTTTCTGGGGGAGAACGAGAGCTTAGATCACCGATCGAAAGGAGCCCGTTCGTGCTACTCGGATCTGATTCGGATCGTTCCCGACCGGACGCCTTGTAGCTGAGCACCGAGTCGCGAAAGGGCCGACAAAAGTAGAGCGACTGCATCACGGAGTTAACGTAGCAGGTGTTGCCAAAGTTTTCCATGCCGAGCAGGTATCCTCCACCTTCGACGGCGTTGAGGGGAATCTCGGAGGGCTTGCGCGATACGAGAGAAGATTGTGTGGTAGAGGATGACGATGGGATGTAGCTGGTGCTGTGATACGAAGTCGAGCCAGGCATCATGCCACCGAACAGTGGTACAGCCGGAGCTGGTGATTGGGTTGCCGAGTAAGGATTGGCGTTGAGAGGACTGCGTGATGCAGATGGACTCATCGCAGAAGATGCCGCCGAGGTCGAAGAAGCTGCCGTGGAGGTGGTGGCGGCTGAAGCCGAAGTGGTATGACTTGGCGCATTAGAGCTGGGTGCGGTCGAGGCGTTGTTGGATGTCGACGTTCCCGGAGATGCGAGAGAGGACGATGCAGAAGACTGGTTGACGCCGAGAAGGCCCTTCCAGCTGAACGACATTTCGTCGGCAGGTTGCGATGATGCACAAAACAGGCACCTTATACAGATCTCGCGATGGATGGGGCTGCTTAGGCGCGCGGTTAGAGCGTTGGAATGGCGCGAGCGAAACGAGTCTATGCTAGCATTGCGCCTTGCTTTGTCCGTGCGTTGAGGGAGAAGCCAGCAATATCAGTAGGAACCAAGGAAATCTTGATCTGGCAAGCGTCTCAGAAGAAAGTCGGGAACCCGGCCAGGCGACAGCGAGGAAGATGCGAGAGCGAGTCGGTCGGAAAGAATCAAGACAAGGAGGTCATTCAGGTGATCGAAAAAGCCGATGCGAATGCAGTGTTGAAGGTTTCGGACCGGGGCGAGGGTGAGGGCGACCGAGATGAGGTGAGGTGCGAGAAGGTGGGGAAGAAAGTGCAGGGACGGCAAACGCCAGAGAAGCGCAGAGGGGTTGCGAAGGACGACAGCAAGCGTAATGGTGGGCGGAATAACGAGTGCGGGCGGGCCAAGGACAGAAGACCCTCTCTCCGCGTGGGCTTGAACGCTGATGTTGGACTACACTCGGTACTGCCTGGAGGAGCTAGCTAAAGCTGTCCATGGAAATAAGAGCAGGGGTTCGGAATTGAGGCAGCCCAGAATGGCAGCGGAAGGATCCGAGAGAGAAAAGTGAGTTCGAACGCTCGTTCGGTCGGTCGGTCGTCGGCCAAGTGGAATCGACCGGCGAGCACAGACGGGGCGGCATCATGACTGGGCTGACCTTGTGGCTTGCTTCGAGATCCGACGCTGTGCCCCACATTCTGCCTCCGCTTTCTCATCTCACGCAGTCCCTGTTGAAGCAAGCCTCATCCATCTGCATCGCATCGCGAGCATGCGCGTTGCCGTGCATCCTGCCCGGGTGTGAGAGATGTGACGAAGGAGGTTCGCTTCGGCATGCAGGTTGACGATTTTTCTGGGCGCCAGGCACATGCTGCTCGCTTCCATCTCATCCTTGACTTATCACCCAAAATGGAAGAAAGACCTCCTCCCGGGAGACGAGCCAGCCCAAAAAATTCTCGATTTCTTTCTCCCCCACAAAAGACTCAATTTTTCGCCGCCCAGGCCATATCTTGAACGGCTGACGGGGACGATGCTCTCGTCGTCGCGAGATGAAGTGCGACAGGGAGAGCTTTGCCAGATGCGCTTTCCTTCTGGCTTGATCAGAGGGACCGTTGACAGGATCTGCTGCGCTGCCGCAGGCTTTGAGTGTCCAGCTGTCCTGCCCTTCGTCTCTCCATTCTCCCAAGCCAGGCTCCAATGTGAAAATGTCGAGACGTAGCTAATAACATTCACATTTTTGGTTGCTTCTGGCTGTGGAGTCTGTACCGAGACAGTTGGCCGGCTACTAACCTAACCTGAGCTCTCATGGCCCGAATAATCGGACTCTCTGCGAAAAATTTCTGTCGCTGCGTCGGGAATCATAGCCGGCAGGGGTCAATCCGAGGCATATCTCCTCGACTGCGCTTGGTACAAAATCAAATTTTCCCACTTGTGCGGCTGAGTGGCAGTGTGTGAGCTTCGGCGCAGAGCAACTCTCACAGCCTTGCCGATCCACCATCACTCTCGACCTCGTACAACCTCCGCTCTCTTGTTCAAGATGGACACAAGCATGGACGAGGATCTCGTCGGAGAGCGACCTAGGATCCGTAACTCTCAAGCCTGTCTAGAGTAAGTGTGACCTTGCTTTCGGGTTGGCAGCCACCAGCATATGCGTCGCGAAACATCCGCACCCTGCGGCAATGCATACGCCATCTCGGTATATCCCAGCGTCGTATCCCTTCTCCTGCTCGATGAACTCATACAACTTGCCCCATTATTCTTTTCACTCGTCCATATTCACCTCATCGCTCACGTATACCTCCTCGAACGACACGCTTCTGCTCGTCGTCGCATCGTCGATCGACACCTTGTGCGATCTCGTCAACTGCTGCGGCTATCGCTCCTCGACAGATGCCGCAAAGCAAAGATCAAATGCAACGGCAAACGTAAAGACGCACAAAACTGCTCGCGTTGCGAAGCAAAGGGCCTCGAATGCAACTGGACCGCATCCCGTCGAGGCAAAAAGCCCGGTACCAAAAAGTAAGTCGGCCTCGCCGTTCCCTTTTTTAACCTCAATTGATACTGACACCACTTGCGACTGCATACTCTCACCGTCTCAGCCTGGCTACACGCGCTCGCGAACAGTCAGAGGCCATGCAGCGACAACACGATCACAGATACCAATCGCACGCTCCCAACGACAAGCTAGATCGAAGCTCTCCCGTCCCACACGACACTTCGAACGGCAGCCCTTCGTATCGACGCACTGTTGCTTGGGACCAACGGGGGGGTGCCAATCTGTCTGGCGCCTACCCTCAAGTCGCTACCGTGGACCCTTATCATGCACAACGCCACGGATCTGACGCCAGCGCAAGCAATCACCAATCGCCCCAAAGTGCGGCTACTTCATCCTCTTCAGCCTCGCTCCAGTCCTCGTCTCTACCCACCGCGATCTCATCCCACGGCTCTCACAGCATCGCCAGCAATGGCAGCGCTCGACGCACTTCCAAGTACCACGATGGCCTCCTAATCCGAGAGTCTCGCATGCCACCTTCGTCCACCAATCCACTCCTCTGTCTCTCGGAAGCTGCCCTCGGCAAGCGATGCACCGAGTCCGACAGCGAGGAGGATGAGCTCGCTGCCGACATCGGACACCTGGACGATAGACCTCAGAGTCCTGCGATTCTTGTCGACGGCAAGAAGCGTCCAGCCTCGAACCTTTACTCCGATGACGTTGCCCACGACGTGGATGATGCGCAGGCAAGATCGGCTAGCGATATTGCAGCTATGCTCGAGAACAACGGCTGGACTCGATCCTGCCTTGGTCATGCTGCCTGCGAGCGTGCCTCCTACTTTTCCGGGGCTTCCGCTTCCGCAAACTGGGACACTCGTCGCTGTGACCCGCTAGACCAGGGTATCGTCACCATGGACGATGTACACCGCCTCTTTGGCATCTTCATGGACGTCATTCACGAGCAGTTCTGCGTCCTCGATCCAGTCATCCACAACGTCGCGACCGTCAAGGAGTCGTCCAACTTTCTCTTTTCCGTCATTCTCGCCGTCGCAACTTCGGTCGACCGCACTCCACGCTCCATTGAGCAATTCCCTCAGCTGCGCGCCCTCGTTGATTCGCTCATTGTCGAGGTGCTCAGCCGGAACGTCAAGAGCGTTAGTGTTGTCAAAGGCCTCATCATTTGGCCCATGTGGGCGCACCTCACCCCGCTCATGGCCGAAGACCGTGCGTGGTTGCTCATCGGAACAGCTGCACGCATGGCCAAGGAGCTCGACCTAGCCATGCGAGACGACACGCCACAGGAGGACGAGATAGCACGTCGACATGCTCGAGACCGCTCGAGGACGTGGGCGCTTGCCGCGATCATGGAGAGAAGCTTCAGCTCGTTCTCCGGCCAACGTCCCAACACGACGTTGGATGTCGACTGGGGCACTCTCAACGATTGGCTCAAGTCTCCCGTCTCTCTCGACAATGACATCCAGATTGTATCCTTCTTGCACCTGCGTCGCATCGAGGAGATCATGCGCACTCGCATCTTCAGCCAGAGCTACTACGAGGTCGGGTCGATCGAGAGCATCCGTGTTTCGGCCAACGTTTTGTTTTCGGCCTGGTCCGAAGCCTGGTGCGAGCACCCTGCATTGGACAAGCACGGACTCACGTCGACCATCATGCGCATTATCGGACTACACATCCAGGTCCTCATCAACACGCATGCCATCCGCGAGTCTGATCGCAGGAAGGTGATTTGCGAAGCATCTGGCATGCGCATCCTCCGTATCTGCGGCGACTCGGTCAAAGCTGCGCGCGAGAACTGCGTTGTGCTGCTGACCGACGCATGCCGGCTCGCCCTGGACAAGTTGCAAGGCAATGCGCACACGGTCAGCCGCATCGTCGCGGCGATGCTCGGCTGGTCCGGTGTTCACCTGTTGAAGAATGGACCGATCGAGACCCGTGGCTTGGTGGTCCAGCTCGGTCTCATGTTGGCTGGCGACCCGCGCGACTCGACGCACTCGCGATCGTTCGCGCGTTTCTACGGTCGCTTCATCCTGTCGCTCAGCGCCGAGTTGGTCGAGAGGGACCGAGCCGAAAAATCGCGGAGGAAACGTCAGCGTCTGCGAGACTCGTCCCACATGTCGGCTTCATCGAGCGGCATGGGCTTGCCGAGCCCTCGAGGTGCGGGAGACGCAACCGATATGAGAAGAGGTGCTTCCGTTGCAAGTGGCAGTGCGTCTGGCTTCGATGCTCAGAAGGCGACTGCTGTGGGACCCTCGACACCAGGTGCTCCAGCAGCATCTGCCGTACCTATGAGCGATATGGCGCTTGCGTTCGAGACGGCTGCCCAGGGTGGATTGCAAACTCCATCTCTGAATCGAACTGGATTTGTCGGACCGTCAGGCTCCAACTTGAATGGCGTCTCTACCCCGGGCGGCACAAGTTACGCCTACCCCTACGCGTCCACGCCTGGCGCGAGTTCGAATTCATACATGAATGGCATGCTCAACAACGGCGCACCTTCACCCCTCTCATCCGCCTATCGCGGTGGGGGAGGATCCATCCCGGCTCAGATCGGCAACAACAGTGCTTCGACGTTGGAATCGGTGACCAACACTTGGTTGGGAACGGACGATCTGCTGGACTCTTACATGCAGAGTATCTTGCCCATCTTTAACGATTTCGATCATGCGACGAGCAGCAGTATGCTGAATGGAATTGGAGGAGGCGGTGGTGTGGGGGTGCCTATTTCGGAGGTTGGGAGGTGAGCGGTGCAGAGCGGAGGATAGGGGGAAACGGTGAGCAGGGATGTGCAGGGAGCGTGAGGAGGTGAATTCGGTGAAGTAGTTTGGTGTGATTACGAGTCAATCAATATACCCCATGTGCGATGTGTCGATTGTGTGGCAGTCTGTGCTGTGACAGCATGTGATTGGAGTGGTCATAGAATGCGCACAAGACAGGTTGAAAATATTTCGCACCATGGACTGCACCCTCTCAGTTGCGCAACACTCGAGGGTCTATTGTGAAATGAGCAACATAGGCTTCCTTACGGAGTGGCATAGTGTCTACATGTACAAATCTACGTTGTGAAACCGGCCAGAGACACAAAGATCAGCGAGATGAAGCTGACGCTTGCCGTCCAGAAGAAGACGAGCGATGGTATATTGTTGTCTACGCTCCAAGTGTAGATGGTGTTGTTGATGAGCGGGCCGAAGGTGGCCATGATGGAAAAGAGGATGTTCATGAAGCCTACGAAGGTGTCTCTTGCGGCGACGGAGTCTGTCGTGGGGCGGTTCTGGGCGAGGAAAAAGTCGACGGAGAGAGCCTGAATTGCTGGGATTGCACCGGATGCGAGGAGGAGGAAGAACGTGCCTGTCGGACGTAAAAGGGACGGAAAGAAACGGTGTCAGTGTTCGGTGAAACGGATGTGAGTTCGTGATTTGATCATGAGAGCACTCACTCGCATAGATACCACCACTTGACAGGCGGGTGGCTGCGATACCCATCATGATGAAGCAAGAGCAATCAGCAACCAACGAACCAATAGCGATTATGCTGTCAGTCTTGATGACAGACCGCTCGCGTTTCACCAGCTGCGTTTCTGCCGACAGCTCCTCAACATTGGCGGCCAAAACCTCCTCACGCATCCGCCTCTTTACGATGCGATGTACAGCTTTGACAATGTAGGGCAGACAGAACATGGCGAAAACACCTTTGAGCGATAGCAAGCCCATGAAAGTGCTCACATTCTTCGGACCCCAGCGAAGGTGTGTTGAACAGAAGACCAAGAGATTGCCCCAGACGAGTGTGATGGTGTCGCTGAAGATGGTAGCGCAGAGGATGAGGGTCAGCTTGTAGTCCATTCTGGCTCCGGGGGATGTCCGGTATGGAAGAAGGTAGCTGAATAGACCCAAAGTCTCCTTGGTAGTTTGTAGGAAGTTTTGCGGTGAGGACCGCGGCTTGTTCATCGCGGACGAGGAAGGTGTCTGCCCCTCTGCATTGCTTTCTGTTGTGTATAGTAGCCCATCACTGCTCGAGGCCGAGTCTCGACGGGACTGAGACTGAGCTACTGTCATCGACTTTGTCTCTGGAAGAAGGAGGATGACGAGCACCGTGGTGATGGCGGTCGCGATGACAAACATCCAGAACGGCGAAAAGGGACCCTGATGGCGTAATACGCTGAACTCGATGCCGAAAGAGGGCAGGATGATTCGCAGCAGTAGAGATGCGATACCGATGCCCAAGGTCTGCGTGGCTGAAATTTGAGCAAACGCAGTCGTCTTTTCGTCAACGCGACATACATCGAGCATCATGACCTGGCCCAAGAGTGGCATGGCGGTCTGGGGCCCGCCTAACAGACCTCCAACAACGTACACGGCGAGAAAGAGGTTGAGTGCCGTTCTGGGATGCATCGTCGAGACGGATGGCATTGTAGGATCGAATGAGTAGTGAGTCGGGATCAAAGCCAGACAGACCCCGAAAAGCAATAAGGACGATATGGCGGAGATGCCGATTGCTCTGCGGCTGAAGCGTGGGAAGATGGCTTTCGCCAGAACGAGCGAACAGATGATAGACGTGAGACTGCCGAATGTGTCCGCGTATGTGCTGACTTGGCTGATGCGCTTGTCGACCCAAGCGACGGAGCAGAGGTCGGATGGATCACCTACGGTCGGAAGCGTTGGGAACGTGGATCCATCGGGCGAGGAGTAGTAGTACTCTGCACATGCCAGAGTCTGAACCATTTCGATGGCGAACGAATTCAAGATGCCGATGCCAGCATTGTTCAGCAACAGCAGGCCGATGATCAGGTATCGAGAGCGCTTCCGTTGCCATTCGAGGTACTCGTCGCCGTCCTCGCCTTCCGGTCGTGAGAGGAAGGACAGAAAGGCCGAAGATCGTCGACGCGCCAGTGACCATCTTCCTTGGCTATCGGCACTGTTGTGGTATCGCAGCAACGGAGTCGTCTCGTCTTGCGCTTCGTGGTTTTGACGGGTCATCTTGGGCAGAATCGGTCGGGCCCGTAAACTGGCGTCTCGAAACCAGATCGATGAAGAGGTATCTAGATGAATCCAACGTGGATGGGTCCTCTGACTCCGTTCCGCCTGGTTCGCGAAGACGTGTCGCCCGCAAGGCTCGGTGCAACGGCGACGCTTTCCTGTTGGATGGTAGGAAGAGCCAAAGGGCGGTCACGGTATGTTGAACGAGGATTGATTCCACCGCTTATCATCGAGTTTCCCTTGGACGTCAGCAGATAGAGGACCCTGACTGCCTGCCGCCTGGCTCTTTCGGTCGATTTTAACCAGCTGTTCGGCTAATTGCTCTCTTGCCGTCTAGGACATCACAATACGAACTTGCTGCGCTTGACGTTCCAGCACGTAGACGAGTGACGAGCCGTTGAAGGAATCTTAGCGCTGCGTCGCAGACTTATTCGGCGCAGAGGTTGTTATCGGAGAGGCCGCATTCCGGCCTGTCGAATTCATGCTGCTTCGGATGAGCCTCTTCCGGTGTTGCGTGATACGAGAGCAATTTCCACAGAGTCCTGTCGCGCCGCCGCCGGCGTCCTCTTTTTTGATCGCTTGACAGCTTTGTGTCCGCGGAACTGCGTTTCAGCTGCCGTAGGACCTTGCACCTTTTCAAGAGACCCGCATCACACGATCCTTCAAGCCTCATGACCTTTGTCCGTTCGGTGTGCCTGCTCTCGACTGACAGATCGCAAAGCTCATGAACAACGGCTCAGAGAAGCTGACGGTGATTGTTGTCGCCGCTCAATACCTTAGACAAATGAAGCTCAGGCACAGCAGCAGAGCTCAGGATGCACGATGGAAATGTCGTCAATGATGTACCATGTAATCTACAGAAGGGTTGGTTGAGAGCATCAAAGAACGAACGCTGGCGAGACGTTGTATGGCCACTTGATACTCGAGCATTAAACGTCTAGCACCAGATGACCGATCCAACAAACAGCAGTGCCTTGATGAAATTACTCGGCTCTGCGATGGCTGCGACGGGCGCCTTGCCTTTTGAATTGGAGCGGGTGATGCGTTGCAAACACCGCTTAGTTGGCAGCGACTGCTGGCGCTGATTGCTGTTGCTGTGCCTCTGCGGCTGGCGCCGACTCGCCATCACGCTTCGACTCGTTGTTGTTGGCGTGCGAGCGGTCTCGCTGACCACCCTGGTTGCGCTGACCACCGCGGCCACCACGACCGCCGGCGCCGCCGCGCTTGTCGTTGCCGTTGAGGTTATGTGTGTTGTTGAACGAGGGCGGGTGTGCCTTGCGGTCGATAGCCGTGCCCATGGCCGAGGTCCGGAAGGTGAAACCTCGGGTCTTTTCGATGATAGTCTGGTAGACAGGAGGATGAGTGGGGTTCATAAACACCATACCCTCCTTGAAGTCGATCTTGGCATCAGCACGCGTGTCGCGCACCAGGTTGACGATCCACTTTTCGCCATCCTCCTTGGAAAGGTTAAGTCGCTTGACGAGGTCAGCGATGTCGACCTTGGAGTGAATTCGGCAGTACGCTTCGGAGATGATAACACGGCATGCCTCGACCAGCTCGTCCTTGAACTCTCCGAGGAAGAAGTCCTTGGCAGCGACCTGCTCGGCGAGTGTGAGCTGCTCCTGGGCGGCCTCGAAGTCAAAGTCAACAAAGAGCTTGGAGAGGAAATCGACGATGGGGTCGGTGCCGGCAAGTCGGTACGATTCCGAATCGATGATGTTGACAATGTCCTTGATAGCCTGCTGAGAGCTCAACTTGTTGACGTTGGCGCTCGAGGCCGAGGTCATGAGGGTGGCGGGAGCAGGCTGCTGCACCAGGTAGACGCGCGTTGTTCGTCGCGAAAGCAACAGGGCGGCAACGACGTATCGGAGCAACCACCAGCAGGTGGTTTGGATGGTGTTGAGGTAGACGGGAGAAAGGAACATCTCGACGAGCTGCTCGCGGCCTGCGGGGTGGTTGAAGAAGATGAAAAGAGCCCAGTGAAGCAGCCATGCGCGCTTCTTCAAGAGACCTTCCTGCGTCAAGTCATCGTTGCGGCTGGTGCCGTTGGAGGTTGATGGCTGAGCGTAGGATGCGGTAGCGTGGGCGGCGGAAGAGTCGAGCAGCTCTCGCAACAACTTGAGCTCGCTGAGAGCCTGTTCCCACTCACCGACAAGGATGTCGCTGGCGAGCTTACCCCAGTGCGAGCTCATGGTGAGCACAGGGTCGGTGGAGAGGACGCGGAAGTGGTAGAGGTACGACGAGGCATCGCCGTAGTTACCACAGTTGAATTGGAAGTATCCGTATCGGTAGAGTGCGTTGATCTGCTCGCTGGTGAGGTTGAAGTTCTCTTCGAGCCACTGCAAGTTCTGTGCCTTGTCCTGCTTGAGCGCAGAGGCAACACTGGGATCTTGGATGACGTTGAGGACGTGGTCAACTTCCGAGCCAAGCTTGTCGTTCAAGGCGATGGCGTTCTCTCGCTGCTTTTCGATCTCGGCAGGTGCGGGTTGGTTAGGGTACGCCTGCTCGTGAAGCTGGAGCGCATAGTCGACCATGGAAGTGTTTTTCGCCAACTCATACTGGGCCTTTGCGATGTCGGTCTGCGAAAAGATGCCAGAGTCGGCGAGGTGGGAGAGAAGTGGCAGACCCAAGTGCCTGTCGAGGTAGGGCAGGAGGGTCTGTGTCAAGTCGTACTTCTCGGCCATGGTTGCGGTTCTGGGCGTGGTCGGCACGTGGGGCAAGACTATGCTTTGTCAATGGTGTCGGAAGAGTGTTGGTGATAGATGACAGGACCTTGTGCAAGCAACGATGACAAGCTGCTATGAACACCTAAGGACGGTCGAGATGGTGGTGCAAAAGCTTTGCAGTCGAACAATCTTTCCATAGAGAGAGAGAATCCGAGAAGAACTCGCCTGACAGACACACTCCCTTGCACTAAGGCACACGCGCTGCAGAGGCTCTTCAGAGAAGAACGCAAATTCCTCTGAGCGCGCTTTTCAAGGTTTTCTCGCAAATCCCCTTTCTTCGCGAAGCAAAAGTCCAACTTCAAATTGTCTCTCGCCCACAATTCAAAAGTCCTTCCCTTGCTTTCTGCCAGAATTGTATTTTCAGCGCTCCTTGCGCCAATTTGCAAGGGAAGCAATTCAATTAGAGCGCTTCACAATGTATCGCTCTCATCGTGCTCCATCTAGTCCCCGATCCCATCATCAGTCACTGATGCGGGACCCTGCAGAGCGACTCAGCTGAAATTTGGGTTCAGCGGCAATCTAAACCTGCATGCTTCCTGCCCCGCATTTCGTACTTTGCCACTGGCCACATCCAGCTTTTGCCGTCTCTCATCCACCGTTTCCTCGATCTCAGAGCCCCTGCGAAGCGTCGTGATTCGTCAGGATGGTTTTAACAAGATCTCGCTCGGCGACCCCGGCCAAGTCTATCGCAGCTTCGTTTGGCTCCTCAAGCAAGGCCTCCATCGCTGCCAAGGCTGCGCCGGCCAAACGCGGCCTTCAGCGATCAGCAACAGAAGGCCAGCTCGATGTCCAGAGAGCCATCTCAAGCCCAAGAAAGAGGTCACGGATCGAATCGACGGCTGCTTCGAGCTCATCGAAGCCGATTGCCAGTCCGAGCAAGTCCAAGGCCAAGGCACCTGAAGAGCCGTTCGTCATTCCACACGATGCAAGCGAGGAGGACTGCTTGACGCGGACCACCGTTGCATTCCCAGCGCTGCCTTTCGACTTGTCAGATGCCCAAGCACATCTCTGCGCCGCGGATCGTCGCTTCGAACGACTCTTCCAGAAAGTGCCCGTCCGCTGCTACGAAGAGGCGTTGGAGCCCTCTACCCCTGATACCAAGGACCTCAACCTCTTCAAGACGGTGACAACGTCCATACTTGGGCAGCAGATCTCATGGCTGGCCGCGAGGTCCGTTCTTTACAAGTTCTGCCGGCTGTTTGCCCCGGATTCGATGCCGGAAAAGCCTGACTTTGTCGGCTTCCCTCGTGAGCAATGGCCGTTCCCCACGCCATTGATGGTCCTGCGCACGCCGGATGCAGACCTTCGGGCTGCCGGTCTCTCGTTCGCCAAGATCAAGTATGTCAAGGATCTGGCTGCAAGATTCGTAGACGGTCGATTGGACATTCGGCAGATCCTCGACTTGGACGACGAAGAGGCGTGCGTCACGGAGCTGAGTAAGGTCAAAGGTGTCGGTAGGTGGACGAGCGAGATGATTCTCATGTTTGCCATGCGAAAACCGGATATTCTTCCATGCGCAGACCTCGGCGTACAGAAGGGGATGCTCAATTTCTTCCTCAGCGATGCAAAGGGGCCCAAGATCAGCATCAAGAAGCGGAAACCTGGAGAGGAGGAGCCGGAGGACGATGCGCAGGACCAGAAGAGCAAGGACCGCAGACGTGCAGCCAAAGAAGAACAAGGACCATTGGAGCCTACTGAAGAAAGAGGGGATCAAGTTCCGCTTCTTTCCCAAACTGAAGTGATGCCAAAGCCCGAGCCTGGCTTCAAACAAGCAAATCCGGAGGCATCGCTGGATCATCTCATCACCGACGAACACGGACTTTGCCGACAGGTTTTGCAGTCCCGAGCCAAGGGTAACAAGGTCAAAGGCGGACAGTACCTCACTCCGGACGAGATGAAGGCTCTCGCAGCGACCTGGTCGCCGTATCGCTCTGTTGCCTGCATGTTCATGTGGGCCCTTGTCGATACTTGAAGCACCAATCTGGGTTGCTGAGACGATGTTTGCGCAATCAAATGATGAAGCATGCCGTGGATGAGCGATCTTACATTGACAACTCGTGGAAATCATCGTCTCGCACGGTTATCTCCCGCGCTGTCACGTGTGTAATCGAAGATGGACTCAAATTGAGATTCCTAAACCGGCAGCAGAGCGCAGAACGAGCGTGATCGCATTTTGGCCGATTTCGGAGACTGAGATCGCAGCCTGTGAGCAGTGCGAGAATTGGTCGCTTGGTCCACGGTTGAATTCGCTATTTCTCATCAACGTCTCTGAGGCGATCATTACTCCACGCTTCTGATCGCATCGCCATCTCCACCATCTTCCGACACCTACGCTCCAACACGCTTCTTTTCGGCGCTACACCACACTACATCAGTCGTAGGAGGAGCAAACAAGCATGGTTCATCTCGTCGGAACCAGCGCCGCGCAGGCCGCTTCGTCGGTCTTGCGATCCGAGGCTCGATCTTCGCTTCTTCGTGGATCTCAGATCGTACAGGCTCGCTCTATTCACGACCTTACTATCAACCGAAAGACTGGAAAGCCCATCATCAAGTCCGGTCCTTACGGCGGTGGACGGTGAGTCTCTATTCAAGACAGCGAGCTGTGTCGCGGAGCAAGCACAGCTGCAGCTGCAGACGCTGTCACCAGCTGGATCTAGCTTCTTCGACCGACGGCAGCCATCGAGAAACTTACTCGTAAAGATCGCTGACATTTTCTGCTCTCACCCTGTTGACGTACCTTGCTCTTTCGTTGCAGATCCTCCGTCTCAGGACACGTCGTTACCGTGTTCGGCTGCACCGGTTTCCTCGGACGCTACGTGGTCAACCGTTTGGCACAAAAGGGTTCGCAGGTCATCATCCCCTACCGCGATGAGGACGAGAAGAGGCACTTGAAGGTGATGGGAGATCTAGGCCAGGTCGTGCCCATGGAGTGGGATCTCAGGCACGACGAGCAAATCGAGGAGTGCTTGCGACACTCGGATGTGGTTTACAACTTGACCGGACGACACTACGAAACCAAAAACTTTACCTTCAACGACGTCCACGTCGCAGGTGCTCAGCGCATCGCTCAGATCGCCGAGGCTGCAGGTGTCGGCCGCTTCATCCACGTCTCGCACCTCAACGCCGATGCCGAGTCGCCTTCGGCTTTCCTTCGATCCAAGGCGGAAGGTGAGGCTGTGGTCAAGCGCGCTTTCGAAGGTGCCACCATCGTCCGTCCCGGTACCATGTGGGGTCACGAGGACCGCTTCTTGAACCAGATGGCCGTCTACCCTTACGCATGGCGAGTCAACCACGGTCAGACCAAGATGCGCCCCGTCCACTCGTTGGACGTTGCACACGCCCTCGAAAAGATGCTCGAGGCCGACGTCACATCCATGGGTGCCACCTTTTCGCTCGCTGGACCCAAGGAGTACACCATCGGCCAGATCCTCCAGCTCGTCGAGTCTCTTACCTTCACATCGTTGGCCAAGCCCGGCCTCAACACGCCCAAGATTGCCATGAAGCTCGCAGCCAAGGTGGCCGACCTGGCGTGGTGGCCCATGCTCTCGCCCGACGAGGTTGTGCGACGATACATCGACGACCTTCCGGATGCACCTGGCACCAAGAGCTGGGCTGACCTCGCCATGACCCCGGACACACTCGAAGAGACCGCAGCACCGTACTTGAGGCGATACCGACCTACCACAAGGTTCGAGCAGCCTCTCGAGACCGGTGGTGCTCGTCTCAAGAAGCCAAAGTACCACGTGCTCGATTAGAGTGCATGTGCTTACCACGGAGTAGAACTTCTTCTTACATGTTGAATCATACCGTTGCGAACAAATGCAAGCCATTGACTGTTCATTGTTCGAACGGGTGCTGACTCGATTTGTGTCTTGACCGGTCACATGCCTTTTGAGCACATTCTGGCGGCTGAGTGCGAAGGGAGCGCTGTTATAATATTGATTTGAATCGCTTCCCACCGTTCGAGCACTTGTCAACTGGAAAGGAGACGAGCTCGCAGCGCTCAGATCTTGGCCGATGCGATGTAGATGCGACCGCGATCGGTGAGATCATGAGCCAGAGCAAGGTGGAAAGCATCCGAGAAATCGGCGCGTGGCGCTGCTCGGAAGCTTTTCTTCCTGACAGCTTCCCGGATTGATTTGCTCAAGCTTCGCTTTCTTGGCACAGCTGCATATCCGCCAGTTGAGCAACTTGTGATGAGTTGCCGCCAGGTTCTTCTAATTCCACAACAAAATCCGCCCACGCAGTGTGAGATCTTGAGCAGAGCAGTCTATGTGTATCAATCAGGTTGGGCTTGATTGGTCGCAACGGAGCGGCGCGTTCGAGCGTCGTACAGTCGCAGAGAAACGCCAAGAAAATGCGGATCGACGACTCGGCGCGTTTTTGTGCCCTCGGAGCCTTTTTCTTCTGAATCCTGTTCGACATGGCAGCATTCGGAACAGGAGTAAACTGTGTCCACACATCCGATGATGCTTCCATGACCTTGTCTGTGGGCGCTATTCTGGACCTTCGACGACAAGATTGAAAGCATCCGAGCTACAGTGTACTGCCTTGTCACATCAGATTACACCCTGAGGTCCGACGCTGCGCGTTTCGACAAAGGAACAACCCTCTTATACCAGCACATTTCTATCCAGACTACCTACAGCTCTCGTCGGCCCTTCCGAGACATTCTCTTCACCTTCATCTCTCAACTTCCCTGCCAATTCATAGACCGCAAGGATGGAGCATCTCGTCAAAAGGCACAAGGAGGTGGCGGGCTGCGTATGGCAGCCTGGTATGGTCGGGCCGGGATGCCGACCACCATCCGCACTCAAAAAAGCAGCCATGGCGGGGAAAGATAGCTACTACGAGATGGAGAAGTACAGTCGCATCACCACCTGGATGCTTCTTGCAATCCTCGGTGTGGTTATGGTACGTGGTCTGGTGGCAAAGCTGCGAAACAGCTCGCGTTCGAGACTCTCACTCACCGTCCTGTCGATCCCTGGATATCGACCGTTCGCGGCGATATGCAGAGGTGTCGGGTACTATCGACCGAAGAAGATCTTCACCCGCAAGACGGTACTCAGCGAAATCGTCTCTGCGGATCGCTTCCCATCCTTGGGCAACATCCTTACACTGGCCCTCCCAACGATCGGTTTGATCTGCTGGTGCTTCGCCATCAAACCATACTACCGCCCAGCCGCCGTCTGGGGTAGCACCCCTCTCGGTGTCCGCTCCGGAATGATTGCCAACGCCCTCTTCCCCTGGCTCTTCGCCTTCGGCCTCAAATTCAACCCGCTCACCTTCCTCACCACCATCACCCACGAAAAGCTCCAATTCTACCACCAATGGACCGCTCGCGTCATCCTCTTCTTCAGCATCGTCCACACGGTCCCCTTCCTCTACCAACCCGTTCACGACGGAGGATTCTCCAACCTCAAGGCCTGGTACTACTACGACAAGATCTGGTGGACGGGGACCGTGGCATTTGCGCTTCTGAGCTGGCTGGTGGTGTCGTCGTTCGGAGTGTTTCGAAGAATGTCGTACGAGTTCTTTGTGGTGCAACATGTGGTGACGATTATTCTGTTCTTGGTGTTCTACTTTATGCACACGAGGGATCTACTGCATAGTTGGTCGTGGTTGTGGCCGAGTATCGGTGTTTGGGGATTCCACGTGTTGTTCAAGTGTGCCAACTCGTTGAGGATCAGTAGGTTTACGGGTGTCAAGGCGACGGTGACGGTGGTGGACGAGGAGGAGAAGTTGGTGAGGCTGGAAGTGGCTGCTCCGGTATCGTGGTTACCAGGACAGCATTTCTTCTTGCGCTTCCCGGGGATCAACCGTTCAGCGCCCTATCAGACACACCCTTTCACCGTCACCAACCTCGCTTCTCCGGACAGCAACGTCGACTCGCACCTCGTCTTCTTCTTCAAAGCACGAGACGGCCTTACGGGCAAGATCTGGCAACAGCTTACACGACAGCCGCCGGTCAAGGGCAAGACTTCCACCGTGCTCAACGTGGCACTCGACGGACCTTACGGGTCGCCTTTCCATCCGGAAGCGTACACTTCCGACTTGATGATCGCCGGAGGCGTGGGCATCACTTCCATCCTACCCGCTCTGATGAGCTTGTGCTTGTCGGCGAGAACGAGTCGCGATACGTTGACCAGCAAAGTTGCTGTCCACTGGGCGGTTCAAAGTATGCGCATCTTCGACGCGTTTGAATCGTCACTTCGACCGATGATGGAGCATCTGTGCGCGCTGGGTATTGAAGCCAGGTTGCATGTGTATTGCTATCAGGATGACGCAGGAGTGGCGGAGATGGAGAAGGATGACCCGATCACTCCGGAGAGCTCGTCCGCCTCGCTCGCAAAGTCGACCATCCAGATCCACCGGCAACGTGCCGACGTGCCCGAGCTCATCGCTAGATTCGTTGATGATGTGGCGGCAGCAACATCGTTGTCGTCATCGCGGATGAACACGGTCGGTGTCTCGGTGTGTGGCCCAGCCTCGATGCTCAACGAGACCGCAAACACGGTTGCTCGGCTGCAGTGGTCGCATGTGCTACCGTCTACTGGGAACTTTGACGAGCTGTTCCTGCATACCGAGGCGTTTGGCTGGTAGAAGATGCTTCCACATTGTGTCGGATTAGCTAGACGCTTATGATTCCTCGCAATGACACCAAGTCTTAGAGAACGTGATTTGTCCGTTTGTGTTGTGCTGCGTTGTGTTGTGAGCGCTTCTAATCAAGAAAGACAGAGGTGCCAAGCCCAGCTACTTGAAGTCTGGCGGGATCTTTCCATGGTCTCGAGCTGGTCATGCCCCCGTCGGCGACGGTCGCTTCCGTGGCGGTCTTTTCACTGTCGCCAATCGACGATTCCCACCGTGATGATGTTGCTGACGTCAATGCCGATGCTGGAACTGAAGCAGGCGCTGCTGTCGATACGGCCTCCGAAGCCGCAGGAGTCCAAAACTCGTCACCGATAATATCGCAATGCAACGTCCGCAAAACGCCCGTCAAATTCTTCCTTTCCTTCTTCTCCTGCTTCTTGGCTTGTTTCGCTGCTCGTTTGGCCTGAATCTTGATTCGCAGCTTCTCGTCCTTCGCATTCGTCAGCACTGGCTTTGCTTGTTCCGCATCACTTGCGTCGTCCTCCTCTGCATCGATGCCTCCTCCGATCGTCTGTGCTTGAGCGTGGGTCCAGACGAGCGTCGTACCCTTCCTGAACATCGCCTCTAGCCGATCGTAATTTATCCCAAACTGCTCGTGCAGGATCTCGTGCTTTTCTGCCGACACTGTCCCCTCCAGTCTCTTGGTCGCTTCCTGTTCCGTCAAACCTCCTTGCAAGACCAACGCCCAAAACGTTGTGTTGTACAGGTTGTTGATGTGCGTGTCGGCTTGTCTCCAACTAAAATAGTCCCGGACCACTTGTTCGTTCGGATACACTACCATTCTTCCATCGAAGCTCGGTGGCATCTTCAGCGGTGTATCTGGGAAGAACCGGTTCCAATTGAACACATACGCCGATGTGAAGAGCGACACGATGTGGGTTGTGATCTTGCTGTTTCTACGGTTGTAAAGCGTTGTAGATTTGCGTAGTAGAAAGCTGTATTCGTCACTTTCTCCAAAGGCGAGGGAGATGTGTCCTTTGAGTGAGGCCATGACGTAGCGAGCGGACTCGTTCATGAGTTCGAGTGCGGCGGGATCGTTGGGCTTAAGGAAGGAGTGAGAGGCGGAGAACTTGTGGAATCCTTTGCCGTCGATGCGTACGACGAGGTAGACGGAAGGGATGACGGAATCGGGCAGCTCGAAGTTCCGTACGTAGGCGAACTTTGTGCCTGCCATTCTGGCTTCAGCGAAAGGATCGCCACCGGAGGAGATCCGGATGAGATGGAGCGAGGAGACGTGGTGGGATGCGGGATGGAAATCTCGAAGGATCGGAAGGTGGAGCTGTCAGACTCAGAACCCTGAGTCTTAAAAAAATCAAGGGCGGATCACGGGTTGCGGAAGGCGGATCCACCCGCACCCGCTGAATCAAACCATCATCCTCTCACGCGTACATAGCTCACCCATAGTCTTTCAATTGGGTCTCTCTACGGTATGTGCATAAGTCTCGTCAATTCATGTGATTGCTGCAGTGTCAAGTGCAGCTGGTATGAAAGGTATCTGGGTATAATGAAAGGGACATTTGCAAGTTCGCGCTCAGGGCTCGATGGGAGAGCCCATGTAGAACGGTACTTGGAAGAAGAGGGTCTTTCTAGGGTCGAAGTCGAACTCTTCGACCTCTTTGTTCTCGATCAGCGACGATGGCAGTCGCGACGATTTGCTTGATGGCGAATGAGCGACTGTAAGATCGATTGGGTCCAGAAGGAGGCTTGATCGAGAAGGACGAGTCGGCGTGACGTCGGCGTCGTACAGTCCCATCGCCTCCATTCTGCGGTAATGACTTGCTCCGATTCCGGTGAGCTTTCTTGTCAGGGATGCATCCATGGAACGCTCCAGCGAGCGAGCCTTGGCAGCAGGCGTTCTCGGCGGGCTAGGGGCAAAGACGTTCGTAGGTGTCACGGGGAAGTCATCCTGGTCTTCATCGACATCCGAATGGGGTGCAGACGAAGGGCAGGAGCTCGGCGACCTTCCTTCGAGCGCATACAGTGCATCTCGACGAGCACACTCTGTCGAGCAGTAGATCTCCGCACAAGTCGAAGTAGACGCGCTGGTGTGAGGACGGACTGGCGAGCCGCAGAAGCATCTTGTTTGATACGAATCGCGTTGGCTCTCCTTGCATGTGAAATAGCATTCGTCGTCGTCGCTCGAAAGGCAGCGTCTCGAGGTGCGAGACGTAGCCAGACGCAGAGGCTCTGGCTTCTTCCGCTCGCGACGGTCTCTGTAGGTCTTCGTGCTGGCGACAGTGATGGAAGATGTGCGAGGGGGAGGTTTGGGGATGGCGGGGGACGATGGAAGGTGCAGACTCTCGACAGAGGATACACTGCTGGCGGAAGAGACTTTGCTGAAGCTCGAACTGGCCGAAGCGATGGTCGAGTCGGAGAATCGGGAAGAGAGGTTCTGCATCTTCGCGAGCATGTTGAGGATGTGGGGAGGGATGTCGTATCTGCTGAGAGGAAGGAGGGGAGGAAGGCTAGGAAAGATTGATGGGTGATGGGGTCAGATGTCGGTGGGAGCGCCAAAAGGTGCATGCTTATATGTCAATCCGATTCTACGGATGAGGACGAGGGAAGTTGTGGCGTGGGCAGCTGCTGTACAGCGTTAGCCGCTTCCGAACCGCGTATCAGAGGCTTGTTCCTAATGAGTCTTGTGAAGCATGCAAATGCAGGACCAGTGGCGGCAAAGCACGACGGGGCAGCCAAGCCTTTTGCCGAAACGCACATTGGGCCAGTGAGCAGAGGGAGTTCTAGACAGCGTCATCCCATTGCACAATCGTCGACCACCCGACGGCATTGTTCTCTCAAATCAAAGGGATTCTGACTGCTGCCATGCAGCGTGTAGACTAGCAAGAGCAATTGTCCAATCGCTCATCGACCTCATTGTCTGCCTCAAGGCGCTCCCGTGATTGCGTGTTGGATCGACGCCATCACAGATCTGTTGCTGATGAGAGTGCGGCACGACGCAGAACATCGTAAGAGACGATGATCGTCAACGACGATGACTGGTGAAATGGGTGAGTCCAGCTCGTCAACGTGCCGTCGGATGCAGCTACAGGCGCTTGGTCCTCGCCCTCTGGTGTTCTCAAGGATCGACGGCCCAGATATCAGCCCACGTACCTGCAAAGCCCGGCACCGTCTTGGCTGTGTCGATTTAGTGTCTGTCGGAATCTCAAATGCGATGTCAGGATCCTTTCAGAACACTCCGACAATGATGTGAGCCAAGCTGCGCGGCAGATTCCTTCGAAGCAAAGCTGCACGGCGGCAAAGGCGGAGAAGCAAACGGAGATGCGATTGGACGATAGGATCCCACGGAACGTGTGCGGGGGCGTCAGCGTTTGTCGCGAGTCCAAAGCAACGGAGCGTCGAGTCGGAGCATGAATTGGTCGGAGTATTGAAGCTGTACAAAGGGGACGAGAGCAAGGGGCCAAGTACAGCTGTAGAAGCAAGAGCTACAAGGCGTCGGGGCACTCGAATCGACGCCGCGATGCAGCAGAAGCAACGCAGCGGAACGGCGTCAGCATTCAGCTACACCAGCAGCAGCTGGGCGTCACTCCACTGCGGCCCTCCCCACTAAGGACAAAGGGCAAGTCGGGCACTTCCCGAAAAGGCAAGCCTCAAAGAGCCGTCGCTTGACTCCGGCTTCGCTTCGGCGGACGACTGTCCATGCAGCCAATTACGACTGTCATTCGGCGCGTAGATAAACTTCAGCACACAGAGCCTCGTCTTTTGTTCATGTCAGGGGTAGCTGTCTATCGCCGCTTCTTCTGGCCTCGTCCCCACTCTACGCGATTCACTCCCACTCCCATTCCTCGCCAGGCCTTCCAAGATTACATGTTCTGGCCCGCCTCCCGCCCCTTTGTGCCGGCGTTCCTCACCCAACAAGGGAAGCCGTGACTTTCTAGACTGTAGGTCTAGATTCTCGGCGGGACACGGGCTCCGGTCGCTCAAGCGAGTAGAGGTCCATGAGGATGTGAACACCTGTCGGCACGATCAGAGTAGCGTCACGGATGAATCGTCTTCTGCTGCATCTTTGGCTCAGCAAGGCAAGTCGTGGCTTGCAGATCGACCATGCGCTTTGAGTCAAAATGGCAACGTGTCAACAGGGCAGCAGCACGCGTCTCTGAGACCAACACTTTTGCAGATCAAAAAGAATTCACGGCAAACAACAAGGTTTCGGCTAAAATCCAAATCCAAATCCAGCTCAAGCGACGCTCTTAGGCCCGGAGAAGCCTTTGCCGAGCCAAACCCACACTGGCAACAGAGAAAGGGCCAAGAGCAGCGCCTGCGTCTCTCGCGCGCCTTTGCAAAGTAACACACGAAATTCAAGTTCCAGCGAAGCGCTGTCCGCCAAGTTTCTCCAGATGCTAGCATTTCGTAGTCCGACGAGATGGTGTTGCGGTTTGTCATGGTTCAATCTCAAGCCTCGACGTCATCACTCGGTGTACCGCCCGACATAGTTACAAGCGAATCCGATTGTCTGTTTACCGGTCGAGTGGCTTGCAATCGTCGCACTGGCGAAAGAGACCTGCGAAGGCGAGAGATAAATCGTGGGCGTCTATCGTTCGATGGACAATGAAGCTATGCTGTGTGGAACCATGGATGTTGCAGCGCCAGCGCCCGAGCTTGCGCACGCTGAGGGTTGGCGAGGCTGCGTATGCCGCGCGACCAGCTGATGAGTGTCTGCACATCGAATTGGCTGATGGTCAGCATGCGGTGGCGGGGTCCATCCCACATAGCATGACAACGCATGTCCATGTACAGGACGATATGCTGTAGGCCTTCATGCGGATGAACCACCTTATCGCAACAGTCGTGGTGGGGGAGAGGTAACGCGGATGCAGCGTAATCAAATTCCAAGCTATTTCGGTCCACACGATTGGTTCTCGTTCCGAATGTTCAAGCTGCAAGGGGCCTCGATTGCTGCCACCTTCAGAACCAGCCACGGAAACTCTCTCTGTCCTTATGAAACGAGCGCACACCGTCCGGTACGTTTGGAGCAGTTCCTCGCTCGCCCAATTCCGAGCCGAATCCGTGGCCTGAAGTGGAGAGGTAAAGCGAAGCTTCGCTTGACACCTTCCATCTCAGCAGCCCCTCACGTCGGACTAGACGCGTCGAGTACGCTCTGTAAACACGCGTTCCTTTCGCGGCCCCTGACAGCGCTTCGCCGAGGCCCTCTTGGACATCCGTATCCTGTCCTTGCGGCTAACGTTGGTCGAGCTAAGCGCTTTCCTCGCTTAAAGCGTGCCTCGGTGAGCCATTAGCGTGGCTTTTTGATGCGAGGTAAGCGAGACAGCTCCTCAGATGATTAATGAACCCGAGTGCTGTAACGCATCAATCTCTACTCGCGTGTTCGAAGGCTGTGGGCGCGCTTTTGCTTAGCAAGCACGTCGGGCTTCGAAAGGTGGAACCCAGCGCAATGGGTCGTCAATCCGGAGCCGCGCTTCTGATGTCATCTCTTGTTTGCCAACCTTCACGCAAACGCGACCGATCTGAATCAGGTGATGTTAGGATTGCTGATTTCTTCATCAAAAGCCGGATTCCTCTCATCAGTGCAAGATAGTACGCGGAGGACTGTCTTTGTGCAGACTGCAGTCACGCCCCAACTAGCGCTAGACTGCATGCTACGGCTCTATTGGTGCCGACCATAGGAAGACGTTGCAGTGGCGGCTGCTTTTCGAAGCGAGAGACCCTGCACGACCCTGCTTCCCTAAGGATTCGCTCTGCAAGGGATGTGAGATTTGCAGGGTCTGTGTCTCGCTTGCGGTGCAGAGCAAGCAGGGCAAGCGAGCTCCTTGCCTCGGAGTCGGTGTGAGCCCGAGGTAGAGGGTCGACCCCTACCTCCTCTTCCCGGCATGGCATCAGCGATTTGTCCCCGATGCAATTCGATCCGTCAACTTAACAGCGACTGAACCTTGAGCTCTCTCTGCGTCCTTCTGAGGGGAACAACGACTCGAGCCGTTGCATCGTTTTCATTGCAACCGCGAAGGCGCTTCTTGCATCTCGTTACATCTGATCGACACGGTTGAGTTTACATCCTTCCTTTTGCAGCGTCTGGGCGTGGTACCTGCAGGTCGAGTTCGAGTAGCGGAGCTTTTTCGCCCCAGCCAAAAAGAAGGTTCTGGCGTACTTTAGAAAATGATCTTTCGGTGAAACCCAAGGAAAGGGAGACGCGTGCAGTAAAATCGTCCATGTAAAGAAGGTCCTAAAATTCTGATGAAGAAACGATGCCACTTAAAAGAACAGTACATTACATCGACAGCAACGAGAGAAATGCACCGGCGGAACAGACTAGGACAGGAATGCAACGTGATGGCATCGTCGTTTGCTTAGCCGCCCATAATGCTGGAAGCCGATCCGGATCCCGATCCCATCCAAAAATCGGCCGATGAGCTCGATCTCGATCAAAGACCGAGATGAGAGGACGATCGACGTCGGAACCCTTCGGCAAAGATCTGCATCACAGTGTCGTCGCCCAAGACGCTGCTCGAGAGGCTCGTCGAAAGACTCGTTACAGATCGTGCGGCATGTTGTGTGAGCCACGGATCCAGTGGACTGCCAGGTGCCTCTACTTCGGAGTCCCAATCCTCCCGTCCGAATTCGAAGCTGCATGGCGACACGGGCACATCCAGGTTCTCGGTACGAGCGTGTTCAACAAGTCTTTCTGAAGGAACTGTGAGAGGTTTTGAGAGGTCTCTCTCGAAGTCACTGTCCGCATAACGCCGCATGATGCTCATGTAAGCGTCTTCGAAGCTGTACAACGAACCTGAAGCTGATTGGGCTGCAGTGCTCTGCGGACAGTCTGCGGCTGAATCGGGCTCGAAGCCATAATCGTCAGTAACGGCGTAATAGTCGATAAAGGGGGACGTCGAGAAGTCGGAATGCGTGTGAATCGTGCTTTGAGTGGACAGCCGGGTCGAAGAGGTCGGGACAACAAGAGAGGGCAACGAGAGAGAGTTCACCATCGGAGTTGATTGCTCGTCCATTTCCTCGAGATATTCCGCGTGACCCTCGTGCCCCTTGAGCTGCTCCAAGAGACGAATGGTCTCGGGCATGGATCCACTAGAGCGTCTGGCACCCAGGTGCTGCCTTCCAAAATAATCGTGCGACTGCCCCGCGTCCAGGCCGTGCCTTCCGAGATATCTGCACTGGTTGATGACGCTTTCGATACTTTCGAGCCATTCATTCAAGTCTGCCACGTTGGCAGAGCTTAATATGCAGACCGAGTTGGCCGATCCTCGATGATTGTTCTCGAAACGCACCGAGTTGCTCGCGCCTAGAGCATCTCCCGTGATGACCAGCTGCCTTCGTCGAAGTTGCTTGGAGTCGTCGGGATGATCGACCTCAGAAGGGCACGGCTGCATCTCCACCGTACTGGAGCGTGTAAGCCGGAACCTCAGCTGTAGACTGCCATGGGAAGACCCGCGACATTTGGCATCATTGCGCGTGTAAAGATTGAGGTAGAATTCTGGATCCATCGGGCTTCCTGGTTGCGATGTCCGCGGTGTCTGGAGAGGGTCCGAAATTGTGGATGTTGGCGATCTCGAATGAAGATCTTGGCTGTCTGAAAGAGTATCGAGCACATCCCAGCTGGGTGGAGGGATCCATCTGCTCTGATCGGAAAGACATGACGGCACCGGGCGTGGCTGAAAAGATGCAAGTCCATCGTTGTCGAAGGCAGAAGGATCACTGGCGCCGGGACTAGCCAAGAAGGGCTCATTCGAGACCTTCAAATGGCTAGAAGCGCTGTGAAAGTTCCAGGACATCAAGTCTTGCTCCAACGAATTCGTCGAAGTCGGATCGTGGCGATCCAAAGTGACGAACACCTCTTGTTCCCTGTCGGTGACCTGGTCCTTCGCTGCCTGCCTCCTTCGCAAGGCCTTCTCGAACCCACCGAGAGCTCCTCTCCTGCATGTCGTGTCTGCGGCCGTTCTCAACGTCAAGTGACCGGTCTTCAACAACAGATCGGACGAGCGCGAAAGTGAGCGTCTTGATGGCAGGTGGAAGCTCGGCGCAGAGGATGATGACTTGAGGGTCTCACTCGTGCCACCGATGTCTCCATTTCGAGGCGCAGGCACAAATACATTGTAAGGATGAGATACTGCCGACATGCTTATCTGAGGTGGTGCAGAAGGAAAATAAGGCTTGTGCAGTACGCCGGCTGAAGAGCTGGATTTACCGTGATCTGGTGATGAGCTCGCATCCCTACTGGCCGACCAAGCAAGGTGCAGGTTGGCAGGTCGAGTAAAGACTTTTCTCGTAGTTTTCTGGTCGCTGGGATAGTTGAGAGACGTCATGGTGCAAGCAATGTCGACAGCAGCAACAGGTAGGGTTGAGAATATATTTGACAGCGTAGACGCTGAAGATAGATATGGTCAGCCATCAAAGGTCATCGCCTGTACTTATACTTGTTCGATGACTGTGCGGCCATGTGTCGACACCCGTGTGCAGGAACATGGTCCGAGGCTTCCGCAAGGACCGAATGCGGAGTGTCAAGGTACACAACCTGCTTGGCTTTGCATTGAACATCACACCAGCAAAGGGACGAGCAGATAGCATCAAAGGGAAAGGGATCAGCGAAAAGCATCAAAGGGGAAGCCTCGACACAAAGGCTACCGTTCGAATTTCATCTGTCGTGGGATTCACTTGTGCAGATTCCGAATCAAAGATCACGAAACTTCCATTGTTAGTCTTGTAGATTGTACCGAGACGCCGGAGGACAATACCCCGCTATCTCTATTGTACGAATCGGATGCGGAAAGACGTTTATCATTCAATGGTACAGTCCGGTGCGGAGTATCGGCTGTGGACGAAACTTCGGCCGGTACAAAGCATCCTCGAGTCGTCTATGCACGCATAGGCACAGACGGATTCAAGAGAGACCAACATGTTTCGAAGACACATCTACATGGACCGAATTGATCAGGTAAGAGACCCGAAACGAACGGACTGCTTCCATTGTATGATGAGGTCTTTCCAAAAAGAACAAAGGGCAGCTGCTTGGCGATCCCATTGTTTGTGTCGAAATGCGGAAAATTCTTCGGAATATAGGCGCGTTCAAGCAGATCGGCCCAATTACAGCTTCACATGGCGGCCGGTTCTCTGCGATCTAACAAGCAGAAATATCGAAGGTGTTCATGCTGTCCAATTTTGGTGCATTTGGAAGCTGGGTGTGTTGTGAATGCATTTGTCCTGATCCATCCGAATCAGTGACAGCTGAGCTGTCTAACAAGGATAGCCATTTGGCACAATCCGATGCGGAGACGCATGTGCTCGAAGTCTTGCGCTCGTGGAAAACGTGGTCTCGCTTACGGGTGTACTGTGTTTAGATCGTGGCGCGGGTTCCTATTGGGTCTTCGAGACGCAAGGAGCTGCAGTGAGACGGCGACGAGATTTGCGGAGTCAAAGGCGATGCTAGTTCATTTGTGCCTGAGTTGACGATCCTCTGGAACACCCTGGCTGCGGAGAGACAACGGCCAGATCCGAGGATGTGGGACCCATGCACTGGTTCCCATAAGACTGGACCGGGCAGCAAGGGACATCTGAGAGCCAGCTTGGGATTCCCGGACGGTTGCTACCAAAGTCGCTGAATTTGACACTCCGCCCCCTCACATGAGAAATTTTCCTGCTTCCTCGTCGAATTTGGCGGTACAAGCAAAGGATACAGTGCACCTGTGAGACACTGTCGGCCTGGACCCTGGAAACTCATCCCGGCGAGACCAAGATTCGGCTCTCGTGGCCGCGTGGTCGAAATCTCTTGCGGGTCTCAATCTCGAAAAGCCAATCTAGCTTGATTTCAAGCTCCTCGTCTACCGAACCTCTATCATGCCTTTTCGGCATGTCGCAAGGACGGTTTATGTTAATCGGAAAGTTAAAGCCGATCTACCGAGGCTGCGCCGGATCGTCGGTCTGTACGTCGAAGACGGATGCCCAGTGTTGCCCTGCCTGAAGAATGGAAGCTTCGAACAGACACAGTGCAATTCGACCTTCGCTTTATGCGTCCAAGGCACCGTTCTGCTGATCTGTAATCACACACCCTTGATTGCTGTGTACAAACGCGGCAATTGTTGCATGGAGTCGCTTTGGATGCACAGCAACAGGATGGTATCTTGTCGACGCTCGAGTTGCTACATGCAGATTGGTGCAACAATTCGGCACAGAAGAAGCTCGCAGAACTTGCGCGCTGGTCAATCGATGAGTAGAAGCGCAGCCTCTTCGACGTCGTGTATATCGCCTCTCAAGCGCAGGGTATGTAATCTGCCACTGCAGAGCACAAGCCTCGCGATCCTGCAAGGTTGCCACGGTGTGCAAACGAACGAGATTCTTGCAAAAAATGGGATGCAAAGTCCCGAACGATTTGGGGTCAAAGCACTAGGTGCACAAAAGAAGTGCTCGCAGTCGCTCAGCAAGGACACTCCGGGAGCATATCTCACAGTGTCGGTCTGCTTCCGCGTATTCCGCTGAGTAGGAAAGTAAGACACGCTAAGGCAGCTTGTGAGGACTCTTTCCGGACCCTCATGTTGGTGTTTACTTCCAGCTGTGCTGATGCTCGTCCATACAGCCAGATGACTTGAGCCTCCTTCGGAACGACTATCTCCGTATGCGGAACGCGAAGTGCACTGTGGTAGCAACAAGACCAGATTGAGCTCGAGCCTCTCGATCTTTCGTCGGTCGGAATGTCCCGCTTGATCCAAGTCAAGGCCAGAATAACTGACAACGGCAGGAGTGATGAGCCTAGTGACAGCTGTCGCTGTCTACGAAAGCACATCTTCTCGAGCCTAACTTAACCCAAGACAAAGTTAACTTCACTTTGGCTGCTTCGCGATGGGCGACACCATGATCGTCACATGCAAAAGGCCGTGAAGGCGGTCGAACTGCCACTACGAACCTTCCTTTATGAAACACATTCCTCTTGCATCTTCTGCGGATTTGCCTTCATTCGTCGGACTTCTGTGTGGTGGGAGCGATGTGCAGCATTGATGTTTCTGAAACTGCGAGTCACTCGCAAACGATTAAACGCGAAGACGATCCTCGACGGTGCGGCGCAAGTTGGAAGGAGGTTAAGCCTTCGACCTTGACCGACGCCCACCAACTTACTCTAGTTCTTATGGTCTTGACACCTCTTGAGCGTGTTCAGCCTAAACAGCAACTTCATCGGAAAATGTGGAAATGCGAGGGGCGAAATTTCAATCTGCGAACATTTCAAGCTGCGACTCCCCTTGCCGTCGGACCCTTCTAACGCCGCGCGACCTCTGTGTGGCTCCTGGACCCCTGCTTGGCAACACTGTACCTTGCTGCTGCTCGATGGATTGCCACCTGACTGATTAGGTCCCGCTCATGCTTCATCCGCGCGATTCCAACTTCGATCCCGCCAAAGCTGCAGCCATACTGTAAGTGAGTTTGCAATATCGTGGCAGACAGTTGCGTTCGGCTCGCTTTCCACCCGCATACTCTGGCTCTCTTGCGCCTTCCACCGTACTCACACATGGAGCAATCCTTGCATGATTGTTCCTGTGGTCGTGCATCTGCCCCGCCAGCGTCCTCTATTGTGCTCGGCTCGTTCACCCACATTGATTTGTTGACTAGCCTTGCATCGCCTTGCTGAGCTGGCTCAGCGAACACCTCATCATCGACTTGCTCGTCTCTCGGACGTCCTTCATTGGAGTTGGCGCACCCACCTCTGAGCACCAATCTCCACCTAACTTTGGCTTCGCTTAGCGTCGCTGACACTTCGTCGAAAGGCACAAACGAGGAGTCGCTGCCGGTCACGTATGCCCAATTGCTACATTCTTTAAAAGCGTCGGGCTTCTCCGCTTCGTTTCGCCCATCCTCAACTTGTTCGTCATCCCCCTTCTCGACCTGCTTCGGTTCTGTTTCGACTTACGACACTTCTTGTCGAAAAAAAAACATAGAAGCGCAACGTCTCCGCTCGTTGATACACGAAGAGGAAAGCACGCGGGATGACTTCCATCGTCTCTGCAAAGGCGTCAAGCAGCTATACGAGCCACGAGAGCAGCGTCACAGCTTCTTGCACGGATCGCGATGTCTTCGATCAGACGACTCGCCCGGCCAGCGCAAGCGCCGACGACTACAGAATCCTCCGTCCGGGCGACTTCAGAAGGGTGAAAAGTCACCTCACGCTGCCTTCTAAATCAACATCACACCTCGGCCATGGCTTTGACTCAGAACCAGCAGCTCTCGCGGTGCCTCCACCGTCAGTCTTCTCGAACGAAGTCAGTGACGATGCATCCCCGAACCCTCCCGACTTTGACCTCGTGATCAAAGCCTCACCGCACAACCTGTCCGAGCGCCAAAGCGGAGATCGCGCCACCTTTGGATCGTGGGATCAAGGTTCGGACGCCTCCGACGCTGGCAGAGGCCCTGTCGACCCATCTGAACCTCACGACGAAATTTTCCACACGGTAGACGTATCTACTGCTCCCCACGCCGAATCTCAATGGGCCGCCCCATCCGCAGTCGAGCTCGCTGTGCCGCCGTCTCCTCGCGTGCAAGATGCGCATCTTGACCAGCTCAAGCAGGAAGCTGACGAGGTCTGGGCCACCTACCGCTCTGGCACGGCGTCCCAGCACACTTCTCCGATCATGGGACGCAGCCGTGACAAGATACTTGCCGCGCCGACGCAACCCGGTCAAATTCCACAACGCATCACATCGCTGCGAAGGTCCTCAGCAGTCGTGCTGAGCGCTCTGCCTTCTTCCGACGCGTCAAGACCAAGGGGCTCGCTCGCAACGAGCAGCAGCCAGTCTCACAGCTCGTTGATTAATTCGCGTCATGATGTCCACACCTTCCCTCGCATCACCTCCTCCGTATCTCACGGATCGTTCGGCTCATGCAGAGGACCGCCATCGTCTGACGTGCACTTCCGTCGTCCCCACACAGCTTCAGTTGCGTCATCGACTTCGGGAAGCAGCTTCCTCAGCCACCAAAACAGTTTCGAGAGCGGCATGAGCCCGCTCCTTTTCTTCCAATCTGGCACTCCTGTTCGAGCACCGGGCGCAAACCCACGCCCCGTCACTTCGGGGAGCATCCCGAACATCAATGTCGGCGCATTCGGCTCAGCCCATCCGCGTTTCACGCACTCTGCTGCCGGCTTGCTTCCTCAAACAAGCAATCAACTATCTGCAGAGCAACGGCGTCAACAAGTTCGAAGGACAAAGAAGCTTGCTCACATGCTTGGCGAAGAGATGCTGCTAGCCTGCAACTCTGCTCGTCCGCCAACGCAGCGCACCTCTGCGGGCTCCGGCTCGCGCAGCAAGAATCGACCGCACAGCATGCCTTACACTGCCGACCTGCCAATGGCGGCACCAGCCATTTCAGCCACCGGTAACAAGACTCGCACGCTTTCTCGCAGGCTGTTGCACGGCCGAAGCCACGGTGTCAGGAGCTTGGACCGCGCTCTGCCTGACGTGACAACGATGCAGCATCCTTCATCGGCACCTGCGAGTCTCAATCGCAAAGCAGCTGCCGTTCTCGGCATCGCTCATCCCTACTCGTCCGAAGCGCTCGCCCGGGCTTCTGCGCAAGAGATGCTGGCAAGCGATGAGGACTCTGACGTGACTGGGGACTTCGGACTGCGCACCTACATCCCTTCCGGCCTGGAGGAGTTCAACGAACCCACACCCAAAGTGACACAGCTCGCCGCGTTCTCAGCTGCAGCCCTGGACGAAGCGGCTTCGCCCACACTGCCGCAGGACGGATCTTTCCGACCTTTTGATCGATCGCATCTCGATCAGACTTTCGTCGTATCTGAGAGCCGCAAGCTCGCTGCCGCGCGCGATGAACGCCGTCGTCGCGTTGCGAAGATGTCGCGCTGGCTCGGCGAGGCTGTGCCCGCTGAGCTCATCGTGACCGACGCTGGTCACCATCAGCCCGCAGTGATCCGCAGTACCGAAGCTCCGATGGCATCGAATGCGTCCTCCTGCACCAGCCACGAATGTAGCGAGCTTGCCAGTCTCCGAGGGGGATTGCCTCCTTCCTCTATCTGCGGCAATGATTCCTCCATCGGCCACGGCTCAATGTCACACGAAAGATCCAAAGCATCTGCCTTACAGTCGTTCATGTCGATCGACAGCTCGGACGACGAATCGGAGGACGAAGCCGCACCCGTTGTCAACCGCAAGGCCGCAGATCTCCCAACTTCTCTTGCTGCGGGCCGTCGCCGAGTTGCAGCTCCGCCTACGAGTGAGGCATCGGCATTGCCGGACGGCATCTCTGCATACCGCAATTCGATCGAGAGTTGGGAATACTTGCTCAACACCAACGATCACGAGCGCCTCTCAGAATTGGCCTCGATCTTCCACAGCTCGCCCCACGCGACCAGCGATCAAAGTACCAAGGCGGCGTCTCCCATGGCTCGACCGCCTCGTTCGTCGGCTCGTCCTCGCGCCTCGTCCGCTGCCGTCGGTGCTACCGCGGCGATGCCGCTCTCGCCCGCCCGAACCGTTCCAGCATCGAGGTCGCTATCTTCCAGCGTGGAAGATGGTGCGCGTCCCTCCGCAGCCTTCCTCGAGCTCACTGATTCCGAGAGCGACAGCAGCGATGCCGAGGACGAGCTGCTCGACATTGACGATCTTTCGGCGTGCTACTCTGCCACGCTGCGACAAAAACGTCTCGGCTCTCACGATCGTTCCATCTCGAAACTGTCCAATTTCTTCGGCTCGACGCCCTCGCAGATCGTCCGCTCCCAGAGCGATCTGCGTCCGTCCGCCATCTCTGCATCCGGCGGCGATTCCGTCGACTCGCTCGCTGTTCAGCGAGCCAGAGGCTCTCGTCGATTGACACCGACATTGGGCACTGGATCACAGCCAGACGCGTTGAAGTCCATGCTGAGATCGCTCGAAGAGGAAGCTCTGGACGATTCCAAGTTGACCAACATCCAAAAGTCGGAAATCTCAAGAAAGGTGTATCTGCTCAAGAAGAGGACGACAAAGATGTTTGCTTAGAGCCTCGTCGAGTCTGCCGGCAGACACGACGATCTCCAGTGGCATTCGTTTATCGACCGTAGGTCCACTCATTATGTTCATGAAATCTGTTGCTTATCAAAGCCCTTCCTTCTAGCTCGGCTACCTGTAATCGTACACATTGCACTCTATATCACACACACACACAGACACTTATACATTCGCACGCACGCATCCTTTGCTAATTTGAAACGGCCCCTTTGTCATTGCTCGCTCCCAAAAGCGTGTCCGCTAGTGATCGATATCCTCCCAAGCTCTTCCCACGGTATGTTTGAGATCGTCCTCGGTCAACTGTTTGGTAGCCGAAAAGTAGCCGGCTTGGATCTTTGCGTCGATCTCTACCCTTGAATCGGCGGGGATGAGTTCCTCGGGTAGCTCGTAACGGTTCTTGATGGTGATTCCGCTGTTGACGGCTGCGTCGTGCTTCATGTTGCTCATCGAGATCCAGTTGGTGATGTTGGTGGCACCCAGCCAGTGCAATACGTCGGGCATGAGGGCTTGGAACCTCATGTCCTTGACACCGGCGATGTTCTCGGTCCTCTTGAAGTAGTTGCTTGCCGAATCGGTGCCTCTCTTTCGAGCATTGTAGACAAGGTATTTGGTGACCTCGCCGAGCGCACGACCTTCTTTGCGGAAGTAGATGACCGCTCCTGCTCCACCACGCTGTGCAGTCTTGATGCATTCTTCGATACCGAACAGCAGGTAGGGACGACACGTGCAGATGTCACTTCCAAAGACGTCGGATCCGTTGCACTCGTCGTGAATGCGCACGGTCACCTCCTTTGTTGGATCGCGAAGGTCTTCGGGTCGTCCAAAGATGTAGACGGTCAGACCCGAGATGGGAGGGAGGAAGACTTTGAGATCGTGACGCGTGAGAAGTTCGGGATACGATCCGCCCGTGTCTTCAAAGATGGCACGTCTCAACGCACCTTCCGTGACGCCGAGACGCTCAGCCACGCCGGGCAAGTACCACACCGGGTCGACGGCTGCTTTGCTCACGCTGACCTCGCATCCCGGATCGACATCCTCGGCAACACCAGGAAGACGGATGCTCTTGACGACGATCTTTCCATCGATGGGAAAGACACCAGCCTGCTGGGCCTTGTCAAGCTCGGGCATCTTGATGTGCGCCTTGGTGAGCGACGCCGTGGGACGAATGTCGACGCCAGACTCGAACTCGGATCGGTACACTTGCGGTGCGAGATGACCCCATGGGTCCATGGCGACGATCTTGGACGGGTCGAACCACGATGGGTTGGGCGGAATGTCGAACGGAGGCTCTGTGTTGGTGTAATCGGGCCTGTGGTTGGGGTTGAGCTGACCCATGGCGATGGCGAGCGATCGGTAGACAGAGTAGCTGCCTCCGTAGGCACCGATGGCGTTGCGGACGCGGATGGAGTTCGGGTGTCGACTTGCAACCACGGGTCCTCGCTGCTTGGGATCCTGAGCTGCCCAGTTGAGCGGCAAAGGCTTGATACCCACTTGACCAGGGTAGGTGGTGAGGATGACTCGGGATGAGTAGTACCCTGCTGTGGAGCTGGTTGACGCGGGCTGAGAGGGTGACGCTGTGCCATTGGTAGGGAGCTTCTTGGCGCCCAGTTCGGGTGTCTCGGCAGGACTGGGTCCGTTGGTCTGAGGCAAGCCACCGAGAGGGTGAGCAGGGGGACCAAGAGGCTGAGGAGGCGGCGAGGTACCCAAAGCAAAGTCGGCAGGTTGGGACGGAGAGAAGCTGTGAGCACCCAGGGCGGTGAATCCGGTCGAGCTCTGTCGACGAGCAAAAGATGACGGCGAAGGCAGCGTCGCCGCGTTCTGCAGAGAGTCGACCTGCGACAAAGCAGATCAGGAAGGGAAGAAAGGCGACTTTGTTGTCAGCTGATGCAAATTTCCATACAGCGGCTCGTGTAGTGAGTATCATACCTTGGCCTCAAGGTGCGAGTTCTTGACTTTGAGCTCTGTGAGCTCGTCGAGGATGCGCGAGAGGATGTGATCGGTTGATGAGGTCATCTTGATCGCCTATATCGTGGGACGGTGATCTTTAACACGAGTGGGTTTCGAAAGAAGGTCTCGGACGAGGCCGTTGGAATATGATATCGTAGCGAGAGGGATGCTTCCGTGATCGGTGAGGGTGAAGCAAGACCGAAGTCCGAATACGCAAGGTGATGATAGAGGGGAAAGCTGACGAGGAAGCAGTGCAAACTTTAAAAGCGTCCGCCTGTCAATGAGTCAGGGTTGAGGAGGTGGATACGGGATAGGAAAGCGGATGGTCGGCGAACGCCAAGGGGAGCCAGGCTGACTGACACGCAACGGTCGGCCAGCTCCGTAGCGTCTATCGGCTTGACGCAGCGATGCCAAAGTTGTGCCTCCTGTTGTGGGCACGGATCATACTGGCCGCACAACTGGATCTACTCCGCATGCCGCTGGTGCTAGCTGCACCCTGAATCGGCTGCACCGACCGAGCAAGGGCGCGCTCAGGGTTGAGTAGATAAGGGTCTGTGCTTCACGCGACACTCACGGAAAACGTGAGAGCTGAGGTGCCTCGAAATATCGCCGCGAATTGTTTCACCGCTGTTCGAGCTTCGAGGCGGTATCCGAACATCCGATGCACCAATTTGAGGCTCTCCCATCATGACATTTGGACTGCGTTCATTCTTCGGACTTGTCACACCATGTTTCGAGGCTATCAGAGCCATAGCGTCTCCACGACTGAAATTGCTGAGCTGAGGTTAATGTGGCTAGCAGTGATGGAAACCTGTTCAGACGATGCTAGCCGTTGCAGTGAGTGTTTGAATCAGACGTCTCGCTGCGGAATCGGCTCGATCCTGGGAGCGCACTTATAGTGACTGACAAGAAGCTGATAAGAGGCAGCCAAGGCGGCTCAAGAAGAAGGCTGACGAGCCGTTGAAACGTGGAACAACGCACTAGATCCCCGATCTGGCTTGCCTTACAGATGTGCGCCCCGGTCGGGGCATCAGCTCGATCGATCCCGACGGAGCTCCACCCTCATCGAATCACTTGATCTCAGCATCACAGCGCTTCAACTCATGCCAACCATCTGCTGCGCCATCGTCGACGCCATCGTTGCGCCTCAGCGCCGCTCATTCTGGGCTCGCGCATTCTGCGTCCCCCGTCCATCGGCTACTAGGTTCGCAGACGCTCAAAGCCCGAAACTCGACGCCAATGACACCAGATGAATTATAAAGCGTTCTGATTCGGTGATATTGCGCAGGGGTCAGAGAGGGGGATGGTTCTGAGAGGAATATCCACATTTTCGATCCTGCGCCTTGGCCCTGAGGTCCTACATGCTCTGGTTCGAGAAAAGGCGGCAGAAGGTGCTGGTGTTGTCGGTCTAGGTATGTAGTGCGCGCACGGTCTTTGCACAAGCGCTCGGCGTACCGTCCACGTGTGCTTTGGGTTGCTACGACCGAGCTTGCAATGGAGACTCGTGTCTCACTTCAAGCGCGCCTCTTGAGGTTGGTGCTCAACCACTCGAGACCCTCGTAAAGACCGTCACCGCTAGTGGCACAGGTGGCCTGGATGAACCATTGTCGCTGTCTCAAGCTGTGCAAGCCAAGCTTGTCAGTGATCTCGGCGGCGTTCATGGCGTTGGGCAAATCCTGCTTGTTAGCAAACACGAGCAGCAAGGCGTCGCGAAGCTCATCCTCGTTGAGCATGCGCTGCAGCTCCTCGCGTGCCTCGGAAACACGCTCTCGGTCGTTCGAGTCGACGACGAAGATGATACCGTGCGTGTTTTGGAAGTCTGTAGGAGGAAATTACGAGACCAGATGAGAGACACGACAAGAGTCAGCATCGACGGCAGTCAACGGCAAAGAGCGTGAGCTCGACCAGCTCGCTTCCAGAGACTTACAGTGCCTCCAGAGAGGTCGGATCTTGTCCTGTCCACCGACGTCCCACACGGTGAAGGAGATGTTCTTGTATTCGACAGTCTCGACGTTGAAGCCTATTCGGTCGAGTGCGTGGGTGAAAGCAGGGCGTTCATGTGAAGTGAGTAAGCAAGCAAGATGGACTGGATTTCGTCGCTTGTGCGGTACACTTACCGATGGTAGGGATGGTGGTCACGATCTCTCCGAGCTTGAGCTTGTAGAGAATGGTGGTCTTACCGGCGGCGTCGAGTCCGACCATGAGGATGCCTGTTAGCGATTGTCAAAGTGTGGTGAAGAACGTGCAGGGCAAGCGAATCGTGAGCAAAGAGAAGCCGGACAATCGAACAACCAGGCGACCTCCAAACGATGCAGTGACGAAAACAACCAAGCCGTCGCCGGTCGCCAAGCCATTGGAAGCGCTGCAGAACGGGTGCTTCCAGGAAACCCCTGGTCGACGTTGAGAGGGTGGAGGGACTGGCTGACTGCAGACTGCCGTTGATGTCCGTGCAGCGACCTGAAATTGCTCGCGTCATCGTAAGGAGATGTCGAGGTGAAAGTACTTACGCATCTCTTTCTTGCCGAAAAGGCCAGAGAGCAGTTTGGAAATAGACATGCCCATCTTGGAAAAGTGTGTTTCTCTTGACCGAGAAGGTTAAGGGACTGGTGAGGCGGCAGAGGTTCAGACAGGGCGATCGAAACGAGCAGAGATCGATTTGAAAATGTTCAGCAAAACTTGTACATTCCACGCATGGAGCGAGATATCGGGTTTGCGCTGAGATGGCAAGAGAGACCCGGATTGGCGACGTGATCGGATGCAGATACGAACGTTTGATGGGAGGGTGATGCAATTGGAAGTGGCAACCGAAGACCGTAATGTAACAGAAATGAGCGGGGTCGGTCGAACGAAAGCGTCGGTGGTGGTGGTGATGGTGAGGACGATGATGACGAGAATGACGAAGGTGTTGGATGACGACGACGGCCGCGATTAATTTGCAACTGCACGCGGGCAGCTTGCACCGACCATTCGCCCTGATTTGAGACAGAGCCGCCGCGAAATTCAGGACAGGCTGGACAACGCTCTGTGCGTGTGAGCGTGTGCGTAGCGTGCATCACGTATCTGCTGGCCCTGGCGCTCTCTTCTCCGACCTCGATGGAAATTCCAGCAGGCAGAGCTGGCTGGACACGCCTCAGCCCTCGCCTGGGCGCTCGCTGAAGCTGTCGTGGCGATGTTTCTCCAACACGACTTGTGTGCCCCTCTGCGTTGTTTGCTTGCGTGTCCGTTCGCTGTTCGAATTCGAAAAGCGCGCTCCAGATTCGAAATTCGAAATTGACAGGCTTCAAGATCGCTACGTTGTTGAAGTCAATTTGTAGTTTTTCTAATCAACTCGCTGCAAAGACCTAATACAAATCGAGGACTCCATTTCACAGAGTCCGGTGGAGAATTCAAACCAGATCTGCAAGAAGAATTTCGTCAAGGAGAACAACACCGCGACTCTGCCTTTCACACCGCAGCAATGTCGGTCGTGTAGTTCTAACATAGCAGCATAACACACCTGGCTGCTGCGAGGCATGGTCGATCGTAGCTGCAGAAGCGCCCGCACTGTACGCGCAAGCAAATGGCTCTCATTCTTCGCAAACAACTTACAGGGCGTGATATTCATGATCAGACGTAGGCAGCATCCGCCTCGAGACCATCTTCTCGCATGCACTTCGCAAGGATCGCATGCGACGGTCTCGATACGACGTGAGGACTGGCTCGGCACTCTCGCACGGACGGATCCTAGGCAGATACAAACCTTGTTACATCCTCAGTATAGATCTTATCAATAATGTGGATAGCATTCCGTGGACCGGAGGCCTGCATGGGGGCAAATGCTCATGGACTGTCGTGCACTTTGGATGACAGTGACCAGGAACAGAGATCCCGCTGCTACCGGCAATGGTGTTAGCACGCCGGCTTGGTCATCAGCGGGCGCGAGCGATCATCATGCACCCTTCTAGTAGCCTTTCAAGCTCCGGACGGTACAATTTGAAGCCAAGACGGTGGTGGAAGAACAGAAGGAATTCGGGCTATCGCTGCCGAGCCGGGTGTGTCTGCGAGCTGAGCGCTCACACAGCAATGCGCCATCTTCTTGCAACAGATCGAGTGGCTGAGAGTAATGGCGCGGACAGATTGCGGAAAGCGCTCACAGACCAGCTCCATGAAGAAGAGGGGATCGGTATAGGCAGCAAGTGAACGAGCTAAAGAAGTTGTCGGCATTGCTGCGGGGGAAGACACACCACGGCGGAAGAATCTCAAGAGACAGTCTGCCACCTCGGTTGAAATTACAAAGACACGCTTGCATTCCTGAGGGCACGTCGGATCCTCATGTGGAATTCCGCCTCTTGCTGCGCGAAGTATTTCTCGGCCAAGTTCGACAGCTCCGCGACGGCTCTCACCGCCAAAAGTGATATGTCGATTCTTCGTGCCGCTCATGCACGCTCCTCCGTCCTCTTCCTGCATTGCCGCACGTCGAATAGTCATTTGGACTACCTCGAGGCGCTCTGTTTACTGTACCAGGTACAGACCATCGACCTCGGTAGCTCCGTCTGTGAACCCTAGCCGATGCCACTTGCTGCGCGACGACGATCCTTTCCATACAGAGAAAGCTCGAGTGGGTCTCATTTGCCTTGTTGGGCCATGTACCGTTACTCTGGAGCTCGGCTGCAGCTGTCGATCATTTCACAAATGGCGCAAGTGTTTGCTCTCGCACGATCAGTGTTGGCTTGCGCTTCCGCAACCCACAGGACCGCCCATGCGTCTCCTCAAACAACAAGCCAACACGGATCCGACGGCGGCAGCGCTCCTTTGACTCTGTCGGATGAGCGAACATCTTGAAGGAATCCGGTGAATCCTTCATATACCTGATGCTGCCTCTTCCCGGACCTTCGTATCCAATGCTATGCCCCTTCCCTCCCCTCTCTCCTCAATCTCCCCTTACTCCCGACGCTATAATCCTAGGTTCTCCCAGCATCTTACGCTCATTCACAAACACGTTCTTTGTTTCGGTCTGCCGATATCCGCCCTCGCTTTCTCTACCCTATCTACTCTTTCGCAGCAACTACCGCTACAATTGGCATCATCAACTAAGAATTGCATGCAAGGACATCGCCATTCATCTTGATCGAAAGCCCCCTCCATCATCCGCAATTTCCATCATTATCAGCAGCCCACTGTCACTAGCGATTATCTTTACGAGATGCCGTCATTTTCCGACAAAAGGCAGGGCCGTCCAAGGCCGTCTAACATCGTTTTTGGACGCAGAAAGTCTGAGGATAAGTCAATGCCCTCACCTTCATTTAACAGCTCCATGTCGCTCGGCAAGGTGGACGATGTCTTCTGCGACTCCTCGAGATCGGTAGATCGACTCCGACAACACTATCTAGCCATGCCGGCAACGCCGTCAACGATATCCGGTGGTAGCTCTCCAGGAGCTCGAACGGAACGCCTGCCCAGTCTCAGCGACCTATTCCATCGCGATATACTATCTCCACCAAGCAGCAGCATTCTTCCCTTGAGTTCCGTACGTTCTGATCGTGATGGGACCGGCATGCAGCGTGCTGGATCCACGTCGTCAACTTGCTCAACACTCAGTCGACTCTGGGTCCCTCCATTTCATCAGGATAGCCGAGCAGGCTCCATTGGTCCTCCCGCGACACCGCTTACACCGTTCTTCAACACAGCTACACCGCTTGTATCGCCGACGACTGTGTCACCAGACCGTCATTCCATCACGGTACATGGCTTCAGTGAAGGGGAGAGGACTCCAAAAGCCCTGCAAAGGCCATCGTTCGACTTCACAGTGCCATCAAGCGGCAGCGGAAGCTCTCCAGTATGTCCGGGTGCACCACTTATTGGAGCGCAAGGCCCAGGACATTTCGAGAGTCAGGCGGCGCACCAGCAGCAGGGTACAAGCTCATTGGGCTCCTTTGTGGGTATCCGAGGTCGAAGCTCCTATGAAGGAAGACGGGGGATCCCACTCTCGAAGGAGGATCTGGAGAGGGAAAGGGCTACAATGTCTAGACTGGACGCCGAGATGCCCAAGGCAGCCGGCATGTGCGGCCTTGGCATCTACATGGACGAGAACAACGTTCAGTCACCCTTCCGGACAGGAGCAACGAGAGCATCTGGGCTCATTGAGTCGGAAACCACATCGCCGTCAAGTCGCACTACAGTCGTCAACGATCACACGGGCCTGACACCGATGGTCAAAGCATCGAAAGTGTCCGATTCGTCGAGCACACCAACACGATCAAAAGGCAAGAAGTCTCCGGGCACTTCGCAGGACAAGACTTCACCGTCCGCGACAGCTCCAAAGAAAAGGATCGAAGCGGCAAAGACGCCGCTGAGCAAGTCGAGACCGATGTTCCGCCTGGACAACGGATCTAGCAAGAAGTCTTCCAAGCCGAAAGGACACAAGATGAATCCGGGCGCATCTCCCTGGGGCGTGTTCGGGACGAAAGACGGGTGGAAGCCGCTTGCACAGCCGAACGTATCTCGTGCCATTGCGGAGGCCAGCAAGTTCGTGTCGGAGACCAGTGCTCTTGCGTCGTCGAGCAAGACGTCGCCGACGGGGAAACGGGAGGCTCTGAGCGCAGAGACTTCGAGCCCGTTGAAGCGCTCTCGAGTGATTGAATCTCAGGTGGCATCTTCATCTCCTTACAAAGAGAACGTTGCGCCGCCCGCTCGAGCCCTGTCACCGTCCAAGCGGGCACACATGATGACTGCTGCGCACCGAGACTCTCCCACAGCATTGCCGCTTTCCACGATTCGGTGAACATGTCCCCTGTACAATGTAAACTAGCACCATGCAATGACCACAAGACCAGCGAAAGAGGCATCCAAAACTAGTATGAGGGCAAGACTCAATTGTTCAGCCTGTAAAGGCTACGAAACTGAGAACAGTGAGGCCTTGCAGACGACAAGAAGCCATCGAAGAAAGACAATCGAGTCCACCTCTACAGGCGATCGACGCGGGTTTCGCCGATTCCGCCGATTTCACCGATGTGACTTGTTCGAAATTATTCAATTGAGGACAACGCGGCGTGATGCGTCCGAGTGGTGTTGCTCTGCTGAAGCGAGACGCGTTTGTGCCGCGTCTTTTTTGTTTCAGTCACATCCGTACATGGACGCTGTTCAATAATGCGTCTGGAGGAGACGCTGTCTCTCCGACTTGCCGCCGAGTCCGCCTGCATGGCCGACAGAGCTCTCGCCCCGACTCTTGACGAGCACACTGGCTTTGACACAGCGAGCAAGCGTGGCAAGAGAATCGAGACAATCTCATGACGTCGGACGCCGTCGTTGCTCGTAATCGAGCCTTTGTTACACCATCGAGACGATAAGAAGGGTCTTGCGCTCCTCCTCGTAAGATTGTGGTGCGTGTTGTGCGCGCCTGTCTTAGCGTTCCGCTGCGATTGGCACACGTAAGCCTGCGCAGAAAGTCAGTCTCTTGAAACACTGCATGTGACGGGAAAGAGGTGCACTGCGGTTGTATGCTCTGTACCGATGGTCCATCGAGACCGAACTTGCTGTGAGCGTGTGGAGAATTCAAGGAGACGCACGCGAAAAAAAATAGGGCAGCAGATCGAGTCTCTGACAAAGAGGAGGGCCAACCGCGAATTTCGAGAGCGTGTGTCATTTGACGAGCCAAAGCTGCAACGCTCTCGTGTTGTTCAGAAGTCACCATCACTTTCCTCAGCCTCGAATCGCCTTGGCGCACTCTGCATACATCCACCTTCTGGAATCCACACATAGCGTCGCAACTTCCCAGCAGCAGGCCTAACATCGCCTGCCTGCGCAACCAACACCTATCAGCCGGCCTCGTTGCGTCTCCGCCTATATATCCTTTGCCTCTCAGCGACGTACCGAGTCTCTCCTTCCTTCCTACATCCCCATCAGTTGTGCGCAAACACACGTTCCGACATCAGCTCAACGCCTTCGAATCTCTCCCTTCAAGCACATCGACCTCCCAGCTCAGCCGCCGCGCTGTGCCCTTACGCAGCCGTCGCTCGTCGTATTGGTGCGCATACAGCCTCGTAGTGGGACGCATACACCTGATCTACTCTTCCGCTTACGCGTACATCGATATTGTCGACACCTGTCCTGGTCCATATTGCCGTGTACTTACCAGCTCAGCATCCACGCTCGCTCCACGAACATCGCACCGCCGACCGGCTCAGCTTCTCATGCATATCTGAAATACCATCAACGACGGCCATCACTTCTAGTGACATCTCTCTAGCCCTTCAGTGGTCGGCGTCGGTAGCATCATGAGTACCACACGAGAACACACGAGCTCGCGCATACCGCTCAGCGTCAAGAACGTCCCGACGCAGAATCCGCTTTCGCATGAGGCTGCCCTGCTCCGCAAACCATCCACTCAGCAGCCTCTCAAGAGCGTCATGGCAGCTGGAACAGCTCCGTTCGCCCGTCCTCGCACCACTACCTCACGGCTACCCAGCTTTGTATCGCGCTCGCATCTTGGTCTCGACCGTTCCAATCAAGAGAATGCGCCGCCGGTGCCTGGCACCGCGACTCCAAAGAAGCGTGCTATACCTATTGACGAATCGCACATTCGCAATGTCGTCATCGACAGTCCCAGCAAGCGCAGCCGCTCTTCAAAGACGGGCACCGACAGCAGCAACACCGAACAAAGTGTCGGAGCCACCCTTGCCAGCGACCTCAATGGTATTCGTGTCAACGAGTCAAGGCGGCTGCCACAGTCCGCGCAGGTGGCTGTGTCAGCGTCGAATGCACACTCCCGCCGCCCACAACAGGCACCGACCCGTGAAGCCGGCAGAACTGCGTTGGTCGTGAGGACAAACCGCACAGTTCACGAACCCACGGAAGAACTCGCGCAGGAAGCACGCCGTCGTCAGGAAGAACAGGAGATCTGGCGCCAGAAGTTCCTCAAAGCTTTCCCCAATTTTATCTTCCATTTCGATTCGGTTGATGACGCTACGGCTCGAAAGTACACCAATCTCATTCAAAAGCTTGACGGTCACGTCGACCAGTTCTTTTCGAGGAAAGTGACGCATGTCATCACCACGAGACGAATCCCGGACGAAGCAGCTATCGAGGACTCCAATGCGCCCGGCGGGTCGACAATCACCGATAAGTCGGGCGCACACAAGCTCTTCCGGCCGAGCTTTCTGGCGACAAGGACGTCGTCAAACAAGGCCGGAGCGAACGCGGCTCGTTCGCGTCCCGTGCCACTCTACTCGGAACGAAACCCGCTTCAGGAACGGCCTCCTCGCCAGTACGGCCCAAATGACATCCTTGTCAAAGCGCAGGGCTTCGGCATCAAGGTGTGGCAATTTGAGAAGCTTCGAAATGTCCTCATGAGGCTGATGAAGATCTCGCCTCGCGATCTCAACACCCCCGCCACCACGAAGCAGGACCTCTCGCAGATGCTCGAGAAGGAAAAGGTCATGGGCACCTTTGAGCGCGATCCAGCCACAGCGAGGTCTTCGTGGTACTACTTTGAGAAATCAGCTCAATTCATCCTAGTGGAGGACGCCACCCTCGAGCATCGACCCATCATGTGCACCGAGTTCCAATATACCCGCGAGGACAGAGTGAAATGTCTGCCTCCGCCTTGGCCCATGGTCCACGGTCAAACCCCTGGCAGATGCCCCTTCACCTACTATCCACCAAAGGAGGACGCGTCCAAGAAGCAAGGTGCAGAAGGTCTAGGCGCCCCTCGACTAAGTGCTCAACAGAGCCTTCGCAGAGCTGTCTCGCTCAACAACATGGTGCGATCGAACATTGGGCCTGCCTTCCGTCCCCAGGTCGCACAGATCCGCACCAACGACACCGGGCAGCAAGAGTACCCCATGGCGTCCGGCAACAGTGTCTCGATCACCTCCAACATTGCATCCACCACCTCCAACATCTTTACGGATCAGCAGAACGGCGCCACTGTAGGGCTGCCCCAGAATCGACGTGTTGCTGAATTGAATCGCCGAATGCATACACCCAACGCGCTGGTCCGCCCGACGCGCACTCTCAATGCCAGTCCGGCGAGTGTGCTGGCCGGCAGTGCTGCGAGCGGCCTGGGCGTGCGTCGCGAGGGCGGCAGTCCGATGGCAGGAAGCCCCGCTGCTCAGCGCAGCACCACAGAACAGGGCGCCGCCGTGCGCAGGATGCTTGGGCTCGAAGACAAGGATCGCAGGACAGAGCTGGGCGTCGGTGGTGCAGGCGGCGGCCTCCAACGCAGCGTCAGCGCCAGCGCAGTCAGCCGACCCGCCTCTACCAAGAAACCGGGTTACTGCGAAAACTGCCGCGTCAAGTACGAAGACTTTACCGAGCACATCTACGACCGAAAGCATCGCAAATTCGCCACCAACGAAGCGCACTTTGTCGACATCGACGCGCTCATCATGCGCGTCCAGCGACCCATCCGGTCGGTTTCGGACGACGAGATGTCTTCGGGCTTCTTTGGGTTTGAGGAGATTCCGTCTTCGCAACCGGAGGAGCAGCGGGCGTACTTGGAGTCGGAGGATGAGAGCGTTTCTGCTGGATCGCCGGAGCTCGAGGGAGAGAGGTTTGGTGGAGGTTTCGACGACGAGCAGAACGATGAGGAGGAGGAGGACAGTCGTTGAGGGTGAAGATAGCGTTCATCTTTGCATCTCTCGCATCAGCATTCGGTCCCAGCAACTCCCGCTACTTCCATTTGCATCTGGCATTCCCATCCTCCCTCTGCACGCACCATCCATCCATCCACTGTCCCCCCTCACCCAACCTCACAATCATCCCCCGTTTCCCCCCTTGTCTCCTGCATCTTGTCTCTTCATTGATCATGTTTCACACTCGCATTCAAACCTTCCCGTCCGGATGTCATCCAACACACACACCCACACACGCAATTCACGCAAATTGCAATCTCAAGGTCATTGTTCTGCATCACAGCATCTGAAGTGTGTGTTTGTGTGCACGAAGTGAAAAATTGCATGACGAGACTGGGGTATGAAAATTGTGGAAAGAAAACAAGGATAAGATGACAGAGATAACGAGGTGCGGTGATGCTCAGGCTATGGTGACGGGTCTGACGATACCGTCGGCACCCACGACACAGGAGATGGGTGAGCCGTTGATGCTTAGGTATTGGAGGATCTCGCCTGGTTTTGCCATGCGTGGTTTGGGAGTCTGGAGTGCTTCCTTGGGTAGATTTGGTTGGAAGGTAGATAGACTTGGAGCTGGTTTGGACGACACTGAAGATGCTGCTGATGAAGGAGGCGGTGAGGTCGGAGCGGCGGAAGTCGAACGAGAAGAGGGCTTTGTTGAGCGCGTGCCGGCCTTCTTCTTGCTGGCCACCGTTCTGGATGTCGAGGCTGTCGCGTTTCCGGTGCGGGCGTTTTTGGAGTTGCGATCGACTTTCGAGATGGCATCGTCATCCTTTTTGGATCGTTTCGCTTTTGCGGGTGATCGCTCTTCCCGGATCTGATCCCATTCCTCCTGCGTCTCTTTGAGATGTTGAACAGGAGCTCGGTTCATGAAGGTGTGGATGTCGGCACCAAAATTGTCGATGAACTCGCCAAGCTGAAGCTCGCGCACTGCTCTGGGCATACGCTCGATAGATAGACGCATGCGCGTGACCGCCGACTGGATTGACATTTCCAATGACGCTCTCAAGCGCGACAAACGAGCCTGCGCCTCCAAGTCGTAATTCTGCAGGCATGCTTGTACCTGTTCATCTGGCAGCCTTTTCTTCAATGGTGACGGAGGTACCGGCGTTGTCGCGCGCGAGTCGTCCACCACTTCCACATCCGTCGCCTTCTTTCCCTTTTTTGACTTGCTCGACTTTTTGGATGCTGCTTTACTCTCCGTTGGCTGCGACTTGGCCGGACCAGAGACGTGGTTGCTGGATGCACCGCGCTCTCCTAGCACCTTCTTTGGCAGCGGTGCTGATGGTAGGGGGCCGGAAGACTTGCCGCGAGGGCTGGCAGCCTCGCTGTTAGCGTCGACGTTCTCGTCCAGCACGGCATCTGAGGACGAAGCCTTGGACGATGCTTTTGTTGTTCGCGTCGACCGGGTTGACCGCGTTGCTTTCCCGACCGGCATGGTGTGCAAAATGGCTGTTTCGCTCTAGTCCTGTCTGGCCTTGTTTGCGTGGGCGAAGCGGCGCAAGAGAGATAGGAGAGACTGCAGGTGGTGGTGAGAATGATGATCGTGGCGAGGTATATGGCTGCATGTCGGATGCCATCCGACTGTGCCATGGCTAAAAATCAGTCTTGTCAGATTGTCACTTTTTCCTGTGGGGCGTCAGTGGGCGTGTTTCTTTGGCAGACCAACACCGCGACGCGGACAAGCTGCTTCACGTGATGACAAACGGCAGCAGCATGTGGAGGAATCGCAGCCAAAATCCAATTTTGGACACAGCTGGTTCCACGAAGCTTATTCATTCTCACACCCAACTTTCCAAGTCCTTTGCAATCTGGACGTCGATCGACACCGACGTTGCAGTTGCAGGGAGGTGCGTCTGTAGCACCGAGGACATCTGTACCCCTGCGGATGCTTGTCGACATGATCAGAGGAATTGAGTGAGTGGCCGACCCTGAAAGCAGAACCATGTGAGCAGCTGCCAAGCGCACGTCCATCGAATGCAGAAATTCGGAAGTAATTGATCAACGCCCAATTGCCGTGGAATTGTGAGTGATGACGATGCACGTGTCAGACTCGCCGCTCTCCAATTCCTTTGTCCTTCCTTCTCCTCTGCTCGTCATTCATCCATCGCCAGCGTATCATATCGCAAGCTGTCATGAGGCTCATAGCTGTACCACTAGCACGCGCGAGACCGACTTCACATCCAATCTCGACGTTCGTCGCACAAACTGCATCAAGAGCAGCCGAAAAAGCAGCCGCCGACGCAGCAGCAAAACAGGACAATGCCACCAAACCTCCTCAGCCTCCCTTCGCCACACGCATGTTGAACAAGGCATCCGCCTTTTGGATGGATCTCGGCCGTACGGATCAGACGAGCACGTTCGATTGGAAGCGAAGGACCTATGTGACCGGCGAGAAGTTGATGGATCGCATCGAGTATCAGGAATGGGCACTCAAGGGCATCGATCCTGCCATGGGACCGCATCTCATCCGTCGCGAACCGAAGGTCCCCGATGGTGAAGCAAGTACGCCAGGAGGTATTCCGAAGCTCGACCACGTGCCATTGCTGTATCCGCCTTCACTGCTCGAGCCGCAACGACTGTTGAAGAGTTTGAAGAATTTGACCGACCACCGGACGCCGCATCACTACCGTCGCTTCTGGTATTGCGTGGTTGGTATGCCCATCACCATTCCTTTTGCGCTTGTTCGTGAGTACAGCATCGGTTGGGTTTGCTAACCTTTCTTGGTGTAAAGTTGTACTGACCCAATGCCGAACTTACGCCGACCCTCTTACAGCGGTAGTGCCAAATTTGCCCTTCTTCTACCTCGTATATCGAGCATGGAGCCACTGGAAAGGTAAGTGGCACCTCGTCCATCCGTATAGCTCCGCAGCTCACTAACAAGCAAGCATCGCCTACATCCCATCCTCACACAGCATACAAATCATCGCAGTACCTTTCAACACTAATAAGTCAAGACCGCGTCCGTCCAACCGAAAGCAAGGAGCTCGATGACATCTTTGCACAAACCTCACCGCCCGCCGAAGCTCCAGCCTCAGTCACCACCGATGGAAAGGGCGCAAGTGCAACGACGTCAGCACCGACGCCGGTCGAAGACGAACGCATGCTTCTGCTGACACATCACATCCCCATGTTGATGGACAAGATGGAGTTCCCCGAGTGGGTCAAGGCTGATCTGCGTCGCGCACGCCTACAAGTGGAGAAGAGCGTGGCAGAGAACAAGCTAGAGGAGCTCGAGAGCAGCGCTGAGAATGAGCACCCGGAGAACAAGAAATAGGTCACATCGATAATTGTATAAGAGTCATGCCTTCAATCTGTACAAACCCCACGCATGGGTCTCTTGGAACAACTAACACCACACTTCCGCGTACCGAGCTGGTGTTGACATTTCGAATGATGCTGTAGTTGCTTTCTGGTCAGTGTTCGAGAGGCGGTAGCTCGAACGTACCCGTTGAGCTGGATCGCTTAATCTCGATGGGACCAGAGAAGTCTACCTCAGGGTCAATGTTCTGTCATCAATCCGAAGCCAGTCAGACGGAGAATGTATCAGTACACATGAGAAACAAAAGAAGATGCCTTGCAGTACGGGTCGGGAATCACTCACACCGTAGATGTGGCCAAACACGGTACCAGCTGCCGGATCGAATTGCAGCTTGATGGGTGTGCTGCGCTGTCTGTCAACGCTCGACCTCGTAAACGTGTAAATGTACAGAACATCACCGCAGCCACTGCTTGAGCCGAAGAAGCGCTCGAGCGTACCGGGGAGCTGGTCTGCTGACGAAAGATGAATGAAGCCGTCCTTTGTCTGTCACAGGGTGCAAGGCAGAGATGTTTACTCTTAGTGTCTGCTTCACACTCTTTGATGCTAAAGAGGCCATCGGCTACTTACGTCGAGCGCGGTGCCTGCCCAATTGGTATCGGGCATGTCCAGCTTCTCCTGGGGGGTGAGGATCTTGTAGAGCACAGTGCTTGTCGTTGGGTCCCTCATGGCTGCGTGCGTTGTATGGTCTGTCAAGGTGACGAAGAAGGAGGAGGACTTGGCTAGGCCAATCGATTTGCAATCTACCGGCTATGTAACGTGCACTCACAGCAGCAGCTCGCACCGGCTTTGAATGTTCTTCTCGGGATCACGTCGGCCGTATTCCGAATATTTGGCACGCTTGCTTCTCAAATATTGATTTCTTCCTCCACTCTCGACAAGGTGACACAAGCCTGCATCAAACTCGGTCATCCCTTTCCTTCCATCATTTCACCGTCGCCGGGCCGCAATTGTCACAACGAGCTCGCAGAACGACGCAATCGTCATCGCAGCTCAATAGCTGATTGCAAGCAATTGATCTCAAAGCATTGCAATCATGACAGCTCCACCGGTAGACAAAGCAGAGGCCATCGATCGATACAACAATGCCGTCGACACAATCCGCAAAGAGGGCGCGAGACACGCTTTCGAGAGCATGTCGTCCCTCATCGATCAGCCCGACACAATCGATACACTAATCCAAGATTTCCTCGCTCCATCGACTAAGCTCTCGACACCTGAGTTGGCTCGCGCACAAGTCCACTGGCAGCGCAAACCCAAGCTCGAACACATGCTGTGGGCAGAACCAAGCACATCCCTACACTCGCTCGAGTTCGTCCGAGCCGGACTCGAAGGAAGAATCGTATCGTATCGTGAAGTCTCGCATACATCGACGCCCCTCCTGGACTCAAAGTCCTCTGCTTCTATGGCGAGGAAACCCGCGACTTCGAGCAACTTCATACGAGGCAAGTCTGCTTACGTCCCCTTTGCACCAGGTGGATTGGAGAACGAGGTGATGAAGGACACAGATGGTGCAGAGCAAGACGCAGAAGATCTGTCGGATACGCTTCGATCGCAAGTTGCGGAAATGGAGGAGACTCTCAGTTCTGGAAGAGGGTTACGTTCCAAGGCACCTGGTCTCAGTCGATCTTTCAGTGATCCCAATGAAGAGACTTTCGAGGACGGAGAGGATGCGGAAGCTAGTCAGGATGCTTCGCAGGCTGTTGATGTCGGGCTTGGAATGGCACCCATCCCCGTATACCGACCCATCGAGCAGGATCGCCAAGCCTCGTCATCCATGCGCGGCTCTCGCTCTCAGGTCAACGGAGACGCGGCGAGGCGTACCGACACGAGCGCTCACGATGCCGAGCTGGACGAGCTGCTCCCGGTCGAGCGTCCACAGCCACTGACCCACGCCAGGCGAACCGCCAAGATCGACGCCAAACGCGATTGGGCCCACGTCATCGACGTCAACCAGAAACTCTCCAACTTCCACGAGCTCGTCCCACAGATGGCTCACTCCTTCCCCTTCGAGCTCGACACGTTCCAAAAGGAAGCCGTCTACCACCTCGAGCAAGGCGACTCGGTGTTTGTCGCAGCCCACACCAGTGCCGGTAAGACCGTCGTGGCCGAATACGCAATTGCTCTGGCGCAGAAGCACATGACGCGCTGCATCTACACTTCACCCATCAAGGCGCTCTCGAATCAAAAGTATCGCGACTTCAAGCAGACGTTCGGCGCTGCCAACGTCGGTATCCTGACCGGCGACGTGCAGATCAATCCAGAAGCGCCTTGCCTCATTATGACCACCGAGATCTTGCGCAGCATGCTGTACAGAGGTGCTGACCTCATCCGCGACGTCGAGTTCGTCATCTTCGACGAGGTTCACTACGTCAACGATCAGGAGCGTGGCGTGGTTTGGGAGGAGGTAATCATCCTGTGTCCGCAGCACATCAACCTTATCTTGCTTTCGGCGACGGTGCCGAATACGAAGGAGTTCGCGGATTGGGTGGGTCGTACCAAGAAGAAGGACATCTACGTCATCAGCACACCGAAGCGTCCTGTGCCCTTGGAGCACTTCTTGTATGCGGGCAAGGAGATGTTCAAGATCGTTGATGCACGTACACAGTTCCTCGGTACAGGACTGAAGGAGGCTGGCGAAGCGCTCAAGAGGAAGCAGGAGAAGGAGCGCGAGGCCAATGCTGCGGCGAACGGCGGTGGCGGAGGTGCTCGAGGTGGTCGTGGCGGAGGCGCTGCCGGGTCGAACTCTCGAGGTCGAGGAGGTATGACGCCTGCCCGAGGTGCGGCGCCTCGAGGCCGTGGAGGGGCGGGAGCAGGTCGCGGCGGAGGCTTCACAGGAACCACCACGGTCCGCACAGGTCTCGACAAGAACCTCTGGATTCACCTCGTTGGTCATCTCCGCAAGAAGGACCTCCTCCCCTGCGTTGTCTTCGTCTTTTCCAAGAAACGCTGCGAGGAATACGCCACCAGTATGCCCAACACCGACCTGAACACGGCAAAAGACGGATCCGAGGTCCACATCCTCATCGAAAAGTCACTCACCCGACTCAAGGGGACTGACAAGGAGCTTCCGCAAATCAAGCGCATGCGCGACCTCCTCGGTCGAGGTATCGGTGTTCATCACGGTGGACTGCTCCCCATTGTCAAGGAGATCGTTGAACTGCTCTTCCAACGTGGTCTGGTGAAAGTGCTGTTTGCGACCGAGACGTTTGCTATGGGTGTCAACATGCCCGCTCGATCTGTCGTATTTTCATCGATTCGCAAACACGACGGACATGGATTCCGCGAGCTGCTCCCTGGAGAATATACCCAGATGTCCGGTCGAGCAGGTCGTCGTGGTCTCGACCCTACAGGTGTGGTCATCATCAACGCTGCCGATCAACTTCCCGAAACCGCCGTCCTGCACAAGATGCTCCTCGGTCAACCCACAAAACTGTCATCGCAGTTCCGTCTCACGTACAACATGATCCTCAACCTGCTACGCGTGGAAGCGTTGAAGGTGGAGGAGATGATCAAACGCTCGTTCTCCGAGAACGCCGCGCAAAAGATGTTGCCGGATCAACAAAGGAAGGCACAGGAGTTGGAAAAGAAGCTGGCCAAGGCGCAGCATCCCCAGCCAGCGGAGCTGGACGAGCAGCTATCGACGTATTACGATCTGTGTGCTGCTGTGGTGGCGAGCAACCAGTCGCTGTTCGAGCTGGCGCTGGGTCATCCACAGGGAGCGAAGAATTTCGGCGCCGGGAGGGCGGTCATTTTGCGAGACGAGCACTTTGACTTCGATACGGCGGCCATCGTTAGGCAGGTCTCGGCGAAAGAGTTCTTGGTGCTCGCTGCTGTGACAAAAGAGCGGAAGAGGGGTGATTTGGATGTCGGGGACAGTGTGGCTCCTTTGTGGCCGCCGCAGATGAAAGAGGTGGTAGGAGAGCTGGTGTACGATCTGAGGGAGGTACCGTTGAGCAGTATTTCGCTGGTGACGGATCAGACGATCAAGCTGGACGTGCCGCTGATCACAGCGCACCGTATCAGCGCCATGAATCGCGCGCTCGAAGCGTTACTCGTCATCCGCGACTCTTTCATCTCCATGGACAACGGAGCTATCCCTGATGCAGAATGGACCAAGCTTCGCCGTCTCGATTTCCAAGAAGCCCTTCGAAGTCGCAACTCGTACGCCACCAAAACCCTCCAACACCTCTCGCTCCTCGCCTCACCCACCTTCATCAACGACTACTCGCTCGTCTCCACCTACAAGACCATCACCTCGCAACTGGAGCAGACGCTGAAACTCCAATCCGACGAAAACCTCGAGCTGCTGCCGGACTACCATCAACGCGTCTCTGTCCTCAAAACCCTGCGCTACGTCGATCCGATTACCGAATCCGTGCTGCTCAAAGGTCGCGTAGCGTGCGAAGTCAACTCAGCCAACGAACTCGTGCTTACCGAACTCATCCTCGAAAACATCCTCGTCGAATACGAGCCGGAAGAACTCGTCGCGCTCCTGTCGATCTTCATCACGCAGGAAAAAACCGACGACATACCCGAACTCTCTGGGAAACTTCTCGAGGGTTACCAGAAGATCGTCGAGATAGCAGAGCGAGTCTCCACCGTTCAACTCTCCAACTCGCTCGCGAGCGAAGACTTCACTGCTCCGAACAAGATCGCCCTCGTCCCCGTCGTGTACGAGTGGGCCAAAGGTACAGACTTCGCCACCATCGCTGCTATGACTGACATCCAAGAGGGGTCTATCGTCAGAGTCATCACCAGACTGGACGAGACCTGCAGAGAGATCAGAGACGCCGCTAGAGTCATCGGTGATAGAGACCTCGGTGAAAAGATCCAGACTTGTCAGGCGCTCATCAGGAGAGATATCGTTTTCGCTGCCAGCTTGTACTTTTAGAAACTCTCGGCAGATACTTCTCACAGACCTCTGGAAGGATGGCAAATTCAAGTCGACTCCTCAGATCCCACTCGATCGAGACCGAATCGACGCGCAAAACACTTGAGATTGACAATGCTGAATGAGACATGCAAATTTGCAGACACGAGATCGAATTCTCCTACGCAACAGGCGGACCACCGGGCACATCAAAAGGCTCCTCCTTCTTGACCGGGCCAACTACGTCCAGAATCCCTCCACCCTCGCCGGCGTGCTGCCCAGCGGCTGCACGCAGCGCCTCGTCGTGCTCAGTAGCCGCAAGATGGCCCGCCTGAGTCTTGAGCAGCTCGTCTGAAGCATCCGCTGCTTGCGCGGTCAATTCCGAATTCACCAGGTCCGCGCTTGCCGACGGCTCGAGCGCCCTTTCCGAGCTCTGCAAGGAGTGGCCTGTTTCGGAGGCTGCCAAAACCCCGCCAGCTTCGGGCTCGGTTGTAACATGAGAAGCCTGAGAACCAGGAAGATGCAGCTGACTTCCGTTGGCGGTATGTTCACTCTTGGCGTAAGCTTGAAGTGCTGGGTTGGACGCTGAGGCTGAGAGTGGCACCGAGAGCTGCGTGGCGACAGTCTTTTGCGACGGTGTCCGGTGCAGGCTCACGCGATCGGATGGAGCTCCAGGTCCGGCAAATGCACCTGAGGCGTACATGGCCTGGTGCGAGTTCTGACCCGTCGAACTTGCAGGGATCGAATCACGGGTGCGAGACGAAGAATCGCTTCCACGTCGGCTGAGCGGAGGAAGCGCCTTGAGCGAAGCAGATGTGTCGCTGCTGTTGCGGCGATCGCCCATCAGACTGCCACCGATGCTCCTAGCTCCACCCATACTGGGCGCGTGATGGTAACTTCGGCTGGCTCCGCCAAGGCTTATTCCGGCAGAAGACGAGGCGAGCGTTAAGATGCTTGCATTGTCTGCGGGGATCGCGGATGGGTGTGGGTTGTTGTTGGGATGCGGCCTCGAGTGAGTGGGAACACTGATGAAGGCAGTCGCGCCTTCGGCCGTAGTGCCAGAAGCGTTGCTGATCTGTCCAGTGGTGCTGCTGTAGCCGCTGTCCGGTACGAACTGAATTGCAGAGCCGTCACGAGGACCGGTGCTGTGACGCTGAGAAGCGCCGAAAGAATCGTCACCGCTGTTCTGACGTGGCTGGGCGATGTGAGTGGTCGGTAGAACTGCAGGCTCTCGAGTGTCGAGACTCATGAGAGTGGTGGGCTTGGTGCTAGCGCGGCTCTTGGAAGTGTCAATGGTGCGATTTCCGATCGAGTCGCGAGCCGCAATGCTGCTGTCGTTGTCCGTATCGGGTTCGATCCTGGTGTTCGTCGCTGCTCGGCCAGAGATGATTGCAGAGGGAATGGCAGGGGCTGCTCCGGAGATCTGACCAGTGTTCTGGTCCTGGCTCACGCTCGGCTGTGCAGCCTGCTCGATAGGGCCTGCAATGGGAGGATCGAGCGCCTTCTGATTGGTGATAGTGCTGGGTGAGAGGGTACCGGACGCCGGCTCCGTCAGAGCCACGTCGGGGTCTGGACGAGGTGAGCGGGGCAGATCGATGGCGCCGAGTGGTTCCTGGGTGGGTATACCGTCGAGCTGAGGTGGAGGTGTCAAACGACCGTGAGCTGGACCTTCTCTGCCAGGTACTCCCAGAGTATTCGCGAGACCTTGTGCTGAGTCGGAGGCGAAGGCCGAAGCAAACTGCGGTTGCTGACCTGCCGCAGTCGCGCGCTGCGCTCCGCCGCTGATAGTAGGCAGCGTCGCTGTCCTGCTCTGACCATCTTCCTTCGGCGGGTTCTTCCTTGCAGGAACCGTACCACCTGCGCGTGACTGACCGTTGAGCGCAACATCATTTGAGCCGTTTGCAGCGTCGCTGGCCCTTCGTCCAAACTTCTTCGAAAACCAGCTGCCGATCGAGTTCTTCTTGGTTCGAGCATGAGGCTGAGCCTGCGCCGGCGCGCCGGTACCCGTTTGTGAGCTCATCTGGGTATGTGTTCCTTACAGATCACCCGAGCAAGTGGATGGTGTTGAAAAGGAAAGTGCGGTTGAAGCGGAGAGCCGGCAGCAGCGGGGAGAAAGTGCGAGTATGGGAGAGAGCCTTACCAGAGGAAGAACCTCTCGTTGAGAGGTGTCTCGAACCACTACCTGTCTTGCGTCACATCTCTCCACTGCCCAAAGCACGGCTCAGTTGTGAAAATGTCACCGATGCGACTTGCCGTCGTGCACAATCTTATCGCAGCGCAGAACCTCCTTCGGTGTAACACGCCGCTGCATTTTTGCAAGAATCACGACTCTGGCGGGTACGAATGTAAAAAAAGCGAACGGTCTGATAGTGCATGCAGACAGCAAAAAAGCGAGCGGATCCGATTGACGTCAGACCCAACCGGACCTTCTTGCTTTTTCTGTCTCTATGGTTTGGACGGAAGTAGTGCTGCATATCGTCGAGGGTCTCACACGTTGATAGGCGCAAACAATCTTGTATTCAGACTCGACTGGGACAGGACGAAAAGAGCTCTTCGATGACGAACATGATTGTGCAGCTCGAGCCACTTGCACTTGCAGGTGAATGTCGTAGATCGGCCGACTTGCACCGTACTCGCAAAGAACACGCGCGACTACAATTAAGCATTGTTCTCGTCTGCAGGCGGGTCTACCTTGTCGAGCAGTTCAACGGCGTGTGCATGGCGATTCTCGTCGAGAATAAAGACGGTGCTATCGTCGAAGGCCGAGACGCCAGAGTGCCAGATCTTGCCGTTCAGAACAACGATGACTGATTCCGCGTGAATGTCGATGGGAGCGCCGGCGTTCAGGCGAGCTGACGTGTGTGCAAAGAGACGAACTTCCGTGTTCACCATGTCGGTCTCGCTACCGAAAACCTTGAGGAGCCAAAACATTGCGTTCCTTTGTTGGAGAGCGCCTACCTCGTCAACATAGGCGATGATGTTGACCCTAGTGTCGTCGTTGAGCTGGCGAACATCGGAAAGTTTCAAGACGCTAAAGTTGGCTGGCATGTTTCGAATGGTTGCTGGAGCACCACGGTCAACCAGCTTCCAAGCGTCAGGCGTGGTCGTCAGTGCTACACCAGGAACCGGTCCTTGCACGGTGGCGAAGGGACTTTGGGCAGAAGTAGCTACGTGCTGGAGAGCACCGCGCGCAGCCTCACGAAGAGCACGTTCGCGACGTTGAGCAAAGGCACGCTCGCCTGCAAGAGGGCCGATGTTGTTGGCACGAGGAGCGATATTGCCGGCAGAAGGAACGACGTTGTTGGAAGGAACAGCCGCATTATTGTTGACAGCAGCATTGCCGGCGTTGTTGGCAGCAGCATTGTTAGCGTTGGTGGCAGCAGCATTGTTAGCGTCGTTGGCAGCAGCATTGGTGTCGTTGTTGGCAGCGGCATTGTCGGTGGCATCGGGATTGTCAGGCTCTTCAATACGGGGACTGTCCTGACGACCAACACCGCCTGGTTCACCGCCGAGGCCGCGGCCGATCAGATCGTCGAAGATGGCGTTGACACCACTGATGCGGGTGAAGTCGAACTGAGGACGAAAGACAGCCTTCACCAAGCCGGGCAAAGTCATGGCACGGGCAAGAGTGTAGGTCAGACTCGACGAGGGGACCCTGAAGCCGAGCTTGCTGGTGACAGTCACGCCGTCAATGATCCACTGGCCGTGCTTGATGCCCAGATAGCCCTGGATGCGCTCGGCCCTTTCTTCGAGCACCGTTCTATCCTGGCTCCGGGCGTTGTGCATGGTGAGAAACTCTTCTTCGCCGGTATGAGCCGAACCGTAGTTGATGATGAACGTGTCACCACCACGCAAGGTACCGTAGGGCGGCATCGTTGGGACTTGCTTCGACGCAGCAGATAGAGAGGAGGACAACGGAAAGGGTTAGTGACGATCAAATCGACTGACATTAGCGCCTTGCAAGCGCCTCAAGCGCCGCGCAAGCGCCTCGCAAGCGCGTCAGAGGGCGATGCTTACTCACGTGCGGTTGGGACGTACTGAATGTGGTGTAGATGAAGGGGGAGAGGGATGGTTTTGAATGTGGAGTAGGTGAAAGGAGTTGAGGGATGGTGATTGCGGGACGAAAAGCTGAACCCCAATGGGGGGCGTGCTTATATTACTTCGTCGCTATACGTACATGGCGCGCAGAGAAGCTCAGCAAACTTCTCTGTCATGGGTCGTCTTCAAGCGGCTTGGACGGTTGCGGAATCGAAGCCGGATTCTTTCTGTTCCGCATTCGAAGGATAAACGACCTTTGTCGAAGCACTGGCGCTGTGTTCCACGGACTTCATTTCGTCACAGAAGCTAGTTTTACAGTGTACTGGTCTCACTGAAATCGTCGATGAGCCTTCTGACACATGCAAATCTTGACCTCGACGCGACGACACCACTCCTGCTTTCTGCGCTTTTCTCCTTCCTCGACCGGAACAGCGAAGATCGATGAGCAGGCTGAGTTGGCTAAATCTTGATCCCCGACGACATCCGCCTCGACAGCAAGATGCGGCATCCACGGTTGCGCTGCTGGCTTGTTCCGCAGTGCACACCAGGCCGCGCCTCTTCCTTCCCGGCCTCGACATACCTGGTCCTGAGCAGCCGGACGCCCTTCCTTCTTGACCCTATCGACTTCACGAGCGCCTAGTCGCATCATCAGCAGCGAGCCCATGGACGACGACTTTCTTAACGGCGATTGGGGTGCTCAAACCGCCAACTTCGAAGGTCACATGGTTGAACCCGATGCAGCTACTCAACGACGTCGACAGCTGTTGGGACGTCGAGGCCGTGAAGGCGACGAAGGTAAGTGTTGACCTAGACGCTCCTCTCTACGGCTCTTTGTACTGACTGTATGATAATCGGAGGTCAGGCAGCAACAACCGGCCACAACAGAGACCCCGAGACGAGCAGCCGAATGCAGGTCCTGCTAATGTCGACGTACCCCCCGCCAGTGTCGATGTGCCCCCGGCCAATGCAGCGCCTCTCAGTGCAAAGGCAGATCTTCGACTTTGGCTCATCCTACGGCACTGGGTCGCGAAGGCATGCAAGTCCTGCCATCCCGGCCCTTGCGTGGCACCTGACCCAGCGTCGAATGGAGAGAAGTGCTTGAAGTGCGCTGATTCAAGCCGACGCCGCACCTGCCCCAAGCGATGGATCCTGAACCGCTCGCATGTGAATCGCATTCTCGAGCTCACGGAGAACGGACTGACGAGAGAGGAAGCCGAGCTTCAGGTCTACCCGCGTGGCCTTCAGGGATTGGGCGGCCCCTGGGATAAGCACAAGACTTACCCAGGTCTAACCTCTGCTGCACCCGCCTCTCTCGAGTTCAACAGCTCTGCGCCAACACATGCTGGCTCTCTGCCTCTAGTTGAGGCTCGTACGACGCGGTCAGCAGCCCGACTTCCTCACGAGCTCATCGACTGGCCGGAGGTCTCGCTCGCCCAAGCAAGCCGGGTCCGCGAGACCATGTGGGATGCCTACGACAACTACCACCGCATGCAGCCGTTGTCCGCTCCGCAGTTATCAACAACGTTCACTGGTCTCATGAGCGGGCTGTGGCGTGCGTTCAATCTTCCCGGGAGCGTAAGTACTGTTGCAATCAATGGCTTGAGACGACGACTACTGACATGGTTTTGTTCATACTGTTCACGACTACAGTGGCAAGACGATCCCACCCGTCCGCAGTGGCGCTAAAGTCAGCACCTCTGCCCGCATCACCCCCCGCTCGATGTTCATCACCTCGACAAGAAGCATACGTACGTGCTCATACACCGCCGCGTGATCGCCGCGCGAGCGCCTCGCAAGCGCCTCGCAAGCGCCTCGCAAGCGCTGTTCAGAACAAGCGCTCTTATACATGTACCTTTCGAACAGAATCAATCGTATCTCTCCCACATCGTCATGTGCAGACTTGAACCGTGGTACTTGTCAGCGCAGCGCTGAGAACGACGCGCTCTGCCACAAAACAGCGGATCGTTGTCCGCCACCGCAGCCAATACTACGAACTTCTCAGAATCATTGGCAGACTTAGCTCGGCATACAGTTAGACGAGCTCTGCGTTGGACCTGTGACTTGCAGGCTGACATCCTTGCCTCGAGCGACGGTGTTATAGCGTGTTCGACGCACATCATCGGCATATCACTCCCACAAGCCTGTGAGAGTCCACGCAGCAACTGTACCCTCTTCGTGCACAATTGTGACATCTCTCGCAAATCGACTTTCTGTGCTTCCAGCATGATCTGCCAGTGATGAGTGACTGCGCAACCGCAACAGACGTGAATCAGATGTGTGTGTAGTGATCAGGTACCGTACTCGGCGCGGATGTGACGTGTAGACCGATCATAGCCAATATAGCCAAACAAGCGCTTCAGAGATTTCGCGTGCATTCTCACAAGACAAATGAGATGTGTCACCAGCGATCACACCGCAGCTGGAGGGCTGAGTGATTGTAGCCACATCGGCGCATCATCGATCCCGTTCTCACAAGCCAGGTTAGGCACATCAGCCATCGGAGAGGACGCGCCGAGCGGCAGTTTGTAGCTGGAGATAGAGTTCCTGTCGCCAAATCGGAGACGCCGATGATGTTCTCACAAGCGAGAGATTAGCCAACGGAGAGGTTGCGCCGAGCTGTGACTGTAGCCGGAGATAGAGTGACAATAGCCAAACCGGAGATGCCGATCATGTTCTCTTAAGCCACAGAAGATCAGCTATCGGAGAGGTTGCGCTTCACCAAACTGTGATTGTGGCTTGAGATGGGGTGAATCAAGCCCAACAAGCGTATCTACGAGGCGGCGCGCTGCTGTGGTCGCATTCCCAGACAAGATGATCCAAGCCGTTCAAGCGCGTCGGAGCCGCCGTCATCGTTGTCACAAGCCATGCTAGACATGTCAGCCACCAGAAAGGTCGCGCCAAGCTGTGATTGCAGCCCTGGACTATGTGATCCACGCCGGTTGAGCGCATCGGGCAAGCTGCGCCCTGCTATGGACGCCCCACCAGACAAAGCGAGTCAAGCCGATTGAGTGCATCGGAGACGCCGTTGATGGTCTCACAAGCCGGCATCAACAGCGTGAACATATCGACTTCCGGGAAAGTTGCGTGATGCCATGTCCCATTCACAGCAAGCGTGCCTCATCGGCGGTGCCTTCTCGTGCACAAGCCAACTTGATGTGCTCCAGATACGCCGCTTGTAGCATACGAGAGTGTGTGCTGAAGCTTTGAAGGCACTTGACCAAGGTAGCCGCTCCTGTTTCGTTCGTCTCTACAGTTGATGCAGCATTGTATATATATGCCTCTCCCTGGCGACGTCTCCAGCCCTCTTCCCTCTTTTCTCGTCATCATCAGTCTCTTCGACACTCTCTCATCACTCTCGCCCCTCTCATCAACCTCGCCTCTCATCGCTGTCATTCGCAACAAGCTTTCTCATCATCTCTCACTCTCATCTCCGCGACAGCATGAGGTCGGTCACTCTCACAAATGTCCCTCGCGCAGACCTCACAGTCGGTCGTGGTCCCGACATCTATCCTTTCTACGACGCCAACCTCGAAGAACAGTACAGGTACCTCATTGCTCCTTCGGACGAATTGCTGGCAAGAGTTGACGAGAATCGACCTACAGGCAACGCTCTCGAGCGCTGTTGGCTCCACTCAAAGACTTCCACCTTTTCCTACCCCGGGCTCACCCAGACATTGTACCTGCCCATCCGTTGGCCCTTTGATTCCACTACCGTCATCGATCAAGATCATGCTGCATTCCGCACTGATCGTGGTCTGTTGGACCCTGCCGACCTTGGTGATCAGGTCGAAACTGCATTGGGCGCGGCTACCGACACCGCCGCCAACAACAACAACAACACCATCACTAACACGACCACCACCAGCATGCTCAACACCGACAATCTCGGTGCTCATGTGCTCAAGCCCGAGATCGGCAACATTCGCACACGCAAGTTCTCTCTGAAACCATCCACAAAACTCAAAGAGATCTTGCGTGACTGGAGACGCTGCGCCAACGTCTGTTTCAACGAGACCCTCCGCTACATCAACCACGCCAGGTCTCTCCGTGAACTCCCGTCCAACTATAAGTATGATCTGTACGCACTCATTTGCAACGAACAGAGTGCTTTTGTCAAGAAGCATCCTTTCTTGAAAAACTGTCCTTCCCAGACTAGGCGCCATGCAGTCGATGAAGCTCTCGCCGCTCGTCGATCCATCATCACTCGCTACTGGAACACCCCTGCCCACGTTCGTCCTGACCCTGATCAGATGCCCCAAGTCGGTCCAGCAACGAAGAAGAAGGATATGCACCGAGGCTTTGGTGTATTCTTCCCAAAAACTTGTGGATCGGTTCGGTTCCAACAGGAGGATGCAAAAATCATCGACCTATTCCTGTACGTTGCTCCCAATACCGTCAAGTACAAGCACGTTGGAGGCCGTGAAGCAGACTGTCTGGTTCCGATACAGCTCCGAGGTCAAGAACAGAGAAGGTTTTTGGTGGATCGCTGTCAGCCAATTCCAATGAAGACTCAGATCAAGTACGAGTTCAAGCACGAATGGGGCATACAGCTCGATCGATACGGCCGATGGAACTTACTCTTCACGTACGAGGTTCCGCTCCCAACGTCCATGGCTGCCGAGAACGAATTCGAGGGTAAGTGAATGTGAATGGACTCTTCGTGATGCTTGGCTCAGCTGTTGACTTTCTTTCTCGCTTCAATGCACAGGACCCATCACCGTCATGACGGGCGATCCCGGTGTCGTAACGCCTCTGTCCGTGTACGACAGCTCCAACGGCACAGTCATCGATATAGGCAGCGCTCAAGACGGTGCAAGGTTGGAGAAGCTTCGTCGTGAGAATGACAAGCTTCAAAGCCGCCGCTCTTCTCCATCAGACCAAGCTGGGCCTCAACGTCGGCCGCCTCGAGACCGCGGTGCACAACAAGCTCGACGCAAACCTCGACAGCCTCGCCAGCCTCGTTCACCTCGCCATCCACGCCTATCACGCCAACCTCGTCCACCTCGCCAACCTCGTCCACCTCGTCTGCCCCGCCAGCGTCGTCCGCCTCGTCAGCATCAACATCTCCCTGCTCTCTCCTCTGCTGAGCGCCGAAAGCTCGTCAAACGCTCAAAGCGCATCGGCAGGCGAATCAACAACCTCGTTACCGACCTTCATTGCAGAGCCGCCAACTTCCTGGCAACCTCTGCCGATGTGATCATCATGCCGCGCATGGAGGTTCGCCAGATGATCGCTAGAAGGAGAAGCGGGCCTCGTCTCACTCGTTCTACAAAGCGCAGGCTTATCGGCTGGGGTCACTGTGCCTTCATAAGACGCCTTGCCATCAAGTGCGTCGACGTTGCTGCCGACACGCGCTACAACATACCGCACCCAACCATCCTTCTCGTCCAGCCAGAAGCGTACACCAGCAAAACCTGCGGCCGTTGTGGCGAGCTCAACCACAGCCTTGGCGCCAGCCGCCACTTTACCTGCAGACACTGCTCATACTCTGCAGATCGTGACCACAACGGCGCTTACAACATGCTCATCAAGGCCATCAGACGCAGCTAGTCAAAGAACCTTGCCGCCGGATACAACCGGTGGCGGCTGGTGCCCAGCTGCACCAGCCAAGTGCGAACGGAACGTGTCACCTTAGCTCTCCACGCCAGCCCTCAGTACGCGAGATCCGAGGAAACTCAAATTTCCGTACTTAGCGCCAAATGTTCGCAAAACTTGTAGCGAACAACCATCTCGTATTCGATATTCGCCCATCAGCAACTTCGGCCCTAAATTACCCGAAAGCCATCATGCGACAGACTAAGCTCGACGAGACTCAGCAGGAGAAGACGCAAGAAACAGCGTCGACAGGGTCAAAGCGGAAGGAGCCTACCTCGGATGCTGACGGAAAGCACTCAAGGCAAGACAAAGAGCAAGGCAACAAGAGTCGTAAGAGAGAACCTTCCGAGGATCCTCAGGCCAAGGAGAAAGCCGAAAAACAGAACGGCACCAAGAGCAAAGCCTCGGCACCCGCCCAACTGTCCGGTGATCAGAGCAAGATCGACAAGAAGCTGAAAGGAGACGACGTTGAGATCAATGAGGGTAGCGAGAAAGCTAAAAATGACAGCAATAGGTCGAGCAGCGAGATTCCCTGGCACGTTTCTGAAAAGGGGCTCGTGTACTTCTTCTACCGACCAAAGGTCCGGTCGAGCGACCAAGCCGAGAAGGGCAGCACCGAGTCGTTGGACGATGTGCAAAACACGTTCATGCTGCTCGTGCCAAGGGCGAGTGAGTCGGACACCGCACCGGCCGCCGATGCGAGCACAAAGCAAGAGCACGACGATAAGCGCAAGCCGCCGAATCCAACCGCCTACCGTCTCGTGTCGCTAGGTAAGAAGCGCATGCCAAGCCCAGAAGCAGCCCTCAAGGCGGGACAGGAGCCAGGAGGAATCGGCGGTCGACACAGCGAAGCTATCTGGGCCACCGTTGCGGCAATTGGTGCAGATCTCAAGGCAGCAGGCGAAGGAATGGGAGAGGAGCACTACTCCACCAAGACGCGAGGTAAGTCTTGCTCCGTCTAACGGCTATGCAAACATGCACGCAAATGGGTTCAGGCGAACTTTTTGGTAGATCAGTGCTGACTGTATGCATCTTCTTCTGCCTGTTGAATTTCTGTCCCAGGAGAACGGGTTAAGCCAGCAGCTCGGCCTGCCGGACGCGGTCATTACGCGTTGAGCATCAAGAAGACGAATCCGCCGTCAACTCGCGAGGTCCGTCTGACGTACAATCTTTCGCACCCAAGCAGCGATGACTTTGGTCAAGTACAGGAGGAGCTCGGCCTGCATCCGGCTTCATCGGTCCTTATCCAGATGCGGAATCCCACGCTGGCGCCGACGGGCCCAGGTGCCCCGGCGGCCGGACTGCCCGAAGACCAGCGTGCAATCCTGACGAAAGAAGAACTTCAAGGGAATTTCGGCGGCGATGTCAAGGATAAGGGCAATCGGTATGCCCGACCAGAGGAGCCTGCTCTGCTGGATCGTCAGGGCGTAGAATTGCTGTTGATCAAACGAGAGCAGCAGGAGGACGATGGGTCCAAGGGTCTCGGTGACGAACAGAGCGAAGCGCTCGCCAAGCTGGCTCAGCACGACAGCGATAAATTGTCCGATGAGGCGATCCTGAAGGAGCTCGAGCTGTCTAGCAAGGACATTGAGGTGGAGGCGTTGTCTGGTGAATGGATTTGACGGGTCACTACGGTTCGAACCGCAATCACAAAGAAGCAGTTAAACAGCCGCAGGGCACTATCTAGCGTAGATTTGAATGTGCTTGCGTGCGTCGATCGGTTTCGTGAGAGCTAGGACTTTTGACTATCCCGAATCACAGGAAGACGCCCTCGCTATCTTCCTGCATAGCAGTCGGGCCGTCTGTGTGTGTAGTCGGGGTAGCCGTCTCCGCTGTCTGTGTGGGTCGCGTGAGACCGTAATGAGCTTGGGTGTCCTCGTGACCGGTCTTTTCCTGCAACACATCAAACAGCTTTTCCACCACGTCGTTTTGCTTGCCGATAGTGGCGACGTTGTCGGTGCAAGCGTTGCGCATCTCGTTTCGATCGTGCTCATCGAGCTCGTTGCCAGTTTCGTTGACAAATTGCTCAATCTGCCGATTCGAGTCTTGAAGTCGAGCGACACTGTCCTGCAACCGCTTGATCTCATGAACAAGGGTCCCCGGCGTGAGCCCACGAAGCGCTTCGGTGGTGACGGTGGAGTAGTCTCCCACAACGGTAGGGATCTGACTCGAGTCAGGGATGACGAGTGGCATGCTGTTGCGTCGACCGGTCGACCGAGCCGTGTGATCATGAAACAAGAAGCACCTTTCTCAGTTGTTTTTGAATTTCCGATTCCTCAGACCCCTGACCGCTGCAACTCGTTCGGCCACTTGATCGGCTGTAAGCCCAGCTTGGCAGCCGGCAGCAGCGCGACGGGAAGCACTCCTGCGCCACCTGATGCTGATTCATCTGCATAGCACCAAAGCCAGCCGCCTCTGCTGCGGCATCTCCATCATTCATCCTTCAGAGCCTGGCTGATTCATCGGCTGACTTGAGCAGCTATGCAGAGGTAGCGAGGGTGCTCAGCTGGCTAGAGAGAGGGAGGTGGCAAGCCGGGCGAGCAATGTGCAGCAAAAGCGAAGTTATATAAACCTTCCCTTCTCACGTAGATGAATTCCCCCGCTTTTGTTAGGGTCCGATATGCCGGGCGAGGAGGGTCAAATTCCCTCGAAAAGGTGAACCTCCTTTTTTGGACGTTCGTCAAAGCATAGCTGTCAATCCAGAACTTCCCCGCATCTCTGGAATAGCCAAGAAAGCCAGCTCACACTGCACAACACCGGTACTACCGGATGGCAGCTGTGCTGCAGCCGGTCGGTGATTCCGATGTCGGATGACCTGCAGCTTTGAGGCACCGTCCCTCCGTTGCCCCGGCATGAGGTCAATTCATTTTGACAGCCATCCCACCCCCACTTCGATGGCTTTTCTCCCCTTGACCGTTCGTCATCGGCCTTGCATCTCTTCCATCCCGACCACCATAATCTGCTGACCTTGCTCTGACCGATCGAAAGCAACATCATGTCGCCACCCACTGCTACTGACAACGTCCCGGCTTCGGAGCCTGCCGCCAAGGAAGTTCAGAAGGGTGCTCCCAAGTTCAAGTTTCCCAAGGTATGTTCAACGCCACCGGGCTAAAGATTCGCTGTACAGGCCGATACTCTGGTCGACAAAATCATACTGATCGACGCTGATAATTCCTCGTCTCTTGCAGCCCATCACCTATGATACGCTCGAAGAGGAACGACAAGGTCGCAAGGAGAGGCTCGCGCAGGCGTTCCGTGTCTTTGGCATGCTCGGCTTCGAAGAGGGTGTCGCTGGCCACTTGACCTTCCGTGATCCCATCAAGAAGGACCACTTTTGGGTCAACCCCTTCGGCGTTCCCTTCCGGTTCATGACTGTCTCAGACTTGTTGCTGATCGGACCCGATGGCAGCATCGTCGACGGCGGTCGTCCTGAAAGGATGATCTACAACCAGGCTGCCTTCGCCATCCATCATGCAATTCACACCGCTCGCCCGGATCTCGACGCTGCGTGCCACTCTCACTCGATGTATGGCAAAGCTTTCTCGACACTCGGCAGAAACAGTAAGTGCCTTTACGCCTGGCGTCCGGAAGGTGAGCGTGAACGTTGGTTTGTGAGTCTCCCGCTGACTTCTTTCTCCTTTGGTGTTCAACATCGATAACAAACAGTCGAAATCACGACGCAGGACAGCTGCGCTTTCTACAATCAGTGCGCCCTCTACGAAAACTTTGGCGGTGTCGTGCTTGCAGACGAGGAAGGCGACAACATCGCCAACGCGCTCGGTGACAAGAACCGCGCGCTCGTCCTGCAGAATCACGGCATTCTGTCCGCCGGCACCTCGATCGAGGCTGCCGTGGGCTACTTCATCTTGCTCGAGAAACACTGCCAAGTGATGCTGCTCTCCGAGCCTGCTGCGGCCGCACGAGGCACAAAACCCATCGTCATCGGTCACGAAGAGGCCGAGTTCACGCGAAGGCAGGTGGGCAGCGATGCTGCGCTCTCCTTCCAGGCCTCGGTTTACTTTGACACCATCGCCCGCCTCGACAAGGGTGCTTGGAAGGAGTAAGCTTGCATCATTCCTATTTGTACTGTTAACCGTGAATCCTCTCGGCGATCCATGTGCCGTTCTGTCTCTAGAACTTGTGTCAATGTCGTGTGGAATTTCTTCATGTATGAAGTCTGCCACTCCGGAAAAGGCCTGATATGAGGCTGTTAGGCCATTGGTACCGACAGCGAAACACGTCCCGGCCGCGTCGAGTCGAAGACAACCAAGGCGTTCAGACCACACACAGCAAACGCCTGTTCGGATTTTGAGAATTTCCCGAGGCAGACCACGAGATGAACTTGAACGAAAGGATGGCCCATGAGCGCCTGCATTTAGAGTCAGGATTTCCTTCGAACTTGACTCTGGAGCCGCTCCTCGCTAACCGCTCCTCGTCCCTGGCTCCTCGATCCGATTGGCACATTTCCATGCCAAGGTGGTTCTCAAACCTATCTTGCCTTCCGCTCGACCTTCCGCTCGACCACGCCAATCTCTTGACCATGCTCCACCGACTGTCCGAGCAAGCTTCACTTCCCTGCCCATGACCACCAACCCATCGTCCTCAGCATTAGCTTCAAGTGACATCCGTTACACACGCGGCTTCCCTTCCCCGTCGTAGCGACCATCTTCACCGCAGTCGACATCCCATAAAAACGCGCTCCGAACGGTATCGCCGGCTCCCGTCCTCGTACATCATCACAACCTTTGAAAACGGCGTTCATCACGTTGTCCCTGTTCGGCTCTTGCCAATCTCGCCGCGCGGCCTAGGCTAGGCTTGCTCTTACATCCAATTCGACAGCAGAAGCGATCCTCCGCTGCACTCGGACGCATCCAAGTCCGCCATCACGCAACATGGCCGGTAAGGCTACCAGGTCTGGCCATGTGGAGCCAGATCCGACATCCAAGGAATCCACATCCACAGAAGCGCTAGACAGCAGCCGTGATAACACTGGCGCTGCTTTGAAGACCGAAGACGGTCAGCCATCCGCCAACGATGCAGCGGCTAGTTCGCCACAGCCCGACACTGCGGGCTCCAACGCCGCCCAAGACGATGCGACTTCTCGAGGATCGTCCGAATTCGACGACAAAACCGCCACCTCATCTCCATCGAAGAAGTCCAACGGCAGGTCGAAAAAGGGTGGTCGAAGCTCGCGCGGCAAGTCGACTAGCTCCAAGCGCAGCAGCGAGGAGGACGACGCCAACAAGGGCGAGGTCGCCGCCGACGCCCACGAGCAGGCCACCGCTCCAGCCGAGCCTGTCGCAGCTGTAAAAGACACGACTGCAGTAAGCGAGATGGATCCATCGACCGAAGCCACAGAGGCAGACGGTCAGCCTTCTTCAACTGATGACGTCGAGGCGACTGCAGAATCGTCGGAAAATGCCCCGCAAAAGAGCGCTTCCTCTAGCAAAGAACTCGCACAGCTCGGACTGAGCTCCTTCGGTGACGGTGTCGAGGATGGTGTCGTGGGTCCCCGCCGCTCCCGCCGTGGTCCAGGCGCCTCACCAGATCCAAAAGCGCGCGTTCCCAAGGCCGAGCCCGATACCGATGCCACTTCATTACAGCACGACGAAGCCGCGACAATTGAAGAGGCAACAAGGACAGACGCGATCCCAGCCGATCAGGATCCTGGCGACAACGCTGCTGCCTCGGGGCAAAATCACAAGCCAGAAGCACCAGACTCGACAGCTCCGGAAGAGGCTGCATCCGACACTCGAAACGCCGCCAAAGTCGAGGTGGAGGACGAAGAAGGGCCATTGCCAGAAGGCGACGAGGCGCGATCGCTCAAGCCGCCCGGTGACCACAACGACAACGACGACGACATCGAGGAAGTCGAGACCAACTACGCCGACGCTGATGAGCAAGATGTCGATCTTGACGGGGAAGAGGGCGGTGACGAAGGCGTCACACGCTGCGTCTGCGGTAGCGCCGACGAGAACGTCGGTCTCATGATCCAGTGCGAGACTTGCAAATGCTGGCAGCACTGCGTGTGCATGGGCATGCAGGTCGAGGAAGACTGCCCCGACGTGTACTTTTGCGAGCAGTGCCGCCCGGAGTTGCATATTCCGCTGCTGCGCTCGCTCGGCCTGCTTCCCAAGGCATCCAAGAAAGGCACGGGCAAAGGCGGCGCCAAGTACTCTGCGCGCGAACTCAAAGAAGCCAAAGAGGCGATTGCCATGCTGGCGCAGGAGAATGCGCGTCGACAACAAGCTGTCGAGGCTGCTGCCCCTCACAATTCGCGCGACAGGAAACCGAGCCACAACTCTCGCAACGATGGCTCCAAGGAGGTGCCTAAGAGCCCTAAGAGGCGCAGTACGATGAACAGTCGCGATTCCGCGTACGGCGGCTGGGAGCCTATCCCTCCCGGTCTTCTCGCCGATGGCGAGCCGTGGGAAGGTGCTGATGATAAGAAGGGCGGCAAGAAACGAAAGCGCGGTCTGCCTGACGAGCAGAGGGACAGCACAGCAGAGACCGCAGAGGGGGGTGAAGGCGGTGTCGATGCTGCTTCGGATGCCACTAAGCGACGTCGCATGAGCGCAGGAGCCACGCTGGATCAGGATGGTGACAACGATATGGACGAGGACGAGTCGTCTGCTGCCGCTGATGGTAGCGCATCGCGCGACAAGGCCAGCAAGAAGAAGAAGGGCAACAACCAGTATACGGTGCGTGAATCTTCGGATGCTCCCGATGGTTCTGCTTCGAAGCCGCGTCATCCGAACCAATACACGTATCGCAACAAAGATCGAAACGGAGCGGCGGCAGGACCGGGAGCACCAAGCGGCCAGAAGACAGGATCGAGCTCCACATCGAACCTGACGTCGCACTCACCGAGTCCCAGCCCGAGCAAGGGACGCGCCGAGCACGCACGTCGTGCAGCCGCGAGGGACACGGGAAGTCAGATCGGAACACCGGCTCCGGGAGAATCTGGCAGCCTTGCCGGTCGTGGCGCAAACGCTCACTCCACAATACAATGGTCGCTTCCTGACCATCTCACGCATTTGGCTTACTTGCTTCCCAATGCAGGTACATCTCGAAGCGAGCCTCTTAAATCTTTAGCCTCAGCAGCCGAGAATGTATCTGCGAACGGCAGCTCAACCGTCGGCAAGAAGGGCTCGTCGAATCAGAGCGGACAGACAAGCTCCTTGCCATCGCCACCGGTGAGTGGGTCGACTCCGACGCCTTTCCAGGTCATCTCGTCGATCGAGTCGTCGACCAAGGTGCGCTTCCCGAGTCGCCGAATGACGATGGGCGAGATGCGAAAGCGTGTGCGCAATATCGGCGAATACGTGACGCGAAGCCAAATCGAAGCGGTAGAGCGAGAGAAACGCATGAAGCTGCTCGGCATTGTGCCGCCGTACAAGGAGGAGATGGAGGAGGATGTGGTCACGCCGGCTGAAACGATGCACGACGACGTCGATCAGAAGGAAGCTGTCACCGCGGACGGATCAACAACTGAGCAGACCGCAGATGCGACGGACGCGAACGGCGAGGACACAATTGCAGGCGCACCGGCCAAGGCGGAACAACTTCCCCTCAGCATGCGCTTGATGGAGGAGCTGACACGGGAGCTGATCCACTTCCAGCGAAAGTTTGGCATGGGACCGGGCAGCTATGGCAGCTTGGGCAGCTCGCATCATTCGACGACCGTCAACTGACGGAGTACCAGCTTGAAGATTCGCTCCATTTGTACCAACATCTGACAATGCTTGTGGAGTCTACCTTTCGGAGCGCGATGATTCGTTGATACATGCGTGTGTGACTCTCGACAGGAAACCACCATTCTCAGATCCGCCTGATGTTGCGCAAGACCAAGGACGGTGGCTGCAACCTCTCATCCAGCGAGAGGTCCTTGAGCAGGATGTGAGGGGCAAGAGAGAGAGAGAGAGCGCGCGCGCGATAGATGCGTCGACGGAAAATGTGTCAAGTCGTGCATCGGAGAATGTTCCTGGTCCATTCGAGTCTGATGTGGCGCTCCTGTCTCTCCATTGCGATTCAGGGTCTGAAGGCCTCTTCAGTCGCCCGACTGCAAGTGAAAGGACCAGTGACCGAGTCGTGAGCGACTAACTGCGCCTGGGCAGGCCTCATTTGCTCGCACTTTGATGGCAGGTGGTCGTGGCGAGTTTCTAGGGTTGGTCGATTTAGATTTGACAGCATCGCACATCTCATTGTGGCGATGCTGGCACGTCGACACTTCATCTCGATCTCGGCAGTGCGCACGCGTACGGACGAAGACGACTCAGCCAAGAAAAATGCGATCGATCCGGAAGAGCAAGGTTGGGCTGCAAACCGCATACATTGCAGAGCTCCTCAACATTTTGCGCGTGCAAAGAGATGGTCGATTGCGTTGCGCTGATACTGAGCCCAGGACGAGCGTCCATTGCTTGACTCTTGTTCTGGTTCGCAAAGACGACTCTACACCGCGACTCCTTCAGAGGTGGACGAGCAAGGCAGGTGGCCCGAGTATGCGAGCTTGACTATGGCGACAGAGTCTACCGTGCCTCTTTTTCCGAACGGCTCTTGGGTATACTGCAGCCATGAAATTTCGACGCGGTGGGCGTTGGCCTGTCACCTTTTGTCGAGCCTGGGAAAGCTCATGATTTTTAGCCGACGACTATGCGTGACGGCAGCCGCAGAGCAGCAACGGCAGCAGCAACGGCAACCGCCAACTCAAAGGCCCACTTTTTAGGGTCAAACTCTGTTCAGCGAGGAACGGCTCAGCACAATCTTTGCTCCTCTACCCCAATCACATCGTTATCCGTCGCACTCTTTCCCCGTGCTTTGCTCTTGAACCCACGCCTTCTGATCCCCTTCCTCGCTCCTTTCCTTCCTCCCTTCCACTTCCACGTCCCTTCCCAGCTTGGCGACCACTTCTCCTTCTTCCAACAGCTCATCTTCGTACCGCTGTCTTCGATCGTCTCCCCTCTGGTTTCCCTCTTCCGCCTCTTGTCGTCCGCAACCCACTCAATACCGCTCATCTCCACCATCCCCCTACCTTTATTTTTAATAAAAATATTAAAAAATAAACCCGATTCCTCGACAAAAACAGTCTCGACCTTCTTCGTGGTTCAGGGTGCACCTTCCCGCGCGAGCGAGAGACATCGCTTCGCCTCGACGACACCTTGCAGCGTTTCGTTCGCGCATACCATCACTCCGTCCTCGCGATTCGCCAGCAAGCGAGCCATCGATCAACTGCATGCGCTACATCTAACGGTGCGACAGGGTCAACCGACGGCAAGCATCCGCGCGCACAAGTCCAAATCATCACCTCGAACTGCACGTCGACAGTTCAGTACCCGAGCAGCTGTCTGTTGGTTCAGCTGCCTGATCGCATCACTGTCGACCGGCACTCATGATCCCTTGCTGAAGCTGCATCGACCCATTGCTCGGCATGACAACCGAACGCAGGCAGGCTCGCACGAGCACACCAGCCTCAGGCAGCTCTTCGCCCGTCATTATCACTCGTTTCACCCAATCAGCACCATCGCTGCAGTCCAAGAAGAACGTTGCTCCTCGCGTCTCTCGACGCTCAGCGCTTGCGGCAGCGCCCCGAATCCTTCAAGGTGCTTCCACCTCTTCTGCCGATCTGCACGCCGACAACTCGTTAGACGATCCTATCATCGTGTCCGACACCGACAGCGACGTCGCAGACAGTCTAGAGGCTGCAGACATCTTACGAGAGCACATGTCCTCATCCCAAGGCCCCAACGCAGCAGTCAATGGTGCATCTCAGCATCTCTCGCGCACCTCTGCCCATAGAGAAGATGAGAGCCGCTCCTCCACCACGCTCGATCGATCTTACGCTACATCGTTGAGCAGCGACCTCAATGCCCTCTCTGACGGCAGTCTGTCATCACTCAGCTCTGTGGAGTCGGATAGCGATGCCGCCGAAACGCCTGATGACGACCGTAACATGGCTTTTGGCAGTCCCAAAAGTACGCCTCGTCCCACGCGCAAACGCAACCCAGCATACACGCCGTTGCGAGGCTCGCAAGTCACTCCAGAAGCGACAGCCGAATCGTCATCCTCCACCCCAACTCCTAGCCGCAGGTCGGCCCGGATCGTTTCGTCAGGCTCAAGCGTCCAGAAAGCGCTTCAAAGGAGAGACGAACTCGATGCAAAGATGCTTGCTGTTCCAGTTCGACGCAAACCAGAGACGCCCGAGGCGCCACCGATCAAGAGACCGGTGGGCAGGCCGAGAAAGGTGGTGGCGACAGCTGACACGGCGACGACAGGTATCTTCCGTCCAGCCTCATTGCAGGCAGATGCAACTGCACCGGCGCAGAGTCCACCATCTGCATCCCCAACCAGACGCAGCGCACGGCTGTCGCTACCCTTTACGTCGGCAGCGACGGGCACGTACTCTCTGCCACCGAAGCCTGAAGCCGACGAAAACGTCTCACACGAGCTGAGACGCGGTACCCGCCCACGAGCAAGTGCACCGCAATCTGGGGCGTTTGAGCGTCTGCTCGTGCCAAACTCTCCCCACGCCGTGCAGAGCTCTTCAGGCTCACCAAGCTCAGCTGTACCCAAGGCCAGCGTCGCGCCCAGTGGTGTCGTCGGTGGCCTTGCCGAGAGTGTTCCAGTACCACCCGTTAAACGTGGCCGTGGTCGACCGCGAAAGTCCCTGCCTATCGTCCCGGCTCCGTCGCCGATTCTAGCCACGTTGACCGTCGACCGCAAGGAGTCCGGTCTGGTCAGCCGTCTGCGTAAAAGGAGCTTGTCAACAGCCGGTCTCGACGCCGCGTCAGAGTCGCCAATTGTCGTGGCTCAGGAGCAGGTGCAGCAGGGGACACCTCGACGCAAGAGGGGAAGGCCTGCGCGCAAAGATGTCACCGGCACCAAGGAAGAGACACCCCGCGTGTCGCCATCGCCCTTGCCTGAGCGAGTCTTGCACAGCCGCGCTGATGCCCGCAATTTTGACATCGATCTTCTCGATGACGATCTCAGCGAGCTCAGTGATGTGAGCGACATGTCGGTCGACTCATCGCAGCCGTCTCGGTCCACTTCTCAATCGGCTCAGCCGGGAGAGCGACGACGAGGCCGACCGCCTTCTGCCAGCACGTTGTTGGCCAAGAAGCTGAAACGCGCCAGCAAACTGGACAAGGACGGCAAAGTCTATCACTGCACTGGTCTGTATGCCGGTGAAGCAGATGCTGTGCCTTCAACGTCATCCGTCCGCCCGACCTCAACGCACAACATGCTCTTACCTGAGCCTGTCCACTTTGGTGCCAAATTGCTCTCGGAGGAGCGCGACTTTTGCTTGCCTTACCCCATTCACCAGTCGATGGACACGCTTCGCGATCGTGTCAACGCCAAGCGCAAGCCGCCACGTTACCAGCAAATCAGCAAGAACAAGTACTACTCGCGTGCCAAGCTGCAAGGCGAAGTGCCGCTTTGCAATTGCGAACCGGGTAGCGGATGCGGCAACGACTGCATTAACCGTATGCTCCAATTCATCTGCGATCCCAGGACATGCCCGAGTGGCGCCAATTGCACCAATATCAGTCTCGGACGTCGACCCAACGTCAAGACCACAGTTGCCTACTACGGCCGTCGTGGCTTCGGTTTGAAGACGCTCGAGGCCATCAACAGGGACGATTTCATCGACGAGTACCGGGGAGAGGTCATCAATCTTGGCGAGGCGGCCAAACGTGTGACCGAGGAGTACAAGGCCACCGGGAACTTTTATCTGCTGGACTACGATTCGGCTGCGGGCGAGCTGCTCGACGGTGGACGCAAGGGTAACATCACCCGCTTCGCCAACCACTCTTGCGATCCCAACTGCCGCATCGAGAAGTTCATCATCTGCGGTACGGACGAGGCGCTATCCGCAGAGTTTCAGATCGGCCTCTTTGCCAACCGCGACGTTGCCGAAGGTGAGGAGTTGACCTACAACTACGGCTGGGCCGCCTTTCAACCGCGTGATATCACAGGTGCACCCACCGCGCAGGTGCCGACCGAGCAGTGTCTGTGTGGAGCTGCCAACTGCTCAGGCATCCTCGGCGGCAAAAAGGCGCCGGTGAGCAAGGCGGTAGCAGATGTCGTGACAGCCAATTCACGCAAGAAGACGGCCAAGGGACAAGGCAAGGGGAAAGGAAAGATGCGAAAGTCGAGCCAGAGCTCCAGCATTCGCATGCGCGCCATGACGCCGATGTTGAATGTCTCCCGACTCTCCGCGGCGGCGATGCCAAGCTCAGCGCTCCTAACCAGCAAGGCCAAGAGGGCAGCGAGGCAGCGCGAGGAGGCTCAAACGAGTCTGAACCTCCTCAACAAGATCGTCATCAAGCGTCGCGAGCGCTCAGCACGCGGAGCCAGGACCACAAGCCTGCCTGCGTCCGCATTGATCACAAATCGCCCGGCAGCGCCGGTCAGCCCAACAAACACAGAGCCAGGTTCTCTGACAGGGAGTCAGATCGGAAAACAAGCATCGAGATCGAAGGTCGGTGGAGCGGGCGGCGGAAAGAAGAGTGCTTCAAAACATCAGGAATCTGCTTCGTCCTCTGCGCCCACAACATATCCGGCGACAGATAAGGCGGGAACCGCTTCTATTCAAGGAGTCAGTTTGGAAGGAGGCAGCGGAACGGCTGGTGTTGATCGTACGGTGCCCGATGATGCGCGTCCGAGTGCGACCAGCATGGTCTTTTCGCGACTGCCACTCTTGAAACGAGTCACCAAGAAGAGACTGGGAGCTGGTTTTGGCCTAGGAGCTACGGGCGCTCGCGGTACCAAAGACCGCAGATGGTCGGCGGCGGAAGCGCGCACGTCGGACAATGACGACAGCTCGTCATCTCGATCCGACTCGGAGAGCCGCACGCCAGAGTTTCAAGAGGAGAGCGGCGAGACGAAGCAACCTGCCAAGCCCAAGAAGGCGGGTCGACGTGGTCGCCACAAGCTGCAGCTGAGCGATGACGAGGCGGCACGACGGGCAACAGAACGCCGCGCTCGCAATGCTTTCCTGGCGCGTGTGCGTCGTGCGTCGAAGCGGGGCATCCTCATCGACGATCCGACGCAGCATCCTCTGAAGAAGATCAGCATCCAGTGCACCGCGGCACCCGAAAACACATACATCCCGGACTTGCCTTCGTCGCTTGTGACGCTAGGCATGACGACCGCGGATGCACGTCGAGCGCGCAACGCTTTCCTAGCACGAGTGCGGAGGGCGATGAAACGAGGCTATGCCAAGGAGGTGGCCATCAAGATGGCGGCGAAACCGCTGCCAGGAGATCCGGACCGAGACACGCCGGTGATGAAGGCGCAACGAGCTTACATGGAACAGCTCGAGCGCGACGCCGCCGACGAGCTGACGGGCTCCGTGTACGACACCGTTGGGACGAGCCAAGCGGCAACTGGGTCCAATGCGTCATCGGTAGCCGGAGACGATGGGTGGAGGGACGAATCGTCTTGGGCGGTTGCGCAGTGACGCAACAGCGATTGGGCGTCACGGCCGGCTACGGTTGGTTCCTGGGTTGCTTGTTGATGCTGGCGCTTGTACAGTAACATCCTCTGATCTTGTATGGCTTCCTTCGCATTGCATTCAGCACATCCATGTCACACAGTGTCATTGCCAAAGTGCTTTGATTCTTACAGGCAACAGTGCGGTTTCGAGTCGAAATTATTTGTTACAAATGTGAGATCGATTGTTGCAGCGCCGCTCCGGATTTTGACGAAACTGCGAAAGCGGGTGTGAAGGGCGCGGATGGAGTGAGAAAGCGACGCTGTTTGCTCACCATCTCTCGGATCCGCTCTTCCCTAGAAGACTCAATATACGCTCCCCACGCATTCTCGGACCCGCATCGACCACCCCGCCTCTACCCCGCATACCCGCGCCCAGCACCTGGTGCGTCCTCCGCCCTGCAGTGGCATCCTGGCACCGATTCGTCCGTTGCCGCCACCGCCACCACCACGAGCCATCAGGCTTGGCCTTGGCCTGGGCGGCCACCGCGGTCTTCTGACCACCTCCTCGCCATCGTCGACGTTGGCGCGGCTCGCAAATCATCCATTGTGAACCGGGCCTTGCCGTGATCTGTGACAAGCACATCTCGAGAGCTTTGCAGGCATCCGTGGGCCGACAGCCTCATTCATCGACGCCGCCGACGGGTGCCACTGGATTTGGCGTCGGGCAACTCATCAACGCTCATCTCGTTGGCAGCAGCCTGCATCAACGCCCGCATCTGTGACGCTCATTGTCATGGCCGAGAGCACAAGCTCGAGCAAGACGAGCTCGACCAACGGCCACTTGTCGGCTTGGCAACGTCAGAACGACACGCAACAGTCCACTGAGCAGGTGGAACAAGCAACGGAAGAGGTAGCTGCTGTTGCCAGTCCGGACACTGTCACACAAGCGCATCATCCCCTTTCGGAGAGACCGGCCGCGATGAGTGGTGCAGGAAATGACAGCCCCGCGACGATATCCGACGTATCGTCTTCGTCGGACGCGGCAGCTGAGGCGTTATCGAATGGGGCACGCGAACCAGCCGGCATCAACATGCAGCAACCCTCCTCCTACGCGGTCGGCAGCTCGAGCAACAACGGCAATGTAGACGACTCGAGCTACGCATCGCCCAGCGCACCACCTTCAGCGTCAGCGTCGCCGAGCAAGAGTGGCGCTACCGTCTTGATGGCATCGCGCAAACAAAACTCCGCCTGCGATGCGTGTCGAAGTCGCAAGGTTCGCTGCAACAGAGACCCTGGCGAGGCCAAGTGCAACCATTGCAAGGCTAAGAACATCGACTGTACTACGCTCTACGTGCAGTGGGCTACCTCGTCGGCCAAGCGTCCCACCAAGCGCCCCAGAACATCGCTACCCTTTCCCCCCGAGGAGAAGAAGGAGGCACCCAAGCCGCCAGAAGTCATCGATGCTGCTGTGCAGGTGCAAGACCGGTTGCTGAACGCGCTCTTCCAAAGAGACACAGACTACGCACCAGCCGACAACCAAGTCTACATTTACCAAAGCTTGCCCTGCAATGCACCATTATCGGCCAGCGGCTACACGACCCGCAGCCTCGTACCTTCGTCGTACCTTCCCGGTCCCAAGCCCGCGGCGACGACTGGCGCTGAGTTGCATTTGCTCGATCGACAGCGTCGGGAGGACTTTGTCAACGATCTGGTCGAGACCTACTTCTCGGTGGTGCATGCGAGGTTACCGCTTCTCAACCCTCAGACGTTCCGCAAAAGGTACTACGAACGCAGTCCCGAGCTTGGAGGCCCGCCGTCAGATATCATCCTCGCCTTGGTAATCGCTTGGGGTGCCAAATTCAGCGAGAACCCGCTCATCGCTCAGGACCGGGACGACAGCGCACAAGAGCTGCGCAAGGCGTGGAATCAGGCTCAGACGGCAATCGCGAGAGGCGAAACGGAGAAGGCCAACCAGATCACGGGTTTCAAAGGCGGTGTTGAGCAACCAATCCTCACCGTACCGGAAGAGCTGAGGGAGCAGGGACGCAATCGGATCGCTGACCATCTCACCTGGCGAGCTCAGGATGTGATGGATCGCCTGCGCGTCGCCAGGGTGGCCACGCTCGAGAACGCGCAGGCATGCTTCTTGATGGAGCCGCTGCTTCTCCATCCCTCGGTGTACTTCAACGGCAACCTCAACATCGCTGGCGATCCGGTACCCGCCAAGCATCGCGCTTTGCTCGCCTACACAAACGGACATTGGTATGTGATCGCCATCAAGCACATGCTTGACCTCGGCATCCACTGCAAGGAAAAGGTGATGACCATCAAGGACCCTGGGTTGCGCGGCGAGACGCTCTTCACGTGGTGGATGGCCTGTATGGCCGATTCGGCGTCTGCAATGTTCTTCCAGCGTCGCTGTCTCATCTCTGACGACGACTACAACAGCGATCCACCTGCTGGAGATGCGGAGAACAAGAACGAGGCGCCGCATCCGCTCGGCAGCATCGATTCGTACTTGGCCTTTTTTGGTTCTGCACACGATGCGGTCGTGTTCCAGCGCAAACTCGCTGCCTTGTACTTTGCGCCGCGCAGCCACATTGAAGGTGTGGCGCTGGACAAGGTCGCCGAGATTGTCGAATCGCTTAAAAAGTGGCGCGAGGACCATCTCGAAAAGGTGGGCGTTCCCTTGCCGCACTGGCCGCCGCATTGGGACTACATTGCTGCGGTGAGCGCCTGCACCAGCGATATTAACTACCATGCCAACTGGATCGTGTTGTGGCGTCTTGTCGACGAGATGGGCATCTACGGCACGGATCGATCCGATGCTACCTCGCCAATTCACCAAGATCGACTTAAACGACGTCTCGACTCGGACCAAGATGTGCCGAGGGACGGCGTTCCTGATGCGGAACAAATGCAGCTCATTCTCAATACCATCCAAGAGGAAGCGCTCAACAGTGCTCTTCGTATCGCTGGACTAACCGAGATCCTCCGTAGCAACTCGTATCTCCGTCTGGACCCCTGCAACTCCCTGCAGAGTCTCGAGCAAGCCGCGCATCTGCTCATCCGGTTCCAACGCACTGAAGTGGACATCATCGTCGCCGGTTTCCGACAGTACGGTCTCTCCTACGAAGACTGCTTCGACAAAGCGGACATCATGGAAGACCTTGCAGCAGCGTACAACGAACGTGCTCGGCAGGATCCGAACTTTGTACCTGGATCCGCGTTGGGTTTGGCGCTGGAACGAGACGCGGCAGGGGTCGGATCGAACGGGATTCCGGGACTGGCGATCGCGGCAGCTGCACTGTCGAATGCCGCTGCCTCGGCGAACGATGCGGGCGCAGGTTTTGCGTTTGAACAGCAACAGCCGGGATCAAGCGCGGATGTGAAGGATGTCAACGAGGCCAACTTTGATAGCATGTTCGCTGCGACGGCAGATGATCAGAATGCGGGAGGTGGGGGATTTGCGGAAGTTGCGACTGAGGCTACGGATTGAACGAGATGACTTGGGTTTGGAAGTTATTGGATCGGTTAGGTTAATCTCAGCTTTGAACGGACCTCACATGCGATCATTGTGTCTGTGGAACTCAAAAGTATGAATGGGAAACGAAGACACACAAAACCCCATGGGGGAGAAGGACAACACATGTCGTGAGGGTGATCGAAATTTGAGACTTTTTTGGGCATTAAGAAAGGTGGATGAAAGATGAGAGCTAGGGACAGATGATCCGCATCAAGGAATGACCTCGTGACCTATCCTAGCTGATCAAGGTGCGTGCAAATAAAAGGTGCGCTGATTAGGGGGAGGCAGCGTACCAGTCGACACCCTTCTTGATGTTCTTGGCGAGTTCGGGGATAGCAGCCTCGAGGAGCTTCTCCTCCTCAGCCGAGACCTTGCCGACGGAGTGGATCTCCTCGACACCGTCCTTTCCGAGGGTGATGGGGCTGGCGAAGAAGGTGGCGCCCTGGTCCTTGTACAGAGGCGACTCGACGTAGGCGCACTCCTTGATGCCCTTCTCGCCGTTGAGAGCCTTGAGGAGGGCGTCGGAGAAGACGGCGGCGGCGTAGGCCATGGAGAGGGTGGCCGATCCGGCACCGTCCTTGGCCTTGACGACCTCGTCACCACCGAACTGGATGCGGTGAACGAGCTTCTCGTACTGCTCACCCTTGGCGACAGCGTCGCCGCCGTTGGCCTGCGAGAGCAGGGGTACGATGGTGACACCAGAGTGACCGCCGACGACGGGGACGATGGTCTCGGAGGGCTGCTTGCCCGAGATGCCGGAGAGGAAGGTGGAAGCACGGGTGACGTCGAGGGTGGTAACACCGTAGAGCTTCTTGGGGTCGTAGACGCCAGCCTTCTTGAACACCTCGGCGACAATGGGGACGGTGGAGTTGACGGGGTTCGAGATGACCAAGATGTGAGCCTTGGGGGCGACCTCGGCGGCCTTCTTGGCGAGATCGCGGACGATGGAGGCGTTGGTGTTGAAAAGGTCGTCACGGGTCATGCCTGGCTTACGGGGGACACCGGCGGGGATGACGATGACCTCAACATCCTTGAGCGCCTCACCGAGCTGGTCGGCCTGGTAACCGGTGGTGGTGGAGGGGGTGTTGACGTGCGAGATGTCGGCGGCGACACCAGGAGCGAGACGAACATCGTACAAGCGCAGGTCCGACACGAGGGGGTTCTGCTTGAGCAGCAGGGAAAGAGGTTGTCCGATACCGCCCGAAGCGCCGAGAACGGCGACGGCACGGTTGTTGGCGGCCGAGGACGAGAAGAAACGAGGCGCAGCGGCCTTGGGCACGGCCGATCGAAGAGCCTGACGAGCGAACATGGCGATGGGAGCAGAAACCAGTTGTGGGATGGATCTAGAGGAGAAGGAAGATGCAAAGATGGAGGTTCCGATGCAAGCGTGGAAGCGATTCGATGGACCGGCAAGGCTAGACCGACCACAGGCACAGACGCTGAACGGGCACAGGCGCCGCGAGGTGTTGAAATCGACCCAAAGCGATTCACGAAAATGTAGAGATTGCGCTCAACGGAGCCATTCGGATTCGCATCCAAGAAGAACGAGAACGCCCAGCTAGGCAGCAGCAGAGGCCGCGCGCTTTGACGTTTTTGTGGCCTTTCTCTTCTTTTCCTTTTTTGGGCCTGTCGTTCAGTCACCGAATCTGAAAGCGGCAGACGAGCGAGAGAGTGGAGGATCAGCCAGCACCTCGCCTGCTAACTTAGATTTTCGTTTGATCAATTGTGCACTGCCCAAAGCGCGGTGTGCTGGGGTGCCGCTGAGGAGCAAGCGGAGCAATCAGGAAGATCTCGCTCGCCATCTCGTCATCGATCGTCCACCAGACGACCCTGACCTATCGTTGGTTGCCTACGATCTGACATCTGTGCTTAAAATGGTAGCATGCGGCACTGCTGTCTGCAAACAGCTTACAGCACCGCGTAGAGATCTTGTTTTCTTCGCAGGATGCTGGGTACGGCAGCTTATCAGATTGTGCACCTCAGCTCGTCAGGATGGTCCTCTGAAGTACAGTAGCAAGGTTATCATTGTGCCTCGGGCATCGTCTCACAATTACGTGATCCTTGATGCAACCACGGGACCAAGAAAGGTTCCAAGGCGTGACAGTCCATCTCGGTAGCAACAGCCTTCGCTGGCGGCTCTTGTGACCCCACACGAGGGCTCAGCGAGAGCATTGCGCCCCGACCAGCAAGCGACGACGTCGGATGACCCAGTCATGGGACCGAGCACGTCCACGCGGATCTCTGCCGCTTATACGACTCTACATAGTGCCATGGCGTTGTCACCGCAAAGGATTTCGGGATTTGGGATTTGTGACAGAATCGGTGATGCATGAGACCGATCAAGCTCGATTTGAAATTTGTGGCCTAAGCTTTGTTAGGCCTATGGGCAAGCTTTATGTCACGTGATGTTCGAATCAAGAACGGCCGAAAATATTTTACAACTGGCCATGCTCAGCTCTTCGGGGTCCAATCGTTTCGCGCGCTCTGTAGAGGCGGATTTTTCGCGGTCAGGGCTGAGTGTCGAGGGAGACGAGGCCATCTCCTTCTGCCTGCTGACCATCATCACCTCTCCTTTCCTCAAGACAGTTGATATCATCCAAAATGGTACGCATCCCGACATGAGAAGGAGTAGCATTGCATGGCCCGACATGATGCCATGGACCAACGACATTGGATCACAGCAGCAGCGGCAGAATTTGGATGCTTGAGATTCACGATTTGGTGCCGCCAACCTCCCCGACCACCCCTACGCCAGCAGCAGCACTCTCAGTGAAACGACAATGCTACTTCGGCTGTTACCCGATCATGCGACACCGCTTTTGATGCATCGCAACAAGCGTGCGATGGTGACCATCACAACCGTCCAGCAGAGAAGGGAGATATATATCGTCTAGAAAGGAGATGCTACAGCAGCAGCAGCGGAGGCAACTCGGCGATTGCTACACACATACACTCCATTTCAGCGACATTTCCTCTCCAGCTGCCTCGCTTTGCATCGCTGCAGCGTTGCGAGATCGTGGAACGATCGGTTTGACGTGGCTGCTTGGCAGAACACAATGTCGTCCTGCAGTCTTTCCATGCCGATCCGACCTCTGGTATTTAGGGGATGAGGTGGTGGGTGCTTGCTCCTCACACTGTTCGACGAAGCGCTGGTCAGCTCTTGGAAGCAGCAATTTCTGGCTCTTCCGAAGAGGTCAACCTTCTGCTCTCGTGCTCTGAACGTGTTTGGAGCCACCCATCGCCTCTTTTAGAGCACCGAGTCTGTCTCGTATCCGCTTGTTGTCTCCATTGTCTTGCTACCCTTCGCGGTTCATTACATGGCAAACAGGATACTGACTCGTCTCAATGACCCCCGTCTCTTCCACAATCTGTGTTCGTGTCGTGTCTGTTTCTTTCCTTTCCAACAGCCCGCTGCCAAGAAGACCGGATCCGCCAAGAAGCCCGCCGCCGCCCCCTACTCCAAGGGCAAGGCCACCAAGGCTCCCAAGAACCCTCTCTTCGAGAAGCGCCCCCGTAACTTCGGTATTGGTATGTATTCGACTTGCTCCCCTGTTTGCCAAGCCGTCCCGTCCGTGTTCTGACCCCGGCGTCACCCTCTTCTCCACTTGCAAACCCCCATTACAGGCCAGGACATCCAGCCCCCTCGTGACCTCTCGCGCTTCGTCAAGTGGCCCGAGTATGTCCGCCTCCAGCGCCAGAAGGTTATCCTTAACCAGCGCTTGAAGGTGCCCCCCGCGATCGCCCAGTTCGCCAACACCCTTGACAAGAACACCGCCACCAACCTCTTCAAGCTGCTCAACAAGTACCGCCCCGAGTCCAAGCAGGAGAAGAAGGGTCGTCTCGATGCCGCTGCCAAGGACATCGCCGACGGCAAGAAGGCCGACGCCAAGGCTGACGGCAAGAAGCCCCTCTTCGTCAAGTACGGTCTCAACCACTGTGTTGCCCTGATCGAGGCCAAGAAGGCTGCTCTCGTCGTCATCGCCGCTGACGTCGACCCCATCGAGCTCGTCGTCTTCCTCCCCGCCCTCTGCCGCAAGATGGGTATCCCTTACGTCATTGTCAAGTCCAAGGCCTCGATCGGTGCTCTTGTTCACAAGAAGACCGCCGCCGTTGCCCTCATCCAGGAGGTCCGATCCGAGGACGAGCGTGAGCTCGCCAACCTCGTCTCGGCCGCCAAGGCCAACTACCTCGACAAGGCTGAGGAGATCCGCCGCCACTGGGGTGGTGGACACCTCTCGCAGCGATCCAACCACAAGCTCGCCAAGCGCGCCAAGATCGCCGCTCTCCAGCCCAAGCCTGTCGCTGTGGCCGCTCCGGCTGCCGCTGCTGAGGACGACGACGAGTAAATGTCTCGCACATTTGCGCGTCTTCTGCCGGGCGCAAGCCCTCCAAAAGCTGGTCTCGAGATTGCCCATCCCAAGACCAACACCCCACCTTTTCTTCCTAAGTTGACGGTCGAATTCATGTTCGCTCCTTGTTGTTCAGTGAATGGATGGTGATGCCGTACCAACATCTTAACACCCTTTGCATTCGCGGCGCGACTGAGGTGGTCGGCACCTCCGACTGCTCGTTGCCCGTGCTGTGTTGGTGCCCCTCTTGGCACTTTGTACAATACCCTCAAATCTCTGATTTGTGATCTCTTCACTTTGATGTTCGGTCGCGTGACTTTGAGTATTGTGTGACGATCGTGCGTTCAATGATGTCGGCGCAGGCGCCGTCGTTGATGAAAAGTCGCACCTATCGATAGGCCTAGACGCTGAGTCGGTGTCCGACCAGATCATGCCGATGACCCAGCGAGGGCGGAAGATCCTATCGGGCTGTACATGGACGCACAGACCCTGTGCGCACGAGGAGTTCGCCGGTTGACTTCGGTGCAGCTCCGACGGCTCCGATTTCTCTGCTATCACTATCTCGATCGTCCGGTATATACCGTCTATTGTCTTGGACTGTCCTATTGGTGCGCGAAAGGCCGCTATACTCTCCGTAATCTGACATTGCGCAGCGTCGAAGCGATCGTCAAGTCGTCGGTACAAAGTATCGTCCGCATGCAACAAGGTCGATAGGGGAGAAAGGTCGAAATGCCTCCACATTGATCTTGCAAGCCCCACGCGTGGCTTGACGCGACTTTTGGCTTCTGAAACAGGAAGAAAAGGGTCGATCTTTGAGAAGAACGCATGAAAACGAGAAGAAATAAGGATACATAAATTAAAAATCAAATGGCCATCGAGATGAAGACGAGGAGGATCTTCACGTTGGCAGTATCAGCGGTGCACGACGTCCGACTCGTATTGGTCTTACGAATGCGCAGGTGCCTCAATTGCGGTAGCTATCGCTGCACGGAAGCAGACCAGCAATGACTTGGTCGCCTGGCTACGCCATTTCGGAACGCTAAAAAGGAAAGCTGTAGAGAAGGAGAAAGGGCAAAGGAAACCAAGTAGAAAGCAGCGAATTTTCTAGACGAGAAGCAAGCGAGCCTTTTCCCGAGATTCGAGGAAAGGTAGGGACAGCGTCGATCTGGGGGAGGTTCGGATGTTGCACAAGATGCTGCATTGCCACACGATTCGAAGAATGGTCGATGAGATGGAACGGAAAACCGCACCATCGATGCCAAGCGAGGTCGCTGTTGGCAGCTCGCGACTAGGAAATGCAGCTCGGGCCCGGCTAATCTTGAGCGGCTCTGGCTCCCGCGCCGGTGATGCCATGCCATGGCATCCCATGTCTTCGTGGCGCGGCCTGTCGACGTGGCAGCCAATGCAAGGGCGCCGCGATCCACGCACGCTGTTCGAGACTATCTTGCCAAGATTGGCGACACGCCCGCAAAGACATCCATGTGACGGTGTCGGCGGTCATTGAGACGCCAAGAGGTTCCGCGATCGTCGGTATGGCGCCGATCGAGACCAAAGAAAGGAAACTTGAGCATGCCGAAGTGTCGACCTCATGGTCAGATTCCCACATCGTTTATGGCAAGAGTCATCGGGGCACGGGGCTGATCAGCACACCGCCGAAAGCCGACGCGAAAATTTGGCACACTGTAGCCGGTTGTCGAGGATGTCTGCATTTCGGGAAAGCCGAGTGACCTTTGCCGTTGACCTTTGCCGTAGTACAGCCCACCGATATCGGTCCTGCTTTGCTCCCATGGCGGTGCACACCACCTTGTACAACACACAGCGCTGGCCATCCTCATTGTCGGGTGGTGTCCGACAGCACCCTCTTGCTGCCGCCAAAGACTGCTTATTGACCGGCGTCAATCTCTCTCCACACAGACGGCGTCGGCGCTGACCTTCCGAGGCAGTCTTGTGACCTTGACGCGTCTCGTACGATCGCATCAAGTTGCGCCGATCATCGGCTCACTTCCGAATACCAAGGACAGCGCAGCGCCCGCCTTCATCTTAGGCTACCCGCCCGGCTGCTTCGGGCGCCACACGAGCTCGTTTACTTATTCTTGCCTTGGCATCGGGGCTGCCGCCATTGGTTGTGTGTAGTATGATCACGCCAAAGTTAGCGTTGCGTGGTGGTGTCACACATCCAATCCAAATGCTGTTTCGACAAAAGCAGCGATCGCAGACCCTTTTCCTCTCGTTCCTCCAAAGCGAGCTGTTGCACTTTGCGCAGTTAATCTGAGCCCGTATCGGGCGGTGCGACAGCGCAGCATGCAGCCAACGAGGTCACAGCTTTGACCACGAAGGCCAATTTCTCTACTGCAGGCAACGGCTATGAGGATTGGAAATGCAGCCACGGCAACGCCAGGCCATTTTCTCTTGGACGTCCGAAGCCAGCTAGCATCGAAATTTTTTCTTACGCCCCGCTGCCACACAAAAGTGTGACCAGATTTCGTGCCCTTTTTTTCTGGCAGGTATTTTTGTGTATTTATTTAAAATGATAGGATTTCTTCTCACGTTAGTGTTGGTGTTGGTTGCGCTCGGTTTTGGGACCGCAGCGCTTTGCGATTTTTTGTGGTTCAGGTTGCCCTGTGCCAGAGTGGTCCCGCTACAGCAGCTACTCACCCTCAGTTGAAAAGTTCAGGTGCGCCTGTCAAAACCACTATTTGACCAGCCTCTTCCTCCTCCGTCCCAACCATCCTCCTCGCCTACTCCTCTCTTCCAGACATCTTCTTCACCTCAAGCACAGGCGAGCCACATCAGCTCTTCGTTCACGGCTCCTCCAAGGCTCACCAATCTTGTACGCCTCTTTCTCCGATCGAGCAGCAGCGGCAGCAGCAACGAGTAAGTGTCACTTCCCGCTCACACCCCTCGTGAAACATCCTGATGCTGAAACAGCCGCCCCTCCATTGTGCGGCGAAATCCCTTCTCGACTGTACAGGTCCCGATCAGATCGTCGACGACAGAAGTGTTCTAGAATCACATCCAGGCGGGGTGACGCCTTGGAAATCCAAAAGAAAGACGACTGCTTCGACACGATTTGCTCCTCTCCTCTATTCATCTTGATGACCAGCTGATCGGCAGCGCGTACGAACTCAAGCGTTCACCGTCACTCTGAGATCCGACCATAAGCCCCACCATCTCGCTCTTCGAACAGACCGTACATCCCTTAACTCACGAACTATTACGCTCCTCACGATCTTCCTCAACCGCATCGCATCGCAACTGGCGCTCTGGGCTCGACTGAATTCGCCCATCTCTCACCTGTTTCCGCCTGCAGCATTTGTTTCGACAGCCGCTGTTCTCCCGAGTCCCCGATGAACAGTCTTGTCATCGCTTCACCATAAACTTTCTTTAGCTTTGCTGCTGCTCAGCTCTGCTGGGCCGCTCGCGCTCCTGCACAGGGGTATTCCCCTCGACGGCTTCTCTTTGCCAATCTAAAAGTCGGCCAAGAAACAGCGTCGGCGCACATTTAGCCTCATGGCCGATCACCACATTGAGGTCGGCCTCGGCCTTGAGATGGACACCTCATCGCATCTCTCAGACCTCACCAACCTCGCGGGGTCTCCTGGAAACGGATCCGGCAAAGTGCAGCAGAGCGCGGATGCGGGTCAGCATATACAGGATGTGTTCTCTCAACAGAGCCACATGCATATCGTCCGCGATGGATCATACAACCCCGGTCCGCTGGGAACATACTTCAAGCAGGCTTCCTCAGGTCTCGAGGCGTTCGCAGGCGTTCATCTCGAAAGCGAAAATAATCAATCAACGGTAATGCTTGATCAGTGCCAACAGCAGAGTCCTCAAGTCGCATCGCAGCCTCACAGCGTAGGCTTCCAATCCGAAAATGCTGCGTCGTCTGGTCTGGCCGAGGCTTTTGGCTTTAGCGCCGGCTCCAATGCTCCAGATGTACAGACGGCCAGGCCCAACCCGGCTGTACACGGTCCCTTAATGCAGTGCTCGAACTCGCAGACAACAGTGGAGGTTTCGTCCGCATCCGAAGAAGCCAAGCATTTGTCCCGATTTCCCGGCGATCATGCTAGCGCGGCCGCTGTACACCACCAGCCGGAGATCTCACCTGTCAGTGAGCGGCATCATTTCAATTCATACCCTCCGTCGCCCCAACCTCAGTCGGATCTGCAACCTTCAGAAGGAGCAACAAGATCGGCTGGCGATCGGCAAGCACCATCACACAGACCCAGCCATAGCCTGGGTCAGGCCGCAGCTTTCATGTCGAGCTTGCCTGCTCGAGGCATGTTTGCCAACCATCACGCCAGCGCACCCGTGTCGCCGTCTGATGGTCTCCGTGCAAGTTCCTTCACCACTTTTTTCCAGTACACTGGTTCTCGCCAAGACCAGAGCGTCAGCATGACTGATCACGCCTCCGTGCTTGCTCAAGGCGGTACGAACAGCCTTTGGCGACCGCATCCCAATTTTGCAGCCTCAAGTGCCCCGTCTGTACGCTCTACTTCGCCCTCGACCAGCTTGGCTTCAACATCCATGACGTCCATCTCACCCCTGGGCAGCACTCGCATAAACCCTGATGGCTCGTTCACCTCGCAAGAGTGCTCTTTCGACAGTCTGTCCAATGCTGCCTCGGGCTCTTTCAGCCGGGCGTCGTCTGCGTCGGAGGACGTCTTCTCTTACGATCTCGGCTCGCTGGGCGTGCCTCCTTCTCTGCGCATGTCCAAGCAGAAGAAGAAGCTCCGTAATATCGACCGCAAAATGATCTGCGACTATTCGGCCGCCAATCCACAGGTCAAGCAGGATGCTATCGCCCATCAATTTGGCATTGAACGCAGCACGGTCAGCAAGATCCTCAAGCAAAAGGATAAGTGGCTCGCCATTCAGCCCGGCAGCGACGCAGCCCGCATCGCCAAGCACCGCGCCGTCAAGTTCCCTGCCGTCGAGGACCGTTTGACAGCTTGGGTCGCCGAGCTTGAGGCGAGGGGGGAGGCGATTCGCGATACGACTATCCGCAACGAAGCCTTGCGAATCGCCCGCGAGCTAGGTCTGGGGGAGGATAAATTCAAAGCATCGGGCGGCTGGATCGAAAAGTTCAGAGAGCGCAACCAGATTCCCAAGCCTCAGAGCATCGACACCAAGAGCGAGCTCTCCAATGTAGCTGGACCTACCAGCGAGCCAACGCCCGCGGCCGGCACTCCTGGCGCGCTGAAAAAGGAAGGCTCTGAGGATGCGTTGACGGCATCGATGACGATCGCCCCGTCCGCCTCAGCAAGCATGGGCACTCGTCCACCGTCGGCTCGACGCCAAGCGACGAGGGGCGGCAGGCCGAAATCGACACCTCAGAAGCGAGCCAGAGAGGAGGACGCGAGCATGCAAGCCACCCTGGGCTTGTCGCCGCTCAGCAACGACATGGCTCGTATGCATTTTAGCGGCGGAGTGTCTCCTGCAACACTGTGTGACTCTGCTTTCTTCAGTCCTGACCTGTACGTGCCTCATCCCTCGATGCCACCACCGTCGCAGGACTACGCTTTCCTGCAACAGAGTCATGGCGGTACCTCGGTACAGTCTCTAGCAATGGATTGCGACCTGGAGTCGGATCGCAAGCGCAGAAGAGCCGTTGAAGAATTCCAGGCTACCCAATCGGCGATGGCTCTGGGTCCCGTCACCATTATCCAATTCTCGCCCGTGGCTGCCGAGTCAGCTTCGTTAGCCCAGGATCAAACGTCGGCACAACTCTCGCAGGGTCTCGAGCAACCGGTCACGCCCCCGCAGAGGAGCAGCTCGCGAGGCCGACGGAATGCAGCCAAGACCTCCGCCGGTAGCAGGGGAGGACGCTCGCGTCGCGGCAAAGGACGCCTGTCGAACGTCAACCACACACCCCAGACTCCGTCGCCTCTGTCCATGTCGCCTGCCGACCCGAGTGGGGAATCTGGCTCGCGTGAATTGACCGCTGCAGACGCGGAGCAGATCACGGCCGCCACACTCGAACGCATCCGAGCGCTTCAGGACTCGGGTAACGCTTCCTCACACGTCACGGCTGAGCAGGCGCAGCAGTCTTTGGAACTCGTCCTGAGATTCCTGCGCGAGCAGCCGAGCGATTTCCTGCCGCCGACCCACTTTGTCGTTTTTGGACATCTCCAGGCCAATATCGAGCAGAAGATCCGAGATCGATCGACCGACGGATCGCTGGCTGAGTGCACAAGTCCACACGTGCCTTCGCCGCTGCTGCAGGCCGCCGAACTCAACGGCGAAACTCGTGCCGATAGCAGCGAAGAGCAGCGAGAGGATGTCTTGCCCTGTATCGATGAGCAGTGATGCTGACTCGACCGATCATTCAGCTGGCCGACAGATCAGTCTTATGATCGCTTGATTCTAGCCCCATCCTCCTTGATCTATCCACCGTCTTGGCGGCTGTGTTGCTTGCGATCACAGAATCGCTTTCGCCAAAGGCGCAGAGGCCTGGTTCCTCGAGCGCTCTCAAAAGGTCTACTACAGACCAACATGCATATTTCTTTGTTTCTCGTCTCGTTCTCGGCATCAAGGTCATCTTCAAGCGATATCCAATAGCATTTCATTCCCTCTGCCATCGTGCATCGTCAAAACTCAGCATCGCATCGACCGTACTTCACACAAATAAACAATGATCGTTCGGCCCCGCCTCAAGTCGGTCTGTGCCAGCTTTGTACGCGAATGTATTTGATGTGAAAGCAGCAGAAGGTTGAACCTGCTCGCCGCCCATGACAACATGCCTCTCACTGGTATCTTGAGGGGCCATTCATCGGTTCTCGGAGCCAAGCGGCTCAGGAGCAGGAACAACCAAAGGCGTCGTTGCCGCAAATCCAACTGGTGGCTACCGCTTCGAAGTTGCAGGCGCAGGAGAGCGTCAGCGTCATCATGAAAATCCGGGCTCCACATCTGTTACTGATCTGGTACGTGCGGGGCTAACGTTAATCGCGAACTGGGAATTTCAGCAGCGAAACGCCAGTGCACGGTGGTTACCGCAAAGGTGCCCGTTGCGGTAACGTTGCGTCGGCAACTTCGTGTCGCAGAAGCGGTGGTGCACCACCTGCAGTCAGATTGTTCTGCCTGGTGCATAAAAAGCTCTCTTATTCATCCTTCCCCGCATCGTCCATCCAGCTTGACCACCATCATACGTACCCACTCTGTCATCCTTCTCCCTCCGAAAGCAGAACGATCTCTTTTTGCCAACAACGATGACCGCCTTCTCCGGATCTAGCGCGCTCACGAGTGGCCCCAACTACTCGTACTACTCCATCCCTGCCGCATGGATTCTGGCGATGATCCCGCACTTTGTTGCGGCCGGCCTTGCCGGCGACAAGTTCAAGAACACCACGCCTCGTCAGATGTTGGCCGACCTGCTGGCCAAGAAGGACAAGACAGCGCTGGACAAGAAGATCATCCGTGCCGAGAGCGCGAACTACAACGGGTGAGTTGCCCCGCGCACAGCTGCTGTTGTATGCGACCTTGTTGCGAGAACAGACTCGCTGACGGTTTGACGAGATATTGAGAGCTCACAGATTCGAGACGATGGGGCTGTTCGCCGCTGGCGTCGTCGCAGCTAACGTTGCAGGTGTTCCTAGCTCAGAGCTCAACAAGCTTACCGGTGGCTACCTTGCCAGCAGGGCTTTGTTCAACTTGTAAGTCGTCTTTGTTTCGTTCTCGTTCGGCAACAAAGCGAGTCTGACACTCTGTCGCAATTCCTTTTCGACACTCGGCCTTGCGAAAACAGGTTCTACATCTACGTCACCAGCGAGACTGTTTCCGCGCTTCGAAGTGGTGCGTACCTCTCCGGTATCGGTATCATCTTCACGCTTTTCATCAAGGCCGGTCTGCGCCTCAACTGAACGGCGGCGTCTGCTCAGCGGTGACAAACTGGCTTGCCGCTTTGTGACCTGTAAAGAACTCTGCCCACTGTGTTACACTCAAGAAAGCAACGAGATCATCTTTTCCAGCTTCACACATGACTTTATAGCTGGAATCAAAAACGTCCTACAACGAACATGACAGACATCAGACGGAAGCAATCGCCTCGGCGATAGCATCTCCCAACTTTTGCGTTGTGCCTTTGCCCTTCATGTCTGGCGTGAGCACGCTCTGATCCGCCTCACCCAACACCCGATCGATCGCCTTCATCATGGCTTCGGCAGCCTGCTTCTCGCCCAAGTGCAACAGCATCATCTGACCGGCCCAGATCATGCCTACCGGATTGGCGATGCCCTTGCCCATGATGTCCGGTGCTGAACCGTGAACTGGTTCGAAGAGGCTTGGAAACTTTGCCTCCGGATGGATGTTCCCAGAAGGAGCGATACCGATGGTGCCTGTGACGGCTGGTCCCAGATCCGAGAGGATGTCGCCGTGAAGGTTGGAGCCTACGACGACGTCGAAGTGGCTCGGTTTGGCGACAAAGTGTGCTGTGAGGATGTCGATGTGGAACTGTTCCGTCGTCACTTCAGGATAGCTTTTGGACATGAGTTTGAACCGATCGTCCCAGTAGGGCATTGTGATCTTGATACCGTTGCTCTTCGTCGCACTGGTCAACCTCTTCCTCCGCGTCGTCTTGGCCAGCTCGAAAGCGTACTTGAGGATCCGATCTACACCGATCCTCGTCATGACCGTCTCCTGGATCACAGTCTCCCTCTCTGTCCCCTCGAAGATCTTCCCACCGATCTCAGAGTACTCGCCCTCGGTGTTCTCTCGAACGATCCAGAAATCGATCTCGCCCGGATCAGCGAGTGGAGACGGAACACCTTTGACCAGACGACAAGGTCGAAGATTCACATACTGGTCGAACTGCCTTCTCATCTGAAGCAGAGACCCCCACAGTGTGATGTGATCCGGATGACGTGCCGGGTCGCCAACGGCGCCAAAGTAGATCGCATCGAAGGGCGTGAGAAGTTCGACCCAGTCGTCCGGCATCATCTTCCCGTGCTTGTCGTAGTAGTCGCACGAGGCAAAGTCGAAGGTGGTGATGGCTAGGTTGAAGTTGAAGCGAGCAGAGGCAGCGTGAAGGGATTTGAGACCGCATGGCATGACTTCTTGTCCGATTCCGTCGCCGGGGATGACGGCGATCTTGTAGGTTTTGCCCGACATGGTGATGTTGACGGTGTTGCTGAGGTCGAGATGGTGGGTCTGAGGCGACCGCAGATCGTAGGTGACTTAGTCAAGGAAGGGCGTGCTCGAAGAGGGGCAGTTGATTCAAAGGGAAACGGATACAGGCTGAGTGAAGGGTTACCCCACGAACGCACTTGCATAACCGCAACGAGACTCAGTGTGGGGGAACAGGGAAAATGCGTTTTTACACACGATTTCACCGGTCCGTGCGGCTAAGACGGCAAGCCCAAAATCACAGCATTTCTTCCAAAAGCCCATTGTTGAACCGCCAAAAGTATCTGCTTTAAAACAAGAAAATTCACGGAGCCGAGGATGTGCGGAAGATTTGACTTTTTTCGCCATGTTCCACATGCTGCTCACCATCATTGCTCTCTCCATCACGATCATCGACCAGCGCTTCAAATCCGCATTCACCGTTTTTGTGCTTCTTCGCTAAAAGTGGAAGCGTCGCTGCGGTCACGATCTCGCCACCATGTCACAATTCGTAGGAAACGTAAGTGTCGCTTGCTCGCACCACATACTCCGAGTTACCGCTTCGATGCTGACCCTCATTCGCAACTGCACACTACGACCACATCACCCTTCCCCAACACAACAGACATCACTAGCGTTCGCGCGAACATGGCACTCGGTCTCCGCCAAAGATCGTGTGCTCGGTCCGCTCGCAGTCAACATCGCCAAACTGCTCATGGGCAAGCACAAACCGATCTACGACCAGTCCAAGGACCTCGGCGACTACGTCGTCGTCACTAACGCCAAGCAGGTGGTCGTCACAGGACGCAAAGCGGATCAGAGGGTGTATCGTCACCACACCATGTTCCCCGGTGGCCTGAAGGAGATTAAGTACAAAGAGATGATGGAGAAGAAGCCAGAGGAGATCATTAGGAAGGCGGTGAGCGGTATGCTGCCGAAGAACACGTTGCGGGATAGGAGGTTGGAGAGGTTGAAGGTGTTTGAGGGAGAAGAGCATCCTTATAAGCAGAACGTGTTGGTGAGGTATGCGGCGCAGGCAGAGGGGACAGGAAAGGGTGCGACGACGGTCAAAGCATGATGCGTGTTGCGCGAACAAGGACGCTCCTCGACGCTGCGAAAGCTGGCTACGACGTGAGAGAAACACAGCAGATTCGTCAAAGCTTCCTTTTCGTCGTCCATCACCCTGCTTCGATGTCTGGAATCGCTCTCCCCCTTCCCCCATTTCAGCCGCATTCGCATCTTCCACTGCCCACAGGGCAAATGTACTTGTACCGCATTCTCACGTCAACCCATATACACCCAGCTCGCGATTCGTCCACTCTGTACCCCCCATGAGATCGCACCCATTCTACCGGATTGTGTGCAGTTCCAATCTCAGCCTCACGTCTTGGCCGGACAGTCGCCGATGAGGTCGGATTTCGGAGAATTTTTCTCCGGCAGATGTGTCATAGAAAAAAGGTGGCTTCCCACCACACAATCATGCTGAATCACTGGACCCTGAAAACCCTTCTCGAAAACTTGTCGCCACTCGCACCTCACCCACCTTTCCTTCCGCTCACCGACTTCGGAAGAGAACAACACACGATGGCGAGCGCTCTAGCAAGGACGTTAGCGTTTCAGAGAAGTAGGGTGGCTAGTTCGAGCCACTGTGTGGCGGCTGGTAGTCGGGCGGTTTCGAGTTCGGCGTCGTCGAAGGGCGCGAGTTGGAGGTCGATGTTCGGATGGTTTGGTCGAAATGACGAAGGGTCGAACGGTGTGCCTTCGGACCAGGCTGCATCCTCAACATCGGCATCAAGTTCGTCTACAACGGCGATAGCACCGACAACAGCGCACGCGGAACCCTCGCCACAACCCACATCGACATCATCCTCCTCACCTCACACAATCTCATCAACCTCCTCCACCTCTCCCCATCCCCCGCAGTCCATCGACAAACCTCAACCAAAAGTCCAAAGCAAGATGCTGGCACGCGATCAAGAGCTGCTCTCCAAACTGCTCGAAAGAGAAGGTGGTTCAGCAGGTGTCTCCATCGTCAACGGAAGGTACGAGGAAGGGCTCGGTCCAGAGACAAAGAAGAACATGTTCAGGCTCATCTGATGCTCTCGAGTTCGCATAGGTGGTGGCAATAGGATCGCAAGCCCAAATCAAGTCGCAACACCGAGGATACTTCAAGAAAGTCCGCGCATCTCACACACTCACGCGACCGAGATGTACTAACCTCACCGAGCAATTCAACACAGCCTTTGCGAATGAAAGATGTCAGCAACTGTTCATTGGCTCGCGGTGCTCTGCAAGATTATACAATTACAAGGTCCATGGACGCGCACGTCTTCAGCGGCTTCCTCGAGCTGACAACGCGCTGCTCGGCACCACGTCGCCATTCAGCGATACCAGTGGCGCCGGGATCCTCGGCCTCACTCTCGAGCTGACCTTCGCGGTCTGAGCCATCGGCGGCTGCCCCTGCAGCACTGGATTCGCCATGTGAGCAGCATGATGCTGCGCTTGGAGATACGCCTGCGCATGTAGGTTCGTCATGCTCATCGAAAGGCGCGGATCCATCAGCAACGGCTGCGGAGACATCATGCCCGCCGTCGGACTGGTCGAAAGCATGCTTGGAGACGCAGCGTATCCCGGAGAGAGGTGATGCATGCTGGGTGAATGCGGGGCCAAGTGATGCATTGACTGCGCAGGGTGCAGTCGTGCATAACCATCTTGCGGATTCGGTTCGTGCGCGAGTGGTTTCAGCGACGTCCTTCGCTCGGTGATCTGTGGAGACGTTGGCAGCATAGCCATGCTTCGCTGGTGTGGCAAGCTGTGCTGTCCCGCAGGCGCGACGAGGCTGGCCATCGAAGCATTTCGATGCAAATCAACAAGCGGCGAGACCGCGGAATCGGGCGGGTGGATGCGAGGGCCTGTTTGCTCCTGGATCGGCGATGTTGCGGCTGCAACGACCGAGGTCTTGGACCTCCTCTGCCCCTCTTGCTGCGTGTAAAGACCGGCGGAAGGTGCGATGCGGTTGCCTTGCAGCTTGTTGAGCGATGCGTCGTGCTGCATCGCCCTAGCTACACTCGAACTCGCCTGCTCGTGCACGGCGGCAAGATTGGGCGAGCTCGGCGAACTGCCTGGGTTCAGCTTATGGTGGGGGCTTAATAACGGGTTGCCAGCGCCATAATTGGGCTCGGCGAGCAGCACCGACTGCCTGGTAAACCCACGCCTCTCCCTTGCCTCTTGCAAGATTCTACGATTCCTCTCCATCTTGCGCGCATCCAAAGCAGCCTTACGCTCCTCATAGGCGCGCTCGGCCTCGATCCGTCTGGCCTCCTCCTCTCGCGCCTTCCTGTCCTCTTCATCCCTGTCTCGCTCCCCTTCCCTGTGCTTCAGGAGTGCAATCTCATGCTCGAGCATGTGTATCCTCTCCTTCTCAGCACTGCGGTGTGCTCGGAACGTCTGCAAGTGTGCCAACGGAACTTCCTCGTCGCTGCTGTCTGCGGCCTGCTCTTCAGGCTCCTTGACCTCTGGAATGGAAGTCGCGCTGCCATTCTGATGCAGCATACTGAACGTAGCGGGAGCGTCCGAGGCACTCCGTGAGGTTCGTAGCTCTCCCATGTACTGAGGCGACAGCAGCTGAGGACTGGGAGGTACCATCCATGGCGGGAGTCTCTTCTGCTTGTTGGAAGGAGAAGCCGGCTGCAAACCCCCGAGTGAGCGAGAGACGGATGATGCGCGACGATCTGGCCCTTCCCACACCCCGCCGTCGCTGGGCGAAGCCCGCCTCGCGGCGCGCCTCGCTTCGCGTTCCTTCAATCGGAGCATGAGGTCAAGTTGATGCTTCTCTTCTTGGACAGAAGGAAGACCAGCTAGCACGCGGATTCTCGGCGAGAAGGAGACGGTCGACTTCAGAGGTGCAGACTGCGCCATGCCAGGTTGGGGCGCAAGCTTTGCCGCTCCGGCCACAATCACCTCGCCCGGTGCAAACTCGTCGGCAGGCAGCACTTCGACATGCCTTTCCATAAAGCTCGGCCTTTGTGCCCACGCGACGATGCCATTCTTGTCATGTTTCTGGCTCGAATCCACGCCGACGATGCTGCTCAGCTTTCGGCTTGACGCGAGACTGGTTGCAATCGCTACGCCCGAGTCATGGGGCGCAGCAGCGATGGGCGCCTTAGCCAGCGCCTCGGGACTGACCATCTGCCTCTGTCGTAGCGCCTTGGCAATGTGCTCGGCAGGAATGCCTGCACTGCCGTAGCGACGCTGGAACCAAGAGATCTCGACTTCTTGGTCGATGCTCAACTTGTCGCGTCGTAGTTTACGCATGATCGCAGTCCGCGCGAGAGCGACCTGCAGACTGCGTGCGAAGCCGTGTGTGCTCGTATGCTGTTGCAATTTGGACGCGCTGTTGATCGAACGAGGAAATTTGAGATCTTCGTTGCTGTACAGCACCTCTCCAGCTGCAATGATAGGGATGAGCGTTCGTGCTTCCTCGTCGCTCGCAAGTGTAGGCGCCAGATGCATGTGAACTTTGAGCAGCGTGCAATTGTAGAGCGCCTTCTTGGCGGCCGAATCGAGACCGGCCTGACGTCGAAAGCCATCGTTGGCAGGTGAATGGGTCCTCGACGACGACTTTGCGAACGAGGACGGGAATCGAGTCGGGGCCTCAGTTTGACCCTCCTGCTGTGCACCTGCGGACGTGGCCTGGCTAGACGAGCCAACCACTGTGGCATCGCCATCGTCTCCATTTTCTTCGTTCCCGTACTCGTCCTCCGACTCGGAGTCATTCGCATTCTTAAAGAGACCCTTGCGGAATTTGCGCTGCACGACGACATATCTCGGCGTGGGCACCTCCGCCTCAAAGTCCTTCGCTGCTTTTTGCGTGAGCACCATGCGACCGTCGGGTGTCCTGTGCATAGGCGGCCTCGGAGTGGATGAAGAAGTGGCGTAGGATGGGATCGAGGCGATACCTGCGATCTGACCCAGCGAGCTCGATCTTGTTGGAAGCGGAGCTGCTCGGCCACCCCTGTAAGAGGGCGAGGTGGGTGAGGTGTCTTCGCGTTCGCCAAAATCCAGCACGGCACGCAGAAAGTCAGAGTCGGCCTCCTCTTCGATCACGGCGGGGATCTCGCGTCTCGAGAGTGTGTTGCTGAAGGAAGGAGTTTGCGCAGCCGCTCTTGGGGTCGAGATTGGGGATGAGAAGATGGTGTTGCTATGCGAAGACGTGCTGGTAGAAGCATGTCCGTTGCTCGGACCGGCATCAAACGAGTGTTCTCTACCACTGTCGAAGGAGCTGGGGAGGTCAAAGAACGCGCTTTGGCTCGTCTTTGGACTGATCTGAACGGTGGTGTCGCTGGGGATGCGCAAACCATGCGATTGATGAGCGGGGACGTCAACGCTGGACGGAAGGCTGGAGAAGTTGGAAAAAAAGTCCTTCTGTCCGTTGGGTAGCCAAACGGGCTGGATCTGTAGCGGCGGGGGCGTCGTCGGCGTCAGCGGAGGCGAATGAGCCTGTGTGCTGTCGGATGAGGCCGAATGTGAGCGCGAAGGGAGGGAGGATCCAGGCTTGAGGTTCGAGCTGGAGCGGTTGAATAGCCGGCGTCCCAGGCCACGGAAGGTTCCGACACCGCTGGAGCCGGACTTTGTCGACGCAGTTCCGAACTTGGTGAAGCTAGAGTCGTGTGACTCGGATTCTGTCTTGGAGACAGATGAGCCACGCCGTCTGCCGAAGAGGGAGGACTTGGTATATTCCGTGTCGCTGGTTCCGTCCTTGGCCGACGCCAGAGGTGGGTTAGGAGAACATGGCGAAACGGGCTGGCTCGGACCGTGTCCTCGGGACGAGCCGCTTTGACTGTTGTACATGCTCGTGCCGCGAGAGGTTTCGGCTTCGAAGCCTTCGTTACTGCTGGAGGTGAGTGAGACCACGCTGCTGTTCTTGCGGCTGAATCGACCCATCGATGCGCCAAAATGGCCGGATTGAGCTTGTTGCGGCTGCAGAAACATTGCGGGGAAGCAGGAGGAAACCGAAGCGATGCTCTTCCCTTTTCTACTGGAGTAATGTCTTTCTGGTCGGGAAAGTCGATCCCGAGACAGTGATGGAGTTGCCAGCAGTCAAATCAGTGAGTGCTGGGCATGCCCTTCTCGGCTGTGTGTGTGTTCTCCAGTCGTGTGCTTGTCCTCGCTAGCAGAACGTAGTGAATAAGCCTGGCTAATGAGACCACTCCAAGGCCAAGGAGACGTTCCAGAGAAGAGTGGGCGCGTGAGAATGTCCAACGGGAAAGCGTCTGGCAGCACCGCTAGAACTGCGAAGAAACCGATGCTGATAACGGCACAGCTGGCAATAGACGATATGAGACTAGATATGAGATGTACAGAGACGCGATTGCTGAGCCCAGCGTCGCTCGGAGGATGAGCTCGACGATTATGAATAGTGAAAGAAGGTGAGCCGATAGGGTGATGGATGTGGGTCTGAAGGTGACGAGGTGGGCAAGAAGGAGCAAGACTTGATCTGGTGGATCATATCTCAAAATTTGACGTCAAAGTGGCGCTTTCCGCTTTCTTTGCAGATGGTCAGCCACCCGAAGTATCAAACGGCATAATTGAAGGGACGAGGATGCAAGGGCGAGCCAACGTACGACTCGAGAAAGGACCAGAGGTGAGGATTCACAACATCCAAGATCTTGCTAGTGTTCATGTCCGATTCAGAGAGCTAGCAGAAGCGAGGATCGATCGACGAGCACAATATCCTTCCATCCTCATTGCGGACAAGCACGAGTAGGAAGGCCCCTTGGCTTCAACATTCGCGCAGAGACGCAAACGTCATACCATTCAAGACCTTCACTGGTGAACTGTTGCCTTCGCATCGACTCCACGGGCTGGTGCACCACTGACGATCTGTGTAAGCTCTGAAAAGGCATCAGTCGAGCAAGCTTGGAAAAGCAGGCCGGATAGCAAAGGATCTCGGTCGCGGATGCGGCTGGTCACCGCTCTCACTTCTACCAACGGCCCGTCCATCCAGACGCCGCGTTCGGTGGGCGCAGCTTCCGGCTAGGCTGAAACGACTTCTAAATTCGAGCTGACGGGCAGGGTACATCTGCACGAGGGATGCGGTGCGGAGGTTCGTTGCTAACTCGTATGTTGCGGGTTACCAGTCTGAGCCGCATCAGACTTGACAAGACCTGGCATCCGCCCAGAGAGTCCCACCGGAGCCAAAAGCCGAGGATTCGTCCCCGAATCGACATAGACCGTTCAAATGGCCCCAAGGATGCCTGCTGCACACACGTGCGAGCATGCAGGAGGTAGACTTATGGATGCAAAGTGAGGGCTCAGAGAGGGTGGAATGTGGTCCCTTTCGATCGGAAGGAGAGGTGCATGAACAATGACACGTCTGTGCTCGTCAACCGCATCTGCTGTCTGAAGTTCACTAGGAGCAAGAGAGATGGGATGCGTGTTCAGAGAGGAAGTACCGAGTTGCAAGTCAATGGCTTAGCGAGGTCAACAGAACGAGACATGTGCAGCTGCACAACCGAGGATCTTCAGGGTTCTTGCCAACGTGCAGAGAGACATTCAAGGGCAAAAGCAAGCAGACAGGTCTGACGCTGGTACTGCTCAAAGGGTCTGTCGGAGTGCGCCTGTCAATCTCTCTTTTCACCGTGTTTATTTTATTTTTTCTTTCTTTCTATTTAAACAAATTTTGACAGGGGGCGGCAAGCCGGAGGAAGGCATCTGTTACAACCTCGACGATATAGCTCACTTGCTGGTCTCGATGAGACTGAGGTCACTTTCCGTTCCGGAAAGAAGCTCCCCATCGTCATTGAGATCGCCCTCTTCTGGTCCTCCTCTCGTCTTTGTGTCGAAGGAAAGTGCATCGTACCAGGCACACAGTGCAACTAGACCGCAGCCGGATGGAGCGGGACGGGCAATCCGATTTTCTGTGGAAGGCGCCCAATTGTTCTGGCGAACATGCACAGGCTTTCGCGCCGCAGATCGCCTTGTCCAAGACTGAAAAAATTATCGCGGCGAATGCATACCACCTGCAGCAAGTATGCAACCGCGCATTTTCACGCCCTTGCTCTTGCAATGGCAGCTTGCGCTTTGAAACATGGGAGATGGGGTCTGCCACCTTTGCTTGGCCGCCTACGTCCGCAGCGTTTTCCTCGACGACTGTTTTTCAAATTGTTGCACAATGTTAGACCCATCCTTCCATTTGTCACTTTTCGTCTCGCCCAACCGTTTCCACTGAGGAGTGAAGACAGGGCAAGAAGCGCTGGAGACAGTGTCGGAAGATGTTTGTTTCTGCGCGGTCCGCGGCGATTTGTGGAGGTTTTTGAAATGTCATCTAATCGTCGGTCTCGTTTCGCGAATCTGCACGCGACCACCTATTCATCGCGCTGTCTGTCGAGTGCGGGAACAGCAAGAAGGCGATCAACGGATCCCGCGGACATGTGATGGGAGGAACGCAAGCATCAGCAACACCGCCTTCTTCGCTGCTGCTGCTGCAATACGTAAGCATCGAAGATGTAGCACAAGATCTTGACATGGTCGTTCAGTCGACCTCGGATGGCGAGTGGATATGGGAAGCAGCAAGCCAGTCGGAACAAGACAGCTGGGAGTCTCTCATTCGGGATCCATTATCGGTGACCTCTCCTTCGCAGATATCGGGGCTAGCCGGAAGGGTGCAGGTGGTCGAGGGCATCAACCTGACATATTCCCTCCGATCCGTCTCTGCTGACACGGAAGGAGATGATGGATTGAAAGCAACGGTAGATGTCTCAGCTCCGACATTGTCGCCCAATAGCGCAGCAAAGATCAAACAATCGCTTCTCGAGCGCTCGCAGGAATGGAAGGACGAGGCAATCGAGTCTCTCTTCCTCTTCGACCTTTTGACAACGGCACAGACGCTGGCTGCAGACCTGGCGCCAGCCTCTGACACCACCGGCGTCGAAACCGGCCCAGAACCGAAACCCGTTGGGCCTACAATCGCTACCGACATCAGGCTGTCTCGTGCCATCTTCTGGTCACACCATCTCAAGGCGCCGTCCAAACTCAAAGACTTCAACAATTGGTGTCCCGAACTCGGCATCTGGGGTATCGTGCGCGTCGGCTGGCCAGGATACCTCTGTTTCGAAGGTGAATCGTCCGCGGTCGACGAGATGGTGCGCAGGGTCAAAGGCCTACAATGGCATGCGATACAGCTCCGCGTAGAAAAGTCGTGGACGTGGACCTCTGGCAAGCAGGCGAAAGGTCGCACTCCCTCAGAGCAGGCCCTGCTGGATTGCGGGCTGTCCAAAGATCACCCGGACAACGCTGCGGATCAGGAGGGAGAAGCAAAGGTACGCACGGGCTGTCAAGTGATCGAAAGCTTGGGTGATTTAGTGACACGCCTCAGAGGATGCGAACTGGACGAGGACGAGATCGAGGGCGCGCTCGGCATTCGCATGAGCGGAAGTGGTCGTTGAAGGTCAAGGAACATCGAGCGCACGCTATTCAGCAAGACAAGAGGACTTCCATGTTGGCATCAATCGAGTTGTATTGTAAAGGCATAGAAGTTCGTTCCGGGATGGATCTAGATGGAGCGATATTGTGAAGTGAGAGCGGCCATACGAACTGCCTGGCCGTCCGTGAATTGGTTGAGGCATGCGTCGCTCGAGTAGCTGTACGTACGAAAAGTGGCAACAGGAAAGCGAATTCGTGTGGGTCAGCAACCGTTTTCACTGACCTTTCCCTGATTTGATTCGGGGTTACTTACTCCATGTAGTTGTGAATCGAATCCAATCCTCCTCCTGTACAGCTATCCTGACCGGTCGGACATCCATTCGTCGCTATGCTCTGCGGCGGAGTATCGTCCACATAGTCACCTGGCGACTGACATCCACCTTGAAAGACGTGGTACAGCCCGAGCCAGTGACCGACTTCATGTGTCACCGTCTTGCCCAGATTGTACCCGGTTTCGCTACCTCCTGGAACGGTGCTGTATTGAAACACAATGCCGTCGTTGCTCAGGTCGTTCTGAACGTCCCACGGGAAGGTGGCATATCCCAAGAGTCCGTTCGAAAAGTCAACGCTGTAGAGATTGAGCACTTTGTCGTCACCTTGTCGAAGCGAACCTTTCATCTGAGTCTCCAAGCTCGTTCCGGGCGAGATGTTTTTGAACCAGTTTGCGTTGTCCACCCGATTGGTCGTGTTGAGATCAAAGCTGAATCCGTACGGCTTGTAGTCCGCATTGAGAGTGGCGATCTGATCAGAGATCATGGTGTTCGAGACGTTTCCAGCTGAACCCGAGTGGATGACGTGCCACACCACCTGCACCGTCTTTGTCTGTTCGGCGAGGAGCCTCGCATCTGTGAGCGAGCGCGCGTCGGTTGCGTTGCCATTCGAGCCGGTCTTGGATATTCGCTGCTTGCGAATGGCAGCAAGACGTTTTCGCTCCTTCTTTACGAGGGTCTGAGAGATGTCGTCGATCGTGCTGTTCACGTTTGCCGCCTGTGCACAGAATCGAGTGCGTGGCTGCTGCAGATTCTGCATTGCAGCCTTGGCCGCATCCGAGTCTTGGTTGTTCTTGTATTTGACTGCTGCACCTTCATCGTCGTTGTCCGAGATGGCCTCGGGCTTGATCGGTCCACCTTCTCCGTGAGAGATGGCCACGACAGGGCTTGCAGCCTTTCCGTCTTGCTGATTCTTGACACCGTTCGCGAGCGACTGGAGAGCTTTGATGACAGCCTCTGGTGTGATTTTGTATTGGGAGTTGCTTTCGGTGTCCGACTCGGGAACAGTCGCTCGCGGCAGCGTGGCGAAGACTTCAAAAGATTCATCGGCAGAGTTGGGAAAAGGTCGCGCAAGTGCCTGACCGGATCCATGCAGCTGCTGATGGGCGTGCAAGACAAAAACCACCACAGAGAACGTTGAAAGGATCTGTCGGAAGGGAAGCATGACGAGCGTCGATCGTCCAGGGTATGACTTCTAGTGTCTACGAAGAAGGCGTTGAAGCGAATTAAAGTCTGCTCTAGAAGGAACGAGAGAAGTAAAGGGTGAGTAGGTGTGCGAGGATAGTACTGCGGCTATGTATATCGATAATTAAATATGTCCAGGAGAACGAAAAAGTGAGAGAGAGCTTCTGGAAAGAGACTTGTCGATAAGGGAATGGTTCGAAGATGGTCTTTCGGATGGTGTACAAGTGCGATGCGAGAAAAGTTGCGAGCGGAAAGAGATCAAAGTCGTCCAGCGAGCTTCGATACGGTCGACGAAGGTAAGTGTTGAGATCGAGGATGCAGAGTGCGGATCACTTGTTGATGGAAGAGCTAGTCAAAGATACAGTAAGAAGAACAGAAACCTCTCAAAGGCTGTGTCGTGAAGATGGTCGTGAGAATGGTCGTGAGGAAAGACAAAACAACGGGAACGAGAAGAGAATGCGACTGTAATCGAACACTCAGCTGAGACGGAACAGATAAGGAGAAGATCGACTAGCCGCAATGCGACGGCATCTCTATATGAAGCTCTCTTCCTGTCTGAGATAGGAAAGACGAAGATTCTGCCCCGGCTCCACGAGCGGCAACGAGCAGCCGCGACTGGTCTGGGTCACTTGGCATGGATGACGCCAATCAGCGCCACAATGCTGCCTGACAGCTAGTCTCTAGTGCATTGTCGTCCATAGATCTTCGTCGGCGGCAAAGAAAGAAGTTGAATCGCTTAGATTCCAGGTACACAGTTTCTGCGGAGGCGACCCTGCCAAGTCGAGCCTTGAAGATCGCGTCCAAACCTGTCGCTCAGGAAGCGTCGGTCGATGGTACGTGTTGGATCCTGAATTGGCCACCGAGCCGGTTTCTGGTTTCGGCAGGATCTACAGACCGTGCAAATATGACGACAAGCCCAGATGACCCCGCTGACGAGCCCGCTGGGTCGCTGCGAATGCATCGTCTGCTGCTTGTCAGACAAATCGACACGGCGGAATATATGAGCCTGCACAGCGTGACATGTCAAAAACGGCGCCAACTCAATGTCGGTACCTACTCGCGTTGGATCGCAGATCGGGGGAAACGATTCATCGTTTGCATCCAGATTTTCTCCTAAATCACACGCCAATGTTTGATTATCGGAGCAATCACAGAAAATGGAGCGAAAAGGGAGGACCGGAAGAACGGTCCGGCGGATTCGATTCTTTTGTACCATGGAGGCCGTCAATTGACCGTCCTCCGGCGAGCGGGGGAAAAATTCCAAAGCTTTGGTAGTGTCACCAGTATCCGGTTGCTGCACACCTGTTGGCAGTCAGCCTTGTTTTTTTCCACAAGGGTTTCCGGGGAGCTTCGCCTCGGCTGCAGGCCCCACGTTGACAGCTTCGCACCAGAATTCGTCGTCTGCTTACTTGCTGAAACGGCGTACGACACTCAGCTTTTGCGAACCTGTACAGCGGTCAATTGTCGAGCTCAAAGCATGGGCGCACGCCGCCATTCCCGAACGAAAGCGCTTCCCCGCAGGCCATGTCCTCAAGCTTTTCCTCGTCTGTCAACTTCATCTTGGAGCCATCATCTCCTCTAGTCGCTTCTTCCGGACCTGTCACCTGGTTCTTTCGCATTCGCTTGCCAGCTGCTCGAACGGATCTGATTGTAAGTGATGGCAGCAGCCAGTCGAGCACCACGGTGTGCTCGGATGAGCTTGGGGTGCGCCCGCGTTAGCAGTTCTCTTTCCGTTCACCACCCGCTCTGGACGCAGTCGGTCCGACGCGCACCGTAGCCTAGTACCCTCCTCCCCTTGCCTGGCCTAAGCATTCCCCCGCTCCGTGGCCCCTACAGCCGCTCTTTGCGGCACGCGGAGCACTGACAGTCGGTCATGAGGAAGCTTGCTCCTGCTGCTTGAGACATCCAGACTTGATATTAGTTGCCGTCTTCCGTGTTATCGCTCGCTGACATTCCCCCTCTCCTTCTCCTGCCTTCGCCCCTGTCTTGCCTTCCACCACCGACTTGTTCCAATCTTCCACACCAATCTCGTTCAAACACAATGGCTCCCGTCGCCCTTACAGAATCGACCCAAGTCGCTGCTCCCGTCGCAAAGCTCAACGGAGCTTCTGCGCACAACGGCGTCATGAACGGCACCTCCAGCTCCACCTCCTTCGGCGCCAACACCTCTGCGGTCCTTCACGGAGCCAAAGACCTTCGAATCGAAGAACGCACCTATGCCGCCCCTACCGGCGATGAGGTTCAGATCCGTGTTCGCGCCACCGGTCTCTGCGGCTCCGATCTCCACTACTATCTTCACGGACGCAACGGAGATTTCGCACTTCAACACTCCATGTGTCTCGGACACGAATCCGCCGGTGAAATCGTCGCTCTCGGACCCAACGTCCCCACCTCGCTCTCGCTCGCCGTCGGTGATCGTGTAGCCATCGAAGCAGGACGCTTCTGCGGTTCGTGCCCCAAGTGCCGCGATGGACGCTACAACCTCTGCAAACAGATGCGTTTCGCCTCCTCCGCCAAAACCCACCCCCATCTCGACGGCACTCTGCAAAAGTACATGAACTGGCCTTCCTGGTTGGTACACAAGCTACCCGCCAACGTATCTTTGACCTCGGCTGCACTCTGCGAACCACTCAGTGTCGTGTTGCAAGGCATTAGGAGGAGTGCGCTGCAGCCTGGGCAGAGCGTTTTGGTGTACGGCGCTGGAGCTGTTGGACTGTTGGCGTGTGCAGCTGCCAAGGCGAGTGGAGCGAGTTACGTTGCTGCTGTGGATATCGATCAGGGTAGATTGGCTTTTGCTGCTGCCAACGGGTGGGCAGATGCTACAAACTTGCTTCCACGAAGCGCCCCGGCCGCAGGTGGTGAGGAGGAGAAGGACGCACGTGCTCGTCGTGTTGCCGAAGACAAAGCTGCCATCTCCTCTGCCAATGCTTCCGCCACCTCGCTCCTCCAAGCCCTCTCCGCATCATCCGCCTCGACCGAGACAGGTTACGCCGTCCAACCAGCCCCACTCGACCTCGCATCCGAAGGCTTCGACGTCGTCTTCGAATGCACCGGCGTCCCCGCCTGCGTCCAAACCGGCATCTTCGCCACCAAAGCAGGTGGAAAAGTCGTCCTCATCGGCATGGGAAACCCCATCCAAACCCTCCCCATCGGCTCCGCCTCCCTGCGAGAGGTAGACATCGTAGGCGTCTTCCGTTACGCAAACACCTACCCCATCGCTCTCGGTCTCTTGGCAGGCGGAACCCTGCGTGCCCAAGGCGGAGGTCTTCACGCCCAAGCCGTCGGCTCAACCACCAATACCAATGGCACTAGCGAGACCAAGGAAGGTCTGGGCGCAGGAAGGAAGATGGGCGGAATCGAAAACCTCGTCTCCCACGCCTACCCTTTGAAGGACGCCGTAAAGGCATTCGAGACTCTGGCAAACGGCAAAGACGCCGAGCACGGCCGTGGTGTCGTCAAGGTCTTCATCACCGATAACGAAGCCTAAATCACACCTAAGACCACAGACACATTTCTTCCCTTTGCACCTCCTGTACATTCATCTTCCCTCATAGACTCCTTCTTCTCACTCGCCATCGTACAGTCTTTTCAATTCACATCATGCTTTCATCTCATTTTCATGCTGAAGTACGATCGACGTTCGCTCTTGAATTCAACGCTGAGCTACATTTTCACAACACTTCAACGTCGACAGATGAAGATGGTGACCGACTGACGCCACTACCCTGATCCACATCGGTGCTACCGCCCGAATCTCTGCTACGACTGTCTGCCAAGTCCTCAGCTTCCTGCGACCACCTGAGGTGATTCTTGCTGCTGCCGAATGAGAGCGGAGGAGGACGATCCGGCCAGCTCGAAGGTATCGACGGGAGCATCGTGGCGCCAAAGGGAGACGGCATCTCGCGAGACTGCGGCTGGCGCTGGCCCTGCTCCTGCTCCTGCTCCCGCTGCTCCTGCTCGTCTTCTCCACGACGGCGCGAGATCGACGACGAAGCCGAAAGCGTAGGCGAGGCCTTAGTCGACCCTTCTTGAGCCGGAGCCTGTGTTCTCGAGTCGGCCGAATCGGCCGAATCATCCATCGGTATCGGCGTTCGACCATCGGCGATGGTCGAGAGCGGGAAGGTGCGAGCATTGAGATTCAGATCTTGGATCCGATCGGACGCAGACCTCTGCTCGTGCTCGAGGTCCTCTCGCTGTGGCTCGCCGAGATGTTCAAGCGACAGCGGGCCCGTCTGCTTGGCCAACGCTTGGTCAAGGACGTTCTCGACGAAGGCCTTCTCATTGATATCTTTCCCGCGTGCGCAGTTGTGCACGGAGCGCTCGATCTCGTCTTGAGAAGCGCCTTCGATGCCAAGACCCTTCGCGGTCTCTTGCTCCAACGGTCGTGAATCTTGCTCGGCGGTCGAGTCCTCCGCAGGGTTCGATTGCCCTACGACGTGGACTGCTTGCTCCACGTCAGGCATCGGCGTGTCTTCGACCTGCTCCTCTACTGTCGACGGTGGCACTTGCTGAGGCGCGACAGCCGCATCTGTCACATCGCTCGCCGCCATCGCCTCGTCTTCCTCGCTCTTTGCCACCTTCTCCTCTGTCATCTTCCGGTGGGCAACCCATCCCTCTGAGAGTTCGAACACTTTGGACCGCCAGTAGGCACGCTTCGAGCTGACCTCGCCTGCCTCCCATTCAGCTCGTATGCGATTCTCGATCCGGTTCCTTACCTCTCTGCGCATCGCAGGATTAGCCTTGTTGTTCTCGGCGATCCTGCTCCTGGCGTTCACGATCGACGCAAGCAGCTTCCCCGGATCCCGAAAGAAGCGATCAACATAGTGTAGGAGATAGATCCCGCAGTCGCAGAAGTTGGGCTGCTCCGGTACCGAGGCGTTTATGTACGCGGCCTTGGGCAGACTTTTGCCCCATGCTTCCGCTTCTGTCAACTTGGCAGCTGCGGCTCCATTCGCGTGTCGCTTGTCTTGCACGGGTACAGAGCGCATGCTCGCCACTTCCGCCACTGCTTTCTCGTCTCTTGATCCGTGGAACTCCCTTGCTTGATTCTTGGACGCATCGGTGGAGCTTGCAGCCAATTGCAACTTTGAAATGTCCTTCGGGGCTGGCGACGCCTGGGCATGGCCTTCGGCTTCTGCCTCTCTTTTTGGTTCCGGCTTCGATCGTTGCGCTGATGCTGACAGATGTGGCTTCTTCTTGTCCCAGGCTTCGCGCCAGAGGTATTCGAACAGCCTGTTGCCGAGCTTTGCGTGTCTTTGTCCGAGACTGTCAAGGGTGATGATTAAGGTCTGAACGAGATTCGCAGGGTCCGGGCTCCGTTTCGTTGATCCGTTGGCGCACGGTTCCGTGTCCACATCCATAGGAACGGGAGCGGGATCAGATTGGTTGTCGGCCGTGTGCGACAGAAGACTCGTGGATGGCAAAGGTGGTGTGCCGGGCTCTGAGCTCGCGGCGGGCTTATCTTCGACACGCGGCTCAGGTTCGAGGGATGCGTGCTCAGTGGCTGCGACCTGCTCGAGGTCTGGTGACTGCCGTCTTGACGTTGGTGATGGCGGCATCAGCGAGGCAGCCACCTCGTCCTTGTCCTTCTCGCTGTTGCTGTCCCGATCTTGGCCCGCGAGGATGTGCGCCGGATTGACGATCAAGGCGAGATACCAGTGATAGTTTTCGTTGACCGGGATGACAATGTACTTCTTCGAGAAGAGGTCTTCTTTGGCCGTCCATCGGCGTAGCTTGGCGTAGCTGTTCTCTACCGAATCCGACATCAGGATGGAGAAGAAAAAGGTGTTGAAGACGTAGATACTGTCGGCCAGCAAGGGATCCCTCGCACGAATCTCTGCGAGGATGACCTTGATGCCGAAGTCGATGGCGACGTCGTTCAGAAGCCCGCCGTCCAGGAGCTTGTCGAAGTCTGAGTGCCTCAGTGACACGGCTCCGGTGCCTTCGTATGGGTATTGGAGGATGGTTCCGTCCTCGTGCGAGACGGGAGGCCTTTTGACTTCCGTCTTCGGAGGTGCGACTTCAGCGGTTTTCGCTTTCGGAACCGTCAAGGACGGAAGCGAGGGTGAGGCGTCGCGGGCGCGGCCGGAAGGCGTTGAAGCTTTCGGAGACGGTGGTTGAAGATCGAACGTCTTCTTCTTCGGTGCATTTGACTCGTACATGACGTTGGTACGATGGAGGCTTCGTGTGAAGGACTCGGACGAACGACCTGAGCCCGGAGTGATCAAGGTGCGCACCTTGCGCGGCTGTGGCTCTTGCGGCCCCTGCGCGGACACAGTGACAGAGCCAGGCCACGGAGATTCCTTAACATGATTCGACAGAGTGACCTTACTCCTCACTCCAGGCTCATCTAGCCATCGAGTCCGGATAGTCCCGTTTGATACTTCACGTAGCCTTCTGATGATCGACGCCGATGCGCGAGCGTAGTCGCTTAGGTCTTCCGACGAGGAGTCGCGAGCGATCATCTGGATCTGAGCTGCATCACCAGAGGCGCATGGATCAAAGTCGGGAAACAACTTTTGCAGCTCCCTTGCGCTCTCGCATCCAGGCGTCAACGTAAGGCACAGGATGCCACACTCTTTTACGTCAGGTGTATTAGTCAACACCTCATAGACGTCGCTGTATCGAATATTGACTCGGAGGTTCACAGCAACGCCGCATTGCAAGGAATGTGGATTGACCCAAACGGCGGCGTGATCGCGTTCACGAGATCTCCACATGTCTGAGACCACGATGGCTTGCAGGCGCACCTCGAATGTCTGCGATGAAGATTTGGAAGAATTGTCCAACCCGGGCGATGTCGGGCTGGCCTCGGTCCTCATGCGTTTGGCGCCGCGAGACGAGCCAACGAGTTCATTGACACTCGGCTCGCGGGTGGGACTTGCCAGCTGTGTTCGAGGCGAGGTCTGCGAGGTCGAGGGAGCCATGGACGAGGAAGGCCGACGTTGAGAGGTGCTCGCTGCACTTGACGAAGGCATCTTTCTATGCATGCGATCGATCATCTTGGTTCGAGACGAAGCTGGCGGTTTGTGCTTCATGTTGAGGCTTGACCCAATGACAGGGTCCAGATCTGGGCTGTTACGTACCAGAATCAATGCCTTTCGGTCATTGCTTCGACCGTCGCTGGGCTCCTCGAGTGCTATCGGCCCATCGGGACGGTGGCGATGGTTTCGTGTTACAGGGCGGTCGCTCTGCCTTGAATAGAACGTTTCCGGATGCGCAGCAGAGGATGCCGTAGCTTGAGAAAAGGATGCCTCACCTTTGCGTCGTCTCTCCTTGGCCTGCAAAGCCAAGCTCTCGTCCGTTCCATCGAGTTTTCGCTTGATCTCTCGGCTGGACGGGATGGATGGAAGAAGTTGTACCTCGTCTGCGTCGTCCACGTCGTCATCGCTTTCGACAAGGATGGCGTCCTCGTGCGAGAGCCTGCCTCGTGTAGTGCGGGTGATGCGCGGCGGCATGTCTCGCGCTTTTGCCTTCCCCTTTTCCTGCTTTGACGTGGCTTCGACATCGATGAACACTTGAGGTTCGACATCAGCGGGAGTCGAATGTTTTCTTGGATAGGTAGACGATGTGAGTCCGGCATTGGATGAGCGGAGGCTGCTCCGCCGTGCTGTGCCGAGCGATCCCTGTGAGCGTCGAGCGCTATTATCGTCGTCATGCAAGGTGTCGATAAAGGTGGTGTGATGGGATGGGCGAGAGGCAGGCCAATGCGGCGAAGCACGCTTGCGGGAGCGTGAGTGAGGAGGCGATGTCTGCCCAGGTACGCTACCGACCCGGGGCACGTGTATCGGTACTTTCGGCTTGGGCGTCGAGCCGCCTATGCCGTGGAGAGACTTTGAATGGTCATGGTCCTCCCAGCTCGGCGCGACACGGTTGCGCGCCATGGCTCCGCATGTGTCAGTTGAAGATGACGTGCGGCCCTGATCACGGTGTGAGAGGACGGAGGCCGTGAGACTACGAGAATGCGGAAGTCATGCGGATGTCGGAGCGGCGAATGCAGATCAAGATTGGTGTGAACTGCTCTGCGGAATCGTTGGCGGCGAGAGCAGCGAAGTGCTGAGGGCAAGAACAGTAGACAAAGTTGTGATGGGTCGGTCGTTGAATGATGGTGATGGTGGCGGTGATGGTGATAGAGGCGGTGATGGTAGAAAGGATGGAGACTCGATCCGCAGCGGATGCAGTGCGGAGTTGATCAGTTGCCAGCCGCAATATTGCTAGCCATGTCGATATAGAAAGCAAAAGATGTCGGCGTCGTCGATGAGAACAGAGAAGTCAAAAAAGCCGCGAGGGTCCATCGGTCGGCTCAGTCGAGCGTCAAGTGTTGCTCTCGAGCACACGCGCATACGCAACTCAACTCGTCCAGCTGCCAATTTTGATTTTTGGGTTTTTTCCTTCCTCGCCTTGCCGTGAAACCAACCAGCTGAACGTCGAGCCTGAAACATAAAAAGTTCGACCGCTTGCCTCTTGCTTCTCGGTCTTGCAACGTGTCGCCGAGATCGACAGCTACGGATAGCCTATACTGGAGGGTCCTGCCTAATGCATAGCCTCTTGATAGCGGCATGATACAAACAAGTCTACGGTGCAACACCAAGCTCCACGGGGTCGGTTGTCACAGCAGCGCTCTCTCCATTTTTTTTCTTCTTCTTTTTCACTTGGCAAGCCTCCACATACTTTTACTGCGAGTTCGGGCCTGTGCCATCAACCATTTCATGTTTCCGTGGCAGGAGTTGGCTCGCAGCTCGCCCCCGCATCATAGCGGATGTCCTTCGACCTTGATGAATCTTCAAGTTCATCCGACAGCCACCCAGAACGCAAGGCTCCGTAGTTGAGAGCCAGTGTGTTATGGTCTAACGAGAGAATTTGTGCTTGCCAAATGGACTGATTCTGATGCATTGACACGATGACGGACCGGCTTGCAATGCGATAACAAGAATGCAGCTTCCTTTACCATCCGAGGTCGACGCCCCACTGCGGTAAGGGAGCGAATAGGAGGTGAATACGATAAAGAGTTCGTCAGTACTGTGAGCGTTTACAAATGTGTTCTGAAATGCTAGCGGTATGAGGTACAAGACTCACGTTGGGCTTGACGAGGCGGACTGCCTTGCCTTCTTGCTTGTGCAGCTCGTTGAGCTGAAGCATCTCTTCGTCCGAGAGCACGATAAGCTGGCTGTTGGTCTCGATACGGCTGGGAGTGACACTCTTTGGCAGCGCGACAACGCCTCTCTGGGCAGCCCACGAGATGACCACCTGCGCTGGGTCCGCCTTGTGCGCTTTGGCGATCGACTGGACCAGCTCGTCATTCAGAACTGGACCTCCAGACGATCCGAGGGGCGAATAGGCTTGGGGGAGGATTCCTTTGTCCTGGCAGTACTTGACCAGCTCGTGTTGAGGAAGGAACGGATGAAGCTCGACTCTGAAATTGAGGAGAAGGGCTAATGGTCAGCTGGTCTGCGTCTCCTATTCCGAGTCTGTTGCAACGCAACTATTTGCAAATGTACTCACTGATTCACAGCAGGGACGATCTTGGCGTTGGTCAGCAGCTTCTCAAGGTACGGGATGCTCCAGTTTGACACGCCGATCGCCTTGGTCTTGCCAGTAGCCGGCAGCTTCTCCATGAGCTCCCACGTCTGCTCGGGAGTCCACTCGCGGTCAATAGCACGCGATCCGTCCTCGTTGAGTGGGATCTTTTCGTCTCCTCGCTTTTGGAGCGGGACAGGCCAATGGATCAGAAGCAAGTCGACGTAGTCCAAGCCTAGCATCTGCAACGATTCGTCGAGACAAGCTTCGGGCTGTCGGTGGTAGGTACACCACACTTTAGTGGTGACGAACAGCTCCGATCGAGGTACTCCGGCGGCTTTGATTCCGGCTCCTACCTCCTCGGAGTTGCCATATATCCAGGCGGCGTCTGCAACAATAACGATAGGGGTGATGATGGTGGCGAGGTCAGTACGATGACGATAGCGGCCACTCGCACGCTAGCGATGCGTGCTGCGTTAGGTTTCTCGCTGCTTGTTGACTGCTTACCAATGTGACGGTAACCGCTCTTGATGGCACTCTCGACGGCTTTTGCGACCTCACCGGGAGCAGACTGCCATGTTCCCAAGCCGACTACGGGGATTTCGGCGCCCGTGTTGAGCTTGAAGGTCTTTTGACCTGGCGCGGCGGTAGGATACTGCGACATGATGGAGATGTGCGAAGGATTAGGAAGCGTTTCCAAACTGGTGCGTGACGATGGTTGTCGAGAAGCAAAGCTGGATTCTGAGCGCAAGTGGACCGTCGTGTAAGCAAAGTTGCTGCGTGTGTGGTGAGGTGGAAAGACCCTCTGAACACATCATCGACGTCGAGCCTAGCAAGCGGCCATCGGTACGCTCCTACTTTCCCGGAGCTCGAGTCTTCCGGACATCTCTGAATGTCGAGCATCGGCGAGGTCCGACGTGGATTGTCACTCTGATTTGCCGCATGAGCTGGTGGGTCGCGGTGGGGGTTGCATCTTTCCTAACATTGGGCTCGGCGTGGGGCAGCTTTTTGTGACAGCTTTGGTCGCCGCTTCAACGCCGAAGCTCTGCTTCGCGTCGTTCGGTCGGTCCGAGCACATTCATCGCGATGTTATGATATCTGAACCCCGATTGTGAGAATAATCGGGCACCTCCAGTTCGAGAGATTCCCGACCGGCAAATCACGATCTCTGCTGCCGGTTTCATCTTGTTGATGTCACACCGGGTGTCGACTTCGTCACGATGGGTATTCGGCACGGCGACTCCGTAAGCAAAGCTCCGCATCCCTTTCAAGCATCCACGACTCGTTCAGAGCAGGATTGCGAGCCAGTGAAGCAGTAATGGCAGCCACTTATGAGGCAGAAGGTGTCACAATGGACGGAGCAGCATCAACAACTCAGCTGCAGCAAGAACGGATCGTGCATCTCGTGTCGGCCAGGCGGACGTCTCGTTCCATCTGTCGGACCTTGCCGTGCAGAATCGCTCTCTCGTCGAGGCTGAAGGAAGGCGCTCGCAACCGAGACCGTGATTGCCCCGGGAGCGCTCCACAACCCATTGTGACGGCTGGGTGGAGGAGGAGCATTGAGGAGACTGCGGAAGGTTACGGAACGTGAAAGCTTGCGCTTGCGCTTGAATTCTGGCTCGCGAGCTAGACGGATGGTTGGTGATAGTGCAACACGACACACTGCGGGGAACGTCTGATAACTGTACCCCTTCGAGAACTGTGTGGGGAAAATTAGGCTCAGGCGATGCATCTGGAGCAATGCTCAACGAGGTGTGGCACAGTGCCTCTCTCTGCTCCGCTCGCGGGGGGACAGTCGAACAGAGACGACTGCGTTCGAGAGCGATCCGCTTGACACGTCTGATCTGCAATCATCCCGCTTGGCGGTGGCGCTGAAAGGCTTGACGTGTTGTCGTGTCACTTGACCTCGATTCCATCCGTTCACGAATACAGGTGACGCATAAAGGCAGAGAGTTGATCCCAGACCCTGAAGATGACATCGTCATTATTTTTTTGAGGCATGCGAGCCCGCCTCCCGCATTCAGCCTCTGACTTCGCGTCATCGGCATCTCCAGCTGCGTCACCTTGTCCCCGCCGCACCGTCCCTCTCGTTGCAATGAATTGTTCGGCACGCAGTAGAAGCCGTGGCACAAGCATTCCATTCTTTTCACGGTGACACGCTCGACGTGGTCGTCACCTCCTCTTTGCTGACCACAGCATGCAGCAGAAGGTGGATCCCGCTCATGCGAGAGATTTATGCTCATGGTCTGAGTGGCCGACCGGCGTTCATGCTCGCCAAGTGCGCGTTATGTTAACAGTCGAGTCCAGCAATCGAGGTCGGGCAAGTGGGAGAGCCGCGTTGGAGAAAATCAACCAAGCCGAGTGGCTGTGGCCCATCGGCGACCGAGCTAGCACCGACCAATTTCCTGGTTCTTGCACGCGCTTCTCCCACTTCGGCGCAGCGCTGGTTGGGAGGGGGAGTCGTTGCGCAAGACGCGAGGAAATAAACCCGCTCTGCAGCCAGCGGAACGGTCTGACCCGAAAGAACTTGAGACCTCTGGCGCACCATTAAAGCTCAGCAAAGGGACCGACCGGTCCGGCCCAGTCGACCTCTTCCGACCGCGCGACGACAACTGACTTGATCTGAGTTACCCGTTGGTTGAACCGGCGACCTCGAATCTCCTCTCCCACATCGACCCGTCGGTGCTACAGAATATTGCCGCACAACACGTCCAGCAACGTACGAAGCGTGTGTCGACAGGATGTGACAGTCACGACAGGATCGTTGAGCTACGGGTCAGATTGGCCGTCGCGATGTATCATGGCTTTTAGAGGGGCCGAAGCTCGTCCGTTTCTCGGTTGTGGATGGCGGTGCGGTGCGGAATTCAATTGACCGAAGGACCGAATAACAAACAGACACCTGCTTGTTCTGCGTCGGGCGCAAGTGAAGCGCAAGGATGAGTGCCATTCCGGCATGCATCGTAGATTTCCGAGCCAGCTTGCTATCACACCACACGTACAATAGCGAGTTGGACGGTGTTCTTGTGTGCAGCGCATCAGCACTTTGACATGGTGACCGTCGGCGGGGAGATCAGAAGACCGACCACCTGACTTGTGTTCCCTGAGCGTCGGGTCTTTGCAAGCAACAAGGGTGAAAGAAAGCGGGGTGGAGGGCATGGTAAATGAAATCGCATTCCAGTCTCCCACGTTCCTGATCCAGCCCTCCCCGCAGTCGCACCCCGCCCGTGAACGCTTTGCCCCACCGTGACCATCGATCGGTTTATGTACTGTACAGTACACAGTCGACCCAGTTACGTTTTGCAGATGCCTGTCCATCCGTCATCGGCGCAGTCGCGACGAACAAGTGCGAGCGACGAAGGCAGAACGACAGACCAGAAATGAGGGCAGACTGTGGGATTTGGGAGAAAGGTCAAAGATCGGTCGGTCCCCTTCCGCCATTGCCGCGCTTCAACTGTCTACGGGACACACTGCCGAACCGCACTCTGAAAGCTTTTTCTTTTAATTTTCGGTTAATTCCCTTCTCTCTTGTCTGCCGAAAGAGATGAGCCGGGTCAAGTGTGAATCGTTCAGTTCTCACCCTGACCCTCACCGGTTACTCGCGAAGGGGGGTTTTTTTTTCCTCTCCCAATTTGGGCAACCGCGTTGAGCGTGTCTGCGTCTGCCGCTGCCGCTGAGCCTCGTTAGCTCATTCAATGCGCAAATCTCGTTTCGCTCGTTCCCACAGCCTTTGTGGTACACCGTACACGCCGGCTCAATATCGCAATCCGCCTCGCCTCGCCTTGCTTGGTTACCAACCTTCCGTACCTCTCCGCCACACCCCATCTACCCTCCAACAACCACCTCATCTCTGCTCTCGACCATCGTCTGCCAGCCACTCGACCTTCTGCTCGGATTCATATCATCAGTCGATTCGTTTCTACGACGTTCATCTACAACCAGACCAACCCATCAAACGCAACCAGTCTGCTGCTCGTTCTGCCTCGCCGATTCACCGACTCAGCTTTCCGATCCATCGGCACACAGCCAGCGCGATCTAGCAACACACCACTGGCTCCTCTTCAGCTTGATCCAGTGGAAGACTCTTTTCCTTCGCAGCTGCCGCATATCTCGCTACATAGGAATGGCCTCTCGCACTCTGTAACATGCACACGGGTGCACCGCTCGGCTCATCTTCTCTCGACCACACTCACCGGACTGCCGCCTCACCTGTGCTGGCTCAGCCGCACGATTTAGACAGCATGCCGACATCACTTCCGGATCCCGTCTTGGCCTTGTCCATGGACAATGTGCTCAAGATGAACGACCTCAGCCTCGACCAACTCGCCAACCTCTGGAACGTCTTCACCAAGTGCGCGGAATCGCTCGAGTCTGGTCGACGTCTCGAAAACCTCTCTTGGCGTCTATGGTTTCGTGAGGCCCACATTCTTCCACCGGATACCTCGCTTTCCGACCTCACCGACTTCACTCCGCTCGATACGCCTCTTATCAGCCGTGCAAACAGCATAACCGGCAGCTACATGCCTGTCCGCCTCTCCACAACTGCAACTCTGCGCTCCGGAAGTGCGCTCTCCGATCCCGAAGACGGCAACGACTCCGACTACTCGACCGACAGCGAGAGCGGCATCGCGTCCACCAGCGCAGCGCCAGTCCCATCGGTACCTACGTCCACACCCGTCAAGCGGAGGGTCAAGCTGGATCGTACCGGTCGAGCTACCACATCATCTTCATCCCATGGCACCACCGTCGCTCCCTCTACACCCTCGGTAGCTGCTCAGCGAACCAGACTCGCGGAGAGTATCGCGGAGCGCACCAGTCGTACTATGAGCGCCGCATCCCGTCGCGCCAATCTCGCCGACATGGACGCCGAAGTGTCGCGACGCAAGCGAGGCATCTCATCTTCGTCGGCCTTCGGGAGCAAAGCTCGCGTCAAGCAGCGCAACCAGGAAGGCGCATCGCGCCGACGTCCGTTGAGCTTCCAGACCGCGCTCGAGAACCTGGTCCTCACCAGCCGTGCCGATAACTTCGCTTCGCTTCGTGGCACGCAGGGCAGCATGCCTCAGCTCAACGCCAGCACAAGCGCACTGGACGCTCCTCGCAGATGTCAAGACAACAGCGACGATGGCGAGAGAAACAGCGCGCCAGCTGAACTGAGCCCCATCAAGAGCTCCAGCATTGCTCAAGTCGCCCTTGCCTCCCAGCTGCGCAACGTGCTCGAGCCATCTGCGGCCGACCGGGCGACAATTCCTCTTTCCCCGAAATCGGTACGAGCTGCAGCCAGCGAAGAGCATTGTGATGCGCCAGAGACGCGTGGTCCTCTTTCTCCTACCAAGATGGCGGTGGCTTTGGCGCCCACCATTGGGGCCATTTCGAGACGTGGCTCACAAACGATGCTGTCAGATGCGAACAAGGCTGCCCAGTGCCAGGCTCAAGCTGCATCGGCCTCTCGACCGGACGAGCACGCCAAGACCGACTCAGTCGAGGACCGACCTGCGTCACCGCAGCAGCTCATGCCTCCTCCATCAGGATTGCCCGAGCCCACGCCGGCCGCATCTGTCATCAAGCAGAAACTCTCAGCCGAGCAGCCCGCCTCCGCCACGGAACAGGCTGAAGAGGCCGTCGCCACCGACGACCATCACAATGAAGGTTCACGCGCATCGATGGGCATGGTGCGCTCCGACTCCGCTTCCAGTGCCTCGACACAAGCTTCTCATCGTTCGACAGCCAACGGCGTCGGTGTGCGCCGATCCAGCCAGGCTCGAATCACGTCGAAATCCTCTGCCGGCACTCTGCACGCCGGCAATCGATCCAAATCTTCATCTGGCTTGCATCGAGCAGCCAAGAACAGCAAGAGCTCAGACAGAATCGCTGGTGCGCCTGCCAGACCTGCGCCTCGTCACAACCTGTTGTCTGGACTCGCCATGACCCGGACCACCACCGAACCCAAACCAGCGCACGCCGTGGCCCGTAAGCCTGTACCAGCCGAGGCGCAAGTTGCCAGGGTAGCAGCTGCCGCTGCTGCCAAGAAGGCGCCTGTCAAGTTCACTATGGGCGGCGACGAGAGCGACTCGGACGCATATGAGGACGAAAGCAGCGACGACGCCGAGGCAGCCCCATCGAAACCTGCCGCTGGTGTCTCAGGACAGGCGGCCGCTTCCAAGGCCAGCAACGCGAGCAAGTCCAAGCAGGACTCGGACGAGATCGTCGAGCTCGAGGAGGCCAACAACGATGAGAATGATGACGACTGGGCGAGCGACAGCGAAGCTGAGGAGCAGGATCGTCGAATGCGCCAGGCCGCAGAGGCTGAACGTCGCAAGCGCGAGGAAGAGGAGCGACACAGAAGTATGTTCCAGAAGCAAGCGATCCGCTCCAAGTCGGCCGCCGATCTGCGCCTGCTGGCACCCAACGAGGTCCGTTCGGCTGGACCGAGCCCTCCCGAGCAGCCCGTGCGCGGCTTGCTCAGCTCGCTCTTTCATCCAGACGAGCAGCACCCTCCTCCTGGCCAACTGACGGGCCGCCCGCACGCCTCGGCTGCCGACCTGCGGAGCAGGCCAAGCATGTCGTCGCAACGCAGCCTTTCCAATGCAGCCCGATCGCCTCCAGCTGTGCGCCGACCCCGTGCCCACCGTGACAGCAACGACAGCACCAGCCACGCGCCGCGATCGTTGCGCGAAGGCAGCTTCGCAGGCCTCACCGGCCTCAAAACGAGCAAGAGCGCGGTGGCGCTGCCTTTGCTGGACACGCACATCACGCGCTCCTCGACCGGAGGCAAGGCCAAGCAAGACGAGCAGAGCGTAGCTGGCGGAAGCCACCACTCGGATGGTAGCGCCAGCAGTCCCGACTCGCCAGTGGCGGCCGCTTCGTTTGGCAGACCAGGAAGCATGGCTCTGGCTCGGCTACACGCGCTTAGCAGCATGAAGGCGCACTCGAAGCGAAACTCGAGCTCGAACGGGCAAGCAGCAGATCAGAACGTAGCAGGATCACAGCAGCGACGTCACCGATCGGAGGCCGATACGCAGCTGGATCGCGAAGCATCGTCGCGTTCGCTGCGCCTTGAAGTGAGCCCAGACGACCGTGACTTTGCGATTCCTTCGCGTGCCTCGCTGACCAACTTGGCACAGAGTCACCATCGTCAGTCGGCTCCGTCGCTGGCCACGCGTCATTCGGACCAGCAACAGTCGCGCAGCTCGCAGCGCGATGCTCTTGGCTCTGGGTCACGCTCCAACAGCGAGGGCTTGCCCTCGGGACACGCGTCCTTGCAGCAGAACGGCGCCAGCATGCACGGACCGGTGTCGATCTCGCGTCCTCGGTCGTCGGTTGACTTGCCCGAAGCAGCGGCACCGCAGACACCTCGAACCACACGACGCAACATGCTCCGCGACGAGCTTTCGGAATCGCTCCGCCAAAACCTGCTATGGGAGCGCCAGAGCCGCTCTAGAATGATGGGACTTGGCGCTCCCATGGCCGCCATCAACCAGCCCCAGCCTCAGGGTCCGGGTCATCGACGAGACAATGTGCTCAACGGCAACGCGCTGCGACCGTTGACCAGCACAGGCTCATCCACGGCCGATCGAAGGAACGGCGGTGAACCTAAACCCAAACGCTACTCGGAGGAATGGGGAAGCTTCCACCACAAGGGCTGGTAATGACCAGTACCGAACAGGTACTGCGCGCACCACGTTACGAAAGTCTCTTACACTTTCTCACATTCGTATGTACTTCTTACACGACGTCACGATTAATTGAACCCCCATCATGTTACCCGGCTAGCACTTCATCTCTTATGCTACGAATACGATCCACAGGAGTTTGCATCATCATAAGCCTTGCAGCAACGTGCGGATGTGCTGAGTGAGTGGGCGCATGTTCTTAACGAACGTCCAAGTCTCGGTCAGCGTCTCACTGCTCCGAGCCATCCCAATGAGTGAAAGGGTCGGCACACCGAGCGGCTAGCGATGTTGTCGGCGCGTGGCCGACAAAGTGACTCGAGCTGCTGTGCCATTTATTTTATTCCAATTACCGAACATTCTCCGAACGCTCTGACCTTGTGACTTTACAGAGCCGTCACGCGCGACCAACGCAACGCATTCCCAACACACCGATTTTGACTCTGCAAATTGCATTCGAGCTGAGCACGGCTCGATCGTCATTGGTCGACGAGGCAACACCTTCACCAGCACCATCACCACCAACCGCTCGCATTGCATCGCTGGGATCGCTGTAGCTTGTGCGCATCGACAGACTGTCTTCCGCTCGTCCTGCCCATTCGTAGCGAAATCAGGTGCACAGCTCGCCTTCGACCTCGACCACCCGCCGAGCATTCAGCGGCGCAACGGCGATCGAAGCTGAGTGGGTGCGCTATGCCTTCCAGCGTCGCGCCTCCTTACTCGGACGCCTCCATGACATCGACTGTCTCAGGCCTCTCCTCTGCCTTGACGCGCACATCTACCGCATCGATACAAGAGTGGACCTGCCCGTGCCTCAATGTGCGACTTTCATTAGCAGCAGAGTCTACACGGTCGTTTCGAGCGAGCAATGGCAAGCCCTGGCTTGCTGAGCTCGCTTCAGACGATGCCATTCATGTCAAGGTCCCTGATCTCATATCTCGCGAAACCGTCAGTCTGGCACACCACACAAGCTTCGCCTGCGCCAAGTGCTTGAACTGCGATACTTTTATTTATGCCGTCAACAAGCCTGCACCTCCAGGCCCAGCACGCTCGCTAGGCTTCAACACCTCGTCTGCCAGTTCGGGAGGTTCGGCATCAGACGCTGCAAGCCCTTCGGCCGCAAGACAACTCCGCTCGCCCTCTCGAGATTCGGCACCAACGATCGACCGTCTCAACCCGCGCAAGAACGAGTCGCCAGTACGACCGATCGACCGCAAGGTTTGGATCCTGCCCGATGCTCTGAGTCCAGAACAAGCTTCCAATGCTGCCAAAAGCAAAGCTCTCTCTCCGGCTTTCGAGATCTTGATAGCTGGGTCCCACGCCTCTCTCTTCGATAACGCGCCTCAATCTTCCTCGCATGCTCCTGCACTTGACACCGCCCGTGAGGCCACACCCACTCGACCGTCTGCTGGCCTCCACAATCGGACTTCGAGCTACGGCTCAACCGCAAGCGCCGTTGCATACTCTCTGCCAGCCGTCCCTCAGCATCTCGTTTCGTCGCCTCCAGCTTCCCCTCGCGTCGGAACTCCCTCGACGAACGCTCCTATTTCCCCCGGCGCAGTATCTTCTCCAGCACCTTCTCCGCTGGGATCGAACTCTGTCTCAGCTCCTTCCGCTAATCCGCTAGCGGTCCACCTCGACTCGATTGCCATTGAACGTCTCAAAGATATGCGGTCCAAGGCGGAAGCAGAGGTGTTTGAACTCGTCCGACAAAAGCGTCGCGAGATGGAGCTGCTCGAAAAACGTCTCAGAGAAGAGGCAGAGTCGCTCCTTGCCGTGACAAAAGCATCCAAACAGAGCAAGAGCAAAGGCAGCAACAGCGCTTCGACTGCAGCTTTGATCGAAAGAGCCCTTCTCGAACAGAACCAGCAGCAGTCGCACCCTCTCGGCGAGTCTGGGCGAGTCAACATTGGCGATGACGCAAAGCAGAGTACGACCCCGACCCAATCCAATGCAGCTGCAGTCACGTACGCTCGGACGAGCCGGCCGTCTGCACCACGCGATGCCGGCGCTGTCCAAGCCAGCGTCTCGGACAACGGCCGTCGCGACAGTCTCCATGACGAGTATTCAGATCTCCCGCCTTCGGCGTTCGAAAGACGACCTACCTACACGAATCCCACCAATGGCACCGCTTCCTCGCACAATGCCGGCGCACAAACCGCGGTAGCCTCTTCTCTGGGCGGCCTCAGTGCGTCCTTTGCCATGCGCGGTCGCGATCTACCAGCTCAGATGCAGGACTGGGCAGAGAAGAGGCGTCTACGAGAGCGTTATCCGCAAGGCGACCACTCTGCACTGCCGTCCGCTGCCAACTCCACTGTCAACTCGGCTGCCGGCTCCATCGTCGACTCGGAGGAAGACACGTGGACGGCCCAGAATGGAGCGAGCCTTGCTCCTGGTCGACGCAGGACCAGGGAGAGCAGCGCCAACACTGAAGACGACGGTGAAATGGACCAGAGAGGCCGAGGTCGCCAGCCCTCGCGTCAGCGTGGCGGTTCTTCGTCCCGAGAACCCCGAGAGCCTCGCCACGCTCGTGATGAGCAGCAATCGCAGCAACCCCCAGTCACCACAAGCGGCGCCGGTCAAGCACGGCTATCTGAGGCTCGTCAAGATTCAGGGCGTGGCCGGACTGGACGATCTTCTGCCGGCCTGTTCAATCCGCCGCCTGCAATGTCTTCGTCTCTGCTCACCAAACGGCCCGCGTTGGCTTTCGTCGACGATGGCCGTGACGCAGATGAGAACACGCCATCTGTAGGGGGCAAGCTCATTTCGCCTCAAACGGTTGCAGAACCTTCGGCTCAGGTCACACTTCGTCCCCGGGGTCCGCCTCCTTCTACCGCCGAGCCGCTCAAGCCTGCAACTCGCAGTACCGCCAATGCTGCCAATGTCGACGATGACCGTCGCGCACGCCCTACTGGTCCGGGCGCTTTATCTGATCCCGCTGCGACCAGCAGCACCCGCGGTCAAGACAGCCCTAAGTCACACAAGGCGGCCGAGAAGAAAGTCGCCTTTGCAGAGACCGAAGACCGCGTCGACCATGAAGTCATTTCGGACGAATATGACGACGACGGTGACAACGATGAAGAAGAGAGTCAAAGTGTCACTCTGCAGCAATCGAGCGTTGCTTCCGTTGCAAATCGTGCTCGCGAGGCCAAGGCGCCCCTGGTGGACGAGTCCGCCGACGCGGTGTTCGAGATTGACGAAGAGACAGAAGAAGCCGATGCGGACGACAACAGTCAGGTGGAAGAGCCGCAGCTGTCTCCGGAAGACGATGATCGACACAAGGTCGAAATGTCCCAGACCGGTCTCCGTACAGGGGCATCCGGACGACCGCGGGGCCAGGCAGACGACCAGCTGCCCGGCTTCGAGGACGAAGCCGTCGATCACTCGTACAGCCGACGTGGACCTGGTTCCGGTTCCCTTTCCGATGACTTTCGTTCTTCATCATCGGACGACGATGAGGACGCAGTTCCGCCCGGCTTTGGCGCCGCCTCGTTCAGTGCCCTCGCAGCCAGTCAGAGCGCCATGCACACGCTGGCCTCTTCGTTGGCTCGAGCCCATGCCGACGACTCAGGCTTTGACCCTGCTTCGCTTCGCATGGATGGCCGTGTCGTTGTCCCTCCTCCCTCGGTGTCGAACCGAGACCTCGAGGCGGACTCGGAGCCATTCATTGTTGGCTCTCTTCGCAGCTCGTCTCGTCGAATGAGCGTGCAGCTTCAGCCTAACACTTTGTCGTCGAGTCGTCAAGGTGTTGACGCGGCTGATGGTGTGCAAGGCCAAGCTCCTGGCAGTGTTTCGAGCAGCGGACGTCATCCGCGATCCTCATCTCGGACTCGCATCAGCAACATGTCGAAGGAGGATGCCGACACTGAGGTGCGACTCTCGGGTCTGCTTGCTCCTAACGCACCCTCGCACCGCTCGCTGTGGTCGCCAAAAGAGGCCAAGGCTCGACGCGCCGGCAAGCACAAGTACAAGCTCAACGACGAAGACAATCTCAAGTGGGATCTCTGGAAGCGCAAGGTAGGCTCTGGTGATGCGGCCGACCCGAAAAGACCCGCCGAGGCTGCTTCCCAGGCTTCGGAACGCTCGACACCGATGGCCGTTGCGCCGCCCACGCAGTTCATTGCTGCGGGCAGCGGGATCGGACCGCGACCTCTGCGAGAAGCCACTATGATCGATCCCGACTATTCCAATTCTATCACCGCCTTTTCCGCCTTTGACCGCCATTTGCAAGCACGAGCAGCTGCAACTGTTGACGATTCAGCTCCGGCCACTGTCTCAGGCGGCCTCGCGATTGGCAAAAAGACCTGGGGCTACGGATCGTTCAAAGACGACACTAGCGGATTTGAAACGGAGCCCAAGACGTCGCTTCCGTACAAGGAGAAGATGATGGTTCCTTCGCTGCGCAAGGCACTACGACGCAGCATCTTTGAACCCGAACCACACGCCAAGCTCGAGACTATACCTGATGCGGACGATGCCGCTACCAGTGTGAGCGCCGGCAAATCGACTGCTCAACCGAACGCCATTGCTCAGCCAATTGCACGCACAGGTGTTGCCAGTGGCGGTGCGGGAGCAGAGCACAAAGGAGCTCTTCCGTCCAGTGTCATCACTCGAGGGTTCCAAATGCCAGGTGCTGCGGGTGTTGCGAGCGCCGCGTCCGGAATTACGACTGCCAAGTCCGTTCCAGTGCCTTCGGCATCGCTGCCTGCAGCGGCGCGGGTGCAGACTGGCCTTGGTATCCCCTCCGTCGCCACTTCGGGCAAGTCGACGGTGGTGACCGGCGAACATGTTACGCGGGACGCTGCAGTGGGACCGTCGCTTCCCGGTTCTGGCGCGGCAACACCCACCAGCTTTGGTCGACGATCTCCGCGACCACCGTACGTCGCGCCTCCACCGCCCACCTCTGCCACGACGGTGCTCGAAAGCAATCCGGCGCAGCACCCTCGCCCGCTCTCGCTCTTCCAGGTCGCTGCCGACACCAGCTTCCGTCTGCACGAAGAAGGGGAGGAGGAGGAGACCGACGAAGGCTGGGCCAAGGTGCTCAAGTTTATGCACGTTGTCGAGCAGCTCAAGACGAACAAGCGCACAGGTTGGTTGCATCATCGCGTGCCGGGGCCGGAGTCGATTGCGGACCACATGTACCGCATGGCGATGCTGTCGCTGCTGTGTCCTGCCGAGTCGGACGTCGATCTGGGCAAGTGTGTCCAGCTGGCTGTTGTGCACGATCTGGCCGAAGCCGAGGTGGGCGACCTGACGCCGTTGGATGGAGTGGATAAGCACGAGAAGATGCGCAGGGAGAAGGAGGCGATCCAGTACTTTGTGCACGACCTGCTGGGGTCGTCGGCTGCCGGATTGCGGATCGAGGCGCTGTGGGAGGAGTACGAGGCGAGGAAGACCAAGGAGAGCAAGCTGGTCAAGGATCTGGATCGGTTCGAGTTGGGGTTGCAGGCGATCGAGTATGAACAGAGGTATGGGATCGATGATCTGCAAGGGTTTTGGGAGGGGAGTCTGCCGCAGATTGCGCATCCGAGGGTGAGGAGGTGGGCGGAGGAGTTGGCGAGGGAGAGGGAGGGGTTGTGGAGGGGCAGGGGGAGGGCGTATGGCGACGGGGAAGCGCGGGAGTAGACGATGGAGGTAAGGATTAACTTATTGAGCTGTTGAAAAAATTAGGCGTGTTTTACGACGTCGAAAAGATGAGGAGGCGTCAGTCGCGGGAGAGATCTCAATCAAGCAGACTGTTGGGAAACGTGGGTGACTTTGTGTGAATGATAGTGGTATGTGAATGCGAGGGACAGAAGCTGATGTGAAGCGACGAAGAGTCTTACCATGCTGCGGCTACGATATGCGCCATCTCCCCTCCCTCTTGCTCCCTCCCCTGTCTAGGACAAGAACCAGCTCGCATTAGCGTACCAGCCGAGCAGGGGATTACTTCCATCCCTGAGCTGCAATTTTTCGGTCTCTGCGAAGCGCTGCAAAAACTCCGCATGAGGCAGAACCTTCAAGTTTCTCTCCCTGCCCGTTCCGTTGGCAGCTGGACTGTGGAGCCCCCGGGGGTGAAAGTGTGGATCGAAGAACCCTTGTTCAGAAGAAGAGTTGAGGATGTTTCGATACACTTTGCGGAGATGATCAAAGTTGGTGGGGAAGAAGATGTCGAAGAAACCCTGAAGTACGAGGTAGGTGGTAACGGGGATCATCGTAGAGCGGTAGCGGGTCTGGACGACAGGACCATTGATGCCGGGTACAGCGTCCGGGAGGGAGTCAAAGTCGGACATGATGAGACGGTGTTGTGGGAAGTTGTGTTTGAGGGTGGAGATGAGTTGGAGGGCGTTGGTGGGGACGAAGATGGGTTGGGATAGGTTGGGGTAGAAGGGAGTGTGGGTGGCGATGGCGCGTTGCAGGGAGGGGGGTAGGGAGCGGAGGAAGGGAGACGTGGTCGAGGTGGGCGAGAGGGAGGGAGAGATGATGGACAGGTACTGCTTGATCAATGGATCGGAGAGAGGTTCCCATAGCTCGTGCATGTCTCCCGTGTCATCGATGGATACGACCCCTTGGTACGGCGTAAAGTCGCGCGTCGAGTAGCGGACCACATCGTGCGCCAGATTGTCAAACACCTCCAACGCGATGACGAAGCATGGTTCCTGAACCACCCCTCGATCCCACGTCAGAACATCCTGGTTCACCACCTGCGCCTTCTCCCCATGCGACTCCAACTTCCTCCTCTGCTCCATCGCCAGCCTCTCCGAGATCTCAACAATCCGGTAGCGCGTCCTCGTGTAAATCTCCGGCTCCTTCTGCTCCAGGTAGTCCAACACACCCTTCGCCAACGCACCCGACCCAGCACCCAGCTCGTACACCACCAGATCGTCGTACGGGTAGTTGTGCAGCTTGTACTCTGCCACCAGATACCTTGCTATCGCCTCGGCGTAGTAAGGTTGGAAGATCTGCGTCGGTGTATGCCACACCTGCTTTGCCGCCATCGACTGGACGTCTGCTTCCTGGACACCCTCCCGTGCACGCATAGCCCGACCTCTGCGTTGGGCCGCTTCCAGTCCTGCTGCGCTGTACTCCGCCGCCGCTTTGCCCTTCGCCTCTTGCCTTGCCTCCGGTTTGTTTTCGAGGTTCTCTCGTTCTCGAACCAGAATCTCGATCTGCTCTTCGAACAGCTGATAGCGTTCTTCAACTTTACGCATGAACTCGGACTCGTTGCTGATCGAGTTGAAGTCGAAACCCGGGTTGGCGGGTCGAAGGATCCCCATCTCCTCGGTGTACATTTCGCCCGCTACCTCCTTTACCTCTCCGTTTCTTTGAGACTGCTCCACGGTTGAAGGTGGATCGGGCAGCAGCACAGCCTGCTTTGTGAAATACCCGTATTGGGGGTTGTACAGGCTGTCGTGGATAAAGTCTCTCGCCAGCATCCGGACTTCGCGAGGTCGTCCTCCTGGTCCGGTTTTCCTGGAGAAGGTCGGAGACGCGAGTTGGGAGGACGTCACGAGCGGGTAGGTGTAATGTTTCGCTTCAGGATGGAGGGTGAACGGATCGTAGTTGTACTGAGAGCGGTGCCGTGAGAATTCGTCTTTTGAGTTGTTGGCGTCTTCGTTCTGAGGGCGTTTGGGGGATGAGGAGGAGCTAGCATAGCGAACGACATTGAGAGAGTGAAGGAATCCTGAGATTGTTGAACGATGCGGGTCGAGTGAAGTACGCAACGGTCTTGCTTTGGTGGTAACGGCGCTCTGTGCTGCCAGTGAGCTGCTTGAAGGGACACGAAGGCCGCGCGAATGCTGCACCGCGATGCGGCGAGAGCTGCTTGCGACCGCCATGGTGTCGATTTTGTGTCGATTCGAGCTGCTGGGTTCGCAGGGCGAGATGAATGTCCGTCGAGCGGGAAGCAGCTGTCGTCAGTCGAGGTACGAGAATGCTGAAAGGACCGAGCGCAAGACCGAAGGAAACGCAGAAAAGCTTGCTTTCTCAGCTGCCTGCGGCCCCCCGAAAGCCGAGCTTTTTTCGGACTTCAGGCTATTGCGCGCTTCTCCGCGGCGCGGAAAGACTTCAAACAACGCCAGCTCTCACACGACCCCTGCTTCTTGCCGCTTTCTCCCTCGCACTCCCAAGATGGTACAAGAATGTCCTCCATCTACTCACTCGATCTCACGAATTCACGGATGCTTTGCATGCGCTGAGATTGAAGATTACAAAGTCGTCTCGTTCTCCCTGCTTCTCCCCTGCTGGCTCCGTCTTCCCCCTCCCTTTTACGACAAATCAAATCCAGCCTCGCTCTGAATCGCATACCTCAACTTTTCCCTGCACGTCTGCTCATCCGCATAGTCGGGCAGCTTCAACATGTTGACACAAGTGCTCGCCGTCGGCAACCTGCTCTTATCGTCGCCCGCCTTCCTGATCCCGAACCTCGGATTCAACTGGCTAAAGCCGAGCAGCGGCGGATTGGGCGAGCTGGTGACAAACTTGAGAAACGCCTTTCGCATCGGCTGGTCGAAATCCTCCAACACCTTCCAAAAGTGTTGCACCGTCAGATCCGCCTCGTGGTATCCGCCAAGTACCGTGTTCTGTCGCAAGTCCGCAATGTCGACCGGATCGTCCGTACCCGAGATCAGAATCGATAGCTCTTCTCGGTTAAAGTTGCGCAACCAGCGTGGATTGATGATGTCAGCCAAGCCGTTGAAAAAGGCGTTGCACTGGTGTTGGATCTGCGTTGAGAGACGGTAGTGCGAGATGCGGAAGATGTACTCCATCCTGTTGAGGTTGGTGACCGGAATGTTGGCTCCTCCAGGTACGAGTTCGCGAGTCATGCTAACGCCGAACTCTTCATCCGTCACCGTAAAGTTGAGCGAAAGATCCTCCACGTTTCCCTGGTAGTTTTTGAGCGAAATCAGGCCCTTGTACAGCTCCTTGTCCAGAGTGTCGATCGAACCCAGATCGTCGAGGTACGACTGCTTGCCAAGCATCTTGGACAGGAAGAAGCCGGCAAACTTGGCATCCACCAGAATACCTTCGTACAACGCCTTTCCAATCACACGTCCTAGGAACTCGTACCATTCGAGCTGATCCCCCGAGGTGGCATACGTGTGCGGGTTGGGGTAAAGCTCCTGAGCGTCGGTCGCCTTCCACAGGCCTCGGTTGGTGTCGAACGCCTCCCGCACCAGCGACGTGAGGAACTCTTTGAACAGACCACCTCCATCGATTCCCGCCTCGGGCTGACCGAACTGGTCGACAAAGATGATCTCCAGTGGCTTCTTGATGTCAGCACCGAGGGGAGCCAGGCTGGCGAACCCGTCCTGTGCGACATGCTCTCGTCGGATCTTGACTGCTCGACGTCGCTGGTATCGGTCCATATAGATGCCGTTTTTGACCGCGTCGATGTTGACGAACTGGCGGAAGATTTGTACTCGGACATCAAAGGGGATCATGAACGGTACGTTGTTTAAGATGCCAAGACGTGGCGAGAGGAAGGCAAGGTTGAGCGCAGTGAGGTGGCGGCTACGAGCACCGCCCTGAGCGCGCAGTTGTTGCAGACGAGCCAATGGCTGAGGCGCCTGTCCGACATCTTCATCGTCGTCGGAAGCACCTTCATCATCGGAAGCATCTTCGTCCATCGGATCTACAGAGTTAGCTGCAGAGTTCTGGGTTGCGACACCAACCGAGACAGCAGGCAACTCATCCTGCTGCTGCTGTTCGCTGCTGAGCTGCTCCTCCTCGAGCACGACAATGCGCATGAAGTCGTTGAGATCCAGATGGCTGACCATCAACCAGTGATCAGCAGGTGCAAACCGATGCCTCGAGTCTCGCGAATGCATCTGTTTGAGCAAAGTCGTCACCAACGAACGCAGCGACAAGAGCGTCATTCGCATACCAGGTACGCGAGGAGTGCGACTCTGCGCCTTGCCATCGGCAGCATCACCACCGTCGAGGTCGACAAGAGGCGCTTTGCCCTCGTACCAGTACATGGCGAACGCGACGTTACGCAGCAGACCGCTGATGCTCAGAATCTCGTCGCGAGAAAGCCAGCCTGCGTTCGACCTGCCACCACCGCCGTTGATTCCAAAGCCCTCGTCGACACTCGAGAGGAACTCGTCGTCGCCGAGGGTGAGAAGCACCTTGGAGAGCATCTCGAGCACCAGAACCAGTGCAGGCCAGTCCTTGCTTGTGCTCGGATCAGAAAGCGAAGACAAGATCTCACGCGCTCTCGTGTTGTCGTGCGCCGAGGCTAGGTTGCGGGCGAGCGAGCTGCCACGCACATAGCCCCTCCAAAACTCTCGAATCAGGCCTGTGCCTGTGGGACCGACAGGTCGTGCTTGCTTTGAGCTCTGAGCCACAGCTTGTGCGTCTGCTGCGGAATAGAGCAGACGGTTGAGAATGTAGTCTTGCTTCTCAGCAGGCCATGCAGATAGAGTTGAGCAGATAAAGGCGAACAGCGGCCCACGGGTGGAGGTGGGAAACTTTCTTGAAAGAGCCAGAATCGAGTTGAAGTGGTCATCGGAGATGAGTACACGAAGTCGCTCGTAGGTCTCGAGTGCTTCAGCTGGCGCCTCGTTCGATCGGGCCGCGGCGCGAGAAGTTCTGCTGCCGATGCCATTCGTTGGCTGGGCTCCAGAGCTGCTGCTGGGCGGTTCAAAGTCGGTGCCAGGGAGCCAATCTTGAGCATTTGTGAGAGCCTGAAGGTACCTGGTCAGAGAAGCGCCATCTTTGATGAGGTTGACACGTTGTGAGCCGAACGCGAGCAGATTGGAGAGCAAATAGGGGCGTCTGAGGGCCCGAGTTGCTTCCTCTTGCTTGCTCGAGACAATGGCCGCAGGGTGCATTGGAGAGGCTTGGATCTTCTCCGGCTTCTGAGAAGCGATCCAGTCGAGCAATTCGGTGAAGGGCAGATGCGCAGCGAGATCAGTGACCGCCTTGAGAGGCAGTCGTTTGCGAAGGGCAGGGATGGTCATGATGTCGACTGCGAAAGCGTGCACTGCTTTCTTGCGGAACGCAGAGGGGTCTACTGGGTGCGAAGTGGCATCGTCCTCCACTTGAATGGCGGTCTGCAGCGAGGCGCCTTGACTGGTCCTTGCTTGAGTCGCTGACAAGGCAGACGGAGCTTTGAAGGAGTGAATGGGGACCAAAGACAACGAGATGGCCGTGGAGAGACTGGTGGCGGTCGTCTTTTGCTGAAGAGTGAAGGAAAGAATGTGAGCGCGGAGCGTTCGGTGCAGATCCAAATCGAGAAGAAGGCACAGAAGCGAAGAGGCTAGCGTCTCGCCGTGCTTGTCGAGCGAGATGGCGTTGGAAGGCGAATTCGAGTTTACGCCCGTGACGAGGCTGAGAAAGGCGAGAAGATCCATGTCGAGAGTCGAGGGCGAAGCTGGAGAGTATGCGTGCTCAGCTCTGGACGCAGCTGCTGTAGTGAGGAAGCGTAGAGCATGTTTACAGGCCAGGCGCAGCAAGAAAGGCCAGCTGCTGGCGATGTTGTTGTTCTTGTACGCTGGGTCGAACGGAAGGAAGACTAGTTGCTTGCCCTCGCTGATCGGGCTGGACACGAGTCGAAGCCAGCTTGCAAAGTTGTCTGCATCTGACTGTTCGAGCGTTCTCGAGTCAGGGCCAAGGCTAAGTAGCAGAGCTCTCGTACCTGAAACGAGTTGAGGCAGCGACGCCGAGGGATCGGTCTCTACGTGTTGCAGAAGCTGGTGAGCCTGCTGCTGCCATTGCGATCTGACCTGACGAGACTGAAGAATGCGGCGTGTCTGCGACTGTATGCGGACGGAAGCGAGCTGCTTGCGCCGTTGCTGCTCTCGCTCGAGACGTTGCGCCCTTGCGCTGCCTGCCGGGTCTGCTGACAGCGTTGATGTCCCACCAAGAGTGACGGGCGCTCTTGTACGGCCTGCGCCTGTGAAGTGGAAGCTCATGTTGAGGATGAAAGGAGCGTGGTTGCGCGAGCGTTTCGATTGCTCTTTCGATGCGCCCAGACTGTCAGTGCTTGATGTCGATGTAGGTGGGTAGGAAGAAAGCTGAGATCGAGTGTGGGCGAAGGTGTATGTCTGTGCAACCTAGAGACCTTTCAGCTGCGCAGCTGTGTGTCGTTCCAAGTTGAATCACGGGATGAATCCGAACATTGAGTTTGGCCACAGTGATTTACAGAGATTAACTCAGGAAGCTCAGAGTGTGCGCAGCGCTTCTTGCCGCTCCTGACGCGTCCTCGGGAAGCCGCTTTTAACGCCGTTACCTCCACTTTTGCAGGGTGCGGATCTTCCCTTTTTTCTTCCTGACTCCATGTTAGGTTGAGTGTGTGCAGCATGGCCAAAGCGTTGCCTCTCGCACATTCTTGTGCATGAACCCCACCAACACTCTCCAACACGACCCAGACAAGCATGACGGAGACACTCGAATACACGCTCTTCTACTGGCCAGAGATCCCAGGTCGCGGCGAGTTTGTACGTCTCTGTTTCGAAGCTGCCGGTGTCGAGTACAGCGAAGTCAACGATGTGCCGGAACTTCAGAAGCTGCTTCTGAACAAGGATGTACCCGGGATCGCTGCTCCGCACTTTGCCGTCCCTGTGCTCGGTGTTCGCAGCGGCCATACAGCGGATACTCACACCAAGAAGGCCAAGTCAGATGCTGCTTCGGACGTCCAGACCTCTCACCAGAAGCACTACATCAGCCAGACTCCCGCCATCCTGAGCTTCCTTGCTCCTCGACTCGGACTGCTTGGCGATGCAGACAAGCTCCAAGGACTCGAGCGGGATGTAGCAGCTGCACAGATCCATCAGCTTTGCGCCACCGCACTCGACCTCAACAACGAAGTTCATGACTCGCACCATCCCATCTCGGTCTCGGCGTACTACGAAGATCAGCGCGACGAGGCCAAGAAACGAGCTGCCGACCTGCGCGCCAACCGCATCCCCAAATTCTTACAGGTCTTCCAAGTCGCGTTGCAAGGAGATGGTGCTGGATTGGACCAGAAGAAGGACGGCGGACGAAGGCTGTGGGGTAGCAAGACGAGTATTGCCGACTTGACCGTGTTCCAGGTGATTGATGGCTTGCAGTTTGCTTTCCCCAAGTATATGCAGAAGTTGAAGGATGGCGGAAAGTACAGTCACGTCTTCTCTCTGCATCAAGATGTCAAGGACGAGCTGAAAGAGTACTTGGAGAGCGAGAAGAGGCTTCCCTACTCGAACGGTGTGTTCCGTTACTATCCGGAGCTCGACGAAGAGTAGACCACACCGCTATTTCAGCACTGTCAGATTGCACGTGGAAACATCAGCGTCAGCAAATCCTGGTATCACAGCATTGCTTGTGTGAGAGCTTTCACGGCCATACAGCAAATCTAGTCGTGAAGCCATGGACTCCTATGTCGATCATCTGGAATGTGGTTCACGACGATCTTCTTGCTTCGCAGTGTTGGTGAAGAGATTGCCGAACCCCGCCTTAATTTTTCTCGTTGAGCGGAGTGTGTGCGCTGCAGTGTTGGCTCAGGGTGCAATGTCTGCTGCAGCAACCGAGAGATTGCCGCTGCACTGCAGAACCGGTGACCAAATTGACCGGCGCATCTGCCGGGTTCTCTGCTCTGGAGCCAAATTCCAGGAAAGGTCAGGTTTTGCGAGTTTGCCGAGAACTCGACGGAACACGACACCAAGCCTGTGCAACCGGCTCTCTCTTTCTCTCTCGCGCAACAATGTCAGCTGCCCTGTGCAGAATTCGAGCTTTCTTCTCGGCTATCTCCCCAGCTCGAGACGGGTCTGAGCGAGCGCATTGTTGCTCTTTTGTCGGCGGTGGCAAGCGTGTGTGGGTGGGGTCCGGTGATCTCTGCCCGTCTGAACAGAGTTGGGTTGCGGCAAGAACCTCTTCCACGGCTCGACGAAAGGAGGTGCTGGTTCCGGCAGTTCTTTAGCCTCACACTTCTCCGTGCTAAGCTTGGACAGTATAAAGTGTGGATCATCGAAACAGCAGCTCCCCCTTTACTCTCTCACTCCATCGACCGACCACGATCCTTGCATCCCTCTAAAGCGCACAGCGTCGTAGTTTTCCTCATCATGGCTCCAGTCGCAGACACCAAGTCCTCCTCCATGGAGCTCTCCGCTCTCAAGGACAATCTCACGCTCATGGCAACTCACAAGAAGGAGCTCGAGCTCATCAAATCCGCTCCTGCCGCTCCTGGTCCGGGAATGGCGCTTGTCCACGTTCGTGCCACGGGAGTCTGCGGATCCGACGTCCACTTTTGGAAGCACGCCGGTCTGGGTCCTTGGAAGATCGAATCCCAGTGTGCGCTCGGTCACGAGTCCGGTGGAATCGTCATCGCCGTCGGTGAAGGCGTAGACAACGTCTCCCCTGGTGACCGTGTCGCCATCGAACCCGGTGTTCCTTGCTTCAAAGCCACCTGCGACTTCTGCCGTACCGGCAAGTACAACCTCTGCCCCACGGTCGACTTCTACTCTGTGCCTCCGAAAGATGGAACTCTGAAGAGGTACCACGAGCACCCAGCAGGGTGGTTGCACAAGGTTCCAGACAACATGTCGTACGAAGAGATCGCACTGCTCGAGCCTCTCAGCGTGACGTTGCAGGCTACGCTTCAGGCAGAGATCTCCTTGGGTACTCCTGTGTTGATCACCGGAGCTGGTCCCATTGGAATCGTTCAACTTCTCTGCGCTAGCGCAGCGGGTGCTACACCGATCGTCATCACCGACGTCGTCCAAGACCGTCTCGATTTCGCACAGAAGATCGTCCCCGGCACGTACACCTACCAAATCGATCCCAAAAAGTCTCCCCTCGAGAGCGCCACCGAGATCTGCAAGGTCTTCTCCAAAGCCAGCGGCAAACACATCGCCGAGGGCCAGAAGGACGTCCAACCTGCCATCACGATGGAATGCACCGGCATCGAGAGCTCCATCCAAACCGCCGCCTACGCTACCGCCGCCAGCGGTCTCGTATTCGTCATCGGCGTAGGTGCAAACTTCCAACAGATCCCCTTCATGCATCTCTCAACCAACGAGATCACGCTCAAGTTCTTGTTCAGGTACAGAGATACCTGGCCAAGGGCGATTCGTCTGGTCAGCAGCGGCAAGATCGATGTGAAGCAGATCGTGACCAGCAGGTTCCCCTTGGAAAAGGCCAAGGAGGCGGTGGAACATGCGGCTGACAGGACAAAGTTCAGTGTAAAGACCATCATCTACGATGATGAAGAGTAAAAAAACGGTTGTTCGGGTTTCAGCTTTATGATGTTTTGACAGCGACAATTTTGGGGAATCAAGTTTCGCACGCTCCACTCTCGTGACATTGTGTTCGAAGTGTGTGTGTGATTGCAGATAGATCAACTTGCTCTCACCCGCGTTGCGCAAACTCTTGCAACCAACTAGGCTCGATCGTACTGACCGTTCTAGCAAACGTCTGACTCGTAAACACCAACTCCTCAAACAGGATCGCGTCCATCTTCCTCCCGCCTCCCTCCCTCGCCATTTTGCTCGGATGCAACGTCGACGAAGGGTGAACTTTGAACAACCCGCTGGAGGATGCGGACGTGATGATGCGTTTGAATGTATTAGGTGCCGAAGGGTTCTTCAGCGCCGCGTTGGATATGCGTCCTTCGAGGAGCGATTGTCGTAGACCGATGTAGTGTTGGTCTTCTTCGGTATCTTGTGTCACTGTGGAGGTCGGCTTGCGAGTGACGAAAAGACCGTCTCGATTGGGTTGCGATGATGAAGAGGTGTCCGAGTCTGAATCAAGGTTGTCTGGATCTGATTCTGCATCGGCCCCGTTGACGAGCTGATCCGGATCATCATCGCAGACAATCTTTTGCTGTCTACAGATGTTCCTCAATTGCTTCCTGATGTGCAAGACGTTCTTGACCGCCTTTTCGTACACATAGTGGTTGCTACACCACGCTTTCACTCCTTCCCTCGCTTCCTTCTCGACCACCTTCACATCCACTTTCCCCTCGAGTTTCCTACCCTTGGCCATGGAGCGTGACTTGTCCACTTCGGCAAGATACGAGTACAACACGGTCAAGAGTGTTGCATGATCCCCCGTAGGATGCACGAACGTGGATTTGGCGCGGTTGGCCTCGTCTCGCTTTTCAGGGTCGGAAGGTTCGATGAGGATCGAACGGTCCGAAGAGAGGATGGCGATCAGATCGCGCGTCTGTCGTGCTACAGTAGGTCCGCGGTCGGCGGCAGCGATGAGCGACCGTGAATAGGCGGGTGATACGGGAAGCATGGCCATCTTGCTTCCGATCGGCGTGAGGGCTAGTTTTGCAGATGTTTTGGCTTGTTTACCGTTGACTTGGCCGTTGCTGGTCGGTGTAGGAGGGACGGCTTCGATCTTGAGCGCGCCGAGCTGGATCAGTTGGAGCACGGATTCCTGCAGACCAATACGATCGGGTTGATCCAGCCAGTCGAACGTGTACGGGTCCTGACCCATAGCGCAAAGCTGCAAAACAGCCGCCGCCAGGTCCGTACGAACGATCTCGGGTGTACCTGCCAACGGCAGATTCTGAAACGCCTCCTGAGTGTACAGCCGATAACACTCTCCCGCACGCTCACGACCCGCACGACCCGCTCTCTGCCTCGCCGCAGATTGACTGATCTCCTGTACCTGAAGCGTCTCCACTGCCGTGCCCGGCGTATACATTTTCTCCTTCGCCAACCCGCAATCGACCACAAAGACGATGCCGGGAATGGTGATACTCGTTTCCGCAATGTTGGTCGCCAGCACAATCTTGCGCGTGCGAGGCGGCGTCGGACCGAACACCTTTGCGCTGGCACTGGGACCGAGAGCTGCGTAGAGCGGTGCGATCATGACCGCCATGGGAAGCTGTTTCCCTTCCGCCTCGGCCCAAGCAGGAAGTTCGGAAGAGTAGAGCTCGAGTGAGCGCGCCAGGGTGTCGATCTCTTCTTGACCGGTCATGAAGACGAGAATGTCACCGGGTGGGCGGGAGACGTGGATCTGGAGCACGGTGCGCAGTGCGGCATCGGTCCATTCTTGTGCGGGTTGATCGGTGTGAAACATGGTGACCTCGTGCTGACGCCCTTTGACGTAGAGAATGGGCACTTCTTGCTTACCGTTGGCAGCGACGAGGATTTTGGAATCAGCGATGCTCGGGCTCACGGCAAGAGCGGTGGAGGGTGTCGCGAAAAAGTTGGCAAATCGATCGGCATCGAGTGTGGCAGACATGACGATGATCTTGAGTTCGGTCACCTCTGGCTCGCCGGATGGTTTACCACGTGCGATCCAAGATTGGCGGATCGCCTTCCTCTCGCGCTGTATCCTTTTTGCGAGACCTAGTACCTGATCCGTTCGCAATGTCCTTTCGTGTGCTTCGTCGATGATCAAAACCGAGTACTTGAGCAGCAAATTGGACCGTAACGCCGGCGAGCTTGCGCTGGCAGAATTGGTCGAGCTAGCTGCAGCATCACCGATCATCTCTCGCAACACCATACCGTCGGTCATGAACTTGACGCGAGTGTTGCGCGTGGTGCGATCCTCGAAGCGAATGCTGTAGCCTACCAGCCCACCTGCGGCGGTTCTTGCCTTGCCCTTGACGCTGGGCAGCACTGCAGGATCAGGCTGACCCATCTCGACCGCAACACGTCGAGCCAGAGAGGTTGCGGCGACTCGTCTGGGCTGTGTGACGCCGATCATCTGAATTGGCGCCCGGCGTGCAAAGCCCGCTTCGAAGAGGAATTGCGGAATCTGGGTGGTTTTGCCGGAACCCGTCTCACCGAGGATGACGACCGTGTCGTTGTTGCGTACGGCTTCGATGATGGCTTCCTTGCCGGAAGTGATGGGCAGTGCTGTGCGAGAATCGAGGATGCGCTGGTCGACGTTCTTGAGGGCATCTCTGATCCAGGCTGCTGGGTCGGAGCCGTTGGAGGTGGAAGCATGATTGCTGCGGGAGGGTGATGGTGGTGCCGAGCGTGAAGAGGATCCCAACGCTTTGGAAGGGGACGCAGAAACAGAACGAAGAAGTTCGTCCGCATTCGACAACATCGCAGAGGGAGCATTTGCGTATTTGCTCTTCTTCAACTTCTTGGTGGGCGAGGACGGATTGGAGAACGACTTTGGTGACGTTAGGCCGTCGTGGTGGTGTCGCTTCTTCTGTGGCGATCCTTGGGACAGCGACATGGCGAGAGATGGGGCAGTCACCTGCCTCGAATCGTGAGTCGTGATCAGCGACAGAAGTGAGGACGAACGAAAGGGACTTGAACCCTTTCAGTGTCCGTGGAGGGGGCGGCCTGAGCTTGCGCAATGCCGGAATGTTTTTGCTGTTCCTTGCTGCTGCACCTTCCAAAAATTTGGCTCGTCCGACCCAACTTGCACAACCGAGTTCCGGGATCGTTTGTAACGAGATTTCGAGAATGTGCTTGAGGAAGGCCTAACACGGACCTCGATCAAACTTGGACCTGTCTTGCAATCTTCCCTTTGATCAGCGTTCTGATGAGTCACGTAGAGCTCATGATGCCCAGTGCGTATGAGATCCTGCTATCCGGCACCGAACGGTCCGGTCAGAGAGATGTTGAGAACGGCTTGGATGATGAGTCGCACCGGAGAATGGGTTCCAAGCACAGCCTCCGAATGATATTAGTAAAAGCGATGCATCGGTGTAGGCAAAGCCGTAAGTAACATATTCCTCGGCTGTTTGATCTGACACGGGCGCAATCCCACGTCACGCTTTCCTGGTCTCAACTTGGCTGAAGAAGCTGAGCGACCTACTCGAAGAGGCGGGCTGCCAGACGAAGGGCTGCGTAAATCGTACAGCATTTCTTTGAAAGTGTTGATTTTGCGGAACAAGGTCTGTCGATCTCGGTGATGTGCATCTGTCGGAGCTGATAAGTGTCGGCAGGGTAAACGAGTCCGGCGATCCGTGCCTGGTGAAGCGGATGTTTGTCCGGAATAACAAGGCGAGTAGAGTGGTGTCGAGTCGAGTCGACGGGAATCCTTGGTTTCTCAGTACATTTTCCGCTTCTCGTCCTCGGCAAGCGCTACCTTACATCGTAGCTTTTCGGAGCTGCCAAATGCTGTCGAGAGCTTTGACCAGAAAGGTTCCCTCAGAGTTGCTCCGCCGGCCTAGGTGACGGAGGTGCGCCGACCACGAGGCAGCTTTACGGATTCCGCACCCGTCACTTTCATCGTTGCCCATGACAGCGAGTGGCAAATCGCATAAACGTGGTCCAACACGGCTCGCTGAACGACAGACGTTCGATGAGCCATTCCTTCGCCGTCGAATCAGCTCGAGATCGACACAATTGTCGTGGTCAGCTCCGAGGCGCGCATGGGACGATACCTGGACGAGGGTCGAGTGCAGCTCTCGGAAAAACAGTCGAGCTTGTTCGCGAGCGGCGGAATTCGTAGCAACACCAGAAACGTCTGGAACGTAGAGAGGCCAGTCGAGTCGAGAACCCTCTCTCTCTCTCTGTCGCTTGGAATCCGACGCCTCCACGTCTGTTTGCGCATGCATGTCGGATGCCCTTCCATTTTGGTCTGTGCAAGCTTCCGAACAAACGTTCTTGGCTGCATTTTGCTGTAGCCAAGACGAACCAGCAGCGCTTCGGATGAGCCATGTGACACGCCTTTCGAGTTTCCTACTGCTGCTCTGCAAATCCGACCACGACACCACGACTCATGGCGGCGTCACGCTTTCACCGTGCAGCCTGCTGCGAAGAATAAAAAGAGCCGTCCAAAAAAGAATCGAGCTCTTGCCAAATGCACGTGCCTCCCGCTGTGCTGCAAAGTGTTAGCTTCCTCTGCACCTGCCCCTCGCCATCAAAATTGCACTCTTGTCTCCCTTCTACTCACCGTCACACCATCATCGCCTCTCTTTCCCTGATCTCTATTTCGCTCGCAACACTTCGGTCGCTGGCCATTCACTCCCACTCCCGTCCTTCATCAGCGTTGCGTATTGCTGCGACACGTTTCCGAACACCCGACATTTTCATCTGCACAAGGGACCCGCACTCTTTGCCAACCCACGATACCCACAACCCGCGGCTCCACCCATTGAGCATCAGCAGCAAGCACTGACGTGCTTGAACCGCAGCTCGGTTCCCATTACGCATCTCAATCCTGTTTTAGACGGAAACCGTTTCACATCACATCTTCCCTTCACACGTGACGTCTGGCTAGTACATCGGCGAATCCGATCGCTCGACACCGCCAATCATGTCGGCGCACCCATCAAACCCGCAGCGTACTCCGTACAACGTGCTCAACCAGACCTTCCTCATCGACAATGCCTACGAAATCACAAAGGACCTCGGCCAAGGCGCCTACGGTTGTGTAGCAGCTGCCACTCACAGGGGAACCGGAGAGAGCGTAGCCATCAAAAAGATCACCAACGTGTTCACCAAAAAGATCCTCACAAAGCGCGCGCTACGAGAGATCAAGCTGCTGCGTCACTTTCGCGGTCATAAGAACATCACCTGCCTCTACGATATGGACATCATCGACCCTGCCGGATTCAACGAAGTCTACCTCTACGAAGAGCTTATGGAAGCCGACCTCCACGCCATTATTCGCTCGGGACAGCCATTGTCAGATGCGCACTTCCAGTCGTTCATTTACCAGACGCTTTGCGGCTTGAAGTATATTCACTCGGCATCGGTGTTGCATCGCGATCTCAAACCCGGAAACCTTCTCGTCAATGCGGATTGCGAGCTCAAAATCTGCGACTTCGGTCTGGCTAGAGGATTCGAGACCGATCCAGAGCTGGCCAAGCAGGCAGGTGCGGGATTCATGACCGAGTACGTTGCCACCCGATGGTACCGTGCGCCAGAGATCATGCTCAGCTTTCAGAACTACACCACGGCGATCGATATCTGGTCGGTTGGATGCATTCTTGCCGAACTGCTGGGTGGACGACCGATCTTCAAGGGGAGGGACTACGTCGATCAGCTCAACCAGATCTTGCACTACCTTGGAACGCCCTCCGAAGAGACGTTGCGAAGGGTCGGATCGCCACGGGCCCAGGACTACATCCGATCGCTTCCCTTCCAACCTCGCATTCCATTCCAACGGCTGTATCCGCAAGCCAACCCTCTTGCGCTGGACCTGTTGGAACGCATGCTCGAGTTCGACCCCGCCAAACGCATCTCGTGCGAAGAGGCGCTCCAACACCCCTACCTGGCCGTCTGGCACGACCCTGCCGACGAGCCCGTCTGTCCGCGCAAGTTCGACTTCGGCTTCGAAAGTGTGGACGAGGTGGAGGGGATGAAGCAGCTCATCCTCGAAGAAGTTCGAAGTTTCAGAACCGAAGTGCGGAGGCAGGCGAGGATGATGCAGCAGCCAAAGAGGCAGGAGAGCCTGCCGATCCCGAGCAGGGAGGACATCCAGAAGAGCAGTCCGACGGACGAGGAGCCGTACTCGGTGTTGGGTGCCAGTGCGGGCATCATCCAGGGTGCGACGAACAGCGAACATGCGAGCGGGGTGGATGACGCTTGTGTCATGGAGGATCCGGCGGAGAGCTTTGAGAGGGAGTTGACGCAGGGTAGGTGAGCACAAGGGATGGGAATTCAGATCAACCGATGATGCAAACTTTTCGTTTGTGATGCTTGGATTGTGATGTTGATGGCAATGTGACTGTGGAGCTGAGTCTATGCAACAAGGCGCTTTTCGTCGTCGACAAAGACCTTGACGTCGATGTCAGAGTTCAGAACACCCGCCTTCTCCAACACCTGCAGGGTCTCCTTGATCGTTTCACTCGACACAGTCTGCGTGGTCGTATTCTGACCCGTAGTAGGCACTTTGACACCCTCCGGATCCGTCATATCCTCGCCCACCCATCTGACGGTCTTCAACCAGCTCTCTACGTCCTCTTCCTTGTACTGGTGGTGGTTGACGATCCATTCTTTCGCTTGACCGTTCTGCCTTGTTTCCGTGTTTGCGAATTCTCGAATGCTCTCTTGCAGCTTGGCGAGGAATTCAGCCAACTTTGTGGAGGAATTGGAGAGAGCGGTGTTGCACGATGCAGCGATGGTCCAACTGGGCCAAGGGGTGGGAACGTTTCCGATGAACCTCACCTCGCCCGAATCGACGTACGGTTTGGTGGTGTACCACTCCCACATGAAGCAGCTCGTCTCCGCACCCTCCTTTCCATTGACACCATCGCGAAGGTTCTGGAAGGTGTCGTTGACCTTGAACTCGATCTCTGCCGAACCCGCATCTGCTCCTCCCCCAATTGTGGTGGTGTTCCATCCGTGCTGCAACGCCATAACGCTCGCCATGATCTGACTTCCGGACCCGATACGAGAGATACCGATCTTGGTACCTTTCAGGTCGTCGATCGAGTTGTACGATGAAGCGTAGGGTTTGGTTCCTGTGATGACGGCCCAGTTGAGAGAGGTGCGGACGTAAGAGCCGACGAGCTTGTAGTCGGAACGACCTTTGGCGATGCCCGTGATCAGCGCCTCGGTGAGCGCTACGGCCACGTCGATCTTCTGACCCGACATTTGGGATGCATCGAGCGAGGTGAGCATCTGCCCTGTTCCCGAGGGCTGCGAGACGAGTTCGATGTTGCTCTGACCCCACGATGTGGCGGCGAGGTGGTGGAGCGGTGCAGCAAAGTGCTCGGGCACGTAGCCGATGCGCAGTTTTTTGTCAGTCATGGTTGCGATGCAGAGGTCGGTCGATCTCTTGATCTGGAGGGAGATCAGAGGTGAGGAGTTGGGAGGTGGGGCGACCCGTTTATATACCAGCCAGAGTGAACGGCAGGGGTAAAGGATGTGGTGCGAAGGTCCGTGATAATGAAATGCGACAGAGTCAGCGTTTGTTACATGCACGGGTCCTGAATCGCCGGCTTGGGCTCAAAATTGTGCTTGAAATTTGTGGCACAAAAAGGCGGCGCACTCTGTTTCCACGATCGGGTCGACCGATTGACAGGAGCTCAAGCACAGACCACCGCGCTGTGCAGCGACAGCATCCGAGCATCAGTTTAGGCGACCGGCAACGCACACTCCAGAGTTCCTCCATCATCGTGACCTCGACACCACTCCCATTGGAATCATTCGCGCACATTATGTCGATTCCAAAACCACCCCGGCTCAACGAGGCCCTGTCGCTCCTCATCCAGTCACCACCCGGTCAAACCTCCCAGGTCTACCACGACCTCCGCGGCATCCTCTTCGACTCGGACTCCAACGCTACCGACAACATCAACGACTCGACCCTCCAATTCGCTGCCGCCATCGCACTCGAGGAGTACAATACCCAGCAACTCGTCACCGCCACCTTGCCGGACGACAAGCAACCCGTGGTTATCTGCCAAGCTGGTCAGGTCGTCGATCACTTTCTCGGTAGCGGAACAGCTGGGGTCAAGAGGTATCTGCATCCGAAGCTGAAAAAGACGTTCTTGTTCGATCACGTCAAGCGGACAGTAAGCGATGTTCGCGATGCTGGTGCGGGAGGCGATGGTGAAGCAGAGCAGTTGAGGTCGGCGTTGGAACAGGCGCTGGACGTGTATGTCAAGGATAGATATCCGGATGGTGTGAGCAGCGTGTTCGCTGTTTCGAGCGTACCGGTGAAGGATGAGGCAGAGCTGAAGGAGCAAGTTGAAAACGCGGCGGTGGAAGATGCAAAGTCTCCCGCTGAGAACACTGCTGCTGTTGACGAGACCAAGGACGACAACGTCGACACGGAGGGAGCAACGAAGAAAGCCGACGACGATGATGAGGATATCAAAGACGATCCAGTAGAAGCTGTGAAAGCCGCCGAGCAAGTCTCCTCCTCCTCCACTACCCCTCCCTCCACCACCCCTACCGCTCCCGTCAAGACCACCTTCACCATGCACCACGTGGGCAACCGCTACAACCTCTCCAACTTCTGGTCCGGTCGCTGGCGTGCCTCCTACACCCTCGATCCGCACTCCACCCCACCCACCCTCACCTCTTCGATCTCCGTCCAGGTGCACTACTTTGAAAACGGAAACGTCCAGCTCAACGCCTCCAAGCCGCGGACGTTCGAGCTCTCGGCCAGCAGCAGCAGCAGCGGCAAAAAGTTGGCCGACGAGGTGGTGGCCGTCGTAAATGCACACGAGGACGCTTGGCAGAAGGCGCTGGAGCAGAGCTACGACGAGCTGGCGGAGAGGGCGTTCAAGGCGTTGAGGAGGCAGCTGCCGTTGACGCGGCAGAAGGTGGATTGGGACAAGGTGCTCAACTACAAGTTGGGGGATGAGTTGGCCAGAGGGTGAGGATAGGACGTTTCGAGTGAAATTTGTCACGTTGTCTTTCTTCGGCAGAATGAAACGCAAACGGAATAGTGGAAGTCGTTGCAATGTATGAAGGATCGTGTGGTGTTCAGTCTGTCATTCTCCAAAGTCTTTCCGAACGCAGCAGATTCACACGATGAAGGGCAAGCGCAGAAGTTGTTCTTGTCAAAAGGTATGCATGAAATGAGTTTATAGAACAATCTCGTTGTTACGAGTGGTACTCGGCCTTCCTCAAGCCGTCCACCCAACCGTCATCCCTGATCAACTCGGCGGCTCTCTCTGCCACCATCAAGATCGTCAACATGGGGTTGATCGTTGGCAGCGTCGGCAGCACACTCGCATCACACACCCTGACGCCCTTCAATCCGACGACCCTCAAGTCCTTCTCGTCCACTACCACCGTGGCATCCTTTCCGGTTCCACCGTGAGCAGCGCTTGGGGTGCCCATCCTGCACGTCCCGGCCGGGTGGTACACTGTGTGCGCAACCTTCCTCGCGTATTCACCGATGTCCTTGTCCGACTGGATCTTGGGTCCTGGAGCGATCTCCTTGACGAGATGCTCCTTGAACGGCGATTGCTCCGCGATCTTCCTCGCCCACTTGACGCCTTCGATGAGGATGCGTTCGTCGTAGTTGTCCTTGTCTTCAAAGTACTTGAAGTCCAACAGAGGTTTGTCCTTGGGGTTGGAGGAGGCGAGGGAGACCTTACCGCGGGCTTGGGAGCGGCAGATGTTGGGCGTCATGCAGATGGCGTGCTGCGGACGTTCGTAGCCGACACGTTCGGTGTTGTCGGCAAAAGGAACTTGGTAGATGTGGAACATGAGATCCGGTCCGGAGTGAGGGTTGGGTTCGGCGTCGGAGGGGAGCACGCGGAGGAAGAGGCCGGCGTCGGAGGACATGACGGTTTCAGGGGGCGTGTCGCGCGTCTCCCACATGACGATGGATTCAGGGTGGTCGGTGAGGTTGAGTCCGACACCGGGAACGTCGTGCTTGCAAGGCAGTCCAAGAGCCTCGAGGTCTTTACGAGGTCCCACACCAGAGTGCAGCAGCAATCGCGGAGTGTCGATGGCACCAGCGCACAGGATTACCTCCTTCTTGGCCGTGAGCGTCTTGGTGAGACCATGCTTGGTAGTCACTTTGACGCCAGTGACCTTGCTGGTGTCATTGGCATCGTACTCGAGCGTGTTGGCCCACGTCTCGAGGAACAGATGCAGGTTGTGACGCTTGTACGGTCCGTGAGGCATGATCGGATGCAGGTAGGCAACCGACGCACTGCTACGCTGACCCGAGTAGGGATCGTAGGCGATGTCGAAGAATCCGACCGCCTTTTGGAATCCACCACGGTGGACAATGTGGGCGTTGAGGTCTTCCAGCACGGGAGCACCCGTGGCGCGCGACGAGGCGAGCACCCAATCGCGAGCCACCTGGTTGCGCTGCTGAGGTGCAACGGGAACGATGTTCATCTTGAGACGATCTCCGTAAGGCTGAACAGTGCTGGCGGACCACGAAGGGCAAGCGTAGTTGTTTGCCCAGTCGTCCAGGTCCTCGTTGAAGGGGCGGAACGAGATGAGCGTGTTGTGCGAAGAGCAACCGCCGAGGACACGAGCGCGAGAGTGACGGATGAACGAGTTTCCACGAGGCTGGGGAACCGTGGGGTAGTCGTAGTCGAGATCGGAACCGAGCATCTCGAGCCAGCGCTTGAGGTCGAGCACCATGTCGTTCCCGACGTCCGAAGGGCCACCTTCGATCACGGCGACAGAGACGTTGCGGTCTTCCGTGAGACGGTTCGCAAGCACAGCACCGGCTGTGCCACCACCGACAATGACATAGTCGAACTCGGTGTTGCCGTTGGGCAAGAGGTGGGAAGCGAGCGAGGCCAGTCGTTCGCGCGCCGATGGACCGGAGGAAGAAGGTTGGGGGGTGGGGTTGGCCGGCTTGTCCTCGACCGTCTGACCATGCACCGGGTTGGTGTCGGGTCTAGCTGGGTTGGGCTTGGGAGCCATCGTGGGTGATGATGGGTCTTGAGAGGAGCGTGAGGGCGGGGATCCTTGCTGGTGGTGTCCTCTGGGAGCTTGAGCGCCTAGGTGTATGGGATGCCTGTAGCGGTGTGAGAGAGAGAGAAAGGTGTAGGGGGCTGAAGAAGGAATCGTGCGGAGTGTTGAAGTTGCTCTTATACGATCGTTCTCAGCTGGTGGGGGCGCAACAGCCATTGCAAAACTAGCAGGTTTTGAACGATGGAATGAGGAGGTTCACCCGCGGTACACCACGCACCGATGCGAACGTAAACGACCACGGCAATCATTGACACTAGAGCCTGAAAGATATGCAGGCGCTTCTGTACCACCATCATCTCACCGTGCGCATCGAAAAACTCTCCGCTCTCCGCCAAAAACGATCCGGTGCACTTGCGCGGAGTTGAGCTGTCGCGCACACAGCTTGGTACAGCAAAATGACGAGCTCAACGTCCTTCTCGGCCAGAGCCGCCGCACGGAGCCTGGCAATTGAACTTTTTTTCCCGGTTCCATCGTGCAGCTCAGGTGCAGCCAGGGTGCTAGACGATAGTTAGCCCGCGGCGGCCAATCTTCGCGTAAGCGCAAGGGAATGTTAGGTTTCATGGCAGCAACTCTTGCCACGGCCCAACTCAGTCGGCGTGAACTGTAAGTGACATCGTCGATGCGAAGTGTGCTTCCCACCCGATCGACGCTCAATCTTGCTCGTCGGCCTTGCTCAGGCCCTCACCTGCTTTCATGCCTGGACGTTGCGACGATGCTGCGGTGGACGGCTATGGGCTATGATGGCACAGATCAGAAAACAGACTTGTCTTGATTGGGTATCACTATGCTATGCGTCACGGTAGTCCTCCTCGCCGTTCAGTGGCGGCCGGCTGGTCGGTGTGATGCGTCTCGATCCCGTGTCGCCTGCGTCGAGACCCGACCCTGATCCCAATCCTGCACTCAAGATCGGTCCACGCATCGAGTCTACCGTCGCTTTGACCGAGCTGATGCTGAATCCGTTATACAGTCGAGCTCCACCTCCAGCGCCCTCGTCGCTTGCACCATCTCCGTCAAACGCCTGCACGGTCACGCCAGGAACGTCGATCTGCTCGTCACCCTGATTCGCCTCGGTCTCCTGTTGGCCACCTCGCAGCCAGCCCGGTTGAAAGTTTCGCATAGCCGGTGCGGTGCTGGGTGCGAGAATGACTTCGGGCGTGCCAGCTCCTCCGCTCTTGCGCTCTTCAGAGGCCTGATCGCCTGGAGTCGACTCGCCCCAGACGCGTGGCTGATGAGATTCAATGTGGCTGCCCGTATCTCGCAGATCTGCAAGCGCCTTCATGAGGTCGTCAGCCAGCGTATCTCTGTTGGGTGGATCTTCTCGAATCGGCTCCCATCCTACCGGTGGACTGCCCGGTGGTGAGATCAGGAAGTTTTTGTCCGTCGTTGGCACTGCCAGGGTATCTGGCTCGGAATTCGGGTCGATCGGCGCCCCGAATACGGCGCGCAGAATCGTGCCGTCATCCTCGTCTGACGCTCTTTGTACGTCTTGAACGTCGCTGTCCTCGAATGGCAAGACGAGTCGATCCAAACCTGCCTTGGCCAAGCCTGCTCCCTCCGAATTTTGGAAAACCACGACCGCTCGCCCTACCGAGGGAAACGGTGTCCAGCGAACCATCGGTCCATACGTGTTGAGCAGCGAGAGCAGCAGCGAGCAGATGTGCGGGATGAAGAACTCTACTGGCAGGTTGGACAAGATGAGCGTATTCGTCGTGGTGTGTAATCCTTTCCCGACATAGTCGGACCCTGGTTGCTCGTGCACCAGCGATGGTGTCGGCGCCTCGTCAGATTCGGGCCATTGCATGACGCTTTCGAGATGTGCAAGGTTGCGCTGTTGAATGCAAGGATGCGGGTGCAATCGAGATACGACACGTGTCAGCAAGATCTTGTCGGTCGCCGCAGAGGCGCTGACGCTCAGTACGGGCGGTAGCGTGAATCAGGGGTCTGGAAGTCGGCTCTCACCCTTCCGGTCTCGCTGAGCTCTTGATCGTCTGCTTGGCCGTCCGCGTCCTCGAACGCGCCTTCGTCGTCGCCATCTCCATCGTCGTATTCGTTGCCGTCGCCGAGTTGAGTACCGTTTGCGCTAGTGCCGAATGGCGCAAAGCCGGAGAAAGGGTGACCACCGTCGTCCTCGACCGGTCCGGTAGGGTGCAGCGATGCACAGTGAGACAGCGACTCGAACAATTGATCGAGAGAGACGCTGCCAGGGGTGCAGATATACATCTCAACGAACTCTCCTTCATCATCGTCAACGACGCCCATCTCGCCGGTGCCGGCATTCGGACTCAAGTCGAGTTGACAGTAGATGCAGCCGTGGAAATCTTGCGCCGAAGTCGACAGAGAGGCTGAAGATGAGATGCCATTCTGCGCAGCTGTGGATGATGATGCGAGAAAGCTAGGAGGCATCCGGGTCACGGCATGAAGCGCAACATTCGGGTAGGCCAGCTGAAACCCGGTATCAGCCTCGGGCGCGAGAAAGGAGATGTGTTTTTCGGTCAACCACAGCTGTCCGCTGGCCTGAAGCACCTCGGCGTTCTCCTCGTCATCCTCCTTGTCGCCTAGAACGGCTTTTGTGGCTTGTAGCGCTTCGAAGCAGGATGGCCGTGAGGAAGGCGACGGGCTGACGAACACAGTCGCCTTCGCTAGGTGGAAATGCAACAGCGGGGCGATGTCTCCGAACGACTGAGGTGTACTGGTCTGCAACTGCGCAAGCTGCTCGGCCGTAGTATACGCTGGTGGCGCCGAGATCTCCTCCATGATGATGTTTTCGAAGATTGTCTATGAAGTCCTGGTGTGATGATGACGAGAGCGTCGTGCACGGATGTCGAAGCGGCTCGGGTTGATTGATGCATGCGCAGCTTCGGCCACTTTTCGGAACAAGGTGGAGTTTTTCCAGGATGGACCCTTGAATGTTGAGGTGAGATCGTCAGTGACTAAGCATGTGTTAAGCGCTAGGTGTCTGAGTCGGCCGCTGCTTGGGCAATATCACGTGAGCAAAGATGCCTAGATGATGGTATGTTCAAATTCGAATAAGAATTTTTAAATTGAAGTTATTGAATTTCATTTTGGGCGCAACCCAATTCGGCACACCAAAGCGCCTCGATTGTATTTCGAATTTGAGAGGCAGCACAGCACAGTATTGTCCTCCGAGGCAGCCAAAGGCAGAATTTGTGGCAGCAGAACGAAAGAAAGGTTGAGATGGCGGGTCAGCTGGGCTGGGCCAAATTGTGACTGTGAAAACGGCAGAGAGCCAGTCAGCCGCCTTCGAATTTTGTTCGGTCGCATCGCCAATCACACAGAATGGCTGGGCGCAGACACACTCACACAGACGGCATTGTGGTCGCCATCGAGATTGTCGATTCTAGACACCTTCTACCTCCATCCTCAAGATCATCACCAACCCTTTTCTATACATCTCTTCACAATGGGTAACTCCTCCAACCCTGCTCACAAGGCCGGCGTGCCTCGATCTGGTGTGTATTCTCTCACCTCGCTCTGGTAGTCGACGATACGGTAGCAGATACAGCAGCATCATCAGCATCAGCATCAGCATCAGCAACAGCAACAGCATAGCAGACAGCATCGCAGCCGATACACTAGCAGTGACAACAGCGGCATCAGTCCTCCGCCATCCGTACCAGCATCAGCGTCAGCATCAGCGTCAGCGTCAGCGTCGACAGTCTCGACGAAGAACAGCAAATGACTTGGTACCAGAAGAGCGCAGACTTGTCTCGACATGTTATTTGGACATCGCCCGGCAAGGATTGTGGATGGCATTCTGACAGCAAAGCGATATAAGATCCTTTTTGAGTTGGATCGAGAACGGTAGCAGAGATACAGGAGGCGGTGCGACCGGAACATCTGTCGCAGGTGGCTCTCGATCTGTAATGGACGGGATTGACGGGCGTTCGGTGGACAGACACGCATCTTGTTGTGGCTGTGACCACGGAATGCGCTCACCCAGCTGCATTTTTGTCGGTTCGTCGCAGAAAGAGTTCAGATGGGCGCAACGGCTGCGGAGTCCTCGAAGACGGCTCGCTTCTTCTGAACGCTGGAAGCGCCCGAAGAGGTGACTTTGACTTCCGTTCGACGGCTAGCTTATGTCGAGATTGGTCTCTGCATTGCAGCCACTGGCGTCGCTTATGCTCAAGCTCGTTGGCAGAGGATCGGCGGACTGGCGACGTACCTCGCAGCTCTGGATCTTTGGAGATGGAGGCTGAGCATCCATGCGATGCAATTTCGCCAAATGATCAGCCCTTCATTGCATTGCACTCGTCATCAACCACCGCCACGCCGTTCAAAAATTATGCGCGGCTGTATCTCGACAATGCGCCTGTCACTCGTCTCTCCTTCTGTCATGCTGCCAGCCACGTTTGCGGCTATTGCCACCACCTTCAGCCGCTTCTGTTACGCCCGTCATTGCTGTTGGCTTTTCGCTGCTATATCTGCCACCAATCGACTTTCATCGTATCGACCTCACAAATCCGGATGCAAGTACTGACCACTTTCTCCTTCTTTTCCCTCTTCACACTCCTCAGGCCTCGTCTGGGGTATCAACCGCGGACACCAGACTGAGCGACGAGTGCTCGCTCCTCGCCCATCCAACCGCAAGGGTCGCCAGGGCGAGCGCGTCAAGGTCATCCGATCCGTCGTCCGCGAGGTCGCCGGTTTCGCACCTTACGAGCGTCGTGCCATGGAGCTCATCCGTAACTCCAAGGACAAGCGCGCACGCAAGTTCATCAAGCGTCGCGTCGGAACGCTCCGTCGTGCCAAGAACAAGATGGAGAGCTTGACCAACGTTATTGCCGAACAGCGTCGTGCCGGTCACTAATCGTTTCCTCCGCCACGATTAGCTCCTCTTCCGACGTGTTCTCATTTTGCATTCCATCTTGTACCATCATATCGTACAGTCCTAACCAGGACGATCACCTCACCATCCAAAAACCCAAAATCTACAATTCGACTCTCAATCATTTCACCCATCTTGATTGTCGGTTGCAATTCTACATAGTTCTCCATTTGCATTCGCTCGTTTGTGATCTTCATGACGAGAGACATACGTTCATCTTGCGTTTCGCAGGTTTCAAAAGTGATGCGCCAAATCAGTCGGTCATCTCCCGTTGAGCATCCGACCAGGGAGGGTCTGACCAATTGAGCTGTACGACTATCTTCGTCGTTCTCGTCTCATCAACTACTTTCCTCAGCACACGCTTGAGTTCAAGTTGTAAACGATAAAATGAGGTTAAAAGTACAAATGTAAAAAAGGTCCATTCAAATGACTGCGTGATCAGTGCTGTCCCTGCTTAGGCTCGTCCTTGCTGTCACCCACAGCCGGGCTGGCCGCAGCCACAGGGCTCGCCAACGGACTCGAGCGACTCGGCACGCTCGCATGTCCAATCGCACCCAACCCCATCCTTGTGCTTCCAAACGATCCGAATGGCGCCGAAGCAGCCGCATGCGTAGGCGAAACAGAACCCGAAGTGTTGGAGGAAGAGTTGAGTTCGCCCAGCGACAGTTTGGTTCTCAACTGCGATACGCCTGGCAACGTCGAAGCTGACCAAATATCGCCGCCGCCACCAACCCCGTTGCCTGAGCCCGACGAGTTGCTCGCGACAACACCGCTGCTGCCGAGAGGAGGAGAAGACGTGATCCAGCTCGACGAGGATGCGGTCATGTTGGCATTGCTCGTGGAAGGTGCAGACCAGGCGTCGCTCGCGCCAAAGATCGACGACATGGTGCTCGAGCTGAAGGTGGGCAATCCACCTGTCGCTGCCGAAGCTGCAGGTGCGTTCGCGCCGGGTGCCGAACTCAGACCGCCAGCCAGACCAGGTGCAGGACCGAAATTGTCCATGCTCGGGTCATAGTCGAGCGGGCCAAACTTGGACGAGGCGCCGAAGGGTGCAGCAGAAGAGACGTGGTCGTCGTTTCCACTTCCGCTCGATCCAAGAGCATGCCCGTGCAATCCCATTGGGCCGAAGCGGGGACTTGCTCCGGCAAAACCCATCGATGATCCCGAGGCATCCGTGCCCTGCGTCAGCAACGGCGAATGTCTCGAAAAGGGACTCGCTGCTCCCGACGTTCCCACGCCAAACAAGCTCGAACCCATGCTCGAAGAGGACGGCGGAACGGCAAGATCGGATCCGAGCGAGAGGTTCAATATGTTGTTCGGGCTGGCAGCGGCGTTTTGCGGTGATGAGATCGCGGATGCGCCCGGCTTCGAGGAGAGCGAGGTTCCGACGCCACCATTGCTGCTGCCAATGCTCGAGGTCGGGATGTGGCGTGCTAGCGGGAATGCGAAACGCGAAGAGAAAGTAGGCGAGTGCTCGACAGAAGCGACTCCCGGTGGCGGTGACTGAACCGCAACAGCAGCGGTCGCCTGTGCAACGGAAGGCGAAGCGTTTGTCGTGTTCAGCTTGATGTCCATGCCCGAAGACGCGGAGGGATTTTTGCTGATGACGGGAGAAGCATGGTTGGACCCGGTCGAGGGCACAAACTCCGGGTTGGCTGGGTTGAGGGCCGTTGTGGTCGAAGAGGTCGGCAGCCTGACCTGGGGCGCATTGTGCGACAATTGCGGCATCGGAAGACTCGACCTGCGGCGAGATTCTATCGAAGGGTCGTAAGGATCAAAGCCAAGCGTCGGATCGTACAAGTCGTCCTGACTCGCCTCGGATACGCCAGATGGGAACTGCGACGTCTGCTGTTGTGGCTGGCCGTAAAACGAGTCGAGGGCGCCATAGGGTCCACTGGATCCAGATCCGAATCCGCCCATTCCCATCGCCGCCGGGTCCGAAGCGTAAGGTTGCCCTGGCGGCAACATGGCACCTTGCTGGACCGGGCCGCCTGGTCCTGAATACCCCGTACCAGCCATGGCGTCAAAGCTTTGACTCTGTTGGTTGTGGTTCTGGCTACGTCGGAAGCCCTTGCCGAAGCTCTGCATAAAGCCACGCGATGCACCGGCGAAGCCTCCACCGCTGCTGCCGTTGCTACCGCCGGAGCCACCAAAGTGGCCAGCGGGCCCCGAAACGGCTCGGTTGCCAAAGCTGCCGAGCTTGCCTCCCCTGCCGCCTGCTTTGCCCCTATGGCCTGTGGCGTTGGCCGCTGGATGGGGGCCGCTGGCGTGACGATAACCTCCGCGTTGCGCACCTCCCATGGCACCGCCGCCGCGTCTTGCAATGGCTGCCTGTCCGCCCAGAGGCCTGGTGAGAGCTTCGTGGGTCTCTTCCTTGACCTTTTCTATCTCAGCCTGAATAGGAGCGAGCTCGTCGTCGCGCAGCTCGTCTCGTTCTGTTTCGAGCGCCTTTGCAGCGGCTTCGGCAGAGCGGAGCTCCTTCTCGAGGTTGGCAAGGGCTGCATCGTCCTTGTCCCACTCCGCTTGCGCTGCTGCTTCTTCCGCCTCGACCTGCTTGCTCAGTGTTTCGACCTGTGCTTCGAGCTCAGTGTCTTGTTGCTCCCAGTCGGGCTGCTCCTTTTCGGCAACATCGGCCTGTTCGTGGATCTCTTTGGTGTGGATGGTGGTCTGCTTGATGAGCTCCTGCAACGCCAACACCTTCTGACGACTGCGGTGATCCGTTGCGCTCATTCGGTCCATTGCACGCTTGACAGCATCGATCTCGTGCCGGAGGCTAGCTTCTTGCTTGGAGGACTCCTTCCTGGCCCTCTTGAGATCGGCGGTGAGCGAAGCTTTGAGGGCCTCGCTGGCGTCGAGCTCTGCTTGAAGGAGGGCTAGCCGCTGAGGAGGCGGCTCTGCCACGTCGAGCTCGGGTGCAGATACAGGGAGGCGGCTGAGCGGTGAGGGCGAAGAGGATCGAGCCGCGGGAGTGGGATCGATAGGACGAGCGGACTCTCGATCGGTCCTGGTGCGCAAGGTAGCGCGGAAAGCGTCGTGCATGCCGTCGAGTCCGGCTTTGACAAGGAATTGGATTTCGTAGTCGGATTCCGGTTCAAGGCCAAAGATGACGACGATGGCCTCGTGGGATCCGCGCTCTCCGAGCAAGACATGCGACCAGTCGTGGCCGTTGACAGCGATCGAAACTCGATCTTTGAAGACGCTTGTAACGTGATGGCGAGCGTCGGGACTGCCCTCGTAGCCTGAGTCGGAGGCATCCGAAGCCGAGCCGGTTTCGTCTTCTACTGCCGTGGCACCGTCATCGGAAGGCCACGCGTCGTCGTCGTTGGCAGAGTTGTGGGCCGAGTCGGAAGGAGCCGAACTGTTGGAGCTCCTGCGAGGCTGAGCTGGCACGGTAGGAGGAGGGCGTAGACGGATCTTTGTGACCTTGCGATTCAAACTTCGAGTTGCGACGAGCCCTTCTGTGAGCTTAGATATCGGCGTTTCAAGTGGTTGGTTGGAGGCGGAGGTTTGAGCTGTTGCAGGTGTTCTGGACTTGGACACGGCAGCAGCGGTTGCCGAGGTGGGAGACGGCGATACTGCTGTGGCTCTAGCAGACGAGCGACCGGGGGACGAGCTGCGGTTAGTGTCGTTGTGTGATGATCGAGCCTTATTACGTTTACGGAGCTGCGAGTTGATGGCTTCGAGCGGTATTGCACTGAGAGGCGGGGGACGGGTGGACCAAAGCAGAGACACGGAGACGGGGGTGAGATCGAGGAGCTCTATGCGATACGGGTGATGTTGGTTGTTGAGAGGTCTTGGGCGTGTCTTGGGGCTTTGCCGCGAGGTTTGTGATGCTGCTGCTGCTGCTACGGTTGGTGCTGATGATGGAGAAGATGATGATGTCGCTTGGGCTTGATTCGAGGCATCGTGCAATGGCGGCCCATCGCTGGACCGGTGGGCCGCGGTGGGCATTGCGGTGAGACAGAGTGCTGCAAGCGCGACCCAAAACCCCGCTTGGTAAGTTGACTGACGAGGTAGACTGTTGTTGATGCGGGCTTGTGATCAAGGCAGCCGGTCTCAAATGAGCTCGAATGCTGATCGAGTCGGCATGTATGAGTGACGGTAGGACGGGGACTAGGTTCCGAGATCGATACGGTCGCGGCAATTGGATTCGAGCCGTTGCAGTCGGCTGCTGTGAATTGTGTAGAGGCGATGAGAGGTGTGAGGCTGTTGAGGCGGAGCCAGAGGTAGCGATGAGAGCAGGTGTTGTACACAAGAGGAAGCAGACGATGAGTGCGAGGTCGACGGCTGATACATTCCGAGAAATGGCTCAGCATCAAAAATGTCAAAAGGCGCTTCGGGCTGGCCTGGCTTCCAAAAGTTCCTCCTTCCGCTTTGCTGTCTCTGAGCTGTCACTCAAAATCTCTCTTGCTCGTTAGACTCACTTGTGAAATGTTGGTACTTTTTCTTGTCCGATCGTGATCAGGGTGTAACATTGTTAACTCCAAAAAACCACAATCCTGCGCCGCACAATTTTTTCTCAGCTCGATCGCGCGAGGACAAGAAGAAAGCGTCGGATCGCGTTGGCTCTTGCTTCTCTTCTTCATCGTTTAACAAAGTATCTGGATATCCCCTCATAGAGTCCTCCTCGCCATCTTGGATCTTCCGACAGGAAGAGAACTGGAGAGAAGCCGGCGCTAGTAGCCTACGCCTGCTCTTCGGAGGGGGCGATGGTCAACACATCGGTAGGACTCTAACAAGGATATTCCTAGACCAACTCGGTGCATCTTTGGCTGACTTGCCGAGCTCTTTGCAGCTCACTGTTTAGATGGCGATGGTTCAGTCACCTAATGCCCCTACATTCGTTTCTCCCGGGATGACTTCGGTGACAATGCTCTGACCATCAACCCAGTGATGGTGTTTGATTGACGAGCTTGGAAACAGCGTCGTCTCTTCCCCCTTCTCCCATCCTTCTCTCCTCTTCCTCATCTTCTCGCATGCATCGCTGTCCTCATCGCTGAAGCTTTGCAGCTAGGCCAACAGACAATACAACACTTGATACATCGCAATCCTGAATGTGCCGTCAGTCTCGATAGCGTATGTGCTGAACCAAAGTTGGCGAGATTACTGTGATGTCTGATGTGCAACCGTAAGGCGTAACAGATCGCTCCATTATCGGGTACAGCGGGGCAAGGCTTGGGCCAGCTGACCACGGTCGGGCTCGTTCGATTTTTCCGACCATCTTTTTTGTCTTTCTTTTTTGGCGCTGTTTAACGTTTGGGAACTGCACCCAGCACGGACCCACGACTTGTCGCTCGGACATTTCTGGTTCCCTTACCACGCAGATCGACATATCTGTGAAAGAACAATCGAACGCTCAGCATGACCATCAACGCGAACCAGAGAAGGGCGTCATAAGAGGGCATGCGGTTCGACGATGAACTGTTTAGAAGTGTGTGCACACGACACAGCCAGAGAAGCGGCTAAAGAAACGACAGGTTGGACCCTGAACCAGCTTGTCATCGAAAAAGAGCGACAGAGTCAGAGCTTTGTTTTAGGCTTGCGGTGTTTGGGTCGCACCAGGCTCAATTCCAGAGCGCGCTTAAGCTCGCGTCTTGCGGAAGGCTCGCACCAAGCCGGTTGATGAGCAAGCCTTGCATGCAGGCCAAGCCGTCATGTACCGCCCCACCGACCACTTTTGACTTCGGTCATTCTGCGGTCATGTGGCCGCAGCCTGTCACGGCGAATGCGTTGCATCAATCCACTTTTGCTCGTGGGCCGTTGCGCGGTCGCTGGTGGGTGCCTTGGTTTCCCCGGTCGAGGTGCCGGCAGAGTTGAGGCGGGGAGGTCGATGCTCGACCGCTTGTCCCCGCTTCGTGTCGATTTGGCGAACGGGTCTGCGCTGCGCACGATGACTGTCCGAGGCCAAGTACATAAGGGCAGAAGCGTCATCACGTCCGGCTCTCCTTCCTGTAGCTTCTGTACTTGAACAGCTTGCTCCTCACCTTCAAACCCAGCCTAGACGATCACAAGCTGTCATCTTCAGAGAACCTCTCGCGCTCGTTCGAACCATGTCCGGCCAGTTCACCGAGCACCAGCTGCGCGACGGAGTCGTCCTGCCGCACGTACTCAACAAAGCTCCCAAAGGCACCAAAGCTCACGTCCTCAACCTCGGCTACCTCCAAGCCGATGCCGGATGGTTCAAACGTGGCGCCAACCAGTCTCTCATGAGCAACCCCAAGGGACCCGAGACTCCCGAACGACGCGACCTCATCGTCTACGCCGTTTTGATCGAACATCCTACCGAGGGTCTGATCCTGTGGGAGACCGGGTGTGGAAAGGACTATCCCACGGTGTGGGGTGCTCCCCTGAACGACATTTTCGCGCGTTCCAGGTACGACGAGGTGCACGAACTGGAAGCGGCCATCGCCAAAACGGGAAACAACATCAAAGACATCAAGCAGGTCATCATCGGACACCTGCACCTCGACCACGCCGGAGGTCTCGAGAACTTCCGAAAGACCGACATCCCCATCTGGGTCCACGAACGTGAACTCAAATCCGCCTTCTTCAGCTGTGCCACCGGCGCAGACCGTGGCGTCTACCTCCCGCACTACCTCTCCATCGACGAACTCAACTGGAAGTGCTTCGACGACAGAACCATCGACTTTGCTCAAGGCATCACTCTCCACCACCTGCCCGGTCACACAGACGGCCTCATCGGCATGCAGCTCAACCTGGAGAACGACGGCACCTTCTTCTTCGTCAGCGATCACGCTCACATCATGGACAACTACAAACCAGGTATCCCCCAGGGTTGGCTGGCTAGAGATCATCCGGCGTGGTTCAACTCGAACCAGAGGCTGCAGAGGATGGAGAAGACGACCGGCGGCCTGGTGATTCCGGGACACGATCTGGAGGCCGTCGAGCCGCTGTTGGGTCGTGTCCTTTCTTGAACCGAAACATTGCCATGTCTGTCGAAGTACGAATTCGCTCAGTCATTCGCTCAACAGAGTTTCAACAGTGATTTTGGAATGGTATGTGCATTGAGGTGAACCGAACAATGAGCAGGAAAACCCCGTCTTCCCTCCAGCTCATGGTCGCGAAGGCAAGCTCGACACGCCCCCACCACCCGGACTCTCCGCTCCATCCTCCACCTTGATCCTCTTGAGATCATTCACAAAGCTCAACCCCCACCAACTCGCTGTATGCTTCTTGACGTACCTACTCAGCTTCTCGAAGTTCTCCCTCCTGATGTTCGCCGGCATGGTCAGCGCCTCGTGGATCGCATCCGACACAGCAAATGCATCCCACGGATTGCAAATCAGTGAACCGTTGAGACTCTGTGCTGCGCCCGCAAACTCGGACAGGATCATCACGCCCGCCCGCTGCTGCTGACACGCGATGTACTCGTACGATACCAGATTCATGCCGTCGCGGGTCGAGGTGACGAGGCACGCATCGCTGATGGCGTACAGCGCGCAGAGCTCGTCGAAGCTCACCGAACGATGCAGGAAGTGGATCGGCATCGACTCGACCGTTCCGAATCGACCGTTGATTCGACCAACGGCTTCGTTGACCGTCGCGCGCAGGTTCTGGTACTCCTCCACATCCTGTCGCGACGGAACGGCCACCTGAACCAGCACCACCTTGCCGACCCACTCCGGGTGGTCTTGAAGGAACGTCTCGAGCGCATGCAACTTCTGAGGTACACCTTTGATGTAATCCAGTCGGTCGACACCGACGATGATCTTGACACCCTCGAAACGACGCTGCAGACTCTTGATGCGTTCCTTGACGCTCTCGCGCTCCAGACCGTCTTCAAACTGCGACGGCTCGATGCCGATCGGATAGGTGCCGACGTGAACGTAACGGCCCTCGAATTCGGCGCCGTTGGGCATGGTGGGTAAGCCCAAAATACGCGTGCACGACGAGAGGAAGTGGCGCGCGTAGTCGTAGGTGTGGAAGCCGATGAGGTCGCAGTGCAGGATGCCGAGCAGGATCTCGCGACGGACGGGCAGGATGCGGTAGATCTCGGAGGATGGGAAGGGGGTGTGGAGGAAGAAGCCGATCTTGATGGAGCCACGTCCGCTCGAGCCGTCGCTGGTGCCCAAGCCGCGACCCGTGGCGCTGCTGCCGCCGCGAATGGCTGCATCGCGATCCGCGTAATCGACTTGACTATCACCACCGTCGTCAGCGGGGGGCGTGTTGTCCCTGCCTCCCTGCTTGAGCGATTCGTACGCCGAGGGAGCAGCGAGCAGATCGTCATCCTGAAGCTGCAGCGTACCGTCCACACCATGCCTCACGTGCTCCAACTCCCTCTGTGACGTCGCACCCTGCTGCTCGCTCCCCTCGATCAACGTCCTGAGCATCAGCGGCAGCAGCATCAGGTGGTAATCTTGCACCCACACCATATCACCTTGCCTGACGATGCTCCTGATCACCTCCGCAAAACGCAGGTTCGCCTCTCGATACGCCAACCAGTTGGTCTCGTCAAAGTTCATCTCACCCGGGTGGTAGTGGAACAGAGGCCAGAGGATCGAGTTGGAGAATCCGTTGTAGTGACGATCAGCGATCTCGTCCGAGATCCACACGGGCTGACAGCTGTACTCCTCTCGGAGCTTCTTCTCGATGTACTCTTCGTCCTTGGGTGGGACCGAGAGACCTGGCCAACCGATCCAGGTGAAGTTCATGGTCTTCTTGCATCCTGAAAGAGCCGAGACGAGGCCACCGGAGGAGAGGGAGAAGGTGTATCCGCCGGGCACGGATGGGTCCACTTTGATGGTGACGGGAAGACGGTTGGAGACGACGATGAGAGAGGCGCCTTCCATGACTGGTCCAGATTTGCAGAGATCCTCAATGTGCTGCTGCTGAGCAGCCGTGACGGGGTCGCTCGAGGACGTGCCCTGCGATGCAGAGGTTGATGCTGATGCCATGGTCGCTGCTCGCTCTGCTGCTGAAAGGAAAGCTGCTGTTGGGTCTGCTCTGGCAACTGAAGCTACAGGTCGTGCGTATCGCAATCGCTTCCTCAGTATGGAAGCTATTGAGTGAATGCGACGTTGTTGGTGATATGGAGAGAAGGAATGAGAATGAGAGGCGTGTCGTCGAAGAAGAAGATGCACAGATGATTCTGCAGCGGTGAATCAGGTTGACGAGAAGTGACTAATATTCGAACAGTGTGGCTTGCAGAGCTGTGCAACGCGATCTGTGGCAGTTTCTAGTTGCCTTGCAATGGCCAATCTGGTCGTAGTCGATGAGTGCAGCCGTTGACAGCCTTGCTCTGGTCAATCACGGTGGTTGATCAAGTGTGCGAGTGATGGAAGGTTCTATGGTATCGTCGATAGAACGCTCCAATAGCTTTCAATGCAAGAACGTGTGGAGATTAGGACTGAGAAATGAAACAGCCAGAACTTTCTCTCGTCCTGTGCGATGCGGTCAACTCGAGATCAGTGCGCGGTTTTCCACGTCGAAATTTCTGAATACATGGCTCGGCAGCCTCGTGAAGTTCGCGCACGGCTCTTGGCTCTTGGCAAGCGGGCAGATGATCATGTCTCAGGAAGATCAAGAACATACATTGTACAGAGTGCCGAATGCTGTCTATCGTGCGCAAAGGGCAAGAAGTTCTTTTCATGGTGACTAGTATTGCAGATCAGTGATGGCTGGAATCATGTAAGGACATTGCCCGTCGCGGCGCTTCACCCGCGGAAGAACTTGTTCTCGACAAACGGCATCTTGGCTACCTCGGCATCACGCAGCTTCTTTCGGATCTCCACCTTGAGCTTGGTGCCCTTCTTGTGCTGACCATTCTCGACCAAGGCCATGGCGATGTTCTTGTTCAAGGTAGGGCTGGGGATACCCGAGGTGACGCGGCCGACAATCTTGCCCTCGGGTGTGAAGAGGTTGGCGCCTTCTCGTGCAATGCCACCGTCGACAAACAGACCGACTCGGCGGCGAGGAGGTCCCTCTTTGAGCTCCTTGAGCACTCGCTCGGCGCCCAAAAAGTCACCGGCGGCACGGCGGTCCTTGCCCACGCACCATGCCAGTGCGGCCTCGATCGGGCTGACGGTAGCATCCAAATCGTGACCATAAAGGCACATGCCCGCCTCGAGTCGTAGACTGTCTCGTGCTGCCAAACCGGCCAACTGAACCTCGCTGTCCGACAGCAACGTCTCGGCGACTTGGATCGTGGATGCAGGAGGGATTGAGATCTCAAATCCATCTTCACCGGTGTAGCCGGCTCGAGCCACGTGGCACTCGACCTTGTCGCCGTTCACGCTCAGGGGCACGAATGCGCTCTTGCCAAAAGTGAGCGTGCTGAGGTCGAACCCGCCGGCCAGCTTCTCGAGGACTTTGGCTGCGGTTGGTCCTTGCAGAGCGAGCAGTCCCCAGTCGTCCATGACCTCGTGCTCAACAGCGTCGCCCTTCCATGCGTCGAGCTGCTTCTTGAACCAGGCGAGGTCTTCGGTGCGGCATCCGGCGTTGGTGACGACGTAGAAGCTGTCGTCCGCATGCTTGGTGATGATGAGGTCGTCCAGGATACCGCCCTGTTCGGACATGAGCACCGACAGCGTAGATGTGAAAGCAGGCATCGAGGTCAATGATGCCGGCGTCAGATGCTGCAGGAATTTGAGCGCGCCAGGTCCCTTGAACTTGTGCTGCACCATGTGGCCTACATCGAAAAGGCCGGCGTGTGTGCGGACATGATGGTGTGAAGCGACTTGACCCACATCGCCGTAAGTGAGCGGCATGAGGTAGCCGCCAAAGGGGACCATCTTGCCGCCATTCTTGACGTGGAACTCGTACAGGCCGGTCTTGGAGAGAGCGTCGGTGAGGGGCGCCGAAGGCGAAGCCATAGCCTCACCCTTTGCGTCAGCATTGCGCTTCGAGCTTGAGTGCAGCTGTCGAGGGCTGACCGGGTCATTGCGGAGAGAGCTCGTTGCTCGTGTGACACGAGCCGAAGCCGATGATGCGACGCGAGCAGCAAGGTGACGGGGCAAGGAGCTGCGAGAAGCCGTCCTGAGCACCGTCGAGGCGGCTGTGACGGAGCGTGATGCCAACATTCTGGAGGAGTAGCGAAGGTGTGCTGACCAAGTCGTGGGTGGTCGGAAGGAAGCAGACCTAAACGAGGCAAAGACCTGCTCAGCTTTGCTGTGGGGAAGCAGACACTGTATCCTTAGACTCGGACTGCTTCGTTGATTTGACCGGCACTCAAAACGGACCAGACGGCCTTGTGTCTCCCTTTCTGTGATAGTGTGGGTGTGTGTTGCAGCTGAAACCGAAAAATTGCCAACTCTTCTTGGGTTGGGTTACCTTTAGAGGAAGGCGGAATTCCCTTTAGAGGAAGGTGCGCAGATCTGTCGGTGCCTTATCGCTTCCTTCCCGACTCACGCCTCGCCCCTTCGGCTAAAATTTAAGCTCGATATCCAACAGCATGAAGTCTAACAACCAGATTAAAAGCTGTCTTGGATCTTGGCACGCAAGTCTGAAAAAAAAGCTTCGGCAGAAGAAATGATTTTTTCTTCCTCCTTGGCCGCGTTCCTCTCTTTCTCCTCTTTCACCGAGACGTCCGTCTCACCTTCCATACAATCGTTGAGGACTGGTCGGGCAAAACCCTTCCCGCTCACGATGCCGCACAAGAGAGCGAAGCATTCGGATCGAGTTGCCAAGCGCTTCTCGCTCGGCAAGGATCACGCTCCTGGCGCCAACGATGGCTTCTTCTCCGAGATGCCCAAGGGCGCCATGCGCATCTTGCAAGGAGCAAAGGTGCAAGAAGCCCACCGCGCCAAGCTTGAAGCAAAGAAAAAAGCGGAGCAGCAAGCATTGACCAAGTCTGCAAAAGGCAAAGCCAAAGCTTCCGATGGCTCTGCACCCGATGCCAACGACGACGCCACGTCCGAACTCACCATCCGTCCAGGCGAGAAGCTGCGAGATTTCAATGCTCGTGTCGAACAGGCGATGGCATCCGATGTGCACGCCACTTTCCGCTCAGCCTCTCGCTCCAAGATCAATGCTCGCAAGCGCGAGCGCAGAGCACTCCGCAAAGCTGGCATCGATCCGGACGCCGATCCGGAAGACGCAGAACAACAAGAGTCGGACCGCAAAGCAAAGGCCGATAAAGCAGCAGCATTGCAGGCAAATGAGATCTCCAGCGCCGATCTCAAGCGTCAGCGTCAGAGCTTCCAGCAGACGGGTGAGATCAAGGATTTCGCCAAAGCTAGCCAGGTCCGAAAGATCAACGATGTTGCGCAGGCCCCGCCCCGGCTCACACGTGCTCCACGCGGGGAGTCAGTGCAGGCCAAGACGAGGAAGGCTCGACTCATGGCCAAGATCACAGGCAACGACGAAGAGGAGGCCGAACGCAACGTCAAGCAAGCCGAAAAGGCTCGCCAAAAGGGACGCGTGCCAGAAAAACTTGCTGCCGCGAATTCATTGCCAGCCGCTAGCAAGAAACGCAAATCTGCCGACAGCGTTCAGACTGCCGTGGAGCCCAGCATGGCAAGACAGCGAGTGCTCGAAGAAGAACGCGAGAAGGCGATCAAGGCTTATCGCCAGGTCAAGGAGAAGAAAATCCAGCAGACCGGAGCCAAACGCCTCAAGAAGGCGTGACGATATCAACCGAACAGTCAACAGCCTTGCTGACTACCAATCTATATACCCGGATCTCTACCATCCACACCAGCATCTACATTTCCCACTGTACAACATTACAATTCAGCAATCACCGTTTCAGCATCACGAGTCTGCTGCAATCACTGCCAGCATGCTCGCCTCATCCGTCGCATCGTGTTCTAGTCTGTGACCCCAGCGATCCCGCCCACCCACTCTCCATCCTCTTCCCTCTTTCCCGCACCGTCGAAGCAACCAAAGCTTCGACGACCCGCTTGTATTCCTTATCCCAAAAGAAGAAGGCTTCGGCACTGCGTCTTTTGGCATAATAATCGAGCGAAGATTAACCGTTCTGTTACAGAACAACTAGAGACTAGATACCTCTGGTATGGGGGCCTCCTTTCGCTATCAGCCGAAGACGTACCGTCAATGATGGACGATAGATAGTAGTTCGCCTACATCCTCTTTCGCACCAGCGATCCCTTTGCAAATCGCCTCAAGCCGCGACAGCTTTTGTACTTGACAGACCGTTGCTGAATGACAGCATGTCACCATCACTACATTCAACTTTGTGAATAGTGTGTACGAGACTGAAACGTAACACGCAATCTTTTGACGGCACTGTCTTCGGAGATTTGACCGGCAAAGCCTAAGATTCCAACACAAAGGCGGTCGGGCCATGCCGAAAAACGAAGCGCAGCATGTGGAACACAGTCTTCCGAGTTTCATCAACCAAAGCGCCCCCGAACCGCCGGCCAAAGAGCTCACCTGAAGTTCTGTTAACCAATCTTGATGTTGCTGTCGCGTCGTCTTGCCCATTTACGTAGCTCACTATCCTCCCACCCGCTTGCGCAGAGACGATCTTTGTTTCTTCCACCACCGTTCACTTCTTTGTCGTCGATTCCTGCTTCGAAGGCACCCAACATGTCGACCCAAGCATCCGACAAGCCCAAGCTCGGGCTTCACGCTGCCGACGTCGTCGACTACAGCGAAGCCGCACGCTCTCTCATCGGCTACAAGGACACGCTTCGTCAGCCTTACCCTCCCATCGAACCGTTCGAGACCGGTCGTCTGGCCGTCGATGATCGTCACATCATCTTCTACGAATGGAGCGGCAACCCCGACGGATATCCCATTGTCTGCTTGCACGGTGGACCTGGTGGAGGAATTTGGTCTGAAGAGCGACGCTGGTTTGATCCCTCGCACTACCGCATCCTCTGCTTCGATCAACGCGGAGCTGGACAGTCTACACCCCATGCCGATCTAGTCGACAACACTACATGGCATCTCGTCTCGGACATTGAAAAGCTTCGCGAGAAATTCTCCATCACCAAATGGCACGTTTTCGGTGGTTCTTGGGGATCCACTCTCTCCCTTGCCTACGCTCAAACCCATCCCGATCGGGTGAGCGCCCTCATCCTTCGCGGAATCTTCACCCTCCGCCACTCCGAACTGCAATTCTTCTACCAAAACGGTGCCTCGCACATCTTCCCCGAACAGTGGGACATCTACCGAGACGGTATCCCCGAATCCGAACGTCATGACTTCATCACCGCCTACCACAAACGTCTCACCTCGGACGATCCTTCCGTCCGTCTCGACGCAGCACGTCGTTGGAGCACCTGGGAAAACTCCACCTCGAAACTCTACGTAGACGCCAACAGCCTGGCAAAGGGCGAAGACGACGATTGGTCCCTCGCCTTTGCCAGGATCGAAAACCACTACTTCATCAACAAAGGCTGGATGCAAGACGGTCAGCTCCTGATGAAGGAAAACATCGACAAGATCAGACATATCCCGGCGGCGATTGTTCAGGGAAGAGTCGACTTTGTCTGCCCTGCAACGACTGCTTGGGAGCTTCACAAGGTCTGGCCAGAGGCAGAGTTCTTCATGGTCCCCGATGCGGGTCACTCGGCAAAAGAGCCAGGTCTCACAGATAAATTGGTCCAGACCACAGACAAGTTCCGCTCGATCAAGTAGCAATTTCCCGTCCTGCTATCAAGTTGTCAAGCTGCACATCAATTGATATTGTATCCCCCCTTTTGACATGGGTTTTCCTCTTCTCCGATCGTGTCTAGCATGTGCTCCGTAACGGCTGTACGCTCAAACGTCAACACCGAGCTTCCTTAACCTCTCCAACCTGTCCGCCTCTCTATCAAAATGCAACCTTCGCATCTCGTTCCTCTGCTCAGCCGTCAACAGCGCCCACTCCGCCTCCCCCACCTCGTCCAACTGCAAACTCGAGTCGAGCAACACACTGAGCCGATCCGCCAGCTTCTTGATCGCCAACACCTCATCGCCACCCACCCTCAATCCCATCCTGAACAGATCCGTCTCGCTCACCTTCCTCCGTCCGTCCTTCGAGACAACCACTAGACCCGCTCCTCCAGCAGGAGCGACGCCGGATGACGAGGCGATGCCCAGGATCATCTCGATCGCAGCGTTGCGGTAGAGGTCGGTGGGCAGCGCGTCTAGCGAGATGATGGCGCGTTCGAGCGAGGTAGGCTTGTGACCGTTCGGATGGAATGGCGTGCAAGGCGTCAGAACGGATCGGATGACAGGGTCTTTGGCGATGCGTACCAGTTGTGAGGGCAGCAGTGGTTTCGGATCATCTCGTCGCAGCGGGTCCAGAAAGATGAGCGGATCGGGCTCTGGCGGATACTTGAGCTCCGACAGAGCACGCAAGGTGGGGGCAGTGGGGCGGTAAAGAGATGCCCGGCTTTGCGAGCCATTTGCACCCGATTCTGGTTTGAGGACCGCTAGACCGCCTTCAAGGATGGGATCCGTGAGTGTCGGCGCTTCTACTGCCGTCGATTCTGGGTTAGCGATCGTTCCTGCTTGCTTTGCTTCGACCGAGTCCTCATGTGCCTCGCTACCCGTACCCTTCTCGGAGGACAAGACCTGGATCTTGTCCCTTTGCCTCCTCTGCTCCTCTGCCTGCCCCTCCTCCGTCTCGACGTGAAGAAGCATATCGTTGTCGACGATGAACCTGATAGCCTGGCCCACCGCGTCGACGTGCTTCTCAATTTCATTTCGAAGCAGCTGCCGCAGCAAGTCAGGTTGATCGAATGGATTGACAGGTGGTGGTCGGGGATGAGGTCGTCTTATCGGTTTTGTGTTTGCCTGTTGCTGCTGTTGCTGCTGCGGCTGTTGCGAAGCCGTATCGTGCCGCTTCTTGCAACGGTCACCGTAGTTGCAGCGCCCTTGCAGGAAGTGTGTACAAATCGGACGGCGGTCCTGAGTGGCATCAAATCGCGAACGCGGCGCAGTGTCTTCCTCGAGGGGTGCAACGGGCACTTTGGATGAGGCTTCTTCCGGCGCTTCGTCGTCAGACTCGCTTTCGTCCTGAATCGAGGTGCTGTCTTTGCCGCCCCCCTCCGCAGCAGCGCGATATTCTCCTCCGAACTTCTGTCGCTTCTCATCAGGAACCTCTCGCGTCACTTCGTGTGCATGGGGTCTGTCCGCCGTTGAACCTGCCATAGACGCTGTTGCTTCATCTCGCTGCCTTTTGTTGTAGGGCGTGGGACGAGGGCCATAGATAGCTTCACTCCTCTGTTGCCTTTCGTGCCTTTCCCTGAGCTTCTCTTGCACGACTGATTGCGTGGGCCATCGCTTCTTGCGCTGATTGATCCATTCTGCGATGAGCTCGGGCGAGTCAAGCTGGATATTGAGGCCAGAGATCGTAGCATCCGCAGGTCCGTCGAGCGTGCGCCTCTCCTCTTGTGCAATGCCTGCCTTGGGCGGTTCTCTCTCGTCCTCTGAAGCAGAAGATTCGCTGGAAGTGCCATCTCTTGAGTCGTCACTGTTCACATCATCAGAGTCGGCGTCGTGCCCTTCATCGACGAATGGCTGATCCATCCTCGCAGTGGGCCTGGCAGGCAGAGGATGTGGATTTCGGTGCCTCTGCTGTTGGCGCATTCGACGTTGCTGCTCTCTTTGCTCTGCGATCAGCATCGGATCAAGCCGTTTGAGCTCTTCGATTCCTCCATCAGGGTAGATGAGGTGACGGTCCGCCTTGTGCAGCATAAGAGAGAGTGCAGAGTGTGTGCGAAAGTTGCAACGGAGAGGTGCCGTCGCAGGATCCGATGACGACGAGGGCGGATTCTCGTCGACATGGTCGCAGCAAAGGGATCCACTCGGGATGCTTGTTGTCGTTGCATCCAACGTATTGCGATTCTGTCGAGCAGTATATCCCGAATCACGAGGTTGTCGATGCTGAGCAAAAGTGCCCCTCCCACGGGGCCCAGAATGACTGTGACCGCGGCCCCTACCGCGCCCAGCTCCGCCTGCCCCGCGATGATGTGCTCGGCCTGACATGTCTGTCAGTGTGAAGCGATGAGTCGTAGCTTTCCGGCTCGGCCAAGGTGACGGGTAATGGCGGTGGAGGAGCACGAGACCCAACCGAGCCTTTTTCTCTTTGGTCCTAAAAATCTTGGAAGACGGAGCAAGAAGGGTCTCCCGATTGCCGAGAGAATTTTTTGAGCGGCGAATGCATACAGTGGAGTGGAGGCATCTTATGAACCGTCTGGTGCGCTCACACGCGCGTCGTCTTCAGTCTGCTGCAGCTGAGTGTGTCGGTGTGGACCCTGGACGAATCGAGCTCGAGCCTGAGTGTGACGTGTGAGGGTGCGTGCCCTTTCTTCTTCTAGGTCACAAAAGCGGAGCGCCCGCCATACTGCCCATCCTCCCCATCCATTACCTTCCGCCGTTTCAATCTGCAACAAGGAACTTGTGCCCGACAAGCTTCGGAAGGACCGAGACTGAACCGCAGCTCTGTCGAGGCTGTAGCTCTGCTTGCAAAGCGCGGTCCCGGGAGCGGTGGACTGCTGGACGTCCCCCGCATTGTTTCCTGCGATCACTGTGGTTTCTTTTTACAGTCACATTCGGACGCCCACACGCAGCAACCCGTAGCCAGAGCATCTCTGCGAAGCCTGGCCACAAAGCTCAGTCGCTCGCGCGGTGGCACTTCGTCAGTGTCATCCCACTTCACACTCACCCTTCCCGGCATCCCGCTTGGGCCTTCATACACGCCAAGCAGCGTCACACTCACTGCTTCCAGCAAACAAGCACGCTCGTTGGCGAGAGAGTAACTGTAAACCGTGTTTGTTGCAAGGCTCAGCAGCGATGACAGACCTCCGGTAGTTGCTAAACAGCAAATTGCAACTTCCCACTTGGCCAACACGACTCAGCATTCGAAGTGAGAGACGCTCCCAACCTCCAATCTCTTCTTGCCTCTCGACCATCCGCATCTCTCAAGCACAACAACGTCTTTCGCAACTGTCCAGTCGACTTTCCACACGTTTCCAGCAGCATACATTGCTCGCCGCAGCTTCTTCGAGCGTTCGTGTCGACCGCATCGTCGTATGGCGGGGTAGCCGCACGATCATGGTCACTAAGACTCGCAGGCAGACCGCGGCTGAAGCTGAAGCCAATGTAGTGCCTGCTCCATCAGCCAAGCCGACGAAGCCTCGAACGAAGGTTTCTGACCGAGTGCCAGACGAGAAGTCTCGATCGAGGACCAAGAGGCAGTCTGCCACTCCACCAGATTTGCCGCAGCGGGTCGAAGCTCCGCTTCACCATGAGCACGACTCAACTGGTGCAGTCGATGTGCCCACCATTCCTCTGTACGACTTTGATCTGCCGCTCGAACTCGACTTTCCCTACGGATCGCGCATCTCAGCGTTCAATCCTGCTCCGTACGAGAGCCTGAAGCGCAAGCTCCGGCTCTGGTTCCCTGATCTAGCACTGCAACATGACAGTCAATCCAGTGATCCTCTCCAAGAGTTACCGGTCGAAGCTGGCCACAATGACAAGTCAGAACCGAAGCGAAGCAAAACGGCGCCTATCTCTGGCAAGATTTCGTCAGCCACAAAAGATCCGAGCCCGGCAGGGCCAAAGCGATCAAAGCGTACCGGAAAGGCCAAGAGACCGGACTACATCCATCTCGAGGTCGAATTCGTGCCGCAGCTTGTCACCGAGATGGACCTTCAGTTGCCCCGCACCTCTCGCGGGTGGTCTGGCACCGTGTCGAACAAGCCGCTTGCGGCTCTTGCAGTGGTCGCACTGGCCCCGCCAGACTATGTGCCCGAACCGGACAACGCCAAGTCAAGGAAGCGGACTCCCATCCTCCCAGACGCAGCTAAGAGCGAGCATGAGTCTACGTCCGACGACGACGATGAGAATGACCAGGATGACCTTGACACGCTGCTGCTCGGACACATAGTCCCATCGGCCTTCAAAGATTCGGCTCATCACCCTCTGGCCCACTTGGAGTCCATACTGATGACGAAGGAATGGATCCAATTGTACGGCGAGGTCAGCCTGGCTCCGCCTTTTCTCCCTCCAGAGTCCGAGGTCTTCGGTCCGGAGGCCTTCGAGACCTCAGCCAAGCGTGGATCAGCATCTAACCCCGGATCGTCCTCTTTGTCTATCAAAGCTGAACCTGGCACCGACCCTTTGACGCACACCAGGGACGCTTTCAGCCTTGAGGGCCCTCGCATATTCACTCGTGGCTCGAACGTGCCATCTACTCGCCTGCTCGGTGTCCTCAGCATCCAGGTTGGCCTCGAAGCTGCAGCGCTCCAGTACGGTGCGGGGAAGGACGATGTCGATGGCTTTGTCGCCTCGCACGCTGACCTCAAGAACACGGCCGCAGAGGGATCTCTGGGACTAGCGCGTGCACTTCGTCAGGCCATCCCGTCTGTGGTCGATTGGGAGCACAGCTTCGTCGAAATAGACGCGGACGCCCACACCTACTGGGATCGTAACGAGTCGTTCTACGATCTACCGCCAAAGCAGAAGACACTCAGCCGTCACCTCGTGCTGGATCAGGTCGAATCTGTTGACCTCCTCGACAAATCTGGCTCGAAATCTCCGAGCAAGAAACGCAAGAGATCATCCAACGCATCGAGAGCGTCGAGGTCATCACTCCTAACTCGCCCTTTCCCCACCGCAGATGAGGACGACGAAGACGACCGTCGCGGCCACACATGTTATTGTCCCAGTTGCATCAATATGCGCGACGGACGGCGAGAGGCGGAACGTTCTGCACCGTCAAGCGAGCCATCTCGTCCTAGATTGCAAGCTCTGCCGCTCGGAGAGCAAGTGTCGAGCACCGATGCAAGGCTGGGCGACAACACCAGCGAGAGGTTCCTTCCCCTGGATACAAACATCGCCAGCCTTCTTGAGGCGTGCCGTCCCCGCCCGGACGGACCCCGGGTGTATCCACCCTCCGACGTGATCCCGACACCGTTGCTCGGCTATCAAGCCCGATGCCTCGCGTGGATGATCAAGCGAGAGACTGTGGTCGATGAAGACGTAGGTCAGCTCATGCCTAACTGGATCCCCTTGCGATGCAAAGCAGCTGCCGACATCAAGCAGAGGCGTCTGCAGCTCGAGGCGGAACGAGAGGCGCTCCTCGATGCCATGCAGCGCAATTTGTCACGATCGCGTCGCAATGCTAACGTAAAGGCAGCTCAAGCTGCGATCATCGCTTCCAGCACTGCGGAGAAGAGTGCTGCTTCGACAAGCGATGCCCCGGATGGAAGCACCACAGAACCACGCGGAGCGCTCAAGAGGGAACCGTTCATCGACCCGACTGAGCAAAGTTTTTACTTTGATCAGGTGTCGGGTTTGCTGAGCCTGCGTCGCTTCTGCTGCCGTTCCAGTGAGCCTGGAGGAGCGCTCTGCGAATCTATGGGCCTCGGTAAGACGCTCGAAAGTCTGTCGCTCATCGCAGCGCGACCTCGCCCCGACAATCCGAATCTCTTGGAGTACGACACCTCGCGCAGCGCCCGTATGATTGCAGCGCTAGATCTCTCGGAGCGTCCGTTTGTCTCGCAGGCAACATTGGTGGTCTGCCCTGCAGCTTTGGTGGAGCAATGGATGGACGAGATCTGCAAGCATTTCCGCAGTCGCAGCCGTAATCGCAGCGGCAGCAACGTCGACGAGTCCTCGCAGGACGACGCGAACAGTGTCAATCAACAATCAGGCGTCGTCCGATATCGCCATGCTGATTTCGCTTGGGATGTCCATTCGCGACGTGCCGATGTCCGAGCGCTAGCAAGGAAAAAGCTAGTGGGGCCAGACATCGTCGTCGCCACGTACGAAGAGCTGGCGTCTCAGCTAGCCGAGAGCCACAAGGTGCCTCACAGCAGCGACCAGGTTCGAACACCACTGCTGGAGGTGCTCTTCTGGCGCATCCTCTTGGACGAGGCACAGATTGTTGCTGGCGCATCGGGTAAGGCAACCAGCATGGTTCACGAGCTGTGGCGCAGCAATTGCTGGATGGTGACCGGCACGCCCGTCACCAAAGGCATTCGAGACATTCAGGGTATCTTTGCTTTCATGGATCACGATCCTTTGGCTGCACCGCGCTTCTTCCGCGACATCCTTCAGCAGCCCTTCAGTCGAGGCTGCGTTGAAGGCGTCCGACGTCTGCGAGCGCTCCTGCCGCGGTACGTCTGGCGACACACGCAGGCGCACGTCGAAGACGAGATCGTCCTGCCTCCCTGCACGAGCGAGGTGCTCGAGCTCAGACTCAAGCATGTCGAGAGGCTCTTCTACGACAAGGAGGTCAGCAAGTTCCGCGAGAGCTTTGCCAAGCAAGCCGCAAGGGGCGTCGCCAACGTCGCCCAACCTTCGTTCCTCGTCCATCTCCGTCAACTGCTCAGCCATCCCCAGGTCGCCGACGAGTATCTGTACTTCCACAACTACTCGCGTCTGTCCTTTGCCGAGCTCTTCCAAAGATTCTTCCAGCAGGCCGAAAGCGAGCTGGGCAACATCCGCATGCAAGTCGTCTCCAGCACGCTGCAGCTCGTCTGGGGCCACGATTTCTACGTTGCAGAGACGGACAAGAGACGCTGGCGCGGTGGAAAGACGCCGCTCGATGGCCGAGACGCCATCTGTCAACTCTTGAACGCAGCCTTGCGGGTCGTCACCCTGGCTTTGGATGAACAAGCTCGTCAGAGCATTCCAGCGTCACCCGAAGGAGAGGCTGCCATTGGCGAGGGACCCAGCGACGAGTCTGGAATTCAGTCGGCCAACACGCGCCAACACGGTAAAGTGGAAACGAGCGCTGAAGCTACGCCTTCCACGTCGGCGTTACCTTCCGATGCCGCCATGCAGCCGGCCTCGGGTGCCACCGACTCGACAGCAAGGATCAATCTTTCGTGGGAGGAAGCAGACTACTGGTTGCGGGTGCTCCTGCAGAAGCATGCTGATCCCGCCTCTGGCGGCGATGAGGGAGCAGGAGCGGCCATCGAGCCACCGGCGCGATGGGACCCAGAACGACCCAGTCGGACCTGCTTCGACAAGGAGTTCAAGGACGCAGACGATCCCTCTGTCGATCTCAAAGATCCACGATTTCACCTCGTGATCCAAGATGCCAGCGCCGAAGATTTGGACGAGGACGAGTACTTGGCCCAAATCGTCGCGGAGCAGAGCGCCAAGAACCAGAACCATCCTGCCGAGCCACGCAAGAAGTTCAAGATGGACGCAGCCTTCCAGCCTGGCTCGCTCAAGAAGGCTCGCCTCCGCGGCAAAGCCACGCAGAGGCAGAAAAGAAGAGTGTGGTCTTACAAGCCCAAAGAGCGCCTCGATACGACGCAGGCGAAGCTGCTTCAGCAGCGAGCGAATCTGCCAGGCAAGGAGCACGAGGTTGCCTTTTTGCGGCAGCAACTGCTGGAAGGTCTCGGCGCCGAGACAAATATAGGGTTGGGAGAAGCTGGAGATCCTGCGGACGCCTCATCGGGGGAGGCACCGGCTCCAGGCCCGGAGTGCCAGATCTGCTTCGAGCCGAAAATGCAGATTGGCGTGCTGCCCTGCTACCACTCGTTCTGCGCCGACTGTATCGACATTCTATGCCAGAAGAACTCTCGATCGGTGCCATACGTGTGGACCAGCTGGAACAAGCCGCGCTGTCCCAAGTGCCGACTCCAATTCCATCCCGATCGAGTGACTCGCATCATGGAGCGAGGGAGGTCTGCCTCAGCGGACGGCTCCGAGACCGTGGTCGGCGATTGGAGCGGCAAGATTTCGGGACTTATCATGGACTTTCAAGCAAGACTGGCTCAAGATCCGACGCACAAAGCCGTCGTATTCTCGCATTGGCCCAAGATGCTGAACTTCATGTGCGAAGCGCTGGTGCAGAACGACATTGCAGCGGTGGTCTTTGGAGGCAACGAAGTCAAGCAGGCAGAGGCTCTGAGGGCAATCCGCGACGACGAAAAAGTGCGTGTCATCCTCGTGCCGTTCCGTGCCAGCGCAGGTGCCGCCGGGCTAACCCTCACCTCGTGTAACTTGGCGTACCTAATGGAGCCGGCGCTTGATGCGGCTCTAGAGGCACAGGCAATTGGTCGTATCCATCGTATCGGTCAGCGTCGCGAGACCACCGTCCTTCGCGTCAAGATGAAGGATACGATCGAGGATGCGGTCATGCGCATTGCCGACGAACGCTCACGTCGAGGCATGGAGCTTGCCACGCACACAGATCCGAGCGCCGCGGCTCCATCTGGCGTATCTGCGCTGGCATCTATCTCCGAGTCAGGAGCAGGCGGCGCTGAGTCCTCCGCAGCTGCAGTAGCATCACCCGCGGGGAGAAGTCTGGCAGAGGAAGGGTCGGGACAGGGCAGCTCGATGACAACCGTTGGCGTCAAAACGGAAGAGCAAGATTCACTGCAACCAGTCCCATCGAGCTCGAATTTGAGAGAGCGGTCCATCAAATCTTCGGTGGCAGCTTCAGTGGGTGTTGGACGCGAAACTGACAGCACGAGTCTGAGGATGACAGAGGTGGGTCTAATCCTTGGCTTTGACGTGGAGGAAGAAAAGCGAAAAGCAAAAGATCGCCGAGAATCTGTGCTGCGGAGGGCCGACGAGCTTGGCATGTACGTTGGATCCACGAGCATCACCGAGCGTGAAGTGGACATGCTGGAGCTCGACATCGAAATGGAGGAGGAAGAAAGGGCGATGGAAGAGGAAGAGGAGCGGCAATGGGCGCTAGCAGACGAGGAAGAGGAGCGGGTAGAGGCGCTAGCAGAAGAAGAAGAGCTACGACTGGCCATCGAGGAGGACGAGGCCGATGAGCAGGAAGCGCTCGACCTGCAGCTCATAGCATTGACCGCAGGAACCAACCCAGCTGGGTAGGACAGGCTGACTGAAGGAGCGACGCATGGGGGCCTCTGAGAAGGGGAACAAAGACAGTCGTTGGCTTCAAGTCGCTTCTCAGTTGCCTCAACGCGCCGCGAACTTGTCGGACGAGCACATTCCACAGGCTTGTGAACCTGCATCTTCCACGGTTTGTTAGTGACGCACAGCGCAAAATTCGTCGCCAAGATTCTAATGTATGTTTTGGGTGTAACCGTTTCTGTCGAATAAATCGTGTGGATCAATGCGAATAGGTATGACATGCTGGACGCTGATGGGCGAATCAAGATGTGTGAAGTCGGGGTGAACTTGTACGGAAGCATCGAGGCTGCTCAAGCGGTCGGAGCGGGAGCCACTGGAATTGGTTCGGGACCTGCTTGGGACTGGTCGAGTGTCTGTGCGGACTCGGGACCGTCGAGCTGCTGCTGTTCTCCGTCTTTGGCCAAGCCTTCGATCTCGGCCTGCTCGTGAAAGATGGCACCGCCGAGCTTCTCCTCGAGCCATTCGACGGCGCCCAAGTCGCAGATGACCTTGTGACGGCGAAGCACCTCGTAGGCGTGCAGCTCGCCGGGCTTCTTCTTGTCGCCGCTCGTCTTTGCGATGTTGTCCCTGTACTCTTCCGTCAGGGAGTCGAGTTCGATGAGCTCGACGCGGGGGAGGTTGTTGGAGGCGAGGACGAAGTTGCGGATGGCCTGCTGGTGATCGAGTCGCTGCTGATCGTCGTAGACAGGATCTGAGGAGGAGGGACGTGCGTCTTTGATGAGCGAACGGATGGAAGGTTGAGGGTCTCGAGGTGCGGTGAGGAAGAGAGCGTCTGACCAACGTTTGGAGCCCAGCAGTCGGGCGAGAGGACCGGTGGAGCTGGGAGGTGCGATCCAGTCAAAGTTGTCGACGACGACCAGATCGCCTTGTCTCCACTTGGAAGAAAGTGCCGATCTCAAGGCCAACTCTCTGACCCTACGCGGCAACTTGGTCGAGTGATCTCTGGGACGAGGACCATGTGCTACAGCACCACCACGCAAGATGGGGTTCGACATGGTTCCCAACCTGGCCTGACCCGAACCCTTCTGTGGACGCAACTTCCTCATGGATCCACGAACATCCGATCTGCCCTTTGTCGAAGCTGTTCCCAGACGCTGTGCATCGAGGTAGTAGACGACAGCGCTGTGGATGACATCTCTGCGTGCGGGTGCGTCGAACACGTGTGCCGAGAGCGGAACGTATGACTTTCCGGTGTTGGCGCTGGTGGAGGGAGAAGAAGTTTTGTTGAGCTTGGATAGCTTGACGTGGACCATGGGAGGTTTGTTGGGAACAGCGACGAGATCGCCTTCGTCAAAGGGTGGGATCTCGTACGTCTCGCCGTCAAAGTCGAATTCGGACGCATGCACGTCCTGCTGCGATGCAGAGTCGATGGCTGCATCTGCGAGCTCAGGCGATGAAGTGGCGGCGGAAGAAGACGAGGCTAGAGGCGTAGTGGACGACGATGATGCGGCCGAAGTGTGCATCGAGTAGAAGGAAGGCGCAGCTCGGGCACGGGATACTGCGGTGGGTTGCGCACCCTGGATGGATCGGAGAGCTGCTCGTAGCGACGCCAGCGAGGCCAGCGCTTTGCTGGATGGTAGCGATGTCATTTTGGCGGCGTATGGTCAATCGAGTGGTGGGATTGTTAGTGGTCGGTGACGACGGTGACAAGCACTTGATGATTGTGCCCGGCTGACCAACGAAAGGCAGTTCTTCCGGAAGCCACTTTTTTTTTCAAAATTGGCGAGATTGGTCGCGATCATTGATCGAGATTCATGTCCACGCGAATTGTAAGATCGGTGATGCTGTTCACAAATCTTTCTACAAAACTTGTTAGACCACTAACATCTACGAAAGTGTGCCCAACAAAAAAAGCTAGTCTCGTGACTTATGACCTCGGCCGACTTTAAATTCAGCATTGAAACGGAGTGCACCGAGGCTGATACTTGGCCAAACGGTCGAACAGGGCTACTGAGACTGAAGCGGCTGCGTGGGACGTAAGAATCAGTGAGCGTGCGGGCACTGAGACAGAAAGCGGGCAGGGAGGACGCAGCCCAACTATCGAGACTGTGCCCGAATTCGAGGTTGAGCGAGCCAGCGAGCGGGCGAGTGACGGCGGGTGCTGGTCAATTCGATGATCGCGAACACCTCCTTTCTTCATCCACCTCTCCGCATCATCAAGAACGTAGGTACTCTCGGTCGCTACCTCATAGCATAGCGATATCCGACCATCAGACACAAAGCCACGTCTCGACGAAACAGACGCTGACCTCTCCAATAATCTCGTTGGCTACTCTTTTGCACATCCTCATCCATACAAATAACATTCCTATTCTCGACTCAATCGCCATTTGCATTGCATCGACCATACTACCCTACTTCGACACGTCCGCACGCACCGGTATCATCGCCAATCTCCACTCGCCTCTTTGACTCTCGACCTCTACACACAAAATCTATCGCATCTGCTTGACTCTTATTGCAAATTCTTGCGACACATCTCGCGCTTCATCACAAACTTGTTCGTCTGTTTGCGCTCTCTCAACCACTCCATCCACCACCAACCATCATCCACCACTTTCGGCCACTACTCTTCTCGTCACTGCAGTCAATATGTCCGCACCATCCGTATCGTGCTTCGGCAAGAAGAAGACGGCCACCGCCGTCGCCCACTGCAAGGAGGGCAAGGGTCTCATCCGCCTCAACGGCCAGCCCATCTCGCTCGTCAAGCCCGAGATCCTCCGATGGAAGGTCTTCGAGCCCGTCCTCGTTGTCGGTGAGGACAAGTTCTCGTAAGTATCCAGCGACAACGTGCAAAATGCCGTGACGACCACCCAGAGGCAAGCAGTTCAGGATGCAGCAAACGTTCGACGCAACATCGTCAGAGCAGTCTTAGAAGGCACGGACTTCAGCAGGGGATACTACGAACGGCGCCAAACGGATATCACAGAGGAGGACGTCTGTGGAAGATCAAAGCACAGACATGTACCAACAAATGCAGCGCGCCGACAACGCAGATAATCGCATGGGCTCAGTATTTGGGGCATGGCAACAGCACCCTTGGACTCTGGGGATCTTTATGAATCGCACTTTTAGCATCTCGAAGTGCAAGGGGAACGCCGAGGAATCATCTACGGGCGACGGTTCTGTACGACACCAAGGGGACGGCACCGGTGCCTGCAAAGCATTGCGCGTCTCAAACGTCTATGCTAGCCAGTTGGCGTCAGTTGCTGATCGGATCGAAGAGAATCAGGTGGACTGGAGCGCCCAAACGGGCAAATGCAAAACTCGAACGTTGCTGCATCTTGACAAACTGCCGGTCCGCATCAACACCATTGCCACATTTCAGGTGAGCTGACCTCTTATGCCTTTCCCCCCTTCGCATCGTTTTCTCATCCCACAGCACCGTCGACATCCGCCTGCGCGTTTCGGGTGGTGGTGCCACTTCGCAGATCTACGCCATCCGCCAGGCTATCGCCAAGTCGCTCGTTGCCTACTACGCCAAGTACTACGACGCCGCCTCGGCCCTCGAGCTCCGCCAGCTGTTCGTCGCCTACGACCGCACCCTTTTGATCGCCGACACCCGACGATCGGAGCCCAAGAAGTTCGGTGGTCACGGTGCCCGTGCTCGTCGCCAGAAATCGTACCGTTAAACAAAGAGTCCGTCTGGCAGTCCTGGCTGGTCCACACTGTGGATCATCCGAGTTGCCACTTGTCTCGTATGTTTTCCGGTCCTGGTCTCGCATCTTTCCTTTTGTTCATCTCAAACCACGTAGCTTGGTGGTTCAGCCATGTGGTTTTCCGTCCATACTCGCGTTCTCAAGGAATGCAACCTCCACCGACATGCATTCACACGTCCATCGTGTGTTCTTCTGATGCAATCCACTTGTACATCACCTTAGTACTCTCTTCATCCATCTCCCAACACCCCCCAAAAAGAGAATTTGGCAATCCCAAAACTGAATCCAGATCTGCTGCGTGCTACGGCGTATGTTGAGTTGTGCTTGAGTGTATCATTCTTCGAGTCGTGTCCCAATTGGTTCCAAAGGTGTCACAAGGCGACGGACTGACCAGCAGCAATCCGGGTTAGCAAGGCGAAGCGAGAACAGGTCTTCCTTTTTGGACCATTAACCGTGTTTATGCAACGGCGTAACAGTCCAAATGAAATCTCCGCGTCAGGTGCCAACTGAATTCTGTGGGCGGATGATGGGCGGCCCGACTCGGCTGCGCCTGGGTTTGGACAGCTGCGGGATATGCAAGAGAAGACACGCGCCGAAATCAGAGATGCGAACCACGTCGAGGCGAGCCTGTGGTTCAACCTCTGGCGCATGCTGCATACAGTATTCTTAGCGTATCGATGTTTCTACTTTCGAAGGTGCTTTGCTCCGTGCAGACGATTAATGTAGTGCAGCTGATTAGATGCTACTGTAGCGAAAGCAAAGCAAGACTATGTATGGACCTGCGTCTGGCTCGTAGCTTAGCGTGCTCCCTCCGGATGGATCTCGCTAGCATTGAGGGAAAATCAAGATTTAGCAACCTATTTTGGATCTCCGCGCCTTGGACACGAGCAAAGTGAAGCGCCGCGTCGGTGGCGTGTGACGTTGGCCGGAGGCTTGTGAGAGTCGTGGAGCTTGCAATGTGGTCAAGGCGGAGAGCAGCGAGTGTTTGTGTGAGAAGGAGAGAGAGTCTGGATCCCTTGGGATCGTCATACCTGCATTTCGCGTTAGCTTTCTTTTCTAGCTGCGTCTGTCTGTCTGCCTGTGCATCACACCCACAAAAGCCGCACCTGCATCTTTTGCGACTCTATCTACATTCTGCTTTGCTCTAACGGACATTCTCTCCTTACCTTATACCATCGTTCTCTCCATCTTGATACCCGACACCAGATCGCTATCTGCTGTCATCTCCTTCGGATGCGCAATCAGTGAAGGGGCCTCCTCCAAGCAAAACGGATCGCGCGCTCAAGCCTCCTCCACAAGGCAGACAAAACACGATCAATCCCCGGTCGAGCCATATTTTGGACCCACCAGAGCTTTAGAACTGGACGAGCCTATTCTTCATTGTGACATCGTTCCTTGGCGATTGTAGCCGATCAACGAGGCCGGCAACAGGCTCACGCTTTGATCGAATTCCACGCTCCGTCTTCACTGAAATACTTCGATAGACATCTGCCTCTGGAATCACACCACACTCGCAACGCTCGCCCATCCGAGGAGATATCTTGTTCGCCCACATCGGTCATGGCGGAAACGCACGCCAAAACGGCCCCCGCGCATGCAGGCGACGGCGATCTGGGTCTCTTCGCCATGGAGTCTCGTTCGCCGTCCACTTCATTCGACAATGTCGACCAGCCGCAACCTGTGGTCGTAAAGACCGACCTGACCAGAGTCCCGACCTATCCAGGCCAACGTACAGATACGCCTTCCAACACCTCGCTGCCTCATTTGCAAACTTCCTCGGTGGTCCCACCCGATTCTGGCTCTGCAATGTCCGGCAATCCGGGATCAAGGCCGGTATTGACTTCATCCACTTCATCTCGATTCGGCGCCCTGTCACTGCAGGACGAACTCTCGCAGCAAGCCACGCTTGACACTGTCCGTGCACCTTCGTCTGTCTTGCCCTCCTCGGCAACGGTCAGTTCCGAACAGAGCAAGACCAACGCTTCCAACAAGAGCATCTCCTCCTCCAGCTCCAACTACACATCGGCGACCGAGAGTCCTGTCTCGGCTTCGGTCCCTGCAGAATTGCCTCACCCCGCCGAGTCTCAACAGCGCACTCCAGTCTCATCGCAGACACCCATTGAAACGGAGTCGCGACGGCCAGGCTCAAGCACATCACCGCCTTCATCCTTTTCACAGCAAAGCATCGCTTCCGCCTCTACCATCACCCAGTCCCGACTTCCGACCTCGCGCTCCCTCGCATCAACCCTCTCCGGCGACAAGCAGGCCATGAGTCTGGAGCAAGAGCTCGACGCTGACCTCGTCTCAGCACAAGCTTCTACATCTCCACTCGAGTCTGATCTTCAGGCGAGGAACAGTGCCCTATCGAGGCGTTCATCCCGACGCAGCCGTCGATCCGGCTTGCCTGCACCATCTGATCGACTGCCCGTTGGAGAGGGTGGACCGCAAGCACCTCCGCGCAGCGCTTCCTTCCGCGACGCTTCCAAGCGTCTCTCTACTGGCCAAGGTCACGGAGATCTTGGTGTGGATGCGTACGCTGGCAACAGCGCCGGTCCTCCATCTCCTTCCATGACCAGCTTCCTCGATCTCGACTCGCCTAGATCTTCCGAGTCGAGTTCCACAGGCAGATTGCCTCTCACCAGCAGAAGGACCTCGCTACGCGCTACATCGCCCAGAACCGCCACATTTGGTCTTGATCCTTCGACATCTGCAGCGCCCTCTTCTACACATTCGCCAATCGGCAGAACGACTTCGCGGCCAGCCTCACGTCCAGCATCGAGACCTACCTCATCCGGCAGCAAAGCAGCTCTCCTCGGAACAACATCGGCGATCCCCGAGACAGCTACACAGACGGCACCCAAACCTGTCAAAGGTCCGTCCAGCATGGATCGCGAAGCCTTGCAGCGATGGGTGCTCTCCGTCGGCTGTGTCAACTTTGACCTCGAGCTGGGTCCTGATCTCGAGTTCCTCTACCCTCCGCTCGGCATCAGTCGCGAAGAGCGCGACAACATTGCCTTCTCTTCCTTCCCCGATACCTCGATCTTTGACGATGGCTCGCTCGTCTTTTCTTGGCGAGTGCGTGAAGTGCCCCTCGATTCGTCCAAGTCGGAGCCGCCGACGATCAAGAGCCACGACGCTGCACTGCCGCAGCCGCCTGCACTCGCGGACGAGGAGACACCGAGACCGTCGATGAACAAGGCAGCACTTCAGAATGCCATGGCCCAAGCACAACGCAAAAAGGCACAAGGTGCATCCCAGAACCTCTCCGTACCAACCAGCCCGACCTCGCCGCAGACGCCGGGCTTCAGAGACTCGTCCGCCTCATCAGCGACCAGCTCGCAATCGCTCTCTCGACATGGCTCGGATGCCAATCTGCGCAATGGTGGATCTCCGAGCATGCCCAGCACCACTTCTTTCCACGAACGCCTCACTCAGAAGCTCTTTTCATCGTCAAGCTCGTCTGCTATGGCGAGGCATTTCTCGCACGACAGGCATAGCAGTGGGCATTCCATGAGTTCTGCATCTGCTGACGACGACGCCGATGCCAACGCTGCCGCCACCCCGTCCTCTTCTTCTTCGGCCGCCTCGACAGGCGCCGGCGGATCGAATGCATCACAAGTGACTGGCTCCGCCGCTTCTACACCCAATTCGTCGGTCCACACCAGCGACCTCATCCAGCCAAAGCGCGCAGGGGGCAACAGCACCAGCAGCAGCTATATCTACGGCTATGTGTTCTTCCGCCAAAAGCCCGACTCCACCAACCGACGCGGTTACTTTCAGAAATCGGTCGTCATTCTCTCGCATCTGCCGCTCGTCGGGCTCTTCAGCGAAGTCGTTGCGCGCTTGGGTCCGCTGTACTTTGAGCATGGCATGTCGATGCTCGAAGCGTTCGCGGCGGATGTCATGTCTTGGCCTGCGCCGCAACCAGGAAGCATCCTCACGCTTCCTCTGCTGGGCAGTATCCTGACAGCAGCGATTCCATTCGGACAGCAACCACAAAATTCGCCCAACGCCGAATCGGCACCCATGGTAGCCAGTAACTCCGGGTCAGGCACAACCCCGTGGAGCACCGCCACTATGACCATCCGATCTCGATCGCGACAGTCCAGCGCCAACGGCTCCGCCAACCGCCAACTTCCCGAACCGCTCATCGGCCCCGAAGGACCGCTGCTCGCGTCCATCCCAACCACATCGCTTTTCGAGACGTTCAAGGAAGCCCTCGCCGATCTGTGGCTGCTCTGGGAATGCGTGCTGCTCGCAGAACCCATCCTCGTGATCGCACCTGAACCCAAGATCGCGAGCGAGGCGGTGTGGCACATGCTTGATCTGATCCGACCCATCCCGTACGCAGGCGACTTCCGACCTTACTTCCACATCCACGACTACGACTTCCGCACGCTGGTTACCAAGAACAAGCCCCAGGCGGGGACGCTCATCGCTTCGACCAATCCGTTCTTTGCGACCGCGTGTGGTCATTGGCCGCACGTGTTGAGGGTGGGTAAAGCGGCGGTGAAGCTGATCACGATCAAACATGGGAGTGGGGGAGGTGGGGGGAAGAAGGTTGGTGGTGGTGGTGGTGTTGTGGGAGGCGGGATCGGTGGTGGACATGGGGCTGGTGGTGGAGGGCCTGATCATATCCCAGGGTTTACGACGAAACGCAAAAGAAGGATCAGTAAGGATCGACAGCTGCTCAAGCGGTTGCAGGATCTCGCTGCGTCTGCTGCCAAGGCTGGAAACGACGATGCAGCGACCGCCGCTGCCATCTCTTCCGCCAACGTGGTGATGCGACGATACTTTGCCGACTTGACGGAGCGTTTCCTCTCTCCCCTGAATCGGTACGTCGCCTCTCTCGTTCCAGCATCGTTCGATCTATCCTCGCCCTCCGAAGTGCCCAAGATCCGACCCTTCAACACGACCGACTTCCTCTCCTCGCTCAAGACGCACGGTACACCACTCGCCATCCGTTCGCGCTCCCTCCCGACGGGCGCTAGCGTTCGCCAAGGGCTGTACATGGATTTCCTCCGGTGCCCGAACTTCTCTCTCTGGTTGCACAGCAGAGTAGCTGCTGCAGAGGAAGAACAGAGGCGACGCTACATCAGCAGTCTCCTCCAGGGGGACGTGACGGTGTTCGGGCGGGAAAAAGGCGAGATCGAGACGATCGATCTCTATTCCCGATTGGTGGAAGAGATCCGACTGGTGGATGTTCAATTGACCGCCCCGACCGAACCCGGTCCAGGGAGCAGGTGGAGGACCGACGCACCCAAACCAAACGCTGCGGTGGGGGGGATCGAAAGCGGTAGGAGCACTCCAACGTTGACCGGCGCGAGCAGCGCAAAGACGACGGAGAAGAGGCTGAGGGAGCAGAAGCAGAGGCTGCTCGTTCAGCTCGACAAGCTGTGCCAGACGTTGCCGGATGATCTGCGGAGCAGTTTGAGGCGCCCGGCGTAGGGTTGCCAAGATATCTGTAAGAGGTTGAAAAGGGTCATCACAAGTCATGCACACACGGGTTTGGGGGGAAACAACAGGGCTTTGTGATTGCAAATAGCAGCGCGTGAGCGATAGGAGTGGCGCGGATGTGATGAGGGGGTGAACTAAGGTGTGGATGTGCGCGAGATGGAAGAGCTTGGAGAGCATGCAGGGTGAGTTTTGGGGGGTGCTTCGCTTCATTTGTACGAGCAAGTTGCTTCTTTGGATCGACGATTGTCGGTACGAGGCTAGTCGAATCAACCTGCGGTGATCGACGTTGGAGAAAATGTGTAGTTGCCTCCTTTCTCCTCTTGACCGTCTCGTTTGCGAAGTGGGTCGGGTTGCGTTCGGCGAGAGTGTGTGCCGTTGCGGTACAGCCCCGTCAAAGTGTCTGTGCTCCGAGGAGGTCTGCGCCTCTGTTCTACTGCATATAAGTCGTGCTCTATTGAGGCTGCCCTTCTTGTTGTTGTGTTGCTAAGCGCGCATTTGTCAACCGCCCAGCCTCGCTCACTTTTGCAACACCATCGCTGCTTTCACGTATCGCCTCTAAGGACCGAGCAATTCGGAGAAGCGAGAAGTAGCCACCGAAGCGTGACGTTGCTGACGCTCGCCCAAGAAGAGCGGCTCCTCGTTCTCCTCTCCGCTGTCACCATCAGACACCACCGTCTGGTCGTCATCCTCCCCGACCGGGATGGCTGCAGCAGCAACGCTACCAGCCCGGATTTGTCTGCCGGAAGAACGTTTGCTGTGATGGCTCCTCTGACTCGCGATGGACGGAGCACGCGAAGTGAGTTGGCGACGCTGTGAGTTGCCGCCAGCGCGAGTTGAAGGGGCGTCATCGTCGAAGACCTCGATGGGTGTCATTGCGTTGCCTCGGCTGGCGAAAGGTACGCGATTAGATTGCATTGAGTCAGGCGCTGGAGTGGGTGCTCGACTGGCTGCACGGGAACGCTGCGCTGCCTTGATCCATCCGTTGATCTGGCCGGCGACGTTTCCAGGAGCCGAACGAGGACGTGCCGAAGTTGCGGTGCCTGCTGAAGATCCGGCATAACCCCCAAACATACTGGCAGAACGCTTCGGTACGACTGAGGGAGGTCGCATAAGGTCGCTGATGTCGCCAAGCTTGAGTGCAGTGGCTTGCGAACGTGAGCCTTGCGAAGATCGCGCCAGCGAGTGAGCACGCGTGTTGGCGTCTCCCGCGCTAACGTCTGCTTCGCCATCTACGGTTAGGTCAATTCGTTCCCTCTTGATGCGTGAGGCAGGGACGATTGAGGGAGGGGCAGTCATTTGACGACCAGCGACGCTCGCGCTCGCACTGCGGCTCCTGCTTCGTCCACGTCGCTCGTTACCGATACGAGTCGCTTCGCCGATCTTTGCACGGAATCGAGCGTCTCCAATCTCACTCCTGTATTGACCGCGCAGCAATCGGATCGTGTCCCTCTTAAGCTCTACCGCAGCTCGAGCCGTCTGCATCTGCAGGTTGTTTGCGGTGATCTCTTCCTCGTACTGATGCCTGGCGCGTTCGTAGATTTCCGTGTCCTTCGCTCGCTGCTCGGCGAGAGAAAGGCATCTCTGATCGTCTTTGAGCTTGTCGTTGCTGACCATGTCCATCAGATACTCCAGAGCCTGGTTGTATCGCTGGGTTCCCGGCACAAATTCGGAACGTCTAGATCGTGTGGATGGAGCAGGAGAGCCGATAGAGCGACTTCCTGCGCGTCTCGTGAGCATCGATCCGCTCGCCCGGCTTATAGAGCCGAAGCGCGAGCGCGCAGGTGGAGCAAGTACCATGGAACCGTTTACAGAACCTTGAGCGGATGCAGTACGGAGCTGAGCCAACGGTGCGTCGGAGTCAGCTGAAGAAAGAATAGCCCCAACTTGGTCTACTGGGATCGCCTCAGAGCTCGAGACAAATGGTACGTCGTCATCAGCAGTAGCTTCAGCGGTCGCGGGTTGAGATTCCGCAGCAGGTGCGGCATGCGACGTTGAGACGACTGTAGCGTTGGAGTGGATGGTAGGAATGCCCTGCATATCCATCGCGCTGGCAGTCGAATTGCTTGTCCCACTGGTGTTGGAGCCAAACACTGCCTCGGCGCCTTGCGGCGTGTCTCTAGTGGCATCTCCCATCTCGATATCGTCTGCAGAGCCATGGTATGCGGAAGGCGGAATGTTGTCGCTTGGGGCTGACTGAGCAACATTGTCAAGAGAGTCACTGTTATCGGCCAAGATCGATGGTGCGTTCGGCCCGCCAGACACTACAAGAGATTCAGAGCCTCGAGCAGACTCGCCTTCCGATGCCTTTGAGCCGTTGTCGTGACTCACACCGAGTACCTGCGAGCGTTCTTCCGATTGCGTGCTTTTGTCTACTCGAGGGACGTCTCGCCATGGAGAAGAACCTTCATTGTCGTCAGCGTCGCTGATTGTGTTACAGATCTCGTTCACAAGCTCGTTGATTTGGGCTGCGAGCTGAGCACCTCCGTCGCCGGCTGATTCATCTTCTTCTCCTGAGCCCTGAGCGGAATGTTTCGCGTGCAAATTGCAGGACTGGACGTTCGATGTATGATTGTGTCCCTTGAGAGGGTCTCGGTCGTGCTCAGTCATTTCTGCCGGAATGGAAGGCGCGGAGGTGGCGGCTGACGATGTGTTGCCTGGAGCGATGCAGGACGCTGCATTGGTGAGCGCATACCAGGCGCGCGAGATCAGGGGCGGAGAGCGGTTACCAGACGGGCTTGTCTGCGTGCTGAAGAGAGAATCAGCGACGACAGACGCGGACTGATCCGAAGGCGGAGATACAGAAGCCGCATTGCTCCCGGCGAGGAGGGTCTGGAAAGTGTTAGATGCAACTTTGGCCGACGGTGCGACGAAGCTCGACGAAGTGGTCTGGTTGTTGTCGAGACTCGGAGATGGCAAAGGTTGAGCTCGTGCCAGAGCGGGTGCGAGAGCGGCCACAGCAAAGCGGTGCGAGTGGATGTAGGTTTGAACAAGCTGTTTGAGCTCCCGATCATCCTGAGTTCCTTCTTTTACGATTCGAGGGTCCACCTGATTGCATGGGAGCGAGGGCACTCCTTGAAACCTCGCCGGAGTTTCAACCGAAGGCTGATATTTGAAGTTTGCGGTAATGGTTTGCTTGACAGAGGGACGCTCGACGTGAAAGGAAATATCGCAGGCAGGAAGCTGGTCAATGAGGCCGGCATCGATCCAAATCGAGCTTTGCCAGCTGTAGAAGATGTATGGACGACTTTCGAAGATAATCGCCGGCTGGTTTCCTGGGAGGCACCTTTCGAGTACCCTCATTACAACAACATCGGCCTCTTCGCGGGCGCCGGTATTCTTCAAGACGGTCGGTGAGCGCCAGACGCGGGCCAAGTAACGTGTCTGTTCGTGGTTATGCACACTCTCGAGGACAATATGCTCTGTCTGAGCTGTGTTGACCGTTTCAGCAGGGACGCCCCCAGGCCATTTGTATTTGTCGAGCACGCGGCTTTGCTCGTTGAGCAAGAAGGCACCGACCCACGTCTTACCGTCATTGGTGGTGCACTGAGCTGCGTTGTGGTAGGCGCTGAAGGTGGGACCGGCGTCAGCCGAGTTGGCTTCTGCTTCGTATACGAAGTGCAAGTCGATACCGATGTTGTCGAAGAACATTTTTTTGGTAGTTTTTGTTGGGATCTGGAACTCTTTTTTTGTATGTTTTGTATGTTCGCTGAGAAGGCGGGTCACGGTGTGATGGTGGTTGTGTGGTCGGTCAGAAGAAGAAGAGACGGAGACAGGGGAGATAATGTTCGGAAGGAGGAGTGAAGAGAGACGATGCTGGAGATGGTGGGGAGGGCGAGTGCGTGTTTGGAGGGAGTCTCGAAGCTGTTCTTCGAGTATGTCGTGAAAAAAGTATGGTTGTACGGAACGTTGAGATTCAATAGAAAGCCCAAGCGCTATAAGCGTTGCGAATGTTGTGAGTGCAGTGAGCGGAAGGTGTGTCGGTTGAAGAGCGGGGAACAGGGATGTTCGCGAGATGGTCTGCTTATATCCTTTCGAGAGCAAGGGTGACTGAGCATTGCCTCTCGCTGTACGAAGGATGGTCTCAAGCAAGTTTTGCTGTACAGAAGATCCCGCACCTCTGAAGATCATCCGCACATGTCATCGTCACCCGCAAAAAAAGCGTAAGAGTTTCCACGGGATGGAGATGAAGTGACGGATAGCGACTGTTTCGTCGTTCAAGATTAAGCTTCGAGCTTCTCAGATGAAGTTGCGCTCGTTATCGACTCCTTTCGCTGTGATGTTGCCGTAGCTGTACGGAAGGTCAATTAGAAGCTGCGACGAGCATCGGATACAGTTCGAGTGTGTGATGACGCGTGTCGATGGCGTAGCGAGGAGTTGACTGTATCCTATGCTTGCATGTGATAGTCAAGGGTGCGCAAAGTGCAGAGCGGCAATTTCTGCATCAAACGCGATTGGCGATGTTAGCCGCATCAATGGGTTGTGCTTCACTTCGAGATGTAGATGACATCAAGCGAACCAGCCCGCGAGAGTAGAGCTGGCCACTGCGTATACCTATCTTGGAATAGCCTCGCAAGATCATGGATATATCGTCATGTCTAGATTTGTGCGGCGGAGGATCAAGTACATGGGACGCTGTGTACAGAGAACTAGGCTCGTTGCTATGTCGGATGTCACCGTTGCTATGAACCTTGATGGTGGCTAAACGCTGTTGTGATCCGCAGCGATGTGGGACGTGTGTATCTTTATCGACACGATGCGGCGTGCTGCGGCAGACGTGAACGTACACAAGAATATTCGGGATCGGGAGCGATGCATAGTCCCGCGAGATGCTTTTGAAAGGCCGTTGCAATTCAAAATGCGGTCGTGCGCAGTGCAGACGTAGACGGGGTGGACTGCGGGGATTGGTCGTGTGATACGATTTTGAAAGGTCGTTGCCGGATGGATAGTCGGGTGTATGTGGTTTGATGCTGCGAGACGATGAACAGTCCTTATGATGGAACTACCAGATCAGAGACTGGGACCTAGCAACCTCCTCAAGGTCCTGTTGATACGACCCCTAGGGCTCAACGCTGTGCCACCGAGATTGTTGAGTCTGTCCCTCGCCATATGTGAGTTCAGATGACTCTTCCCTGCGATGCCACGCTTGAATGTGAGTTGGTAGGCTTTGCCGCTGCCGCTTCCTAGAGGGGACCATCGCTTCTTAGTGCCCGAGTGCGATTTGAGCTTGCCGCCGTTGCCGTGCTGTGAGAGATGCTTGGTCCGCGGACTGGCCTGGAAGGTTTGTGATGATGAGAAGTGTCGTGTTGCTGTTCGAGCTGAGAAGACACTTGTGAGGCTGGAGCTGGGGATGGAAGAGGAGGGTGTTCGAAGTGCGCTAAAGGCAGGAGCAAAGCTCGCCAATAGCCGTGATGAAGATGCGAAGACCATGATGATGTTGGGAGCAAAGTGGCAAAGTCAATCGTGATTCAGCGTTTGTTATGGTCGAGGCTTCTTCTGTGATCGATGTGGTTGTTGTTTGAGGGTTGGGTGATGATAGAGTAGCGACGTGATGTAGGTGACGAGGGTATGAAGGGTGCAAGTCGTGAGTGACAATCAAAGCTTCCAACTTTTCTTCCGTCCTTCGGGCTCACGTGATTAGTTTGGCTTGTAGGAAATGACATCTCTAACACGAAACAGAAAAATACCTCCTCCACTCGGCAACACCTCTCCTCTCCTCTCCCCATCAATGTTGTTGCAACGACAAAGGATGCCGACATCCTGCTCCGACAAGGCGACCGACTCTTTGTCAAAGCGCCCCCTCATCAATGGTGGGAAGTGATAGCATAATCCAGTATGACTGACTCCGACTCGGACAGCCAAGAGAGCACACCTGACTTTCGGACAGAGGATCACAGGCGAGAGCAACTGGGTGAGGGCAAAGAAGTCGTATCAGCGAGCTCTATTCGGTCAAGCGCAACTCGCCTCGCATCACCGTCTTCTAGAACATTGCCTCTCCACGTTGAAACGGTCTCCGAAGAAGGTCCCTCTCGACCAGCCTCGAGCTCTAGTACCACCCATGCAGAATCCTCCGAGCACCACGGGCACGAACGGCTCAAGTTCAGAGGCACAGACACGTACGTCGACGAAATCTTTACGGACGTCTACAGAGACGAGCTCGATGATCTGGAGCTTCATCGCGACATGCCGCTTTTTCTGCCACCTCCGCAGCTGGTCGATCCACGAGATCCATCGAGGCCAGGATCCGGATCACTCTGGGGCGTTTCAAAGACCCCGCGCGAGTTCTTCGCTCGTCCTACCGACGTTGGAGATCGACCGTCACCCAAGAACGGAGTACCTTCGACAATCGACGTCGATTCGCGCGTTCAAGCCACCGTCGAACGGTTTCACGAGCTCAAGCGTCAAGGTATCCACTACAACCAAGAACTCATGAAGAATCGCTCTTTCAACAACCCGCACGTCTATACGCAGCTCGTCGAGTTGCTCGACATTGACGAAACACGCTCGAATCTTCCCTCTCTCGACACCGGTCGAACTGAAACAAGTTGGAGGTCGAAATTCCCTCTCACGCCAGAGGAGCTGATCGAAGGCGATCCAATCTCGATCGAAAAGCGGCAAAGGAAGGAAGAAGAGACGAAGAGAGAGCGAAAGCTTCGCGCGGGACACAATCGTACCATCGACTTTGACCGCGCACGGTATCAGGACGATGGTGAAAGGCCATCAAAACGTCGCTCATCTGGCACGAAGAGCACTTCAAAGCATTCCGCTCGTTGAAAATCACGCCAGCATTTACTGTCTTGCCTTGCATACGGCTTCACGCATTTCCCACATGATATACCCTGATACACTCAATCGCAATACATTAGACTTGCACTCGCAATTCTACACACCGCTAGTCCGCACTATGATCTATGAGTTTTGTAATCACAGTACAGGGAATAGATAAGTCGTCCCACTACGCAGGTGGGATCGGCGGAGCAGCCGCATTCTTCCATCCGGACCGCAAACCAGCCATTGCCGCAATGGTACCGAACAATCCGACCCAACCCTCCGAGATCAAGCCTTTTGCACAAGACCAGTGAATCGTTAGAGGCAAATAACCCAGGTTGACCCACAGCTCGTTGAGGATGGCTGCTTTTCGATCGTCCAGCTCGTCCCACATCCTGCGCGTGATGACTTGCTCCTGCGATGTGACGTCCGACTTTTCAGTGAGCGCTGGTGTGGATGCTCCCGAAGGTGGAAGGTGGCCGTTGGCGTTGAGCTGGATCTTGTTCGGTGTTGGATGACCGCGCGAGCGTTCGAGCGCCTTTGCACGAAGTCGGAGCAATCGGTTGTCTTCGACGAGATGGAGGAGCTGAAGTCCGACGTAGAGTGCCCAGAATCGAGAACCCCACAGCCAGAAGGCGTTCTGAATTGCATCTGGCACAGGGACGATGCCGTGGCTGCCGAGATACGCGATAGCCTCCATGGGGCAGTATGCGAGCATGGACCAGCCCTGGATGCGCTCGATATTGTGCAGCAGTCTCGTCGGTGGTGGAGACCTTTCGAGTCCGATCATCCACTTGAAGATGGGCAGAATACCCCAGATTCGATACAGCACCCTGGCATCGCTGATGAGCGAGCTCAGCTTCTGAATCCGTTGTGCGGCAGAGGAAGACTTGGTCGATCGGATACCGAGCATGCGGAGCCGCAATGCGTATTGAAGGTTGAGCAGCACGATCACCAGCTTGGAAGAGTATTGGGTGAGCATGAGGCACTTGTCGGTGCCGGACCATGTGGAAAGATATCGAATCATGTGATCGAGGCGAGGCGATGGTTCGACATTGGAAAAGCAGCCGAGGACCTTGTCTGTAGGGTTGGGTGTGCGTGACGATCGCCTCGTGGTGGCTGCTGATGGTACTGGCTTTGACATGGTGATAGATCGATAGATCGAATGAGGAGCTCTTCGTTGACGCCGAAGATCAGATGGCTGATGTACTTTGAGAGATAGCAATGGCAACCGCTCGGGTGCGCGTGCGGCAGTGGATGATGTGAAAGTCTGCCCGGGAAGATTTGGTGATGAGCTCGAGATCAGCTATAAAGTGGGGCCTGCGACATGGATGTGTGGATGAAGGTGGACGCGTTTGAACGTGATGGGAAGAAGATGCCGATCAGAGGCGTCCCAAATCAATTGTGAAACGTCTCGAGCCTGGTGTACTCGGTAATTGAGCACGGCGAGCATGCTCCTTCCTGCTCCGCACGAGCACAAGCCGACCTCCGGCAAGCAGCTGGAATTGCACGCTCTGCCCTTACCGACCTAACCGGGCAGCTCTTCGCGTCAACAAGGAGCGCGGTGTCTCTTCCCCGAAAATTCAACTAATTTTCAACTGCTTTTCTGGAGATTTGACAGCCCATGAAACACGGCCCGCTCCCGGCAGGCTGGCGGGAAGCAGAGACCCTGAGCTTGTTTTTGTGTCGAGCGTGAAAGAGAGGCGACCGTGCGGAGGGAACGATTTTTTTGCGGTCTGTTCTTCAGGGTCCTTCATATGTTGTATGCGCAAGACGGACCCACCGCCGAAGCTCTTCTCCTTCCGAGCTCGTACATGGACCCAAGCAGCACTCAAATTGTGCCCAGAGGGTAGTAATGGGCCGATGTTTGAACGGTAAGCACTGGCAGAGAGGCGAGTATCAGGCAGAAGGAGTTTGATCGATGGAAGAAAATAGCATAATTGCTGAGTGACAACAAGCGAGCTAACGAATGTAGGTGTTGTTCGCCGCTTCGAGACGACAAGGCTCCTTGATGGACTACTCAGAGCGAAGGACGCCGGAAGTCAGATGCGGATCTGGGCGAGTCGAAAGGATACTTTTCGTCCATTGCACACCGCAAAAGAGGACCAGATGTCGAGACCACACATGGCGACTCTGACCTGCCGCACCCGAAGCTTGAAACTGTGAGCATCGAGTAGCGAACGCGAGGCGGGTAGATTTGCTTTCGAAGACCGCGGCTATGCTTTGGCGGCCCAAGGCGGACCTCAGTTGCCGTACTGTTGCTTTTCGATCCCTTTGGTGAGACTGTCAGGCGCGGCGGGCCTCCAGAATCCGACGCAGGTACGAACGCCTCGTCCAATGCGTCCTCGTCGTCGAGTGTTGCAGGATGTGATCTCTGACGGATGGTCACCAAAGGATCACAGCTTTCGACAGACTGCACTGGCCTTGCATTACGGCTGAACACATTGATGGCGACATCTATGATGCCCCTTCCAGCCTTGAAGTTCGACCCCTTGGACAGCCTGTGTGACGCAGGACTGTCGACCAAGGCTAACGCTCTTGTCGAAGCCGGTAACAAGGACGCATTAAGCTTGTCCAATTGCTCGTCCGAATGATCGTGTTTTGAGTCTGGATCGCGAGCAAAGCCTTTCTCGGGCATGGTCCCTTCGAAGAACGACCTGCCGGTCCGCGCGGACTGGGATTGCCCCTCTGTTTGTTCCAGCATTTGCCTGAGATCCGCTATGCTGCACAAGTGAGGATCTATATCGATGCTGTCCTCTCGGCTGCAGTCAATCTCTTTGACTTGAGAAGAGCTTGAGTCCTCGTAATCGACAAAGGGATCGTAGCAGTAAGGCGGATGAGGCCATGGTCCATCAAGGGTGCAAGTTCGAGCCGTGGCATGCCTCTCACGTTTTGGCGAGCGTGCAGGACGAGGAGGAGGATAATTACCAAGATCAGGTTCCGCTGCGATCTCCGGAGCTTGAGCCCCTTGAATGTAGCTGAAGTGACTGAGGTGAGGGGTGAACAAGCTTCCCATCCCATCTTCAGAGAAGTTCTTCGAACGGGATACGTCATGGTATATAGTGGGGAGTGGCATGTTGACACCTGAAACAGAGAACGGAGAAGCGCGCAAGTGACATGAGCACCGTGATCATGCTATCATCTAGATTGTTGTCATTGTGCTGTAAGCTGTCGACGCTCTGAAGTCTACTCACATCGGAGGTAAGTCGGGCTTGAAATAGCAGTGCTGCTGCTAGCGCTGCTGCTAATGCGGCTGGTGCAGGAATAAGGATCGAAGGCCAACGGATACGTTCTCGAGCTGACCGCCCCTTCTCGACAGCACTGTGTGGGTTGCATTACTCGTATCTCCATATTTGCGATTTTTGCTTGCTTGATCGAAAGGACAATGGAGGAAAGGTTCTGGGATGGACTGACCTTGGGACGTCCAGGCGTGCAAACACTCTCTCTTATATGTTTCGTGCGCTTTCAAAGTCGACTGAACGTATGAAAGAGGACAAGACCGAGTCAACAATACTCGAAACGCACCTTCCTCGAACAAGTCCTCATAAAAGTCAAGAGGCTGAGCCGATCTATGCTTTTGGAAGTTCATTCCATTCTGAGCGACGAGATGCGTACGCACAAGTACAGCGTTCCCTTGGCAGACAATAGTATACTGGTGCAAACCTCTGTCGATCGGCACCGGACGATTGACTGATCCTTGCGAGGAACCCGCAAGAGGCTTTCGCTCGCCCCGGACCTTAAAATAGTGGTTTCAGAGGAGGACTTCCTTTGTGACCGGTCCAGCTCTTCAGAGGCTCGTGCAGTTTCTGTGCTAGTCCTCTCTAGGTCCAGAGCTTCGCTTGATCACGAGCGGACAACATCATTCTTCTCACAGCGGAAGCAATGATCTCGAAGTGACAATGGACCCTTTGTTTCATTTTGCACAATGAAGTCGGACAAGGACAATCCTCGGAAACGCATGGATCCCGGTCCAATTGCGAAAGAGTGACCTTTGTGTGGTTTCACTTTGTCGCAGCCTACGCTCGTGCCTCAGGACTTCTGCCACTTCCTCGATATATGCTGGACGATGCCGAGAGCCGCTATGAGCTGCGGCTTCTTCATATGCTCCTTGACTCGAAGGTGATGTCAACAACGCAGACGTCACGTCGAGCAGCGTCAATGCGACGCCCAATCAGGTCTTGATGGCTTTAACAGAGTGAAAGATCAGACTCTGAGGAGGCTTCAATCTTGCTTTTCGCGTGGGATCCGACGAAAGAAGGCGATACGGTACACAGTTGGAACACATGCATGTCCGCAGTGCTACCGTATCTCTCAAGTGTCAATATGAAGTAGATGGGTCGGACTCCGCCGGAATGAAGCAGAAAACAACCTTCGGCGGATCTCTACGCGAGGGCTCCCTCAACGCGAAAGTCCTCTGCGGCTTGTAGTTGTACAATTTTCGCCTTCTTGAACAGAAGTGCCTGCTCCGCCTTGTCTGATACTTACGCGGCTAACTGGCTCGGACTAAGGTCTAGCGTGCAGCGATCTCAGGAAGCGAGAGATCTGATCATCGTTCGGAAAATTCGAAGGTATCCAAGCGTTTTAAGCTCGAGGCCGTTTGCTCCAAACAATGCGGCGGAACAACGGCAAACGTCGAACGCAAAATCATCCGACCGGGGTAGCGATGGATGTTTGACGGTCCAGAAAGGCATGTTTGCAATCTGCACTGTGCAGCGGAACAATATGTGAGTTGGAGCACTCTGGCTCTCCGTCAGGTCGATCACCGCTTCGCAGGAGACACACGAGCTCATCCTAGGCTAGCATGTGGTCTTTCAAGACTAGACCTTCCGACAACGCTTTGGCCTCTTTCTCCCTTACCGGCCCGCAGCTACAGGTTTCTGACACATTCCCGTTGCTGAGCCGAGCTTTTTCCAACCAAACTGTTCAGTGAAGTACATTTTTGGCCATTGTATGAAGTCAGACCCGGCTTTGGGTTTGTTTTGTGTATGGAAACTGGTAGATGCCGTCGTGTTGGAGTCTTCGTATCAAGATTCTCTTCGTCACATTGACAAAAAGCACTCGAAGATGCTCTTAAGGGCGGCTTTTGGCGCAGCCCACCAGCTCTGACCCACTTCATCTTTGACGAGACAATCTGATCGTTGTCATGTTACTATCTCTACGGAAAGCTGCTATCAATCTTTGAACATCATCGGTTGTCTTTGCAGCACTCGACGACCTTCTTCGTGACAATGAACACATTCTTCGGAGACTTCCCGCAAATCTCGTCCCAAGTTCGCCTCTTTTCATTCACGAGCTTACGTCCAAACCGCCGGCTGCAACGCCTCGACCGTCTCGATCACGGAGCGATCTGCCATCGCTAACAAGGGCTTGCGTAGGAACTGCACCTATCTGAAAATATGGTCGCCATATCTATTCCCCCTCTGCACGACAGCGACAGCGGTGTTTCCGACGACACAGTCAGCAACACCGCGACTTCCGCATTTCCTCGTCCGCCATTTCGTCGCATTGTGACCTCACAGGCTTCCCAACAGCATCGAACGATGAGCAGACAGGCTGAGGGCGGCGGCTGGTCAAAACAAGAAAGTTTGCACGCCTTTACAATGCGGGCTCAAGGTTCAGATGCAAGAGCAAGATTCGTGGAGCAGTCCGATCGCAATCCAGAGCATGTTGACGGAGCCGACGATTGGATTCGTGGATCGATGGAGCAGCTCAGATACCCTGAAGACGGAATCAAGCGCCATAGACATCTGGACAGCGGCGCGGATTCTCCGAACCGGCGTCAGACACAGCAGCAGCGACCGCTGATCAGCTCGGGTTTGCCGACATCATACAATGACTTTCGGAATAGATCCCGATCGGTGTCCTGCTCAGCTCTGCTCCCGCATACGTTCAGCTTAGAGAGCAGCCTGGCCCCCAAAACAAAGCCAGACGACGGAGTTGCCTCGTCCAGACTTTCGTCGCCTCAAATCCCGTCTCCCAGTCCGGCTCTACATTTCACGAAACAGGATCGAAGCTGGTCAGACTTGCTCTCTGGTAAGCTTGGCGACACTTGCAGCCTTGCTCACCTACACTCACGTACTCATTCACTTGGGACTTCTTCGAGTCTCTACGATCGTAGTAGTAGACTCAGCTCCGCCGTCAGCTTCCAGACGCGCCCAACATCGTCGGCAAGCAGTGAGGATCCTTATCGATTAAGCTGCAGAGCTTCTGAGCAGGTATCCAGTGGACGCTCACCGCGAAGCCTTTGCACCACTACCGCTCCCGCAAGAGAGCTTCGCTCCCCTGGCAAGCCTTTATCAGACCACGGCTTGCGGCAGTCTTCGATGCATTATTTGCAGACTACCTCGCCAGCAGCGACAGCTCTGAATGATCAAAGAGGGTCTCGCCAGCAAGTGAGCATCGTTGAAGGGCTGAGACCGTCTCGACCTTTGATGCGGCGCGCCGCAACGTCGTCTGTCACCACTGAACAGGTGATCGGACCACAATATCTGGAGCCCGTTAACAGCTGCGAGGGCTATTTCTTTCCGCGACCTCGTCTGCGCACCCACAGCCTGAACACAGTTCCCTCGGAAGCTGTTGATCAGCTTCATGCCGTTCCCGAGCGCTTCTGGCAGAGAGACCTCGCGATCGACGGCGCCGACAACATTCACGCGGCAAGAGCTTCAGTTGTGAAGACTTCCAACGCTGACCCAATCACGCTGCTACGGGCATCTCGTCAGTTCGGATCCACATCTAGTCAAGTCGCATTTGCATATGCCGCTGGTCCAGAGAGAGATCCACGGTTGACATTACACGAAAACATGCCACCTCCGCCGCTGCCGAAAGTCTCGCAGGAAGTTCCTTGTGGTCTGGTCCCTTCGAAGCCGCCACCGCCTACGCCCTGGCCAAGCACTTCGCCGGAACACAGCGAAAGTCAGGATAGCGCGTGCTCGCTCGACGTTTTGAAGGCGTCCGAACTACTTGAGCGGAACGAGGCCTTGGAGCTGGAAAGACAAGCTTGGCGAGAAGAGCACCGGACAAGTTTGGGTGTCGGCTCAAATTCGTTCCTCGGCCGACTCAGTCCGTGCCTTCGTGAGCCGCCCCCCGTTCCAGACAGAACTCGAGGCGGAGCACTCTCGAGTGGCATGAATGATGCCGACGAAATCCCCATTCAGGTGCATCGCGTGCGTAACGAGGACGGTACCGAGCATACGCTGCTGCTAGTTCGTGCTCAGCGCAGCCATCCCCGCTTCGGTCTGAACAGACCCAGCACGCCCGAAATGAGAGATCGCTTGATTGCGACGGTACGACCTTCGTCTCTGGTAAAGCACATCTCGCAGCGCCTCGGGAGCCTCTCAAGCACAAGACGTTCCCTTGCGACGTCGAGTGCTCAGGGAAATTCCATGCCCCGGGACGGAACTCTGACGCGGACGCAAATGCAGGCATACACGGTTCGACCATTGAAAGAGGGACGCAGGCTCGTCACTAACGAGACTGTTGTCATTGGTCGGCAACAAGAACATCCGGAAGGCTTCCGAGAACAAGACAGCTGGAATCCAATTGAAAGCCACTTGCAACCCGAGGTGCAGATGGGCAACGCGATCTCGGACATGCGAAAATCTATTGCTGGTCGGACCCTACCTGCAAGATCCGGTTACCAAGCTGCTGGAACGAGAGATGAGATCAGGGCTTTTATGAATGAGGGAAAAACTTCGACTTGGGTCCAAAAGATCTGCTGCAACGGTGTGGTCGAAGCGGAGAAGCTTACGCCCGACTATGTGCTCGATATCGATCCAGGCACGTCCGTGATTACATGCGGCGACTTGAGCGTGTCCGAGAGCCCGGCCGACGGACATCACCTTTTCAACACGGAGCCATCCTCGTCTTGTGGTATCCCAGCACGGCTTGCGACGCCAGCTGACTCTAGAGACTCGGGCAACTCGTCTGGACGGCACGGTGACTTTGCAGTGTGGGACGCAAGCAATGTGAGCCTCGACAACCTTTTCTTCCGTCCCCCTCAGCACAATCTTGGACCGCCTTGATCGCTCGAGAACAACAACCTTGTACCTTCTTTCAATGGAAACTCTTCTGTTGACGATGAAGCGTCGTGTGTGCTAGGAAACTTTGGTATCCTGCATGCAGTGTCTCCATGTCCTCAGCGCAGAACTCGGCTTTCGGGCATTTCGGAAAGCGGCGCGAGAAAACAGAAAGCGCGTTGTGCAGCTTCGGTTTGGAGGCGTGTTGGACCCTGAGAAGCAAAGCGCACAGTGTGGTCTTTCGACATCTGATTCTCAAAATGCCGTCTTGAACCCTCATCACCATTCGCCCGGACCGTCTCGCGGGCCGTACGTGTCAGGATGCAAGGCGAAGACATCACAACCGTCAAGAATGAAATTGATCATGGAGCGGGAGGAGTCTCTGCGTCGAGTACAAGGGACGTTGATCTGACCCCACCCAAGAAGCGCATCAAGTCTGGGGTGACGAGTCGGTCCAGCTCGACTGAGCCGACTACGCATGCTCGAGATGATGGGCACAGCGGGACAGATGCGGAAGTCTCGGCGAGGTCAGCGTTGAAGAGCATAGAAGGCGCGAATGACACGAAGATGGAAGTCGATGACACGGTTCCAGCACTGCAAGCAACGGTGGACTCGGTTCCGGAGGCCGTTGTCAAAGCAGAATCCTCATTACAAGGAAGATCTCCATCGACTTCGACATCGGAACTGCTTCTCGAGCCTGAGCTTACAAGAACACCATCTGCGGCAAAGAAGAAGAAGACTGGCACCGGCGCATCGTCCAGCAGCACCAGCAAAAGCAAGAAGTCTTCCGGCTCCACCAAGAAAGATACTTCCTCCGTGCACGCTCAAGCCTTCCACGACCCGCCATCCAGTCGCAGTAGAAGCAAAGTAGAAGCTATCTTACTGCCACTCTCCACTGTCGCACCGGAAGAGGACGAAGAAGTCGACAATGCGCTGTATTGTGTCTGCCAACGGCGGCAGGACGACGTCGAAGGAGGAATGATCATGTGCGATCGCTGCGACCAATGGTACCACTATCGCTGCATGAAGATCACCGATGATGACGTCGAGCTAGTGGATCAATTCATCTGTCCGCCGTGTCATCAAGTAACGGGGGAGCAGACGACGTACAAAACGGCATGTGCGAGAAGCGGGTGCAGGAGGGCAGCCTTGACCCCCTTCAGCAAGTACTGTTCCGACCGATGCGGTCTGCTGGCAGTGACGGGAAGGATGGCGACGTTGAAGGTAGAAAAGAATAAGCAGGCTGTGGCGGTGCTTGAGGCAGATCAGAGGGTGACAGTGGCGAGGAAGACGGAGGCGTTCACGCACAAGACAGACAAGCACGATGGTGAGTGGAGGAAGGCGATGGCTGAGCAAGTTGGTGCGAGGTCATCAGTGCAAAGATTAGGATTCGCAGATGCTTTCGCTGCGATGGTCCAAGCAGAAAAGGGAATGGATTTGCCGCCTGCGAATGGCGTAGCCAACGGTGGATCCACGCATGGCATCAACGGCGCGTCACCCTCGACAACCATCACACCGTCGACATCAAACGAAGCATCATCCGCTACGAGCCTTACCGACATCAACGAGCAGCTCTGTCTCGTCACCAACCAGATCCTTGTTGTCGATCTCGAGAAATCCCGTCTCAACGCCCGCCTCGATCGCCTCGATCTTCGCAGCACACTTCTCCACCTCGTTTCCGATCGCGTCCCCACTCTCCCGCCGGTCGGCTCGTCCACAACCACCGCCACGACGCTCGACGTTGCCGACGAAGAGGATGAAGAGATGACCGAAGCTGCAAAACCGAAGAAGAAGAAGAAAAGCGGATCCAAATCCAAGTCCAAATCAGCCGACACATCTGGTGGTCCACGCTGCGGCTACGATCAGCGTCTGCACTGGGACGACGCTGCCTTCGACGCGTGGGCGCACGCAACCTCGGGCTCGGCCATCCTCTCCCACGAGACGCCGCTCGACGGAGTCCTCAACGATGAAGTCGATCCGACACCGCTGCCCAGATGGATCTGTGGCTCCGCCAAACGCAAATGCAGAAGACACGTCGACTGGTCGAACCTGTGCGAATTGGCGCTAGATGCGGAAAAGGCGAGCCTGAATGCCGATTCAAGGGTTCTGACGCAGCGCAAGTTGATGTTGGCCGAGACGAGCAAGCGGCTGGAGATGGAGGCGGAGGTGGCGAAGCGTCTGACTGCGGAAGATGAGACTCGGAAGAAGAGGAGGGAGGAGGAGAGGGATAGAGACGTGGCCATGCGCATGGCAAATGAGGGCACCAGAAGGGGTGTTTTGACGTGAACTTGTCGTTGAGAGCAACCCCATCAAGGGAACAAAGACGGTCGCTTCACACAATTTAAAGAAACCAAGAACGCTGTGTATCACAACAATACAACTCTGAGCACGTCTCGTTCGCTGTCTTGGGTATCAATATCCTAGCCTCGGTCACATCACGACTGCCGCTTGCTTCCTTCCAACGACGCCGCGATGATCTCCAACCTCTCATGCGAATTCTTTCTCCTCGCGCCCTCCTGCAAAGCCTCCGCCACCCTCGTCGCCAACTTCACCAGCCCAGCCGGCGGGCCCCTCACCCCGCTCATGCCTCCGATCGCATGCTCCAACCTCCCCACCCTAGCCACAAAGTTACTCGACACCCTATCATCTCTCGCAAAGAAGAAGCTCGGCAGCGGATTGCACAGATCCCTCAACTCTGCCTCATCTCCACCCTTGCCGCTGCCACCCAACCCTTGCTGCACCGCTTCAAACTGCGATCTCGTCAGCTTGATCAACGACCAAAGCGACATGAGCAGCAAATCAGACTGAGCGTTGGCAACGTAATCTTTCACCGCCGCCACCTTGTCGCTTTTGTGTCTCAAAGAATCTGTGACGAATTGCATCACCTGCGACCTACTCCTCGCCACCGGATCCGCCCCTCCGTCCAAGTTCCCGGCCGCTGAATACCTCTGCGCAAGACAGTGGCCCACATCCTCTATCGCAGAATGCAGGAACGGTGAGCCTTCCGACATGACCAACACCTGCAGATACGAAGCCAGCAACGACGTCTGGTCTTGAAAGATGCTGTGGTCGATGGCGAGTTTGAGGTTGACACGAATCTTGCGTAGACGCGCCATGGTTCGTGGATCCAACTGCAATTTCTTGGGCTTTTTGACCTTATCCACTGTACCTCCGATCGAAGTTGCGGCGGATGGCGCATTCTCGTACTCGTCCTCGTCGTCTGGTAGTTGACTGACAAACTTGGACAGCGCTCCGACTAGCACGATGGAGACGCTCTCCCATCCCTTGCCCAAAGAGATGGCGTAACCGAGAGGAGTGTTGGTCGAGCCACCAGCTTGCGATGCTGCGGGCGAGTTCTTGCCGGCTGGGCCGCCCCCGTGAGACAGATCGAGAAGCAGATCAAAATTGGCGTTTCGGATGGCCAGGATGGTCTCGACGTCTTTCTTGTCGATGGCCTTGAGAAGGTCATGCGTCTCGTAGGTTCTAGGCGGGGCCATCAACGTCGACTTTGGCTTCCCCCCATCCGCTGCAGAGGTGTTTCCATCTCTTACTTGATTGTCCTGATCAATGATCGCACCCGAAAGATGGCCTTCGCCGTGCTCATAATCATCGTCCAACGAATTTGGCTGATGTACAACGATACGTGAGAGCAGAAGAGCAAGTAGTGCATTGCCCCGATTTGCTTCGCTTCGTTCATCTAGCAGCTTTGGATCGAGATCGTAGTTGAGATGCATCTCCTGCAACGCCGCTTGAATGCACCGCCTCGCATCTTCGAGCTCCGACCCTGGGAGCAGGTTCTCAATCTGAGCATCGGGCACCCTTGGGAAAGATACCTCTGTCTCTTTCATATCGTTCGCATTCAGCGGCGCAGGGATGGCTGGTCGAGTAGAGGGCCTGTCGTGATGAGGCAGAAGAGATTGTTCGCCGCTGGGAACGGAAGACGACGAAGGCGTTCGTTGGGTATTGGCTCGGAAGCTCAGTGCACGTTCAACAAAGGAGGCTGCTTGATGAAAGCCGCTCTTGGGCGGTTGACCGCCTGCACCGCTCTGATTCGACATAGTGGTGTCGACGGTGATCTTGTGGGTCCTATCCAAACCTTGTGTATCGACAGAGATGAAGAGCGCAAGAGACTGTGAATGTCGGGGTCAAGTCGTACAACATTGCTCAGCCAGCTTTTGTGCTCAGACCGATAATGCACCGTCTGTGCGTCGGTGTGGAGGTTAGCCAACGCGGAAAGCCTAAAAACTTCACACCCACCTAAGGAGCATGATTCTGAAGCAATTCAAAGTTGCGAAGAAAAGATGGTCATGAAATTCAACTCATTTGAACAGCGTTGCCATGGCGACGCTCTTGGGCTGAGCCGAGCCGCCATTGCCATGTTGAACGCCAAGGCATCTTCGTCGTCGTCGAGATGATATCCTACTGTTCGAGGTGTCGGATAGTCGGCGGTTGACAGAGAGAGTCACAGGTCCGTGACCCGCGGCTGGAGGGCTTATGAACAAATAGGAGCCGCGCGTCCTGTCATCCCCTACAACAGAGCAACAACGAGCACCGTTTACCAGGTGGAGTGGAGACACGGAGGAAGCTCCCAGCATCAGTATGCAACAGGAGGCCTCCTACTGTGTCCTAAAACGGTCTGACGGCCTCTGGAAATGATAAAAGGAGCCCTCCTAGAGGTCGAAAAGTGTCTATGAAAGCATCCGACAACGCTTCTCACTCACCGAATACTCTTACAGCTCCCTCAACATGGCTTTTAACCCCAAGATGCAACGTCTGGTCCTAATCATGACTCTCGTCATTGCTGCAATTGTTTGGCAGACCGGTCCCGCGATTGCTAGTCCAGCCCCAATGTGGCCGTCATTCGGAAAGCAGCGCAATGGCATGGAGTACGAAAAGCTTAAGCAGCCTCTCCTCGCTGAGGAGAAGAAGAAGCAGGAGGAAGAAGCCAAGGCCAAAGCTGCAGCCGAACAGGCCGCAAAGGTGTCAGAAGTCATTTCCGAGGAAGTGAAGGACTCGCTCGATCGTGATAGGGCTCGCGTTCTTGCCATGATGAGGCAGTAAGTTGCACGCCATCCAAGACACATCATCAGTCACCAGGTCTCAGAGACTTGACCACAGCTGAAGTTTCGATGAACATCTTTTTGCCTTTTGTGTCCCACAGCTATGTCAGGGGATGAATTTCAAAATTCCTTACGGTCAGTTCGCCTGACTCTTCCAAAGTCAACGGGGAAGATCCCTCGGCTGGTCTGAGTTCTTACTCGAAGTCTCACGATGTGGTTGGCAACAGTGCATTCCGTACCAGTGCATGTCTTCTCCTCTTGCACCTCAATTTTCGTTTACCGATCCTCTCATCTTCGTGTCATTAAAGCTCATTCTCATTCAAAAGTCTCAGAAACGTGCGACGCTGAGCTGACTGGGTCCATGGCAATGAATTGGAAAAGTGAAAAAGCATGATGAGAAGAGACGATCTAACGACGAGCAACGTTCATCCCTGGAGAGCCTTGATAGCGAAGTTGGCACCCATGCTCTGAACGTTGGCGTTGTTAGGGTACTGCAGGTGCTGAGCCGTGATGCCGTAGCCGGAGGATCGGTCACAAACACCGTCACCGCTGATGCAAATGTCGAGCGACTTGGAAACCCAGTTGGAGGGAATACCGCCGTTTCCGTAGTACGAGATGCCACTTGCAGCAGCGGTAGTCTTGCCACCGTTGCCATCGACGTTGCAGGCAAGGTTGGGCTTGTGCTGAGGGTCGCCGATGAGGATGACACCCTTGACAGCATTAAAGTTGGCACCGGTGAGCTGCGACAGGGCATTGACTGTAGCAGAGGCACCCTGCGAGTAACCTTCGAGGATGAAGCATGTGCTAGGGTTCGAGGCGAGGGTGGACTTGACCTTGTTGACGATGTCCTGGGTTCCAGAGGCAGAGTTTTGCGAGTAGTCGGCGGGGTAAACAGTGTCGTACTCGGAACCGCCGGACACGGAGGAGAAGATGCGCTGGTTCATGGTGCGGAAGCCAGCAGAAGGTCCCTGCGCCTCACCAGTACCGCGCGTGTCGATGATGAGGTACTTGGAACAAGCAGCTCGCTTTTCAGCAGGCATGGCCTGCACGGCGCCAGCAGCGGCGAGGACGAGGGTGACGAAGGTCGACTTGAAAAGCATGGCGGCAAAGTTAGGATGTGGTGGGTATGGGGTGTTAGGAGGGAAGGGAAGGACTATGTTGAGGGCACAGACGAGGATGCGGTCGAGGATGTGGTGATTATATACGCAAGCAGTGGCAACAACGAGCAACAGGAGAGATCATCGACCTTCTAGCAGAAGGAGGGAACGCTGCTAAGCGAACTATAGGTAGCTTTTCGCAGGGCTTGCCACATTCAGAAGTCCATGCATGAAGGTGCGGTGTTTCAGAGACAGTCTGTCATCTGACGTTGCTTCTGCATCGGCAAAGCGAAACGATTCGCACACGGGATCGACGACCGCGATTGCCAGCAGGAGACATAGGTGCATAGGCTGTTGTGTTGAAGATGATCAGCAGTGTAAGAGGCAGGATGAGAGGTCGCAATCAGATGGGAGATCTGTTGAGCATCATCGAAGTTTGACCAATCACGGCCGGGGATGAACAGCCCAGCAGTCGAGCGGTGGCGGCGCATTACGCATCCCTATTGTCTGGTGCGGGTCACAGAATGTGGCGGGATTCACTATGCGTGTATGCGAGACGCAACGGAAGCGTGATCTAGAGCACCTCGCGAAGCAATTGGGGTGGCCACGTTTGCAGAGCTTCCGTCAAGCCGCGCATCTGAGACAATGACAGCGAACGATCTAGGCCTACTCAAGCGAGGCAGAAACGGAAAAGTGTCCGAGAGTCTGCCAACCAAGCTTCGAGGATTTCACCAGAGGCTGAGACGAACATGTGCGATCTGGGATGCAACGGGTGCCGTGTCACGCCCGAGTGGCGAGAAAGACTTTCGAAGTGGTAAAAGGCTGTTCGCCGGGCACAGTCATGGTCGGAAGGTGTGGCGAGACACGCTAGTGAACAAATCGGCAAAGCGACAAAGTTTTTGGCTAGTAACTGGCTGGCGTTGCAGTTGCCGGGCAGGTTGATCGTAACGTCTGGGCAGCCATGTCTCTCTGAGCAGGCAATGTGAGACTCGCTTGCCAGAGACGACGGGGATGGCAGCGGTGAGTGCGGCTGCGGGTCCAAAGAGGCGGAACTGACAAGAACAAACTGGTGACCCTCCGTCGCCGACACGGTGAGCAATGACAGATCCCGAATGTCACTATTTTAGCGCGAAATTCCATGCGTGGCGGCGGTGTGCGTGCTCGGCAAGCACCAAGCATCCGAAATCTGCGACTCCATCGAACGTTCGCTTACGAGAAGGAATTCAGTTTCTATCCGCGACATCCGGCAACCTCTCCCGACGCCGGCCTTCGAATTGGATATGGTCCTCCAATTGAACAACAACAATCTCAGGGGGAAGATGAGGCCAAGTCTCGTCTTTGGATGTGGCAACAGGGCCGTGAGCTTTCAGATTTGGAGTGCTCCGTGTTGCGGGAACTGAGATTGTTGGGTTCGACCTACTTCGTCTGACAACGGCGAATTGCTTCCTAGGCAGCTTCTCCCGGTGCAAAGCCAATCTTGCCATCAATCCAATGCAGCTCTGAAGCATTTTCAAAACCATCGTAAAAGACTCTTTTGTGATTTGTCTGACGGCATGATCTGTGTAACACCAAGAGTCGCACGTGTGTCTCGACAAAACTATTGATATTATTAATATAATACGCGCGCTTGGAGAAACTTCTTAGAGATGGAAGAGACGCGACAGCATGTGATTCCGTAGAAAGATGGGCGCGGGCAATTTGGCCTTGCCGGCTGCACTAGGAAGAAACGGAACAGATGCCAGACGACTCTGAGACTTGAGTCCCAGCTATGTGGGGTCGCCAACATGAGGAAATGCAAGAGCATGGCCCGGTGGTGTTCCGAGTTAGGAGCAGTTCCGATTCTTGGCATGTGGGGGAGCCGATATTCGGAGGCGATTTCCATTCGAGGCTGTTAGCACGCGCCGAAAAAGCTTAGGTGTCAGGTCACCCTAGCGCACAAGTCGTTCAGAAAATCTAGCTTTGTAATCGTAGCATAATGCCGCCCGCCCACAAAGGAACGTTCGCATGGGTCGACGATTCTGCATCTCGCCAATTGCTATGCAGATTTAGCATGGGGACGGTTGCGAAGCGAAGTGGCTGCACTCACCGGTCTCAAAGTGGCAGACATATTTTCGTCCTGCAGACGGTTCAACGTGACCGCCACCGGCGACCAGCATCGGCTATGAATCTCGTACAGAAAGTTCGCGGCAATCTCGTCGCCCTTGGAGTTGTCCGATCTGTTTAGACACTCTGCTGCCTATAAGAGGATGGTTGCATCTTCATTGCCAGGGGCAAACGCCAAGCTGCGTTGCAAGCGTCCGGAGGAGAGCGTGCGAGCGGCGCCAGATTGGAATCGTAAAGGTGACATGGCGCATCTGTCGAGACGGAGCTGAAAAGCGGTGACTTTTCGCCTTGACAGACTGCACTGCGCAGATCCAGTCTCGAAAATGAAATGCATGTTTGTTTGTCTCTCCGCCCCTCTCATTGCTGCTGCTGCAGACGCACAGTGCAGTCAATTCGAAGCTCATTCGCGATGGCAGCCAAAGGAAGACTCGTCTGGATTTGGCCGACGTGGCTCTAGGTGGGAATGATAGGCTTGTTGAATTCTCTGCCATTCTGGCTTCGTTCAAAGGCCTCCGAGCTACAGCATGCGCATCACAGTTTCGTACGCGGCGTCTCGTCCGGCTCGCTTCCGATGGCTGCTGTACCATGACACAAAACAAGAACCAGACCGTGCGATGCTGCGCGAATTTTGATCTCGTCTAACCTTTGCCGATCCTCTCGCACTCCCCGTTGGCAGCCGTCCGAAGCCTCTCCGCACTGACCGCTTCATCTTACCGCATCGGCCAATTCCTGCATGCCCCACTTTGCAGAGCCTGCTCGCCTCGTTAAAGGGACACCAAACATTCTTTGCTCCACAACATGCTCTGCTCCACCTGAAACACGATTGCGAGCCCGAGCCTCTCGCGCTGCCTAGCTCTTCGCTCTCTGCCTTGACGCGGGCCTCCGCTTCCCTCTCGCTTCCCTCCTCGTCAACAAGCTATATGCTTTGCTCAGCCCCTTTAACCGACGCGGCACTGCCTCATCCGGATGTCTTGCCGTACCCTCGACGTTCCTTGCCGTCTCGCTAGAAGCACAACCGCGTGATCCGTACCCTTCTAATCTCGCTTCTCGCTCTACCTGCCTTGGCACCGGCACGGTGGCTTACCTTTGTTTTCGCCTGTCTCCCTTACCGAGCGGCCAGCTTCTGGTGCCACAGTCTTGGCAGCTCGACCACATTCCTCCAACTCCGCCGAAGCGCCGGCCACTCAGCCTGCGCTCCTGTCACTACCGGCGCTTCTTGCTTGATTCGCTGCATCTGCCGAGGTCAGAGCGCTTACCCCACGCCATTTCCCCCACCTTCGTGTAGGCAATAATCATCGTCAAACTTGACGGTCTGCGCCTCCTTCCTCCCATACACCATCCACATCCCTTCTGACCTCTGGCAGCAACAAACGCGCTCTTGAAGCGTCCTCGCTAGTTCTGATCATAAAGCGAAGTTTGCGATGAAGTTCTCGACATTGCTGCCTCTTGCGGCGTTGGCCGTCGCAGGCCCGAGCCTGGCGTTGATCACGCCAGATCCAGACTATCAGCAGCTCTTCGGAGAAAGAGATCTCGATGGACCATCACAATTCCTTGAGCGACGACAACAGGGCATTGGAGGTGCCGGTCAGAATGGTCCCGGCTACCAGACTGTGCCTAATGTACCCTTCAACGGCAACGATTCGCTACCATACTCGCCTCCCTTCTACCCAACACCCCAGACCAAGGGCACCACTCAAAAGTGGAAGGACGCGATTGGAAAGGCGCGCGAGTATCTTCAACAGTTCAACCAGACCGAAAAAGTCATCCTCACCACCGGATCCGGCTGGACCAAGGGCCTCTGCGTTGGCAACATCGCCCCCATCCCTCGTGTCAACTTTCCCGGACTGTGCCTCATGGACGGCCCAGCCGGAGTCCGAGGCACCGATCGCATCACCTCGTTCCCAGATGCCATCACCGCAGCCGCCACGTTTGACCGCGATCTTTTCTACAAGCGCGCCTACGCTCTGGGCGAAGAGTTCAAGACTAAAGGCGCGAATATCTGGCTTGGTCCTATGATGAACCTCGCCCGTTCCCCTGAGGGTGGTCGATCCTGGGAAGGCTTCGGTGCTGATCCTTACCTGAGTGGAGAAGGCTCCTACTTTTCCGTGCTCGGTGCTCAAGATGCTGGTGTTCAGGCCACGCTCAAACACTACATCAACAACGAGCAGGAGCACTTCCGCAACGAAGGCAGCTCCAATCTCGACTCTCGAACAGAGCGAGAAGTCTATCTTCATCCTTTCCTTCGAGGCGTTCAAGCTGGTGCCGCTTCGGTAATGTGCTCGTATAACCTGGTCAACAACAGCTGGGCATGCCAGAACTCGGAGTTGCTGAACAACCGCCTCAAGACCGAGCTCGGATTCCCTGGCTATGTCATGTCGGATTGGGGCGCTCAGCACGCTGGTGTCGCTACTGCCAACGCTGGTTTGGACATGACCATGCCCGGAGACGAGTTCTGCTGCTTCCCCCAAAATGGCTCGCTGTGGGGCGGAAATCTCACAACCGCCGTCAACAATGGATCGGTGGCGGCCACACGGCTGGATGACATGGCAACCCGCATTCTCGCTGGTTGGTACCTCTTGGGACAGGATCAAGGCTTCCCTGAGCCAAACTTTAACTTTTTCGACAAGATGGATCCCGCAACCAACGAGCACATTGATGCCACCGCTGACCACTACAAAATTGCGCGCGAAGTTGCCAAAGCCGGCACCGTTTTGCTTAAGAATCGTCGCAATGCCTTGCCGCTGAACAAGCCACGCAACATGGCTGTTGTTGGTTCAGACGCTGGTCCTCTCTATCAAGGCGCCAATTACTGGCCTGATCGTGCTCAAAATGGAGGTTTGCCCTACGGTACTCTCGGTCAAGGCTGGGGATCGGGCGCAAACGACTACTCGTACTTCTTCTCGCCCTACGAGGCGCTGCAAGCACGAGCGCGCGAGCAACGCACCGACATCCAGTGGAACTTTGACGACTTCAACATCGCACAGAGCGTCAAGATTGCCAACATGACCGATGTCGCCCTCGTGTTTGTCAGCGCAGAGAGCGGTGAGGGTTACATCACTGTCGACCGGAACGAGGGAGATCGTAACAATCTGACGCTCTGGAACCAGGGCGAGCAGCTGATCCGCAACGTGACCGCGGTGAACAACAACACTGTTGTCATCATCCACTCGGTGGGCGCTGTTGACATGGAGAGCTTTGCCGACAACCCGAACGTGACTGCTATCGTTTGGGCCAACTTGCCTGGCAGCGAGAGCGGTCGTGCCCTTGTCGACGTGCTGTACGGTGATTACAACCCCAGCGGCCGTCTGCCTTACACGATTGGCAAGAACCGCACCGACTACTCTGCCGACGTGCTGTACTATAACGATACTGTCACGCCCCAGATCAACTACACGGAAGGGCTCAACATCGACTACCGCCACTTTGACGCTAAGAACATCGAGCCGCGTTACGAGTTTGGTTTCGGCTTGTCGTACACCAAGTTTGCCTACTCGGGAGCTTGGACGCAGCAGGTGGGCCAGGCCGAAAACAGCTGGTGGGGATCTTCCAACGCCTCGTCGGGTCTGCCAGAGTGGCTCTTCCAGCCCAAGTACGAGGTGACTTTCTCGCTGACCAATTCGGGTGATTGCGATGGACACGAAGTGTGGCAGGCCTATCTCGAGTTCCCTCGTACGGCGGGCGAGCCTCCGAAGGTGCTGCGTCACTTTGGCCGCGAATGGGTCAAGAAGTACGACACCAAGGAGGTCAAGTTCACACTCAGCCAGTACGACGTTTCGGTGTGGAACAATACGAGAAACCAGTGGCACCAGCCCAAGGGCAAGCTGAAGGTTCTCATCGGCGCTTCGTCTAGGGATATTCGCCAGGCTGTTGTGCTCAACTAAGTGGGCACTCTTCGCTCAGTCGATAGACATCATGCTTGAACTTTCGGACTTTTACTCATGACGATCAAACTGCAATGAAACGATGCTTTCTCAATCTCGTCCCTTGAATGACGCATGTGCATCCGCTCGATATGCCACAGCTACGGTGTTGGCCTCCCTCTTGTGAGAAAGGAAAGACATGACGACATGTCTTTCGGCCGAGAGCCATTTCCACCTTCGACTCTAGTATAGCTTGGTTCAAGTCACGCACGTCTCAAATTTTGGAGTTGTTCAAGTCGCGTTGATTGCTTTCTGCAGCACAGGGTCCTTGTTGCTTGCCGCAACTGTTGCCTGCCGTTCGTTTTGAAAAATTTCCTTTTGACTTTTCTTTACGCGTTCGTAGGACCTGCAAGGCAGTGAGCGGGGTCGAGTTCTTCATGCAGGTCCGAAATCCGACGTTTGCGGAATCTTCTCCATCCTCCATCATCTTCAGATATTGACGTCGAGCGCTTCTTTGGCTACAAGGATCGACGCACTTGAACAAGAGGGGTATAGACACTTCTGGAGCAAGCAGCGGGCCCTGTCAAGCTCGGAGCATTCGTTTGTTAAGATCGTGTCAGGCCGGGATAAACGTCGGCTTGTCCGAAAGTCACCAGTCAAGCACCCGATCGTTCTATTTCAACGACCGCAGGGCTGCCACACCTCCAACTCAGCACAACCGACCTCTCTACCCAATCACAGCAGCCATCATGACATCCGATACTCCCAACTCACTATCCCCAACATTCCAATGGTCACCGACCTACCTCACTCAACTCCAACACATTGCCGACACCGACGAGTTCCTACACGAGGATGTCTCTCACCATCAACGAAACCTCTCTTCCTCCTCCTCATCTGCCGCTGGTGCATCAAGCTCCCCAGTAGCAGCAACACCAGCAGCAGCAGTGCCACAATCCGGTGCATATGACTGGCCCGTACTGAAAGACGCGATCAAGTACAGGATCAGGACTTGTCTGGAGGAGAGCTTTGGTGAGGAACGAAAGATGACGTTGCATCCAGCCACGAAGCTGATGCCGTACGTGGGAGAGGGAGACGACACTATTGATCTGGAAGTCGTTTGGGAGAGGGCTGATCATGGGTTTCTGTGCGAGAAGAGGGAGCAGGAGAAAAAGGGTGAAGCGGAGGGGGCGGACGACAATTCACAGACGACGGAAGGCGGAGCGGAGGATGCAACATCTGTTGCTGCAATAGCAGTGGAAGCAGAAGGTGGGGCCGGTGCTGCTAGCGTGGTGTCCGCGGAACGCGATGAGAATGCAGCTGCGCCGCAAACGAACGGCTCTTCCATCTCAACTGCAGCAGCCGTCGGCAACGGTGCCTCACCATCCTCTCCAAAAGCTGATCCAGCCTACTCCTATCGCCAGACTGGCGCGAACTCGGATCCGTCCTACTCCCACCCACCGTTCGTCCACCGAGCCGACGTCATCAACTTTTACCCGTCCAAGCGCTCCCTCCCCTCCACAACCTCCATCCCACCCCTCTCCCCCGACACGATCGACACGCAAACTTCCATCCTCTACTCCATGCTCGACGACTTTGACACCCAACCGCCGTTCACCATCCAACGACTCTGCGAGCTCATCGTCTCCCCCACCGCGCACTACAGCTCGGCGCACAAATGGATCGCTGCGATCAAACGTTGTTTGTCGGTAACGGCTACACGAGATGCGTTCCCGATAAGTCCTGTCCAAGCACCCGTTGGGATAATGACGAATGGAACCCACCAAGAAGGAGCTGCTGGTGGAGTGGAGGTGAGCGAGCTGGAGATGGACAGGATGGACGGGCTGCCAGCAAGAAGAGAGCGAAGTTCGAGTGTCGCTTCCAGCGGGGTGAGCGAGCCTTTGTTCTCCCCCATCCCGTTCATTGTCAGGGATGAAAATGGTCAGCTGACGGGTGAAGATCGAGGGGGAGGCGATGAGGGCATGAATGTGACAGCTGGCGTCGAGGGAGCGTTGATGGAGCAGATTCCGGATTTGGAGCTGGGTGGTGCGGACAGAACTCAGATCGGCGATAGATTACCCAAGGAAGTCGTCGATATTGCGCCAACAGCCGCGACAACGGAGCAACCAGACCAGAAGGCAGCGACGGAAGAGGACGTGGATCAAGCGATGGACGAGAGCTCCGACGAGCCGATGCAGGAGGACGTTCCCGCATCAGCAACCACCGCAGCAGCACCCACCGCCGCGCCTAGTGCCAACACTTCCGCAGCCGCAGCCGCTGACGCAGTCGCTGCAGTCGAAGCCGCCTCATCCGCCAGTGCTGCACCGACCGAACCGCTCGGCGTACCACACGGACAGGTCGACGAGATCGACAACCCCAGCTTGACCGTCAACCCTCTGACCTCCACCACGACTGCCACCGCAGACACGTCCGCCCCCGCATCGAACGCAGAATCGACGACGATCAAGTCGAACGAAAGGTCCAAAGCCGATGACGACGACGTGGAGGACGATACACCACGCTCGACAAAACGTCGTAAGAGTGTCGCTTCGATCCACGACGATGTTGCACGCGATTGAAGCCGATTCTTTTCTCGCAGCTTCCCCCGCACACACACACTTTTCACATCGGCAGAATCACCTGTTCGAATGCGTTGCAATCTTCATAAACCACCGACTTCTGACCTTGCTGCCTCCAAGCTCCTCCAACGACGGTGCTCACTTGCGTTGCTTCTTGTTCCCGAGCATCAGCAGGTTGATCTTTGACTGTCTGTTCCGGTTGGCCAGACCACGCTGGCTCTTTCCAGATGAGCTGAGTCTGCTGCTTTCGAGGTTGACCTGATCCGGTGTGGGTGAGAAGGCGTCGCGCGTGTTTGTGTACCACCCCGATATGCCTTTCCAGCCGCCGCGGGTGGGAGACGGCGTGGCCTGTGGTGGACGCGTGGTGGCGGCGAGGTTGCTGCCACTGCTGCTGCTGATGGCGTTGCTTCGCGCCGCACTCGAGGGCTTGGTAGGAGGGGTGAATGCTAGGGCCGGTGGTGGCTTGGAAGTAGATGAGTGAGGTAGAGCTTTGAATGAAGATGCCTTCAGGGTTTCATGCGAGGTGCCGGTGCGCTGCGACGTGGTATGCTCGGCACGTTTTCGTTTGGGCGCGCTCATATGATCGCCAATCTTGCCGCGCCTCGAAGGCGGCTCCATCAATGGAAACGTGGGCGAGAGGGCCGAGCGCCAATCCACCTCATCTTCAGAACCGCTATCTTGCTGACGGGCTTTGCCTTTTGACGGGCCTTGCTGCTGCTGCGGCGGAAGCGGCGGTAGCGGTCGCCTTTTAGCTTTCGGAACGGACGGAACTGCCTCGCCGCTCCTACTTTTGCCTTTGCTTCCTCCACTGACAGTTTCGGCCCCGGCACTGCTAATCAATCCGACCACGGCCTTTGGCTTCTTCAGCACACCCTGCACTGTCGGCCTTTCGTTTGCGGACAAGACATCTGGACTCGTCGACCTGGGTCTTTTGCCTTTTCCAATGGCCTCTGATGCACCTGAAGACGACCTCGTCAGATCGATCACGATGACCGAATCCAGATCCGGGTTCCGAGACGAAGCAGGGTAGACTTTGAAATCGTGATCGAGCTCACGATTCTTATCCTTCGTGGGCTTATCCGGGCCGACAAGGTTCGCTACGGCGGCGCGTTTCGGTGCCGTCGCTGGTTTCAATGACGTGCTTGACTTGGTCATCGGAGCTGGTGTTGCGGTGGAAGGAGGCTTGGCTGTCGTCGAAGATTCCGTCAGTGCTTGCGAAGGTGATGATTGGGTGCCGAAGTACGAGAGAAGATCGCGTTTGCCTTTGGCAGCGCTAGGTTTTGCAGGCACTGCGGTCGCTGTGATGGTCGGTCGGGTGTGCTCGTTTGTTTCTCCCCTCGAGTCTGTGCCGATAGTAGTACTGTTCACCTGTTGTAATGGGGCATTTGGGCGCCTTCCGGATGTTGAAGGATCGCTACGAGTCATGACATCGGATACAACCGGGCGTTCGAAATCCTGCTCTTCCTCGTCCATGTCGGCTCCGTCCCCTGATTCTTCATCACTCGCCCTGACTGGCGCACTCGCCAACCTGGACCTGAAGGGCGACTTTGTCGGTGATTTCATCCTGACTATCTCAAACCTTTGCGACTCTTCGTCATCGCTCTGCGTCTCCGCTGCCTCACTCTGCTTGTGGTCAAAGTAAACCTTGATCTGTCCACCTGTGCAGCACCTGAGCGTGGACACTCTCTTTCTCCCCTCGCTGTCAAATTGGGTCTGCACCCAATCTTCGCTTTCCACTTCGACGAGAATCCGTCCCTGTTCACGAGCCTTTTGCTCTTCGTCCATTCGGGTAACGTCCGCAAGATGCTCTTCCAACCGCACCCATTCTTGATGCTCCATGTCAGAGAAGACTTGGAGTGTGGACGGAAGTGGTTGCTTGTATGAGCGCCCGTTGCGTAATCGTCGTTTTTCGGTTTCGAGAGACGCAGCATCTTTCGGACGACCAATGGATCCGCTATTGTCGAGCGACGAGAACATCTCGCGCAAATGTGACGCTGTTGGGCGATAGTTCTTACGGTTGAAGGTGAAGATAGAGCGTAGCTTGAGTCCAAGTGGGACGCCCGTTACTGGAGTCGATTCGTGGTCAGCTTCGTCTGAACTGTTTGCGTCAGACTGTATAAGGTCGGGATCGTTGATTCCAAGCCAGCGTCGTGTGCTGGCTTTCAAGTGCCCCAGACTGGCTCGGTCTTCGGTATTGACGGTGATGTCCCACAGCGGACGCGGCCCGATAGTCGGTTTGAGGATGGCCCTAGCTTGCGCCATCGTCAGCGGTCCAGTTGTATAGTCGTCTCGGGTTGAAGAAGGGGAAGACGGTGAAGCCTCAACGGGTCTTGCTTTCGTCTGGCTTGTCAGAAAATCCGCAAAAGACAGCGCCCTCGTCCCAGCATGACTTGATCTTGCAGAGTTGATGGCTTCCAAGAATTGCGGTGCTGCGTGCACTACTGGAAGTAGCGTCTTCTTCGGTCGCTCTACGGGATGAACATTACCGATGGTTGCGCTTGCAATTTCAATTGCATCGTCTTGATCGCGCTCTAATCGTTCGAAGGCACGCATGACGTTGTAGTCGGTGACGTTGCGAGCACGCCTTGGGTATCGGCCACGATGCGCGTCGCTATCGTCCTCTGTGGCATTGGCGCTCGATTCGGCCGCCAGCATCTCTGCGATGCGAGCGTTGGTGGTGATCGGAGTGTCGGAAACGCCAATCGGATTCTGTCGGACTGCTCCTGGGGCATTACGATGGACAGAGGCCGAGAGTGGGCGCTCCATGATATGTGAAGGTTCACGATCGTAATCGTCCGAGTTCTGCTGCGCGGCAATTCTCTTCCGCTTAGAGATTAGGTATTCGTTGGCTTCGTTGTCTTCAGAGTGAGACGGCTTGGGCCTGCTTGTAGGAGACCCGGATTCACCTGCATCGTCGTGGTCTTGTATGGGTGGTCCTGTCGGCGATTCCTCGAAAGAGGAATCGCTGATGACAACGACGTCGTCGGATATGCCGACGGCGTTCTGGGACAGCCTCGGCGGGCCGGACGACGACGCATCGTGCTTGTTCTTTCCGTGGTGGGATTCGGCTATAGATCCGAGTGATCCTGAGAAGTCAAGGAAGTCCTCCTCTTGTGTACTTCCTGGCAAATGCGCAACGCCCTTTCCCTTTCTGTCTTTCGGCCCAATGGGTGGCGTGGACAAGCCGGATCGCGGACCCAAAGAGCTTTCCGTCGACCGCACGACCAGCCTGGAGGGCGACGCGTGTGGTCGAGCGAGACTTTGACTTGACCCACCCGATGCACTGAGTAGGTCCGTCTCATGCACTTTGGCGATGTCCATGTCGTCGTCACTGTCCATGGCCACCCTTGATGCGGAAGATCCCAAAGCTCCACGGCGCGTGACGTTTGACCTGGGCACGTAAACCACCTCCGCGGGTGTCTCGCGTCTACCAGCGACCGACACGCTGCGTGTGCGACTTGGACCACGACTGCTGCCAATTGATGTCGAGTGGAATGCAATCTCGTCTGCGACATCGTCATCCTCCTCCAGCTCGTCGCTTTCGCTTGTGATGAGGCTGGCTGGTTCTGGCGTACCACCTTCGCTGGATTCATCGATCGAGACTGCACGAGGGAAAGACTCTCGTACAGCAGACCTTTCACTTTCACGGTCTCTCGACTTTGGCTGGACCACGCGGTGGCTCCGCGGATGCGCTTCTACCACACTATCGACGGACGATTCTCCCTGCTCGGACTCGTAGCGCTTGTTGTACAGGTCAGACAGAGAGGTGCTGGACGCCTTTGCCTTGCGAGCCTCAGCATTGTGTGCTTTGTTGTAGAGATCAGCTAGTGAGCTTGATGAGGCGGACGAGACGTGTCTGGAAGAAGAAGGGGCAGCGGATTCGGAGGCGTGCCGGGAGTTGTACAGATCCGCTAGCGTTGGCATTGCCGATGTAGCGCTGGCTCGAGAAGCCGATGCTCGAGAGGATCCCGCGGCATCCCTACTGGAGCGGATCGTCAATACAGGTGATTGACGCGCTGTTGTAGTCGGCATGGCGTCGGCTTTCGACCAGCCTACACCACGCACGTGAGGTACAGCTTGCGAGAGCTGAGATGCATTTGAGCGCTATTTCCGTTGCTGGAACACCTGACAGGCTCTTTAGTGATGTTGTCGGAATGAGGGTAACGATCAGATTGGTCGACCGTGCGGATATGCGGTCGTCCCGCGGAGGACGCGATGTAATGAGTTCGCGATGTGGGACAGGGAGATGCAGCGTTGTGTAGATTGCAAGGCTGATAGGGTTGAGTGCGGAAGCTCTGTGCGTCCTCGACGTCGGACAGTAGAGTCGAAAAGTCGTACTTAGGGGCGGATGAGTCGGCGTAGGAAAGGAAAAGAGGAGCGCTCGACTGCAGCGTCGCTGTGATGCAAAAGACGTGTGATGATGATGAGGGTCTTGAAACATTTCAAAAGTTACACAACAGCTTCGTGCCGTGCTGGGCTACCTTTGGACCAACACACGCTTGCACTCAAGCGCGTTTCTAGCGCCTGAGCGTCTTCGAAATTTCCGGCTCCCGAAAATAACGTTGCCCTTTCATTTCTCATACGAACGTCCACGAGCTTGACCTGGTCTTGACAAACATTATAGCATTGCAAATCCTGGCGTGGAACGCTAGCATATCAAAGCACTGTGTTTCGGGTCGAATCTATGCAGCTTGCTTACTTACCCGCAGCATGGCGCGCAAGCGTCTCTAGCTCCTCGTACTCTCCTGTCTTGCGGCACATCTCATAAAAGATGCCTTTGCGTTCCAGCAACGCAGCAGGCGAGTCGTTCTCAGCGATGCGTCCTTTGTCCATCACCAAGATCCTGTCGTAGTCGATGATGGTCTTCAATCGGTGTGCGATCGTAATGATGGTTGTCTTGTGGTTTGCGTCGGATCCCAGGGGTGATCGAAGCGTCTTCTGGATCTGCGTGTCGGTCTCAAAATCGACAGATGCAGTTGCTTCGTCCATGAAGATGATCGATGTCGATCGCAGCAACGCTCTTGCCATCGAAATGAGTTGTCTCTGACCCTGGGAAAAGTTGTTGCCGCCTTCCGAAACCTTTGACTCCAAGGTGACAACAGTCGTTCCGGTGCCATGTTCGACCGGCAGGACCGAGTTGACAGCCGTCGACGACGATGACGACCCATTGATCTCCATACTTTGCTCGTGGATCGAGCCAGCTCGGCTCGGAAGCACGCTGGGCGCTGCAGTGTGGACTGGTGTTGTTCTGAGGTTGACCCTCTTTAGGGCAAGTAGGCATTCTTCATCTGTACGCTCGTTGAAAGGATCGAGGTTCTCGCGGATCGTCCCGCTGAACAATACCGGATCTTGAGGGATGATGGTGAGACGGCTTCGAAGGTCCTCTAGACCGATCTTGCTGATGTCGATGCCATCAATGACGATCGTGCCTTCTTCAAATTCTACGAAGCGGAAGAATGCCAAAGCGAGCGTGCTCTTGCCGGAACCCGTTCTGCCCACCAACCCGACCTTCTCACCGGCGCCAATATCAAAGTCGACACCTCGCAGCACGGGGTCGAGATCAGGGGCGTACTTGAGCACCAGTCCCTTTGCCTGGATTCCGCGGCTGTCAACCTTGGACGGCCACGTAGGAGGGGGACGATTTGGCTCGACGATTGCCGGCGGCTCCTGTGGAAGCTCAAAGTATTCGCAGATCCTCTCGACGGAATTGAGATCCATCTCGAATCCTGACCACACCCGACAAAGCCAATACGCAGCCTGACTCCACATCTGGGCATTTGTAATCGCGATACCTGCCCATCCAGCTTCGGCTCCTCCGACCAGAGCCAACACGGTAGCGACAAAGACGGTCAGCGCGCCCATTAGATCGAAGCGAAGCAGCAACCAGCGATTCGCCATCCAAAACAGGTTGCTGCAGCTCTGCGTAGCGTCCAAACGTTGGAAGAGCGTTTGCAGGAATCGGTCTTGCGCGCCGAAAGCTCGCACCGTGCCAATGCCATTGAGCACTTCAGTGAAAGATTGGAAGATGGGCGATCGCGTCACCGACTCGAGCCGTCGCAAATCTCGAGCCGACGCCATGTAGGAGGCCGCCGTTCGATAGTAGGCATAGGTGATGAGGATCATCAGGGGTGCGAACGCTGGAACTACAACAAGCATGCTGATTGCATTCATAAGCGCTGCGGTCGTGAACAACACGAGCATCCGAATGTTTCCAGACAGTGAATTGTCGACCGTCTCGACATCCTTGGTAAATCGGTTCAAGATGCGGCCCGTCGGCGTGGTGTCGAAGAAACGAGTTGGAGAGCGCACCACGGTGCGAAGCATCCTTTCAAAGAGCTTGTTGCTCGCAGCGATTCCCGACCTAGCGCTTACGAACATAGACATGTTGCCAAACAACAGCCACGTCAGAAGGATGCCCGTGTAGACCAAAAGATATGGCGCTGCGTTGGTGCTAGGATCTGAGAACCATCCACGCTTTGCTTGATATGGCGGATTTTCGTATGCATGTCCCCAGAACGAGAGCCAATACCTTTCAAGCAGATCGGACGAGCGCGAAATCGTGATGCACGACAGGACCAACGCGACTGCGAGCCAACCAAAAGCGGAGAGGTAGGTCACGTATATGTCGCGTTTGACGCCGCCTGTGGACTTTCTCTCGGCGCTGACAAGCTTGCCTCGTCCAGGACTAGCACCGGCAACGTTGACTTTCTTTGTTTCGTCCTCCTCTGCTTGCGATTTCGCCTGAGCTTCAACAGCAGCATCCTTGGCCGCCTCCTCGACGAGCTGATCCGACGCAGCCTGCTTGCCTTTACTGTCCGCATCAGAGCCGCTAGCCTCTGATTCGATCAACGTGGACAGAAGACCTTCTGCTTGAAGGTCTGCCGGAGAACCGCTTGCTCGGATACGACCTCCATCAAGCATGGCTACGTGGGCCACGTGAGGCAAAACCGTTTCGACGTGGTGCGTCACCAAAATCACCGTCCTGCCGCGCATCAGATCTCCACAGAGGCACTCATCGACTAGCCTGCGTGCGGTGTGTGAGTCTACGGCTGCAAGGACGTCGTCGAGGAGTACGACGGGTGCGCGGGAATAGACGGCGCGAGCTAGAGCAACTCTTGCCTTTTGTCCGCCTGACAGCGAGACACCATTTTCTCCAATCTCGGTCTTGTCGCCCTCTGGGAATGTCTTGAGGTCCGGCTTCAAGCAGCAGCACTCCAACACCTTTTCGTACCTTTCCGCATCAAAGAACTGGCCGAAGACAATGTTGTCACGGATGCTCAATGTCTCGAGCCAGGCAGTCTGAGAGCAGTAGGCTACTCCTCCGCTGAGCAGTTGCAAAGGACGCTTGGGTAAGGTGACAGAGCCCTCCAGCAACTCCATTTCGCCGAGAATGGCGGAAAGTAGGGAGGACTTGCCAGATCCAGTAGAGCCGCAGACGAGGGTCATCTTGCCGGCTGGAGGTCGAAAGTCCAAATCGGTGAGTTGGAAGGGGGTCGTTTCTTCAGGTGCGTCAGCATCATCTTCCAGGGAGAGTGAGACTGCAGGGGTTTTCTTTCTCCAGAACGCCAGGGATGACAGAGGCGAGGGTTTCGGAGGCGCTTTCTTCTTCTCCTCTAGAGGCTTTGCCGGCTGCCAACGTAGGGTGGCACCTTTGAGCACGACCGTTCGCTCCTGGTCAGCTTCGTGCAGGTCGGCGCTTGCTTGATCGCTGCAGTTTCTGATGACCCACTCGGGCACCTCGTCTTCGTTCAGGAAGGCGTTGATGCGGTCCATCGAGACTTTTGCCTGGAAGATCCAGTTGATGACCATGGGAACGACGGACAAGGGGTTCCTAAGCATAGCAAAGAGCGCGATGGCGGTGAATCCTGTGGCGACATCGAGCTTCTTGCCTTCGAACACAGTGTAAGACGTGAAGGCGCTGATCGTGAAAAGGAGGGGCGTCAATGCGAAAGATAGATACAGACCCGTCTGGATCCAAACTCCGCGGACGTTCCACTTGATCTCCTCGCGTCTTGCTCGCAAGACACGATCGGACCAGCCTCGCTCCCAAGCAAAGAATTTGATGAAGCGAATAGAAGTGATGAGCTCGTTGAGGACGTTGATGCGTGCGTCCCTGGATTTGAGTTCCTTCTTGTTGTTGTTGAACGCGAGCTTTGTGAAGATCTGCTGCATGGGCATACAAACGAAAGCGGGCACGACACCCACAAAGGCGGACCAGCCAAGGAGTTTGTAAAGGAAGATGGTGGCGATGCACAGCTCTATAGGGGCAGCGTAGCCCATGTAGAGTGTAGTGACAGTGTTAGCGATTTGGTTGGTGTCGCTTGCCATCAAATTGACAACCTTTCCCACGCTTGCCGAACTCTTATCTTCGTCATTGTCATTAGTCTTCTGGCTCTTGACCTTGACGTCTTTGTCCGAGACCTGGGAGAGAGCCGAAGAAGAAGCGCTCTGAAGGGAACCAGAGATGTCCTTTCGTCGCAAAGCTTTGTCATAGATAGCGAGGGTGAGTTCCGACTTGATCCGAACGCCAGCGCGACGGCTGTAATAGAGGTGCTGAAGGTCACTCTGCGTCTTGATGACAGAAGCAAGCAAGGCAAAGAAGGCGAAGAGGAAAGCTCGCTTCTTGGCTGGGTTGATGGTGTCGGACATATTGAAAATGGCGACATGTTGGAGAGGCATGGAGTACCATGTGTTGGTTTCCTGGTGGGCCGTGGTCATGGAGACGGACTCGAAGGATGCGGTGAAGAACGTAGTCGAACGAGCAGAAGCTTGCGTGGTCGGCGTTTCGGAAAGTGCCTGGAGGATTTGCTTGAGGAAGAAGGGACTGGCGTAAGCCAAGGTATAAGAGACGATGCTGAGGAGAAAGTCAAGGGCCAGATCCCTCGAGTTCATCCAGAAGATCTGACGAAGCACGCTGGGCTTCTTCTTTTCCGCTTTGGCAGCAGCGCGCTCCCTGTCCCGCAGCGATGCATGTTTGCTGACAGCTTCGGCCTGAGCTTTGGCCGTCTCGTAGTTTTCGGCATCCTGTGCTCGAAGACGGCGCATGTTTTTGAGGAGTACTTGCGACTTGGAGAGCTTGCTTAGCTGCGAGACATCCGACTCTTCCAAGGGACGCGACAAACCAGTGTTAATGATGGGATTGAGCCAGGAGAAGCTGATCCACTCCCACAAAGTGCAGTAGTCTTCGAGAGGCGGAGGGTATCCATTTCGATCGTGCTGTGGATTCAAGTCGTAAACCTGTAGGGGAAGGCCCATGATCAAGGCAGTGCCGACGAACACAAGCGCCAATGAAAGCAGATCGAAGATAGGCACGGCCAGCTGGCTACGGTGCGCAGGAGAAAAGGGCGGATGCGGAACGCCGAAGAGCGAATGATATCCAGATACGCAAGAGCCTACAATCTGCATTATATAGAATAGAAGCAGACCGTAAGGCGGTGTAGGAGACGCGAAGAAGACGGCAGAGACCGTCGCGTAAGCCCAGCCAAAGATCTGGAGTGCGGCAGCCAATTGCAGGCCCTTGGAGCTCTGGAAGCCGGCCTCGGCGCCTGCATGGTCGCCGATATGACTGCTAAGAATGGAGATGACGAGGACAGCGATCCAGGCCATCAGATGGCAGAGGTTGATCAGGCTGAGCCCGATGTGAACTGCAGCGGGTTGCTTGGCTGCACGAGTGAGGCCTGTCGTTCTGTCTTGACGCGATGAGCCCGCCCGAAGAAGGGGCGAGGTCTCGGTGTCGTCGCCATCGTATTCTGCCGCGCCGCGCGAGGTGGCTTCAGGCAAGGTCGAGCCATACGTGTGTGCGCGTCCACTAGCTGTACTGATTGCTGTCTGATCGTCGGAGGTACGAGCATGGTCTTCTTTGGCGCGCGCCTCGGCCTCTTCGCGATCGTACTCGTGAACGTCTTGAGGTGTAACGAAAGAGGTGAAGACTCTGGAAAGGAACGATTTGGATGCGCTTGATGATGTCGGCCAGAACTGAGCTGCAAGGACGACGAATACGAGAGCTGCGGGGAGATAGGCGTCGGAGATGAGGGAGAAGGACGTGTAGGACAACGGTTTCAACCCCGGTCGATGGTCACTGGATCCGGGATGATTCTCCATGATGTACTGAGGCCATAGCCTCCTAAGGACGATGTTGGACGGAAGCAACGTATCGAAATGACGAAGAAGGCAGACGGTATATATGGTCGACAAGCAACTGTCACGGCCGCGCGTTGCGCCTGATCATCCTCGGCCAAGCTGGTGTGCTTCGGCAAAAGGTTTTTGACGATACAAGCAGGCTATGCAGATGCATATCTCGAGCAAAAGAGGCGGCTGCGGAGTGTGTTGATTGGACCCTAACTTATCGCTTGCTCACTCGCTCGCTCTTCTCCTTCCCCCACGCTCAAGTCATGTTTCGACGTTCAACTCAGCCTTTTTCCTTCTTCAGACTCGGCACGGACTCCGCCGATGCATCCGAAATTCGGCGCTGCCTCGCCTTCCAGCTGTCACACCTGTCGCAATAGCCAAACTTTTTGCACGACAATATCGACGATGGTCAGGACAAGTCACAGCCGTGTTCATGGTCAGAACGTGTGGGATGATCGCGATGGCGGTGCTCAATCCAGCTTATGAATGCTGTGTTTGACATTGGTGCGCTGATCAAGTGGGGAAATTAAGCTTGCAACCTCCGGCGGAACCAGCAGCGCGGCGATCCTGCCGCTGCATCAAAGCGTGACGAGCGGCTCGCTGTCAAAGGGCTGTTCATGTGCACATGCATCGAGTCACTTCATTCTTTCTTTCAGGAGACGTCAACCGGAGTCACAGCCCGCTGCCGCTTCTGAATCGCCGGCATCGGATAATGGCGCGCCCTGGCTATGGTAGTCCGTCGTGTGGCAGACTATGCTGCCTTGTGTGGGTAAAGCGTGGTCCTTCGATGTGAGCCTCAGACAGTAATGATTTGGGCCGGCAGTCTTGATTGGTATGCTGTGGCACGCGTCGGGACGGAGTCTTCCGACTCTGCTCTCCTGGTTTCAGGAACAAGGCTCGGTTCAAGCGCAACTTTCTTATCAGCTCTCCACGGACACGCGCGGAGTTGGGACGCGACCAATAAATTGTTACCGCTCACTCCCTCCCAGCTCCTTTTCGCACAACTGCAGAGCAGCTTCGAGGCGGCGGCATGATCTGAAATGGTTTTTGATACGACAGCTTGCATCTGCGGCCACAGAGTGTTGAAAACACCGCATCCCGTCCGATCTGCGAAGTTAAGCAACACATCGCCTAGTCAGTACTGCGGTGGGGGACCACGCGGGAATCCTGGGTGCTGCAGTTCTCTTTTTCTTTTTGTTCTCCATCGGCGTCGATCAATGCTGTGCAGTCTTTCGTGGTGGTGTCAGCGGAGACTGGGATCGAGACTGATCAATGCCGTACCGTTCTCCGCGGTGGTGTCAGTAGAGACTGGGATCGACATGGCTTTCGAGGTACCTCACAGCCTCCAACTCTAGCCGTCACAGTCCTGCTGTTTGAAGGGGTATATTTGATAGGTATGCGCCGGCTTCCGCCTCGACACCGCCACTAGACGCCGACTTCGCTTTGCTCTGCCTCATCCCCAAAGATGTCACGTCTCAAGCTAGCCATCTCGTCGTCCTCCAACTTCCTGAACAAGATACCGTTCGCCTCGTCCACCCTCGCTGCTATCCCTCTCCCTGCCTTGTCCCCACCACCACCTCTCGGCTGGACTCTGTTCAGCCCCACGCTCGGATTCGGAAATCCGCTGCCCCCACTGACATCATACAAGCTCGAAGGAGCCGTGCTCAACGCGACCGACTGCAACGCCAACTTGTTGAACAACCCTCTGTGACTTCTGAACATCCTCCACACCTCAGCATTTGCCACCATCCCCTCTCGTAGATCTTGCAAATATTTTTCCGTAAAGACCTCCCTGACGAAACCTAGAATATGCGTGACAAAGTCCTTCCGTGGTCTCCAGGTTTGGAATCGTGAGGTGAGCAACAGTCGTCCCGAATCAGGATCTACCAAGGGATGCAAGAGCGTCGGTGGGAAATAAACTTGAGGCGTCGAAGACGGGTAGGTCGAAGGAAATACAATGTCGAATCGAAAGATTCCACCGTTGAAGGGTCCTTGAGAGACGAAGACGACACAGTGCCAGAGATGTGTATCGTCGTCGTCGAGTTGAACATAGATGCCCCTTGGGCAATTGGACGGAAGGCATAGTTGGGCGTATTGGAACGAGATGTCGCGTTGGGCGAACTCGAGCTGCAGCTGTTGACGCGATGGCATGGTGACGGCCAACGCAGGCTGTTTGAGCCCGTTCAAAGGGGATCACGCACTTCGGGCTGTGTGACAACTTCCTGTGACTTGCTGCCGTGCTGAGTATCGGCGAGTCCGAAGGTGATGGTTGCAGCGAGGCTTCCGAAAGTGTTGGTTGTTGCGTGCGGTTGGACCCTTTTTTTCTCATGGCGCGCGTGCGTCCGCAGCCAACACTCCACTTTTCCGACTCCCGGCAGATGTGCGGAATGACACTTTCCCTCTTCTTTCTCATGCTCACTCTTTGACGACATTCTTGCGCAACATCCTCTGACATCACGTCTGTGCATTGCCGCACAGTCTAGTGTGTGTCTCGCAACATGGATCCGTTCCAGGTCCGCCTGCGCTTTGTCTCCACCCTGCATCGAGTCAACGCATCGCTACCGACCATCCAAAAAGCCCTCTCCTACATCGTCGAACATGGTCCTTCCATGCACTCTGAACTATGGGAGTGCATCATCGATCAATTCCGTTCCGGCTCCATCAACCGTCGCATCAACCTACTCTTCCTCATCGACTCGATCTTCACCGATGAAACCCTCTCGTCTTCCATCCGATCACTCTTCCGACCCTACCTCGAACGCGATCTCTACACACTCATCGACCTAGCTGTACCCGAGAACCGCTGGGATGCCGTGCTCAACCTTGCTGCTGTCGAGAAGATCGTCTCTACCTGGAAGACGCGTTTCATTTTGAATCGATCGCCCCTCGACGACATCTCTACCATGCTAGAGGTCCGCAAGGCAGCGCTCTACTCTCTTTCACCAACACAGCGTTCGCAAACAATTCCGCCTCCCAACGACATGCAGAGACGAATAGAGGAGGATCGAGAACGACACAAGCGACTCCGCGAACGATCGTGGATCCTACCTCCCACAGCTTTTTCGCATACAACCTTGTTTGGGACACGACCGGAACAGTTGGACCCGACCTATCTGACGCGGAAACAGAGCGCCTCGCCGAGAGAGAAGAAGGAGGATACCGATGGGGAACGGATCTGGACAACGCAGGACTTGGATTTTAGCGCCATGTGGGAAGAGACGAGCGACTTTAACGATGATGACGAGGAAGACTTGAGAGAGGGCGAAAAGACTTTCTGGGCCAACCAGATTGTGCCGCCGCTACCGGAAATGCAGGCCCTTCAGCCAGCACCGACTGTCGCACCAACACCCGTCCAAGCCCAGCCACCATCGATCCTCCCACCCAGAGCACCTGCTTCCATGCGTTTCGCACAACGATCGTCATAACCCTTTCCTATGCATCACCTCTCCTTACTGTATTTGTACATCCTCCGCCCGTTCGCACACCATCACTGCCTGAAATACTGCGCCATATCATGCAACCTATCAAACACCGTCGACAGATAACTCGTCTCGTTCAACAGCCCCTCAAACTCCTTGATGGCGTCATCCTCGCTCAAGCCCAACAGAAACTTGTCCTGAACCTTCAACACAGCCTTATCCGGTTCCAACCTGATATCTGGAATGTTGGCATCGACCATGAGCGCGACCAAGTTGAGGATGAGGTTGGCGTTCTTGCGCAGGTTCGTGAAGGCGGTGTAGCAGAAAGCCTTGAACCGCGCATAGTGCGGGGAGGAGGTTCCGCCCATGGCATCGACCATCTCCTTGCACACCTTGACGGGTGGGGGGAAGGGTTTGGGATCGCGTCCGAGGATGTACCCGAAATCGACGTGGAAGAAGTGCCCGTCCGAGGAGAGGAGCAGGTTGTCCAGGTGTCGGTCTCCTACGCCGAGCAAGTAGGTGACGACGCAGTAGCCAGCGCATGAGCGGATGAACGTATCGAACACCGTCGGATCGACGCCGTAGGTCGATAGCGAGGTTGGCGAGGGATGGTGCGCTCGGAGAAAGTTGAGCAGAGACCCTTGGTGCGCCGACAGGATCGCAGCGATCGAGAGCGAATCGACAAACTGCACCATCCCATCTACACTGCCTGTCGCGAGCACACGGTACGGCGTCATCTTGAGATCCAGGTTCTCGTTCCGAAGCAAGCGATCCATCAACGAAAATAATTGAATCACCAGTTGGTCCTGCCGCAAGTCGTCGCCGTTCTTGAAGATGAGCGTATAGTTGCCCACATCCTCCGCCTTCTTGTCCTTCGACTTCTTTGCATCTGGTGGCCCGTCGCTCACCAAGGTTTCGTCCTCATCGTCTTCGAGCAGGCTCGACGTGATGCTGTCTGGCAAATTGCCGCTTCTGTCCCCATCTGCTGCATTGTCCGAGCTGTCCTCGCTCTTGACCACCGTAGTGAACTCCAACCGAAGCGGAAACAGATTACTCTTGAAAATCGTGCTCTTCTCGGCCACGATCCCAGTCACTTTCACCCTCGCGTCCAACGGCAGCATCAACGGCGGGTCGAACCTGCTCAGCCCATTCTTGGAATCAGCGATCAGCGCCCTGAGCTTCTCGATCTTCTTCGGCCGCGCGTCGCGATTCGACCGCAGCTCCTTCGCCCTCTTGGAAAGCGTAGCGAGCAGCGTCGCCTGTCTCGACAGCGTGTCCCTCCTCTCTGCACCCGACGGCAGCGACGCCAGTCGCTCCAAGAACCTTCGCTTGACCGTCGTGAACAGCGACCCTGTCTTGGGATCCTCGCACTCCACCTCGAGATACCAAAAGAGGTTGTTTCCAAGCAGCGGGTTCGAAAGGCCTCGACGGATGAGAAAGTCGGCGAGACCACTACTGTCCTTGTCCGCTGCTGCATCGGTCGTGAGCGAGTTGGATGGCGACATCGCCGGATGCAGAGCTGCAGGATGTCCTCTGCGCCCGTCCTGGTCTCGGTCACCGACCGCTGAGCCTGTAAGCCCGGCTCCTGCCGTGCGAGATATCGGCTTGTCAAACTTGAGCGCCTGCACGAGCTGCAGCAAGTACAGAATCAGCTCTTCATCCTCGGCGCGCTCCAGCTGGCGCACGGCGTACGACCGGACGCGCGGATCTTTGAAAGTGGGACCGAGCAGCTCCAGCGCATCATCGAGGCCAGGCTCGCTCCACATCGGCAGCAGCACTTCCGTCGCCTGCTTCGCTTCACCCTGATCAGTCCACACGACCGACTTGAGAAACTTGGTGAGCCCCTTCGGATCCCGTGTCAGGTAGAAGCGGAACGACCACACCCTGTCCATCTCTGCCGTGGTGAGTACGCGCGTCGGTGGGTACGACAGGATCTCGTTGAGCTCGTCCCGCACCTCTGCTGACGGCTTGAGCTCGCGGTCCAACGGACCGGAGCGATGCGATCGTACGAGTCGACGGTGTTTGGCTTCGACCGGATTGGAACGAGCGATCTCGGGATCGAAGATCGTGAAGAGGGAAGCGGTGATCCGATTCGGATCGGCGGTCGAGAGCGCGGCTGCTGCTGCCGCCGCCGCTGCAGCGGCCGAGGTCGGGTTGCCCGGTGCTGTGGATGGACCTCCTCCAGCCCCGCCCTGTGCAGCAACACCACTAACTTCATTGGTCGCGGCAGTGCTTAGACCGGGCAGCGGACCTGAAAGCGCGTGCGATGCATCTGCCGAAGGAAGAATCGACTCGGCCTCGCAGAACACGATCGGCAGCTCGAACCTCGGCAAGTCGATGTACAAGAACAGCCGATCGCTCGACTGGCTTTCCGCCTGGTACACCTTCTCCACCTGTCGATAGGCCAGCTTGTCCAACCAATCCACGCGCGGGAGATCACCGCGCTCGTGTCGCTTGATCAGCTTCTCCAGCCGACCCATCTCGTCTTTCATCTCGCCGACCTTGCTCGGTGTAGCACTCTCAACGCCTCCATCCGCCTTCACGCCCTTCCAGATGAACAATCGGTGCTGCGCCGACTTGAGTGTGCCCTTCTTGCTGAACAGCGGTAGCGTGGTCCCGCCGATGATTCGTGATGTGTTGCTCGAGGCGACGTCGTAGACAGTAAACGTGAGCTGAGCACCCAGTGGCAGGTCGCATAGCTTGTAGGGAAGCGTGATCCATTCGTTCCACTGATGGTTGTTGCGAAAGGGCTTGTAGGCGGTTTTCACCGGTACGCTGAGAGGCTTGTTGTCCGAGTAGAGTCGGCATTCGACGATCAAATCCGGAAATGCAGATTGCTGCGCGCCCCAATGACGGCTTTCTGGCTGTTCCAGCAGCTGCGTGCGTGTCAGACGGTCGAGCTTGCCCTGTAACGACGAGATGCGGAAGGTGAGGTTGAGGTTCAGATCCGACAATCGGACGAACGAGTAGAAGTCGCGGTCCATGCTGCCGGCGTCACAGGAGCAGACCCACCCTTGACCTAGGCGAGGCCGGCTGTGCGTTGCTACGTCAAAGTCGCTGATACGCTGGCTGAAGGTCCTACGAAAGCTGACTGCCCGGAATGTCGGTTCCTTTCCAAGTCTTGAGAAAGCTGCCTTGTGTTCGCAACGCAGGCAAGCTGCCTACTCCGGAAGGTCTCGCGACTAAGTGTGAGGTGACCGCATCTGTCTCATAGCCCTGAGCAGGCCTTGAAGCTGTTTCAAGATGGTGGAGTGAACGAAGACCCTTTGCTGGGGATGTGCAAAGTGCATATGTCTGTGCGCGACAGAAACCGCGTGTGTTGCTGCTGCGCACGAATTTCAGGGTCCACTATTCTCACTACCCTGGACCATCCCGACAACATGCAACGCTGACCTGACGACGACCACACAACCCTCACCACATTTAGGGACCGAAGTACAAGCCAGAGACTACGATTGAATACAAGATAAGATATCAATACAAATTACAGACGACTACTGTCAGATCGGCAACCATTCAGTTGCCGGGCAAGTTGGCCAATTCGCGGCAGTGGTTCTCTGCCACTTGAGCGAGGGACGTCAATTCGATCCCTGCGAGCTCCTCCTCCGACATTTTCGCTCCTTGAGAGACCAGGACGTGGAACCGGGTGTCAGAGACAGTTCTCGACTGAGATTTGCGCAGCGATGCAAGCACTTCATTGTCGATGCGCTCGATCAATTGTTGTGGTTCGTCAGGAACCTCGCTGGGCTCGTCGAAGGGCAGACCACTAATTTCGTCGGCTGACCACTCCTCGACGAGCGCCGACGTATACAGAGCCTCGAGCTTCGAGTCTAGGTCCAGCATCAGCTCCATTGGAAATCCCTGGTCCTCCTGAATCAGGTGAAGTGCGCGGCAGACAGGCTCGAGATGGTCGGCTATTAGTTTGAAGCAGGTGCGGATCCATGGATGAAGCCGCACCTTCCAATTGTCGGCGAGATGGTACGCAATGTTGCAAAGGATCGAGTCTGGTGGCGTCTTGTCGTTCTGGGTGAGCTGCCCTTCCTCTCGCTCCTGATTGTCCGTCTCCACTACACTCGAGCGCACCAAGTCCCCCAAGACGGCCGAGGCTGAGATGGTCACCAAACCATCGCATCCTGGGAAAATCTCGCGTACACGCTCGTCCGGATCGTCCGGTGCAAAGCCATACGTCCAGAACCTGCAGCGCGGCTGTCTCTTGAGGCGACGCAGGTAAGGGGCTAGCCACAATGCCTTGTCGCTGGCGTCAAAGAAGAACATACCCTCCAGAGCAGCGCGACGCACAAACACGTTGGTGCCCCTCTTCGGATCTTTCCAGAGCTTGGCGTCCTTTTCTGCATCGAGACCGAGTCGTGCACCGCCTTCAAAGATGCGCACCATAAAGTACAGCACGCTCTTCTCGTACGCTGGAGGGTTTTGTCCCAGGAAGATGACGTTGTACTTGCTGCGGATGCCCTCGTACAGCTCCTTCGAGATGCGGTAGCGCTGGGCTGCCCGCCTGACCTTGCGAATGTCGGTGCGGCTGATGTTGAGGTCCTCGATAGCCTTTTTGCCGATGGACGCCTCAAAGACGTTGTCGATCGAACCTTCCAGCGCCGGCGGTTTCTCAAAGGTGATGGGCAGCGAAGGAGCCGGATGGTGTTCCAGCTGCAGTGGAACGGTGCACAATGTGTGCGGGTGCCCACGAACGCTTCGCAGGGACGGAGGGAGGCCCGAGACGTAGTCAATGTCGTACTTGCTCGAAAAGGCGACGAAATAGTCTTTGCGTCCACTGTCATCTCCGGTAAAGGCTTCTTGGCCTGCGTATGCAAGCAGGGCGACGTCGAGGTCTTTCAGCTGCTCGGAAAGCTGGTCCAACGACGACCTTGCTCCCACTCCATTTGCCTTGAGCAGCATCACTTCGTTGATAGCAGCCGAGTGCCCAGCGAGCATGTCGCGGATCCACGCGAAGGGCAGGAACGTATGGAAGTACGCCGTGCCACCAGGGTTCGTCAAACCCAAGGTCTGCTTGCGGTCAGGAGATAGCGGTTCAGCTGCCAGCAGATCGCCCTCAGCTTCAATCCGATTGTGGCCGACAACGAATTCGAACCAGCCGTTCCAAATCTTGTGCTGCGGCGCTTTTGCTTGCTGCCCGTCGTAACTTCTTGTTGTCGAGCTGTCGTCCGCGGGAGATGGTGGAATGGCCGGCACGGGCGAGTCAGCACCCGTCGAGCCAGTGTCCAATGCGGAACTGTTGCGCTCGTGTGGCGACCACGGAACGTCGTCAGCTGTCGGCGACCATCCTGCCTGGGACACTCCTTGTGTCTCTGAAGCTGCCAGTGCCGGACGACGTCGAGGATCTTCGACACGGACACGTTGTGCGCCTTGCTGCGACGAACCAGCTCGCTGTATGGATGCGCTCTTGGACGAGGATGCCAACGCCGAAGCTGGACCTTGCTTCGCTCGTTGTGCCGCTTCCCCATCAGAACTCGGAGCCTGCTGATGAGGATTATATTGACCCCGAACCGTGCTCATCTCAGGAACGCCGAAGGTATCCTGGTCACCCGTCTCCGATGATGCAGAGCTATGCGCGTCCTTTGAAAGAGCTGTAGCAAAAGGTCGACTGGCGCCTTGGAAGTCCTCGACCGGCTTGAGCACCAACAGATTGGATCGCCTCGCCTCAGAGGGCCTGCGACCTGATGTGATGGGTTGCCCATTGGAGTCCGTCGGGGCTTGCAATGGCTGCGCGGCGCCTTGATTGTTAGCCCTTTGTGACGTGCTGCTGGTCGAGCCGTGCAGACGATTGAGGAATCTGTTGAAGTCAGGCTGCACCTGAACCTTAGGCTCACGCCGATGGGCTCCTTTGTAGCTGCCTGGCGCAGGACGCGGTGCGGTAGGCTGAGTATGGGAGGCTGAGTTCGTGCTGCTGGGCAGGGCCGATGCAGAGCCCAATGGAGCCATGGTGGGGCGCGTGGCGCTGGCGCTGAAGCCTGGACGCTCACGCATCGGCGCCATCGATTTGCTGAGGCCAGGGAAGTTACCCGCAAAGCTCGAGCCCCCGGGGCGACGGAAAGTCATCTGGCTGTCGTCGTTCTCGGGAATGCTGTCGTTCAGTTGAGATGCCCGCATCCGGGCACTATTCATGCCAGAAGTGGCGCTAGGGCGCGCCCTCATTGAGATGTCGGCCAGTGCCCGGTTTGCGTGCGTAGCACTGAAGCGCGACGAGCCAGCAGCGTCTGCGCCATTACCTCCCGCGTCCCGCCTCCATCGCTTCTGTTGTTGCTTCTCCAGGCGCTTCTTGTTGCCCCGCGTCGAGCCTTTGTCGTGTACACGCCGTAGCTCCAAGCCAAGATTCTTTTTCCTCCGATACGCCGCGTACCTGTCTTCCGCCTCTTTTTGAGCTCGATTGCGCTCCTCGCCCAGAGACTTCAAATATTGACGCAACTGAATCTTATCGCGGCGAATGTCGAGTCGCTTATTCCTCAACGCTTCGTGGGCCCGCTGTCGAGGTCGACGTTTGACGGCGGTCTCGGTGTCCGAGCTGTGCTCTGTGTAGCTCGTCCTATCTTCCGGAAAGTCGTCCGGACGCCCGCCCTGACGCGCCCAGTACTCGCGGAGCGTCCTTTCGTCGTCGAAGAGCGACTCCTGTAGCCACATGCTGGAGTGGATAGGATAGCCAGCGAAGACCGTGCGGTACTCTGCGAACCCTCTCCTCGGGTTATGCCGGTGGCGAAGCACAGCACGGACGTCGTATGTGCCGCCATACGCCTCGTCTAGCTCGTAGGTTGAACCCTGCCATGTGTCACGATCTTTTTGGGTCCACGATCCCAGCCCCCTTTCCTCATCCGTATCATGCAGCGAGCCCTCGGAGCTTGTATAGAGTTCCGAGTCTGTTGCATGGCCGTCCGATTCGCTGTACCAGATCGAACTGACTTCGGATATGTCATCGTCGGCTCCGTCTCGCTGGTCGTTGGATCCATGCTGCAACAGGCTATCCGAGCCGTCGAGCTGGATAGGATTGGTTTCTTGGCCCGAAGCACCGGCAGCATGAGGGACGGCGGATGCAGAGCGCTGGGACGGTTGCTCTTGGTCATCCAGGTCGATGGCGGTGGGTAACGAGCTAGCTCTCGCCGGCTGAGAATCAGCGGTCGGAGGGGCGACCGACTGCGATGCGATCAGCTCAACCTCGTCTTCGCTCATCGCCTGAGCCTGTGCCTGCGTTCTTGACTCTTGAGTTGGTTCAAGGCTTGGCTGCGTCTGAGATGGACGTACAACGAGCGATGGAAGAGGCTCGTCCGAGTCCGATGCGACATCGATGGTTGCGGGGGCTTTCGAAGCTTGCACTCCATTAGCTCGACTCTTTGATGTGGAAGGTACCGTCGACGAAGACGGATCCTGAGGAGACTGTGTAGCACGAGAGCGGGCAGAGCCATCGCGATGTCCGTTCTGTCTCTCTGCACGGGCAGCGAGCGCTTGTTTCTTCTCTGCTTTTCGTCGTTTGCGCTCCTCGTGTTCCTCCTTCTTTCGTCGCTTTTGCTCACGGCGTTTCTTGCGAGCGGTGGGATCTTGCGAAGCTGAGCTCGACTTCTTGGGAGAAGGAGGCTTGCGACGGACTGGTGGTGCCGGATTCGGGTCGTCGTCGGCGTCAGATTCGAGCTCGTCAATCTCCGAGTCGGAAGCGATCGGTCGCGAAAGCAGACGCTTGACGGTATAGAGGGGATACCTCTTCTCGTCCTCATCCGAGCTGTCGAAGGCGATGGGTTCCGGAGGCATCTTGATCGAATGCAGAGATTTCCTTCGAACTGAACCGTCGCATGGAGGCGAGAGAGATGCCGACCTAGTCACGAAGTGGAAGGCGGTCTCGCTCGCGATGTTTGCTTACATGCGACAGATCGAGTGGATACGGCAGAGCGAAGCGGAAGGAAAGTGAGTTGTTTACTGCTCAGGCCGAGTCGATGACTAGGGTCGTAGGGTGTATGCGGTTAACTAGGGACTGATGCGCAGCCGCGGGAAAGATGATGGCGAGAGGTCTGAGGCGAAGACGGCACCTCCGTGCAGGTTCGCAGACCTCGATTGGGGTGAAAGACGCTGACGTGAAGCGCGCTACGGTGATGAACTGACGGAGAAGCCGAAGGTTGAGAGAAGGACTGGACAAGAGGTAGGCCCAAACTAAATAGGTGCGGTTAGATCGAAAGGTCCGGAAGCGCAGCAATGGCGATGCGATGGCCGCTGGAGGTTTTGCGCTGGCCATCGATCTCGGAGATGGCCAAAGCTGAGTGGAAGGGAGGAGGATATGGGAGGAAGTAGCCGATGATTGGGTCGATGGCATAAGAAGAACGAGGAAGGTTGAGGCCGAGATAGCCCCAAACGTCAAAAAGGCGCAGGGTCTGCTCGAATTCTCAAAAAGTGAGCTCTTCGCGCAAAGTGGCTCGGATGGCCGGAGCGCTCCAAGCAAGACGCGAAGGCAGCAGACGGCTTTGTCGAATCCCTCCACAGCCCGGCTTCCGGCGCACTCTCCATTCTTCCAAAAGCAGGACATGAGGATGCCTCATCACACTATTCAGCGTTGTCACAAAACTCGCGCGCAGCTTCCATGGCACACCTCTCCGATGATTCACGCTTTCAGCCCACACTCTCCGCTTTTACTGCACGTTGATTAGGGTTCTGACACATGCGCTTCCCCGACTTGATGAGGCTTTTGACAGGTTGTTTTGGCGATCGTGCATCTGCAGAAAGTTTACTACGCCCGACAAGTTTGTCGTGTGATTCCCCTTCTTGCGTGGAGCGGGGAAGCGTGCGCCTGATAGTCGCTGCGGTCCTGTTCGTCCGTGGTCACCCGAGAATGGCGGAGCTCGCTGCGGCCAGAGTCAGCATGAAGATTTGCAACAGGTTCGCCATGACAAAGTGCGTGATCGTCTGTCCGATCTCCAGCCAACTTCCTTCGCTCTTGACGGCGAACAGAAAGTTGAAAGCGAGCACGTCTGCGGCGATTCCCGCGCCAAAAACCAAGCTCAAGGCTGAATCGAGCCCAAGTCCACCTGGTGCGGACTCTCCAAGAAGCTTGAAGCCTCGATCCAATTGTTTCGAGGCTGTGATGGTTGAAGGGAGTGGCGGGCTCGTTGCGAGGAGCGAGAAGACGGCGTTGAGGATGAGGAAGGGAACGAGGATCTTCAGCAGCAATAGTGTCGCCATGAGGAACGGATTGAACACCGGCACGAGACGATATACGGGTGACAGGTAAAACGAAGAGATCGAAGCGACGTTGCCCGTACCGAAAAAGCCGACGTGGAGGAAGAAGAGGTAAAACAGGCTGACACGCAATTCGGGCAGCATCAGCAAGCGTCGGGTCTCTTCCGTTCCAGCTTCGGCCGGAACCCGCCGCGACTCGTGAAGCGAGCCCTCCATCTTTGCCCACACGAGCAAAGTCATCGAGTAGCAGCCGAAGAAAAGCACTTCGTCTCGCAGCGAGAGAAGGATGAAGACGGGTGCAAATGCGAAAACGACGATCGCAAGTCGTTGACCGATTGACTGCCTGACAAGAGTACTGGCAACATCACCTTGTCGGGATCCGACAATGGTGGCACGGCGGAAGCCGTAGGCAAATGGAAAGACGAGACAGATGGCAAGACAGGACCACGCGAGCAGCTGTGTTGCGAATGGAAGTCCTCGTTTCAATTGTAGCGATCTTGCCGACACAGCCGTCGTTATGGCAGTGACAACGAGCACTACAAGCTGGAAATGGATCGTGCGCAAGGTGTGTCGAAGATGGAGTGACTGCGCATCCTTTACCGCTTGCGGCGTCTCATCTCGGCGAAGCTGGGTTTCTTTTGAGCTTGACGGTGACACGGTGGCATCGCCAGGGAAGAATAGATGAGGACGCTGGACGACCAGACAGCCGGCAGCGAGGAAAACGACGGCGCTGAGCATGAGCAAGGGAATGCTTTCTTCTTTGTTGACGTCGCCGATGGTAAACAGTCCCGTCATCAGGCAGGAAAGACCCCACACCAAGATGAGGCCTTCGTTGTCCGACTTGAAGTCGGCGGACAATGCGAAGGCTGGCCACGCAAAGCCGATCACGATGAACCCTATAAACCAGGCGACTCGGTATAGATAGCCGACGGCCATGAGCTCCATGATGGCGAGGCCCGAAATGACCGCAAGTCCCGTCTTTACAATCGAGGTGCCCTGTTTGAGCCGGGAATAGTGGTGATAGGCTGCAAAAAGGAGCGGCAGATCGTCGATGATGCGGCCCCAGAACAGAAACGCCAACGCGGCATAGAGGTAGTACGAGATGGGCATTTCCTGTGCTGCGAACAGTGCGAAAACCGCTCCTGATACCGGCGCAACCATGATCTTGACCAAGTTCGGTCTCGTCCTTGCGCCATTGGACGAGCGTGCAGCCAGACTCTCGATGACCGAGTTTGGGAGCATGTAGTTGCGAAGCAAGAAGATGAATGCGTAGATCATCGAGCCAACGTAGCCAAGGGCAACGATGGTACAGAGGAGCAGCCAGTCATACGTCTGCAGGTAGTGTGCGCCCTGGATGGAATCGTCGATGAGGGCATTGCTCTTGACGATCGCTTCTTCAAACTGACTGTCTTCAATGTGGGCAAGGATTTCCTCCACCTTTCTCTGTCCGGGACGTGCCTTTCCAGCGCCTTGCGAGAGCGGACCGAAAGGCCTGTAGCGCACCATTCTCTTGGCTCTCGAGTCGTGCTTGACTCGGTAGGTTTCGAGCACCTGTTGCGCGTTTGCAAGGAGCGCGCGAGCTTTGTGCTCTTCAGGAAGGTCGACCAGATCGAGTCGCAAGCGACCTTCCGAGTTGGCTGGTACCGGTACGCCCAGCAGTGTGGACATGAGGGGCGTGATGTCGGCCTGATCAACATCGGAGCGAGCTACATCGTCGAGGTGCCAGTTGGCAAAGTAGGTATCCTGCCTTGCCTCTGTGCTTGCCTGCCTCTTCTGTTGGGCGGTGGCTGATCGAGGCGCTCGCAAACCAGCCCCCCATGCCACGAGAGGTGTGCGTGTGTTGTCCGGGTCGCCATCGCCGTGGTTGCCCTTGACGCTCATGCCGTGGTCCGCTGTGAAGACATAGGCAGTGCGCGCGTCGTCATTAAAAAAGTCGTCCGTCAACCTCTCGACTTCTCTCGCAATGGCGTCCACGACGATGGTGTTGCCGACGTATTCGGGAGAGTGCGGTCGATATGTGTGACCTGTGGTGTCGAGACCCAGCAAATGAAGAAAGAAGACGGCACCTGGCGCTCGTATCTTTGCATCCAGCGCCTTGTCACTTCTCGCTCGATCGAGTAGATCTTTGAAGCGATCCAGCACCCAGAGGTCGAGATGGCTGGCATCTTTGGTGAAATCTTCGTCTTGCTCTTGGTACGTCCACATGTCTACTCGATCCGCTGCTGCTCCGACCGCAAACATGGGAACGATGTCAGGGGAACCGAAGGCGAATGAGTGACTCGATTGGTTGAGAAGAGAGTCGAAGGCGATGGGGTTGAGCTTCCATCCTTTGGTCACAGCACTGACGTCCTCGTACATGCCTGCGATCATGGCCACGTGGCCGGGCCTGCTTTCGGTGGGGACACGGGTATGGCTTAGCCCCCAAGCGCCTCGACTTCTCGAGACACTGCGCAAGAAGGGCGCTACAAATGCCGAATCTGGGACAAGCTCGCTGTGTATACGATTGTCGTGCGACGACTTGTTGTACTCGAGCGCAAGCGGGTAAGGATACGGCTGCCGAAGAGGATCTCTAGCAAAAGATGCCCATGAGCCCATCACGCCGTGTCGATCGTACGAATCATCTCTTGGTATTGACCATTCCGGCAGAAAGGGAGGAGAATGCTTCTTGAAGAGGGTATCGGCACGCAGGCCGTCTCCGACGATGAGCACCAGACGTTTCGCTGGCGCTTCGAGGTGGTCAGCAGTGGTGCTGCTTTCAGGATTGACGGTGCTTTTGACGCTGAAGCGAGGCTCCGGATGCACGACTGGCGAAGTGAAGTAGATGTCGAATATGGAAGAAATGTATACGATGTGGAAGAGCAGATTCAGAAGCAGGAAGCGGACTGGGGAGACCCTGGCGAGCTTCTTGGCCGTGCTTGCACTGGCAAGAGGAGCCGCATCGTTACCAGACGAGCGAATCGACGCAGAAGCTGCCAGCGCTTCAGCTGATGCTGCCTTGGTCATGACCCCGGCGCACCTCCTGTCTGTGCAAGATGCGAAAGTGTCGAGTCGAAGTTCCAACGTATCGGAAGCCTGAGGATGGTGAAGGGAAATGGAAAGGCTGATCTGAGCGAGCGAGAAGAACTTAGTGGACGCTTCAAATGTGGACCCTTCCGGCAAAAAGAAGACACGTGCGGAGGAAATTGCCGAAAGCTCGGAAAATGGCCGACACGGTCCTCTGCTTTCGTTGTCCCTCGTTGAATCGTTATCGAGGGTCATCGTGAATATTGCAGGGCAATCATTGATTCGGGCTCAGCATCTTTACCGTTGTATTCATGGTGATCCTTCGGTATCATCGTCCGGGAAGAGAAACTGCCATTTACGATGATCTGATGTACACATAAAGCATGATCTGGTTCGAGTCTTCCTCATTGCTGCTTCTCGCTGTCTGAGCGGATCTCGATTCCAGGTGGTTTGCCCAAGAGCTGGCCGATCTGTCCGTACAGTACGAACTGTAGACTGACGAGCGCCGAGGTCATGGCTATCCTCGTGCCAAGACCGGCCCAGATACCGACGGGACCAGTCTCGCCTGCGAGACGAACAAGCTTGGACATTGCGCTGCCCTTTCCTCCTCCGCCCTTGTTGATCTTGCTGAGCAGAGTATCGGCGGGGTGAGAGAGGATAGCAGCAGCAACACCGGCGACCACACCGCATCCGAGCTGAATACCGACTTCGCCTGCCTTGCCGTACTTGGCCTGCTCCTCTTTGGACACGGCAGAGTCGACGACGGTGTGTGCCCACTCGTTGGTGACGAATTGGCCGATAGCGTAGGGAACCTGCTTGCACAAGATGGGAGCATATCCAGCGTAGAAGCCAGCGAGACCCTCCTCTGCGCCCATGCGAGTGATGGCCGAGACGAGACCTTTGGCGTAGCCTCGCTCAGAGACGAGACGGATACGAGCAGCCTCGAGAGGAGTGAGCAGCGTGGTAGCGATCACCTCTGCAGCTGAGGCACCACCTAGGTAGATGACCTGACGGTACTGCTGAGCGGCTTCGTGGCTGCCAGCCCAGTCGACACCCTTCTTCTTGAAGAACTCGTATCCGGCGAATTTGGCACCACCCTGGATTAGGTAGCCGACGGCGGTGGGACCGAAGCCGGTGAGCAGGCCTGCGGGACCTTCGGAAGAGATGATCTTGCGGCCCATGGAAAGCATGGTCTCTTTGGAACCCTTGGGCTCGAGCTGAATTCGCGTCTTGATGACATCGATCGGCGTCATGGCTCCGTGCGTGAGGGTAGCACAGAGCGCACCGGAGGCGAAGAAGCGCGCATAGTCGCCAACGCTAAAGGTGGGAGTCAATGCTGCGCTAGAGGAGGAGGCGGAAGCACCGTCCTTGATGCCAAGACGACTTTTGACCTCATCTTTCGAGATTGGTGGAAGCGGAGAGTCTCGCGACCCTGCTGTGGATGTGGTCGCCATGGTACGGCAGGGATATACTCTAGGCAGTGATGCCGGGTACCTGTACAGCCTTGGATGCAGTCGCGCTCAGTAGAGATGGACCGATGGAGAGTGGTCGCCAGCGCCGGATGTCGATCAGCGTGTGTTGGAAAGGAGGAGGAGAGGAGGTATCCGACTAAATACTCTAGTCGATGTAGCCGACCGGGAAGAAGGATGACAGGCTGTGACGTGCAAACTTGCTTATCCTGCGGTTTGCTGCCAACTCCGACGCAGCTACACTGTAAGTTGCACACTGAACATGCGTTCCGGAAACATTTCTCCGAAAAAGGAGGAAGCCGAGAAGCGTTTCCCTATCAGGACGGTAAGCGCTGAGTATTGTGGGAAAAAGATACAGCATGTGCGCTTGCCAGGGTCCTTCCCGAACGATGACGTTGTTGCACAGGCGGCAGCTGCATCCCAAGTTCCAGATTAAATCGAACGGGCACATCTCATCGCCGATTCGATTTACAATTGATTGATCAATCTCGATTGCGAGTGGGCGTGTGTTGCACTCTCGCTCAAATCATGGTCAAGTGGGTCTTCGTCAGGCTACACGCTAGGCCGCGGCGCTAATTAATGCAATGAAAGGGTCTCGCTTCGCCCTGCTCTGACCAGAACGCGACATCTTCTTCTTCTGGGCAGCTCAGCTTCGAGGCGACTCGTCCCTGCTCTCTTCCACTCCCCTTCGTCCCTGAATCGACCACGCACGCAGCCTCTCCATTGGCATCGCCTACCTGATAGCCCGTTCGACATTTCGGACAGATTTCTTTGTCGCCAGTCTCGGGCCGATCGCTCTTTGCGCATCGCAGTTCAACGACACCATGGCACAGGCAATTGACGCAGCCGGTCCGAGCTCGCCTACCGCCCCACGTACCAGAAAGCCAGGCGAGGTGCGTTCTAGGAGCGGTTGCTTGACCTGCAAGCAGCGCCGCAAGAAGTGCGATGAAGACTTTCGCATCCGCCAGAATGGTGCCACGTCTTGCAACAGATGTGCAGACCGTGGTATACACTGCGAGCAAAGCACGAGCGCCACACCCCAACGATCTGCCCACCAGCAGCGACCGTCTCCTTATCCAGCGCCAGGTGCAACACCATCTAGCTCGTCCAAGCTTCCCTCTCGTGCCGCCCGCGGGCCCAGCTCTACTGCTCATGCTCAACACTCCGATATCCTGTCAACGACATCCAACCCAGCCGCTCCGATCGGCACGCCAACGGGCGCGTACGCCGCCGCTTTGGATCCGTCGCTGGCCTGGTCTGGTTCTGCCCACTTCCCCATGCAGTCCTTCTCTCAGTCACAGCTTCAACACGTCGGCGCTTTTCCCGGCCTTCAGAATCCCGCTGTTGCGAGCCAGCTAGCTTGGATGAGTCAGAATCCTGCCATGATGAATCGGACAACCGTCCGATACAATCGACCCAACATCTGGCCGGCATCGGCCTCCACGAGCGGCGCCGATCCAACCAACACTGCTGCTGTCCAAAACGCTGCTGGCAACCTTCCTGCGCAGAACAATGCTGTCGACATGAACGCTCTCTTCAATATGCTCAACAACACATCCACAGCAGGCCCCGTCGCAGCCGGCACGGGTCAGTGGAACCAAGCGTATCCCGAAAGCATGGACAATATCATGCTCGACGACTTTGTCAGCGAGCTCATGAGCCTTACCGGTCCTCTCGTGGGTGGCGAAGCAGCTTCCACCGTTCCTCAGACCGCCAGTAACACGCCGAGTGCGGGAGCACAGCGAACATCCCCGTCCGAGGCGCAGTCTGCACCTCGAGCCGCGCAAGAGCCGTCAGGTGCGGCCGCTTCATCAGCAGCGGGCGCTCAGAGAAATGTGGAAACTGTCACCGCAGCGAACACCACCCCGCGCTCGAAGCAAGCCGGCCTTGATGACAGTGCAGCTCTGCCTGCGAAGGATCTCAAAGCCGGCAACGGCAAACCAACTCTCCCGGGACGCACTTCCAATCGATACCGCAAGCTGCTCGATTCGGACGCGATCGAGTCGCTCTTGAGCAAGTACAGCCCTATCTACGAACGATTTTGGCATGCTACGCTCATGTTGCTTTCTAACAAGAAGCGGCAGGCTGCCGTCGACTACCTCATGAGTGTAGTCCGATCCAACAAAGCTTGTCGAGCGTCAGTCGTGGTCGTCTGCCTCGCCTACCACGAGCTCGTCCAGCGCATTCGTAAAGGCGCTCAGAAGAGTGCTGGCAGTGGTAGACAATCGCAACGCGATACGACTGGCGCACCTCCTAGCTGGACCACGACAGCCATCGACGCCGTCGAGAACGGGAAGAAAGCCGAGGCGGGTCCACAGGATGGCATGTCCAACACCATGATGAACCTCTTCCCTCGTGAATCTGGAGACGACGACGAGGATGACGAGGACGACGATCGCTCGATTCGATCCGATGTTGCCGAGGATTCCAACGACGAATCCATGCCTCCGTCGCGTGGCGAGGACTGGGCGGATTCGGAGGACGAACCGCAGGAAGAGATCAGTACCATCTCACGACACGGCCCGGGCGACAGATCCTTTGCCTCGACAGGGTCCAAGCACGCATCCGATCGCTACGGCTCCACCAGCTTCTCGCGTCAAGCATCCACCACTTCTCGATCACCACATGCGTCCAATCGTCCGAGTTTGACGGGCAAACTCTCCACCGTCAAAGACAACATTCAAGAGATGGACGACCCTAGTCGCGATGCGTTCCACGGTCAAAAGGTGGAAGAGCATACCGTCGAGCTGTGGTTCGACATTGCTCGAGCCGAGCTTGAGCGCAGCAGGGAGGAGTTGACGCTCGATCAGGAGCTGTGTGCCATCATCAACCTGCGTTGGGCTTGTCTCTGTTTTGCAGGTGCTGAGAGGGCCAGGCAGTTGACCGAGGAACTGGGCAGGGTGATGCAGAGAGAAGGGATCGATATGGATCACGCGGTCGAGGAGGAGAAGAAGGGAAGTTTTGTGAGCGTCATGCTGCTCACGGCGGTGTATACGGATGTGTTGGATACGGTGTCGGATAGAGGCAAGAGGACGCACGTTACACTGCGAGGCGACGGTCCGCCTGCTAAGCTGAAGCGCGCCAGCGACGTCACGGGAGGAGAAGCAGCGACGGGCAAGACGGAGCCGTTCTTCGGTAGAGTCTCTCTGATCTCGTTGGAGATGTTGACGTGTTTCAAGACGATCTCGGACCTCTCGGCAGATGTATGGGGTCCCAGCACGCCGGGTAGGACGAAACCGTCGCGACCGACCGAACAGGAAGTGGCCGAACGTTCGAGGCAGATCGAACGCAAAGTCATGTCCCTCCCGCCGTGGTCGGACCCGAACACCTCATCTTCGCTGCGCGTTAGGGCGTTCGCATTGCAAGAGATCTGGCGTCAGACGGCGAGGCTGTATCTGTTGCAAGCGGTGCATCGTCGAGGACCGTTGTTTCCGGAACTGCAGAGCATCCTGCACGAGATCATTCGACTGGCAAAGATGGTCAAGGTGCAGAGTTTCACCGCTGTGGCACCTGTGGGGGTGACGACGACGGTGTCGAGGGCGAATGCTCCACCGAACTATGTCGGTGGTTTGACTTCGGAGGATGGGTTTGGAGAGGTGCGAGATGCGAATCACCCAGACCCGTACGTCAACGCTACCTACGGCTTACCGTCTCCCTCGGACCCAGCCTCTCCGTCAGCCTCAGACTCTGGTGACGGGGCGACCAACGGTCCAGTCCCGTTCCAGATGTGGCTCGACGTAGCGAGCTGGGAGATGTGCACCGTGTGGTTCCTGTGCTGTACGGTGGCGCTGACGAGAGCGGATCGGCAGTTCTGCATCCACCATCTGGAATCGAGCGGGTTGGAGCGCGCGAACAGGGACAACATTCAGGTGATCAGAGACTACTGGAGCAAACAGGACAGCACGGGTTGCACGGTGGATTGGTTTGATTTCGTGAAAGGTTGTGGGAGGAGTGTTGTCTTTGCGTTCTGAGGCTAGGTTGCTAGCATCCATGGTGTATCTATCAAGCTTAATTCTACTGCACCCTTGGCTGGTGAAGGAGTGTCCTTGTACTTGAGCAGGAGGCGATCCACAAGTAAGCGCATCTTGGAGCCCAACTTCTCGACTTCTGACAGCGAGGGTGCGTACGTCTCGTACAGATCCTGCGTCAGGGAGGTGTACGCCAGCACCTGGGAGATCTGTTCCTCGCTCAAAGGGTGGTCGATATGCAGAGCGTGGGTGAGGTACGTGATGTGCAGGTTGAACAGGGATAGGGGGTCTTTTTCGCGCCGATCGATGGTAGATTGGATGGTGGTGTGGATGAGGTCGAGCGAGGTGGCGGGCGAGATGGCGATGAGCAGGCGGATGATGCTGTCGACGTGGGACGAGGGGGTGGAGAGGTACGACTCGAGTTCGGAGCGGGCGGCGTCGAGGAGGTCTGCGTCCTTGCTGGTGAGCGCGAGCACGGCGAGCGCCAGGATGGAGGGGGTGTGCGGAGGGTCGGTTTGGATGTTGCCGAAGAGGAGGGATTTGATGTCTTCGATGGCGGGGAGGTGAGAGGTGGCCCAGAGGAGTTTGGCGTAGTGGAGGGTGAGGTCGAGCGAAGTCGAGGGGTCGGTGGAGGCTGTGGAGAGGGCCTCTTGGATGACGGCGAGGGCGTCTTGGGGTTGGCCGGAGAAGTGATGGGAGAGGGAGAGGCCGAGCTGGCTGTGCACCTTGGCGTCGAGGATGCGTTGACGGTCGAGCTTACCGTCGCTTTTGTCGGTGTCCTCGTTTGCTCCGTCGTCCTCTTCACCCTCAAGCAGTCCGATGGCTGCTTCGAATGCAGTAGCTGCACCCTCACAGTCTCCCGTGGCGAGTCTGATCCGACCGAGATTCGATTCGGCGACTGCGTATTGACGCGCGACTTCGATCGTCTCGGTTGCCTCGTACCTCTCCTCCAGCAACGAAGCTGCTTTTGCAATTCGCTCGATGGCCAGATCCATCTGTCCCAGACGTTCCGACAGCAGCGCGGAGAGATGCAGCGCATCAACGTCGGTGGGAGAGTGGGAGAGGTAGGCAGACATGGCGAACGAGGCGCTCGACAGCGTAGCCTCGGTGATGCGTGAGTCGGCAGCATTCATCGCTGCGTATCGGCGCAACGCATCATACACCGCTTCACCGAATCCATAGTCGGCCTCCTGGAGACTGCCCTCGGTGAGCGACACGGCGTGTTCAAAGAGCACGCGCGAAGCACGATGATCTCCGAAATGCTGCGCAACCAGAGCTTGCCCGACCCAAGCGGCGCCGTAGTCCGGATCGACAGTCTGTGCTTTGATGAGACTCTCATTGGCCAGCTCGACGTCGCCATGGTGAAAATACAGCAGGCCCAGGTTGGTCCATCCGATCGGACTCTTGGGCGCGTTCTCGATGGCACGGACGAAGCAGTGCTGCGCCAACTTGACGGACGAGTGGAAGGTCAGGTTGCCCAAGAGCAGCCAGTAGGCCTCTTGTCCCGGTTCGTGTCGTAGGGCCTGCTTGATCGATCCGATCGCTTGCAGTCGCGCCTGCGCGCTCTGGGATTCGGCAAAGTCGACGATCGACGTCGATGCGGGCGCGGTCAAGAAGGAATGTGAGGATGGCAGGAGCATGGCTCGCGAGGCGCAGTAAAGTGCTGTGGCGAGATCGGCCCAAGCACTGCCTGCGACCTTGTCGTCCGAGGCATTGAGGACTACGCGCAGCTTGTAGAGGTACACGCTGATCTGGAGCAGGCGGAAAGGCGAAAGTTCCAGGTTCTCAGCTGACGAGCTCAGCTTTTCGTGCGTGACGACGCTAATCGAGGGAAGCTTCGCATCAGTGTCAAGCTCCTTGGCCAGCTTCAAGATCGGAGTCAATTCTCCCCCGCCATCTGTTGTCAGCAACGAGGCAGGTTGACGAAGGCGTCCAAACTTGCTGAGGTGGAAGGCGGCGTCTGCGATGACCTTCCACGCTGAACGCAAGTGTTTGTCGTGATGAAGAAGAACATGTGTCGCTTCCCGGATGGCGCAGTTGGCCGAGATCTCGGCTCGCTCGACGTAGCCCGTGGCGAGCTCCTGTCGAGAAGAGAGTAGAAAGGCGTTGCTCAGTGCCACCCTGACGCCAAGCTCCTGGGGATGCTTGTCGAGAATACTCGAGAACGTCTCGACAGCCGTGGAAAAGTTGCCGAGCTCGAGATGTACGTCGCCGATACTGTATTGTGCTTGCCAGCCGTCATCTTGAGGATCGTCGTTGGCCTCGACCAGCTCGAGGCACTTTGCAAAGCATTTCAGAGCGGCCACGTGCCTTCCGGCCAAAGCGTAAGCCTGACCGAGCCTCTGCCACGAGACCTGATCGTCAGGTTCTGCACGCAGAGCAATCTGAAATGCGAGAATGGCATCCTCGAAGCGCTTTTTGGCGATCTCGACGTTTCCGATGGCTTTCCACGCCCATGAATTGCGGGAGAGATGACGTCGTGAAGCGTGCAAAGCTGCTGACGTGTGACCTCCGATGGCGTCGGCACCACCTTCGCCCTCGATAGTTCTGCGAGCGACCACCTCGACCAGATCCCATTCTTGCTCCTCGGCGAATCCGACGGCGAGTCTCCTGGCCGCTTCGTCCTCGCGAGCATCAAGCTCGAACGCTTTTTGGAAGCACTTGCTCGAACGTGTGAGGTCTGGCGGTTGCAACACGTCCTCGTAGTAGAAGCCGAGCGAAGTGTAGGCGGGTGCAAATGCCGGGTTGCGCTTCAAAGCCGTGATGAAGGCGGTGAACGCATGCGACGGATCGGTGCGGTATTCGCCGTCCATCAACCAGAGGCACCGACCGAGGCGCCACCACAGCTTGGCACGTAGCTCGGCTGTTGCTCCTTGGTACGAGACCGGGTCCACTCGCTCAAGGATGGCTTCCATCTCCCTTTTTGCCTGTTCCACATGACCGAGATTGACATCGCACCAAGCGGTCTCGATCCAGGCTTCCTGGTCTGGATCTTGGCTGAGTGAAAGTAGGCGCTCGATGCGGATTCTGTAGTCGTCGGTCTTTTGCGTTGCGACGATGCTTCGAACTTGACCAAACAGGGAGTGCGCGGACTCCCAACGATCTGCGCGCTGCTCGATGTAAGCCTTGGCCAGCAGCGTGTCGACGTCGGAGGCGTCCGTATGCAGGACGATGTCGATCAAGCGAGAAGCGCGAGCGTGGTGCTGAGGTGGATGCAGATGCGTCAATGCCGAGAGAAGCGTTTTCGAGGTGCCGAGCCGAGACGGTTGGAGATCCACGGCGCTATCAGCTTCGATGCGGCTGACGACATGGAGCGCAGAGCTGGCCACATCCGAGGCAGACTGAAAGTCGCGATCGAGAAGATAGAAGGTAGCGGCGATGCGGTGGGCAAGAACAGAGTCTGAGCATTCCTCGAGACCGTCGATGGCGAGATTGAGCAGGTCGTCGTGAGACTGAGGTTGTTGGATCTCGACGTCGGCGCGCTTCTCCTCCTCCTTGATCTCGTGGAGATACTGCTCGTCTTTGATGAGCAGCAGGTACGATCGAAAGGCTTTGGTGCGGCCGGAGCGTGGGAAAAGAGCGATGAATTTGCGAATCTGCTCTAGTCGCAGATCTGCAAGCGAGGAGATCGGACGCCATTCCAAATCGATCTCCCAAGCCAGCTCGTCGGGGAGACCGATGATGACCATTCCCGACGCAAGCTTGAGAATTTCGTCTCTCAAAGTGCGTTTCGACTCGTCCTGCTGTTGCTCTGCCTGTTGCTGCTGTTCTTGCTGCTGACGGTCGATGGCTGCTGTGCCTGTTGGTGCATTACCGCTGGAAAGCTGTTTTGGTGGGAAGGAGGTGAGCAGACCGAGCCGGTGCCGCAGCAATTTGGCTTCGACTTCGATTCGAAGCTCGTCCTCGGCTTTGGGATGCGACAAGACCTGCTCGTAGAGGGGTGGGAGCCGTGATACGGAGTAGTACTCGAGCCGTACCTCGTTGGTGAGTGCCTCCTTTCCCTTGTTGGCGCCGTCGAGCCGCATCCTCCTCTTGTCGGCTTCCTTTTGTATTGTGTCTGCCTCCCACTTTTCTGACAATTCGATCATTTCGAGTAGCGTGTCCAGACTCTTGACATGAATGGCCATCTGAGTATCAAAGGTGGTCGTCTTTTCGGGCTGCGTCTGATCTGGGATGTCTAGTGTCGAAAGACAAGCGTAGTACCTCGAGTCTGGAAGGAGCAGCTCCAATGTGTCGATTACGCGTTTGCGTCCTCCTTCCTCGCGCTCGAGGGCGAGCAGGCGTTGAAAAGTTTCGGCACACTTTGTTGCATCGCCTGCGTCGTTGTAGAGGTCCATGAGCGTGTACAACACATCTCGCAACTTGTCCCAACTTTTGCGTTGATCGTAAAACTTTTGCAGGCCTTGCCACGCCAGCAACTGTTGCGGATGGTCGCGTGTGGCAGAAAGATAGGCTGCCTCGGACTGGTCAAACTTTTGCTGGTTGAGCAGAGCGAGACCTAGGAAGACGTTTGCGTTGTAGTTGGTGCTTTCTGATTCGAGCACGCTGGCGGCAGCTTCTGCAGCTGCCGACCAATCTTTCTGGGTCAGAGCATCGCGGGATTGCTTGAGCTTCTGCTTTGCGTATGCCGAGGACATGGCTGCCGGTGCTCCGAAGGTCGGCTTGCTCTGTCATGCACCTTCGCCGGTGATGAACAAACAGGCTTTGTGGACGCGAGCCAGCCGTATGCACGACATGAAGGGAGTAAGAGATGAAGTGGCACGGATGTTGGTGCAGCGTCGGTGCATCGGCGACAAATGTGGATTTTGTGATTTCTTCTCGACACGAGCGCTGCAGCTTCCTCCACTTTTCCCGCTTGGTCACATCCCGCACCTCGTCATATTTCTCTCTTGCTCCCCTTTGCTATACCGTCTTCTCATACAGCATGCGAGTACTTGCGCTCTTGAGCAGTACGTCCTTTCTAGTCCTTTGAGATGGCCAGAGCAGGGGATCGTCGTCGATGACTGTGTGAAGTGGTGCGTGGCTTTGTACGAGCGGTCATCACGTGACGTGTGGAGCTGCAGCCAGGGATGCACAGCTAAGGTCAGGTTTCAAGTGCGCCAAAGCCCGTAAAAAAGTCCGAGGGAGGATTCATGCTTCTGCTCAGATTTCCAATTGCCGCGCCAAGATAAGGATGCTCCTTCGATGTCATTTCACTCTGCTGTTCTTTCCTTCCTCGACCAATCCTTGACCTTTCGATCGACCGATCACCAGCGCAACATCGCTGCGTCGTCAAAATCAACGATGGCATCGCGCGATCCGTCCAACAATATCGTCCAGAATGAAGCCGACAAGTACCCTCGTATCTGCCCCGGAGGCGGATTGCTGATAGCATGGCAGCTCAAGGGCAAAAAGGTACTCATCGTCGGTGGTGGCCCCGTAGCAGCAGGTCGACTCGTCAACGTGCTCGATGCAGATGCCATCCTCGACGTCATGTGTCCCTCTTCCGGTCTCTGCTCCGAAATGCGTTATCGCATCTACACCGAAAAAGTGGTCGCCAACTACGTCGATGGCATGTACGACGAATCCTCTCCCGAGATCCTCGATCAATACGACATGGTACTCACCGCCATCGATGACATCGAGCTGTCAAAAAAGATCTGCTACGAGTGCCGCTCCAGGCGCATCCCCGTCAACGTTGCAGACGTACCTCCCGAATGCGACTTCTACTTCGGTTCATTGATCCGCAACGGTCCGCTTCAAGTCATGGTATCCACCGGCGGTCAAGGGCCCAAGATCGCCTCCCAGACCCGCCAAAAGATCCAAGCCGCCATCCCCAAAAACGTCGGTCAAGCCATCACAAATGTCGGAAAACTTCGTGCCATGCTCAGAAAACGTGCACCCAGCGCAGAGATCGGCGCGCGCAGGATGAGATGGATGATCGAGGTCTGCGAAAAGTGGAACCTCGACGAAATCTGTACAATGACCGAACCGGATATGAACAAGATCCTCGATGGTTGGGAGTCGGGCTACGTGCCCAGTTACAAGAAGGTCAAAGGTGGTCTGCCCTTCCTGCCGTCGGATGTCAGGATGAAAAAGGCCTTGTTCGGGACGTGCCCCGTGGTAGGCTATCCGAGCCCATACTTGACGGGATTCACCGGCGTCTTGTTGGGTGCAGCCGTGACAAGTGCCGTCTTCTTGTCAAGAGGCTGGCAGCGTTCGTGATGGTATTGGTCTACATATTGCAATGTCACCCATTCTGTGCTTTTGTCTCTTGTTCAAGCTCCAAGCTCAGGCAGCATTAGCGGCACAAATCTTCAGAACAAAGATCATGACACAAGATTCTGAGGCAAGGTTCCGCAAAGATCAAGAAAAGGTGCAGTCGAAACCCACACAAGCGCTCTACTCGTCATCCTCTTCATCCTCGTCCTCATCCTGCTCTTCCTCCTCGTCGTCCTCATCGCTGCCATCCCTTGACTTACGACTCTTCTTCCTCGAAGCAGCTTCTGAGGAGCGAGCCGAAGCAGCACCCTTCGAGGTCGATTTGCGACTCGACTTGCTCGCCGACTTGATCGACGAATGAGCATACGCATCGATCACCTCCTCCACATCCACCCGAATCGCACCAAAGAAGCTCTTCAATCCCTCCAAAGCCGGCGTCGCTTCGACTCCCAGCCCACCCAGCCCCGCCTCCACCTGTGCAGCATACGCTTTGGCGAAAGCAGCCTCAAACCTAGCCAGCGCGTTCCTGGTCACCGTATCCGTGATCTCGTTGAGCTCGTGCAGACCCGTCAGCAAGATCAGCACCTCCTGCACCTTGACATCCTCCAGCTCTTCCGGGAGGTACAGCTTACCCAGCAGCTGGCACATGACTTTGCGATCCTTGCAATCCTTGGTGTCTTCGATCGTGTACATGGCTTTGATCAGCTCGATCGCCACGTCGATGTGCACCGTCTCGTCGCGCACCTGACCGGGACGCATCATGACCTTGTCCGGATCCGACCAGTCGAGCAGCTGCAACCCTACCTGCGTAGGCGTCACCATCTCCTGATCCTCGTCCTTCTCCTCATACACCTCGGTGAGCACCTGCAGCACCGAAACAAACACCCTTTGCAGACGACGCTGGTTTCGGCTCGAGGATCCGCAGTAGACGGGAAGGAAGTACGACAGACACTGTCGAAGCTCTTGGTTGTCGACAGTCTCGGGCGACATGTAGATCAGCACCAGACTCTTGAGCGCTTCGTCATCATCCACCATGCCGGTCAGCATGAGCTTGGCCATACCCTCGCAGGCTGCGCTCTGGATGGTCGGATCCTCGTCCTCGAGCAAGCTGAGCAGGTACGAGATGATCTGACGTCTCGCCATCTCCTTTCCTGCCGGATTGCGAGAACAGAGGTAGGGAATGGTATGGTTGATGAGCAGGTCAAACACCGCTTGCACCGCGGTCAACTTGATCTTGCCCTCCGCGCGTTGGATCTGATCGATGAAGAGCGGGAATGATTCCAGCGCCAGGTTCTTGTCGAGCAGGCAGCAAAGCGCAAGGCACATCAGTCCCAGCTCGCGTACCGGTGCGTCTTTGGAACGCACCGCAGGAGCAATCAGCTGCGGGATGAGACCGTGGAAAGCCGTGTTCTCGTGAAGAGCGCCGACGACGCGCTCCAACATAGCTCGCACGATCGTGAGGCAGCGATGCTCGGTCACGAGCGCATCCTGTGCCGAAGTCTCCTTGACCTTGAGCGACTTGCGCGGCTTCTTGCGCGCGAGCGGAGTGCCATCGATGCTCATCGTGTCGTCGATTTGGCTCTCGTCGTATTCGAGCGCCTCAGCCTCATCCTCGTCGCCAAGATCCAGCACGATCTCGACAATGATGCGCATGAAGTCCTTTTGAGTGGTGAGCTTGAGAAGCACGTCGAGGCATCCGGGCACGAGATCCTCAGGAAGCTCGATGTCAGAGATCATCTCTCGGACCAGACCGAACATCTTGTTGCGGCCGGCCTCGTCGCCGTAGTCCGAAGCGAGGCCGATGCCCAGCAGCTGAGAGACGACAAAGGTCTTGTTGCGGATGGTGAAGGCCGCAATTTCGGCCTCGTCTTCGGGGACGAGCGCACTGTTGACGATTGCATTGTATTGCTGGATGAGCTGAACCAGCTCGCCGTACTCCTTCTGGATGCGGAAAGCCAGGGCGGTGACGACGGGCAGGCACTCTTCGAGACGACGGTCGTTCTTGGTGCGCTTAAAGTAGTCGACGAAGACGCGGGCAAGGAAAGCAGTGGACGGCGACAGATTGGCCCAGAACTCGTCGGCATCGAACGAAACCTGAGCAACCAGGCTCGGGCGACTCTCCAAGATGCTCAGAAGTGCAGCCTCGATGTGCTTGGACATGACGACGTCGAATTGATTGAGGAAAACGACGAGATCACCACCGCAGGCGTCGAACCAAGCAAGGACGAGCTTCTGCGCAGTGCGCTTGACGCTAGGCTCTCGTTCGCCCATACCGATACGGACAACCTCGCCAGCCGAGTCGATGTCGAGGCCGAGACGGGATGGACCGGCCTGCGAAGAGGCGGCACCTTCGAGGGCCTTGCTCTGCGCCCTCAAGAGCGTCGAAAGGCTTCCGAGATAGACGCAGCGGCGATTGATGGCATCGATATCGCGCAGGCGTTCGAGAAGCAGCGGCATGTTATCCTCATTGGGGGTGAGATTGAAGAGAGCGGCACGACGCACATCGGCGCTGGGGTCGAATCGAAGCGTCTCGACGAGGACGTTTTTGATCTCTTCCGAGTCCTCGTCGTCGTCATCGTCTGTTGTCTGGAGCTTGGTCAATGCGATGACCGCCTGTACACGTACAGCGGACTCCTTATCCCTTGCACGATTGAGCATGAAAGACTTGAGCGTCTGGAAGAGCTTCTCGTCGAGTGCTTCGAGGCCATTGATGAGAAGCGCGATGCAGCCGCAGCAGCGAAGTCGCACACTCTTGTTCTTGGACACGGATCCTTTGAGAAGATGCTTGAGCAGCAGTGAGGTAAATCGAGTGGCTGTGGTGTCCTCCTCTTCCTCGTCTTCGTCCTCGTCCTCGGACAGTCCTGCAGCCTTCCTAGATTCAGCCTTCTCGGCGCGAGCCTGAAGCCGGAACTGTTCCTGCGCATATGTGACGTAGCCGGCGACAAACTTGCAGATGCGGTCTGCGTTGGCCACGCCCTTTTTGATGGGCAGAACACGATCGAGGCAGCCGATGAAGACTTCGTTGAATGCCTTCTCGCCAATCGGCCTCACACGACCATCCGATGCAGGCTCTACGATGGTGGACACTTTGAGGTGAATGTGGTGCAGTGATACGATGTTCTTTCGATGGTTGGCAGGGCTGTGCTGAGCCTGCTGAAAGTGAGGGGGGATCGAGGCGTGCAGAGCAATGAGAGTAGGGTCGGTGATCTCTCGACGCGGCTTTTCGACAGACTCGCGAGGAGCACGACCGGCGGCCGATGACCTCGACGCAACGGCGACGGGCATGATTGGGAAGGGTCGAAGCGCGCGAACAGGAGCTTCGAATTTGTAGCGTCGCAGATGTGATGATGGTGAGACCGTAAAGGATGGAAGGCAGAGGTGTCGCTGACTCTGCTACTCAACTTAGTCTGTCAGGCTCACTCAAGCACTGTATTGCATGCTCAGCGAACTCAGCAAACAGCGCTTTCTGAGACTTTGTGTTGGTTTCGAGACGCGTCCGAAAGCGATCCGGCTGCACCAGCGCTTCTCTCTGCGAAAATGAGTTTGGCCATTTCCACAGAGCGTATTTTGAAAGCAACACGCACACGCAATAGAGGCTGGCTGGCTTGCGTCTGTCTGTGCATGGCGTGTTGGTCTTTTCGCCAAAAGTTGATTTTTCCGCTGAGCGTGTCGAGCCGCTAGTGAGGTCACGTGCCTCCACTTGGCAGGAAATCCGTTTGGCCTTCGCTGAATTTTTGATTGGCTTTATGGAATCTTCCCGCTCCTCGTGCTCACACTTACTACGCTCTACCTTGTTGCTTGGATCCTTGTCTTAGGAGAATTGCCTCTTGGGTGCAACAGCGATCACGATGCCGCTGCAAGTACTGTCGCGATCTCAGGGCGACTTCTTCCTTCGAGGGCTCACCTCGGATCCACCGCAGCGATCCGACGGACGACATCTGCTGGCTTTCCGCGCCCTCGACGTCGATACAGGTGTGGCCGCGCAGGCGAATGGCTCTTCTCGCATTACCCTCGGAGGGACCGAAATCTTTTGCGGTATCAAAGCCGAGGTACGGAGCTTCGGCGACGACAGCGATGATGAGGACGAGGAGGCCGAATTCCAGACGCAGGACGAGCTCGAGCTGGCGAGCGAAAGCAGGAAGACGGGTAGGATCAAGTGCTCTGTCGACTATTCACAGTCTCTCGTACACTCGTTCGACAGCAAGGTGCTAGAATCGCTATCCATTGCGCTCTCTTCCATGGTCAATTCAACCTTTTCGCCACGGTCATGTCCCTTGCCACTACACCAGCTGCTCATTATAGCCAACGCCAAGCACTGGACAATATACATCGATCTTTTGGTCAACTCTCTCTCGGGCGGCAACCTCTTTGACACTGCATTCGCTGCCATCTTTTCGGCATTCTACGATACGCGCGTTCCCGTGACTCGCGGTGTGGCCTTCGAGGCGCCAGCTACCTTGGACGCATCCGGCAACGCAGTGGAGGGCGCCTTCGCCAATGCACAGGGTGATCTCGACCAGATGGGTATCAAGGGCCTGCTCAAGAAGAAGCCCAAGTCCAGTGCATCCGGTCCATCACGCAAGGGAGCTGGAGCTGGAACCAACTCCAAGGTAGTCGATTTCGAGCTCGAGCATAGCGGCGAAGACGGTGCAACTCTGGACGGGCGCCAGGATCTCCCTCTCTGCATCACCGTCAACATCCTGCCCAACAGCTACCTGCTTGATGCAAATGTGGACGAGGAGGCGTGTGTTGGTTCGCGAGTTCAGGTGTTGGCAACACGAACTTCCAAGGTGCTCTCGGTGCGCACCGAAGGAGCCGAAGAGATCTCGTTCAAGCGTGTCAGCGAGGCTATCCGCATCGGCAGCGTCCAAGCTGCACGCCTAGCGGATGCGTTGTTAGGCCAGTTGGCGAATTCAGCTGGTCTCGACGACGAGGACGAAGCGCCACAAGCAGCTCAGGCTTCCATGGATGTCGACGCCTGACTTTGATGTTGAAAGAAGATGTTCCTCTGCCCTTATTCCTTTGCATACCGTGTATTTCTAGTCATTGATGCAATGCATCCTCCAACTATCTCCAAAACTTGCTTCGCAGGCTTTGTGTCCGCGAACCGACGTCCGGCTCCATCGACTTTCGAGCTTCTAGCGACGCCGTGTGAGGCAAGGGTCGTTGTGACAAGCTCGAACAAGAAGTGCAGCAACTTTGGTTCGCCAGAGTCGCCCTGATACACACACAACTATGGTCTGGCTGCTTTGAAGTTGAAGCTCAGTCATTCGCACAAACACAGTCGGGAACCGCTCAGTGGACTATCGACGAAAGCGCATAGATCGAAAACGTGGCTGAACTCAGCGAGGCAACGGTGCTGCGCTTTGCTGTGGCGAATAAGTTGAGGAGCGAAGCGCAGCTGCCCCGTGCGAAATGCACAGCCGCAGTGCCCACTTTAAATGGAATTAAAGTTGTTCGGGAATGATTCATGCTGCCCGCTCACCGATTCACCTTGACTGTGCACACACAATTGAACCGCTCTTGCCCTCTCACTTCCATCATACGTCGACATCGGGCCATTCTCGAGCAAGAATCATGGCCTCCTTCTTCCAAAAGGCCAGGGAGCGTGCCGAAGCCGCTGCTCAGCAGCTGCAAGCGCACCATGCCGCTTCCTCTACCAGTAAGACGGGCGATGCTTCTGCGTCGGGCGACCCTGCCGCTCCGAACTCAGCCTCAGCTTCCGGCTTCACATACACCGGCTCGGTTCCTCACCTCTTCCGACAAGGCCTCGCTTCCGTCGATCCTCGCTACGAATCTACCCGTCAGTTTCACCTGCTCAACCAAGCCGTCAAGAGCTTCAACATCGATCACGAAGCGGCTGGACGTGAAGCCAAGGCGCTCGCCAAGGCCACCTTTGTCTGGGGCCAGCATCACCTTCCCGAGAAGCGCGAAGACGGTGTCGGAGATGAGATGCTTGTAGATGTCGCCGACCGCCTCGCCTTTGTCTGGCACGAGATCGGTCAGCTCGAGACCGCCCATAGCCAGAGATCCGAGCAGGCACGCAGCCGTCTCAAGCGCTTCGAAAAGGCCGAGATGGAGCTGGGTCAACGAAGAGCCAATCGCAGCAAACTGAAAAAAGAGCTCCACGCTCTTGTCCCCGAACGCGCCATCGCAGCTGGGAGCGAACGCATCCAAAATACTGAGAAACGCCTGCAAGATCTGCTAAACGATGATCAAGCCGACGAAGAGTATCTCAGCCGCACCAAGCGCGAAAGCGTCAAGGAAGGCTACGCCGCCATGTTTGACAGCCTCATCGAGCTCGGCGAGAAGATGGCCCTCGCCGCGCGCTACGGCAAGCTGCTTACCACGCTGGTGCCGACCGACAAGTCGCCTTTCCCTGCCACCGTCAAGCATCGCGGTGACACGATTCCTCTGTGGGAGAGCGCATCCAGGACCGCCGAAGTTCGAGCAGCCCTCGCTTCTGCACTGACATCCTTCCGCCCTGATCTATCGCTTCCCAGCCTTCCATCGGACTCAGCGTTCTCAGCAACTGGCAGCCTCGGCCGCGCCGACACGGTCACGTACGCCAGTTCTCACAAGTCGGAGCTGCAGAATGATCAAGCCACCACAGCCTCGGCAGCCGCTGCTCCGCTTGCCGAGCCTCCCTCGCCGCGCAGGTCTAGCGGTTCATCGGATCGCGGCGATCTCCTCCAATCGGGCTTGGCAGCCTCGCAAAACAGCGGCAGCGGGTCCACACAGAAGCTCAATCTCAGTCCCACCGCATTGCCTGCGCCGCTGCTCCCACCTCGTCCTCAGCGAGGCTCGTCTTCGACTGCATCAGATACGTTGCGCTCCGCCACTGCCAACCCTTTCGCTGACTCTGCTGCAGCTTCTGCTGCTACCTCTGTCCCAGGCAGCACTGCACCTCAAGACGAAGAGCATCTCCCGCCTCCGGGTCCACCTGGCCCCACTGTCGCCGAGACGGGCGTGATTCCGACCGGTCCTGGCGGACCCAAGTCGGGAACCCTTCGACCACGCCGATCCTCGGTGAGCCAGCGTTCGGCCTCGATCTCCGCAGGCGCCGTTGCGTACCTCGGCCCCACAGGCACGTACAGCCACCAAGCTGCGCTCAAGGTGTTTGGCGAGGCGGGCACCAATCTCATCCCCATGCAGAGCATCACCGGAGCTATCGATTTCGTCCGTCGCGGGACACCTGGGAACGCCAAGATCGCCATCGTTCCGGTCGAGAATAGCACATTCGGGCCGGTGCGTGACACGTTGGACAACCTGCTCGGCATCAGCAACGGCGATCGCCACGCCTTCAGGCCCGAGGATGGCGCTCAGCTGCACGTGGTTGGCGAGGCGTGCTTGTCGGTGGACCATGCCTTGCTCTGCGGACCCAAGACATACCACCATCTGCTTCAGCTGCAGGGCGATACGGATCCCAACGCACCCATCCGCGACGACACGCTGTCCAACATAACCAACGTCATTTCGCACGAGCAAGCGCTCGGCCAATGCTCACACTATCTCACACGCTATCTGCCGCAAGCCAAGAAGAAAGCGGTCGAGTCGACAGCTGCAGCCGCTGTCACCGCTCTGGAATTTGAGGCGGGCACGGCGCCCGGCAGATCGTCCACGTCGATCGACCATGCGCACGAATCGCTCGGCTTCTCTTCGAACTCGCTCGTGGCTGCGGTGGGAGCCGAAGCAGCAGTCTCGGCCATCGGCGTGCGTGTGCTGCGATCTCGAATTCAGGATGTCAAGGACAACCGCACACGTTTCTTGGTATTGGCGAGTGAGCCTCTTGCAGCTCTGCTCTCGGTCAACGCGCTGCCAGCGGCAATGTCGCGTCTCTATCATGCATCGAGCGTCGCTGGCACGACGGGCCGCTCGCTGCTGAGCGTGCGTGACGCGCTCGCATCGGACCTTGCGGCGGAGGCTGGCAGCTACGGCAGCGACAGTGCCAGTGTACTCGACAAGCTGATGGTGCAGCTCTCACAATTGGGAAGTGTTGCTGTTCGGAAGGTGGACCGTCGGCCGGCCTCGATCGGAGAAGCGTCCAGCGATGGGAGCAGCAGCGTCTGGCGAAGCAGCTACTTGCTCGAGCTGCAGTATCCCGGCGCTTCTGCCAGCATCGCCGAGGCCAAGATACGACAGTTGATCGCAGATTTGACCCACTCTGCCGCCACGGCCGCCGGAGGTTCGGCACCTGTCCATTATCTGGGCAGCTGGATCGTCGATGCGATTACGCTGCGTGGTCAGCCTACAGTCAGCGTCAGTGGCCAGACTCCACAGAGATCAACCGTGACAGGTTCGTCCAGCTCCTCATTCTCTCCAAGCACGCTTGGCGCTTCTTCGCAGATGACGGAGAGGGAGCGGAAGGAGACGGAAGCCAGACAGGAAGCTGACGAAGTGCAACGACACGCAGCACAGGCACGTTTCAATCGACAGCAGCAGCAGGCGGAGTTGTACGGAGTAGGAGTGCAGCCGTCCGGGTCGTCAGCTGCAGGGTCTCGCGTGCAGCCGATGGCTGGACTTGAAGAGAGCGAGGCGGAGCCACGACTGGACGAGGAGGAAAATCTGCCTGTCTACCAGCCTCTTGACCCTGCTTCCCGGAGCTGATGTGTACGTTGCATCCCGTTTCTTAGCATCATTACGTATCGACTCGCAGATGACATCTTTTACTTCACTGGTCAGGCCGTGAGGAACTGTATCAGAGGCTGTCCAATATGGCAAGTGGTGGGCGAGGCTGTCGACGGAGGACCGTGGCTGACCAGATATAGGCAGGACCACAAAAGCTCGGCAAATCTTCACTGGCAGTGCTGCGCGCCTCAGGGGCTTGAGACAGTATAATAATATCGTGGATTGCAGAGCCGGTCCACTGCAGCAAAAAGCAGTGTTTGCAGGGTTTGCCAAGAGAATAGGGGCAACCGATGAACTCCTTTTTCCGAACGAGATTGTTAGGTCCGGGCTGAGGGCGACTGTGGACAGCGCGTGATGGAAAGCTTCTCAGGGTCCGGCTGCGCCGTGCAGACGTGTTGAAACGCCAAATCGTCCCAAATGACGCCGTTGCGCAGCGCGAAAAAGAAACACACACACCAAAAAACCCCAAACCCGAGAGTGAAACGGCAAAGTGACAGCTGAGGAGCAGTGTAGATATTCAAGTCCAACACTTGACAAACAGCACTGCTTTATTTTTTTGGCTTTTCGGAACACAGCCTGAACTCACAGGGCGCCACAAGCGCCCAAGCACGGCAGAGACGGTCCCTGTGTGTGCCTCGGCTGGGATCAGTCAGGGCTGTCATGCATCTGGCTCGTGATCTTCTGACCAAGGATCAGCAGCACCTTCTTCCGAGATCGCCGCATCGAATTGAGCTTGAATCTGTCTCTTTCTCTCCCAACTTGTTACCACCAACACCATCGCTATCAGCCATCAAGACGTGTCTCGTCTCGCCCACATATACCCGGAAAGCCTGCTTCATCTGGACGATCCCGACGGACAAGGCGACGAGGTCAAGGACTCCTGTCCACAAAATCGACTCCTTTCGCCAACGTCGCTTCGCTGCCCCTTCAACCCACTTCGATCTCCGCGGTAAGGAGTCCGAGACACAGCATGCCACCTCGCTATCCATTCGGCGGTGGGCCACAGTCCGATGAAGCTCATCATCAGCCGCAAGATGCGCACGGTCACAATGCGTATCCAACCTATGACATGGGCGCAGATCCAGCCACTCCGCCTCACGTAGCCTATGACCAGTATATGCCCCCTTCGACAGCAGGCGATCATTCCGGCTACGACCTGCCCTCCGCCAACTACTACGACGGCCATCGTCCCTCGTATCCGCCTGCCAACTTGAGCCCGCCCCGCATGGCGAATCCGTACGCAGACTCACAGCCTCAACACGGCGGTGTGGATCCCTTCGATGAGCATGATGGCGATGTCCCTCTCCTGCCAAGACAGGGCAACTACGCGTATGCTCCCGCCTCGCATTTCGACGAGCATGGGAACCATGTTGGCCCCATGGACAAGTACGCCGATGGTGACGACGACGTGATGGACGAGGATGTCGTTAATGGTCATGCGAGAGGACGGCTGCTGCGGACGCAGGCTCCCCATGACGACGATTACACACCCGGCGGCTTTGATCCAAACTTGCTCGAAAATGGTCAGGCTGGAGGAGTCCGCTTCGGCAAGATCCCTCAGCGTGTACCTCGACGATACAAGACACTCAAGAGGGTCGAGCTGTACCACGGCAACCTCGTCCTTGACTGTCCCGTGCCCTCGAAGCTGCTCGACAAGCTCAACGACCGAGAGTCTCGAGAGTTTACCCACATGCGATACACTGCAGCTACTTGCGACCCGGACGACTTCAAGAGCGAGCGTTACACCTTGCGACAGGTCCTCTTCGACCCGCCTCGCCGCACCGAGCTCTTCATCGTTCTGACCATGTACAACGAGGATGAAGAGCTCTTCACTCGCACCATGCACGGAGTCATGACCAACATTGCCCACCTCTGCACTCGAGAACGCTCCAAGACGTGGGGCAAGGAGGGCTGGAAGAAAGTCGTCGTCTGCATCGTCTCGGACGGCCGTCTCAAGATCAACTCGCGCACCTTGTCGTGTCTCGCTGCCATGGGTGTCTACCAAGAGGGAGTAGGTAAGAACGTCGTCAACGGCAAGCCAGTCACCGCGCACATCTACGAGTACACGGCGCAGCTCTCGATCGACCCCAGCATGCACTTTAAGGGCCGCGAAAAGGGCATCATGCCCGTGCAGATCCTCTTCTGCCTCAAGGAGCGCAACCAGAAGAAGATCAACTCGCATCGCTGGTTCTTCAACGCTTTCGGCCAGATCCTGCAGCCCAACGTCTGCGTGCTGCTCGATGTGGGAACAATGCCGAGACCTCGATCTATCTACCACCTGTGGAAGGCCTTTGACATCAACTCCAACATTGGCGGTGCATGCGGTGAGATCGTCGCTCTCAAGGGCAAATTCTGGGGTGCGCTGCTGAATCCGCTCGTGGCAGCGCAGAACTTCGAATACAAGATGTCCAACATCCTCGACAAGCCGCTCGAGTCGGTGTTCGGCTACATCACGGTGCTTCCAGGCGCCTTTTCGGCTTACCGCTACATCGCACTGCAGAACGACGTTCACGGCCAGGGTCCCTTGCATTCCTACTTCAAAGGGGAAACGCTGCACGGTGGTCAATCGGACGCCGACGTCTTTACATCCAACATGTATCTTGCCGAGGACCGCATCTTGTGTTGGGAGTTGGTGTCCAAACGGGATAGCGCCTGGATCCTACACTATGTCAAATCAGCGCAAGCTGTCACGGATGTGCCCGACCAAGTTCCCGAGCTGATCTCGCAGCGTCGGCGATGGCTCAACGGATCTTTCTTCGCCGGCATCCATTCGATTATCAAATTCGGCTACATCTACCGCTCTTCGCATTCGTTCGGACGCAAGTTTGCGCTTCACATTGAGATTGTCTACCAGACGATCCAGCTCATCTTTTCGTGGTTCGGCATGGCCAACTTCTTCATCGCCTTCTTCATCCTTACGAGCGCCATGAGCGACAAGATCCATGCGCTCAAGGTGCCCAATCTGGTGCTCTCGTACATCTACATTGCGTTCATCATCTTTTGCTTCTTGCTTTCGATGGGCAACCGACCCGCTGGAAGCAAGGCTGGCTATACACTAGCCATGGTGGTGTTTGCGCTCATGACGGTCTACATGACGGGTGCAGCCATCTATCTGGCGGTCAATTCGATCCTCAATGCGACGGGTCCCAATGGTGGAGGAGCAGAAGCGCTCGTTACGAATCGAACGTTTGTCAACATCGTGATCTCGCTAGCCGCTACCTTCGGAATCTGGTTGATCGCGAGCATCATGTTCCTCGAACCGATGCACATGATCACCTCGATCGTGCAGTATCTGCTCCTGGCGCCCACATTTGTCAACGTGATCAGCATCTACGCGTTTGCCAACATCAACGACATCTCTTGGGGTACCAAAGGCTCGGACAAGGTCATGACCGATCTTGGAGTCGTCGGTGGGTCCGGAACGAATCAGGTCGAGGTAGCCATTCCTACCGAGTCCAAGGACATCAACGACGCATACGACGATGCGATCCACGTGCTGAGCAACAAGGCGCCCAAAGCCGGACCTGGTCCGGTGGATAAAGAGCAAAAGCAGAAGGATTACTACGCCACTGTGCGAACGAACGTGGTGCTCTGTTGGAGTTTGAGCAATGCGGCGCTGGTGGTGGGCATCCTCAATATCAGCTCGGTGGGAACGAGAACGATCTACATGGGATTCCTGTTGTACTCGGTCGCAGGATTGGCCCTGTTCAGAATGATGGGGTCTACGATTTACTTGATCAAGCGGCTCTTCTCCGGCGAATAGATTCTGCACTTGGCGCTATAATGATATCACGAACATTTACGCATTCAGAAGATTCTTACACAATCCATACATTCTGTGTGGCCGATGGAAGCTGTGCTGCATGGCGTTTGACAGGGAAGAGACATGATCAGTGTCAAGACTAGTCAAGACGAGCATCAGATGGCGGCACTGTTGAAACACGCCTTAGCCTACGACGTTGGTTTTCCTCCACTTCGAGAAGAAGCAAGATGGAATAAAAAAGTTTGGCGACATTTTGAGGAAAAAAATTCATCGCGTCATGCTCGTCAACTCCAACTGCCAGCCGATCCACAGTTTTCGTTAGATCGGGCGTTTGGCTGAATGTGAGCTGCATCACTTCATCAATCACAGCGCCCACTTGACCTTTTCCTGACTGCGCACGTCTTGCCTTCTCTCGTATCACTCACACATCCTTCAAATCTGCACGACACTTCGAAGATCTTGGCGCTTCGATATTCATCTGGTCTGGAGTGCCTCATGACGATGGTCTGCTAAGTTAGCTGGAGTAAAGGGACATTCATTCGACGACCGACACGCGCTCCAGGGTCGAGGCAGAGACAATCATGAACGGCGCACAGGTGGTCGACGCAGCTCAACAGGCCGCGCTTTCTACGGTAGAGAAAGCAGGAGAGTCATCCAAGAGCTCAAATGGGTCTGCAGGAGGCAAAGGAAAGGGCTCAGCCTCGCGATCAGGCAAAGCTTCTGAGCAAAACCGTGCTTCCAGCTCGAAATCGACAAAAAATCGCTATCGTACCGGAACATCCGACGACGGTATCTACATTGATCTCACTGGCGAGGGCTCAGATAGGGAAGCAAAGTCCGATAGGATAGACGATGGGACAAACGGCGACGGCGATCACGACGCCGAAGATGAGCAGGAAGAGGAAGGTGCATATACGCAAGAGGCAGAAACTGGTGAAATGAGCTTCGTTATCGACACGGCTGGTGATATGGACGTCGACCGAGAGATTGCCTTGGAAGATGAAGCAAAGGCCGATCGAGCAGAGACACACGTAGAAGCAGGTCTGCTGCTCCCAAGTCACATTAGTGTCATCCCACAAACTAGCGGCAACGCTGCTGCCACTCAGCCGAACGGCAGAACTACGACCCCATCACGAGATGTTGCAGCCGACGACCTGATTGATGCAGATAATGATGACCTCGAAGGCGACATGGGCGATTTTGAACAACTCGACATGGATCCCTCGACAGCGAATCGTTACTACGGCGCAGAGGAGAAAGCCGAACGGAGGGCGAAGGAACAGTGTCTTGCATGTGGCGAACTCGGACACGATCGACGCCATTGCCCTCATCAGCACTGTCTAGCATGCGGTGCCATGGACGACCATCCTACACGCTTCTGCCCCATGTCGACGAGCTGTTTCCGCTGCGGTGGTATGGGTCATCAGACAAGGACCTGCCCGAAACCGCGGCGCGGACCTCGAAGCGAAGAATGCGAGCGCTGCGGATCGTACAGCCACGTCAAGGCTTTGTGTCCTACCCTATGGAGGGTGTACACCTACAGCACGCTGGACGACGTCGATCGTCATCGAGCAAAAGTGTTCTTCAAGTTGCAAAGTACCTCAAGCACTCGCGATCCCAGACGCAATTTGGACCCAGACCCGGAGGAGCTTTCGGATTCCGAAGACGAGTTTGCCAAAGCCGGCGAACCGCAGCTGCCTACGCCTTCGGGCTCGGGTTCGCAGTTTGACCCGGCAACACGGTGGTGTTACAACTGCTCCACCTCGAGCAACCATTGGGGTGACGACTGCCCGGAGCCGCGATGCAATCCGACACGAGGCACCAACGAGCCATCCGCGTTCTCCGAATTCGTATCTCGTCTCGGACCGTTTGCCAAACTCCTTCCTGGTGCTCCGCCACTCGCAGGCTTTGAGATGCCGTCTTCGCAATTCACGTTTAGCGTCGGCAACAGCGCCACGATGCACGTGTCTAGCGATGCTATTCCGAGTTCGTCTGGTCGAAGCACACCCAACAACAAGCGACTCGCTATCGGCAAGCATGTCTTGACATCGCCGAGTTCGAGTCGAACAGCATCGCCTCGGCCGGGAGATAACGTCGTTTCGTTTGGTAGAACCAAGGCTGTTGCTGTGGAAGGAGGGTTCCTCACTCGTAAAGAGGCAAAGAAGAACAAGAAACCGCTGCCGGAGCATCTGTTCAAACAGTGGTTGAGGGAGAGGCAGGATCATCCCGAGTATGCGGACGAGATCAGGGCGGTATTGGAGGAGAAGGCCGACCTGGAAGCTAAAGGTTTGGATACGAGAGGTGTCAAGAGTATCAAGGAGATCGTTGGTGGTGGCAAGCGGGGAGATGGACCGAACAAGCGAAGAAAGGGGGATACGTTCAGCGACCCGGTGGTGGTGGATAGCGATGATGATTTCAGGGATGATTTCGACAGCGATTCCAGCGACGATGAAGGCGGATCGGGGCGGAAGAAGAGGCGGGGTGATGGGAAGGGCTCGAGAGGGCAGAAGAAGAACACTGGGTGGGGTCACAATGGAGATAACAGAGGCAGCACCAGTAGCAGTAGCGGTTTCAAGGGTGGAAGGTTCTCAAACAAGCGGCAGGATGACAGAGGTGGGCAGTCGAGTAGAAGTGGTGGTGGGGGTGGGAAGAGGAAGGCCAGGAGGGGTGAGAGGGGTCGGTCTGGTGGAGGAGGTGGTGGTGGATCGGGAGGAGGAGGAGGAGGGAGAGGGAAGAGCGGTGGAGGTGGTGGTGGTGGAGGTGGTGGTGGGGAGAAGATCAGGGGCGGAGGAAGCAAGTACCGCGGAAGCTACTTTTGAGCATCGTACGCGCTTCGCGTTGCCTAGGTTAGACGATAGCGAAAGCGCTGCATCGTCCCGCGCAATCTCAGTCGACTTGAACAACTCTTGCGCGCATTCTCGAGCGCGAAAGACCATCGCGAACATGCGCAAATCACACGAAAAGAGGTGTCACAGACTTGAGATGAACGACGGTGACGAAGATAAATTTGATGCTGGTGCCTATCGAAAAACTGTGTGTTGAGAGGGCTAGGCACCTTGGCTGGAGCTAGCGGTGCTATCGGTGGAGGTGGAGCCGCCGGTCCCAGTGCCAGCCCTGGCTCCGCCCCTGCCCATAGGACTGTGCGTCCTCAACCCTGCGCTGCTCGCCGCGCTGGTGCGGCTGATCGCACTCCCCCTGCTCACGCTCTCGCCTCTACCGAAAGCCGCTCCGCCTCTGTACCCCGTGCTGGAGCTACTGGAACTCCTCGCACGAAGCGCGGAGCTGATGCTCGGACTTCGACCCTTGATGCTCGCTGTGATTGACGGTCGCCTTTCGCCGGACGATCCGGTGGCACCTGAAGGACTGCCGCCGGTGGCGGATGCGGAGGCGGTGCGGGTGCTGCTCGTCGAGCGCCTCCTACCGCGGAGGCTCGCGACGATGCCGCTGGCGCTGGAGGAGGTGCTGGGACTCCTGCGTCTGTTCTCGAGTCGAGGTGGAAGTTCGCCAATCTTGCCTTGGTGTCGGAAGAGTTCGCCGCGCATGACGTCGAGCGGTGCGCTGGGGATCAGGGCCCTCTCCTGTGCGCTGAGGTCTTGCAGCGACATACCGCATACGCAGAAGAGCTGAGATGCGCCGTGGACCGCGGTGGACGTATTAGCGGTGTTAGGTCCTGCGGTGGTGATGCCGCTGCTGCTGCTGCTGCTGCTGCCGTTGGCAGCGGATGCGGCGGAAGCAGAGCCGTCGCTGTTGGGCGGATGGTGGTTGAAAGTTGAAAGATCGTACGGCATCTCTGCTCTTCGGCTCGATGGATCCGGGGCGGCGCTGTACGCCGGCAACGTCACCGCATCGTACGCGCAGCAGCACGACGGAACCAGCACCGGCTGTCGCAGCGCAAACACCTTCAGCCTTCGCTCCTTGGCTTCCTCCTCGGCAGTCTTGGCCGTGCTACCGGCGGGTCTGCGACTGTGTACGATCTCGACCACGATCACATGGCTGAAACGGATGCTCGCCTTGGAGGCAGCGACCGTGGATGCGCGGATGTGGTTGTCGTCGGGCATTCGTGCTATGCCTTGGACCGTCCACGCGTCCTCTGTGCCGTTATTGCGGACGAAGCCGTCCGTGCGTTTGCCGTCGCCGTGAGATCCATCGTTGTTCTTGGGAGGCACCCATCCCTTCTCGAAGAGCTTGGAACGTTGGACGGGCACCGTCTGCTTGCCCTTGCGCTTGGTGGTGAGTTCGATCGTCGTCTCGAGCGATACTCGAACGAGGTATACGATGAGGTCTTTGGGTGGTGTGGGTGAGTTGACATCGATGTTAAAGACGCCGCCGACCGAGATGTTGTTGGAGGTGCATGCAATTGACACAAGACCGACGGTCGGGTGAAGGTCGTTGTAGAGCACGGTGAGCGGTGTAGGCCCGCTATCCGGGCAAGGGTTGACCATGGGATAGAGGTCGCGCCAGCACTCTACGTTGGATTTGGCGCGACCGGCGCCGATAGCAGTGGCTTTGATGATGTATCGAACCCGACCAAAGGGAGATCGCTCGTACGGTGGGGCATCGCACGGAATGATGAAGGCGAACTCGAAACCGTGCACTCCCTTCTGCAATTCGAGACCGTCTTGAGTAGACTCCGTTTCCCATCCCGATTCCCCCTCGGAGCCTGGAGTGACGCTCAAGCCTCCTGAAGAGCCAGACGGCTCGAGCGGGGGTCGATCCCACGCACCTCTGCGTCCGCGATCGCCTTCCTCGTCCACTTGCACGAGATCGCTCGACTGGCCGGCAGTACCGCGCGACAAGGGAGCTCGCGACTTGCTTCGGGCTTTGCGAGAACCAAAAAAGCCGATGGAAGAGCTTCTGGACTTGGCTTTGCCTCTGTCGTCCTCGACCAGCAAGGTCGGATGTAAAGTGGATGAGCGGGATGAGCCTTGCTCCACCGGCGTAGCACTAGCGCTTCGACGGTCACTGGAGCCCGCATGAACGGCCAGCGATCTTTGGAGGTGGTCAGCGAGCTCGTCTGGCTGGGTAGATTGCCGCTGGCCGCGTTCGTCCGGTGGAGTTCGGGACGAGAGACTCTGCCGACGTGATCGTTGGGGCGTGGCGGCTTGACTCGGAGGTAGACTGACATTGACGACCTCCTGATCCTGCGGCACGGACGCAGCACTATTCTGACAAGCTTCCGAGATGGCGTATGCATAGGTGGGTGGTGCACGAGTAGCAGTACGTCCACGTTCGGACGAGATTGGTGCGCTAGGAGACGAGGCCCTGCTCGCTGGCCGGCTATTGGAAGGCGAAGGGCTGTGGCTGATTCTGCCCATACCTGAGGCGATCTTGCGACCGCGAGAGACAGCGCGTGCCATGGAAGCGGGAATGCTTCCACCAGGACTGTGCGATCGCAATCCAAAGGCAGACCCAGACCGACCAGATCGGTCTGGCGTAGCCGAGCTGCGGCCACGCGGCTGCGTGTGAGATGAAGAAGCCGTGTGAAGAGCTGGTCCAGCCGAGGATGATCTATTGTTGAACGAGAGGCGCGAGTGATGATAGTTGGCAAGGTGCTTCTCTTTGTCGCTCTGAATTCCGATCTCTACGACCTTTTCGAGTACGGTGGAATCCTCCCAGCTGATAGGGGTGAGGCCGGATGCTGGGTCCAGAAGGGCGATAGTTTGAGCCGCCTTTAGTCGGACGCGAATGCCGGAAATGTGACGATTGGAAGGGACATAGAGCTCTACGAGGCCTCTGACGATCTCGTCGTTGGCCATGGGCGGCCTCTCGTGTGACTCGGGCAGGGGACGATCAGGAGGGTGCAAGAAGATGGCATTTTGGAGCAGATGCAACTTGAGCTCGCAGGGCTGAAAGAAGGTCGAAAACATGGTGGGAGCAGCCGATCACAGAGGCTTGGCTAGGAAGCGCGAAGACGAAAAGCTGAGCTCGAGAGGGCTCTAGTGTCGAGCTGGCGATCTATCCGAGGTCGGATTGTCCGGGAAATCGCAGCTGTTACCAATGCGACCAGGCGTAGCGCATGTGTGATGATCGCAACTTGATGATGGGTTCAGGACTGGTACATGTGGCGTTTTTCGTCGTGATGTAGGCGAATTGTCTCTTTACAAAAGCAGCGCCCTATGTTGTTTCAATGTGAGAAGCGTTCCTTCAAAGAGACGCGAACGAAAGCAATGAACGCTTTGAAGATAATGATGGTGATAGCGATGGCGACGTTGTGAGAGAAGACGCTGAGAAGAACGCCAATCAAGACGGAGAACGCGGAGAATCCGCCAGATTCGGCGAATGCGGTGTGTGATATCTCCAGATAAGTTCACGGGACGTGCGCCCACACGCTCTCTTCTCTCTCTGTGCAGGCGTAAATTACTGTCCCACATTCACCTCTTTTGCCGGCGTAACCTAAAATCCAAAGGAGCGGAAAACCTTTCTTTGATTTGTGGGATATTTTTTGAGCGTGCTCCTGCTGTTTGCTCTTGACGAACAAGTCGCATCTGCCGGCAGCGTCGTCAGGGTCCTGAGAGGGAAGAGATTGCCGATCCACGGTTGACTTTCTGTCCCCTCGACCGTCACAACCGCTCTTATCGGCGCTGCAGCAGCTTGTGCATCGGTGAAGCCGATGGCAGCGGCCTGCTCGTGCTCGTTTGAGTCATTGTCTCGATGACTTCTGCCGATGCTGCACTGCCGAAGGCGAGAATGTCTGACAAGCCGACGAATCAAGTGCAAGGGTCGGAGGGTTTTCGTCTGCGTGATCCAAAAATGATAGGGAGAGAGGTACTTCTCGTGTGACCGTGTTGGACCGGCAAAGAAAGCGAGGTCCCTCAAAAATCAATCGGATCGGGAAAATCGGGTGTCAAGGTCAGCATTCATCTTGATTGTCCAACGCATGCCGAGGCGAGACGTGTGTAGCCCCTATAAATGCACAACCAAACAAGTCCAACACTGCAGCTTAGAGTTTGGCACCGATTGTACTCCGCTCCTCCAACTTGCCGCACAAGGCTCATGCGGCAACCTCTTTCTCATCAGCCCCTGAACGGCAAGCACACCTGCCTTATTTGGCCATGCTTTGTGTCCATGCACCGAAGCTCTGACCTCACCACGGCAGCGTAGCGTGTTCTTCTTCGGTGGTACCTGCACCAAACTCTCGGAAGTCAGCGACCGTCGTACAGTACGCCCCCCCCCCTGAGCGGCGTTCGAAAGTACGCAGCTGCGTTGCACTTCGTGTGTGCGAATCGACTGCGCTACAATGCTGCCGTGTCTTGATGAGCGCCTTGTGTGCAGCTGGGCGTCATTTTTATGTGGACGTTGGACCTTATGAAGCCACTCGACCAATCTACGCCTTGATTCCGGCGTCTTGTCGTGGTACCTATCATCCTTGACCTTCTCCTCCCATCATCTTCGCCTTCTTGACCTCACCTCGTTCAAACCCTCTCTGCTCCCACTTCTGGCTTTTGCGAAGCTCTGCTCGGCGCATCAGCGTCGTGCTCAAGGCTTCATCATTATGATTGCTCGCATCTCCGTTCCACCTGTAGCATCCAGGCTCGCCATCCGCGACTCGGATCCTGATCGTACATTTCAAGGCCATGACGCACAAGCCATCGCAGATGCACTCACTGCTCACTCTCAAAAGATGTCCGAGATCCAAGCTCAATCTTTGAATTCTCCGACAACGTATCAAGGTTACGACTCGTCCGACATTGCCAAGGCCATTCAGGGCTACGTGATCACGCACCAGGACAGTCCATGGTTGCACAAGTTCACACAGCCCACGGAGCTCGCCACGAGCAGTGGACAACCTTCGATCGATTTGCAGCACAGCACGCTTGCCGTCACAGCGGCATCAAGCTCCAGCATCAGCAGCGGCAACGCGACTCTCACGCCCGTCTTTTCGCTTTCGCAGCTGATCCACCAACAGTACTGGATGAGCGTGGTGCTGTGCATCGTCTGGATCGTCTTGGGACTACTCTTGCTCTTCTTTGGCTGGACATCCTTCTTCTGGGGATGTCAGCTTGGCAACAGTGCAAAGAGGATCGACGAGCGCGTCAAGAAAGCGGGACGCCTCAGTCCCTTGTTCGCTGGCCCACCTCTCGCAGCTGGCGTCGGAGGTTTCGTCGTCGGCTTTCTCTTCTTCTCCTTCCTTGCAACTGTTATCACGACAGCTATCTGCGTCGCTGATCGAGATACGATCTCTTCGACTTCGCTCTTCTTCATATGGCTCTTACCCGGTCTACTCGGTGCCTTCCTCTCAGCGCATTGGCCACTCTTCGCAAGAGCATTTACGGGTCTGCTCTCGGGAGCATGCTTCACCCTCATCGTGACGGCTATCTTTGGCATCCACACCTTGATCATTCGAACTGTGGTTGTCATCGTCTTTACCAGTCTCGTCACCGCACCTCTACTCATCCCACGACGAAACGTGATCCACTTTCACCTTCTCAACATTTGCACCTCGATCATCGGCATGGTCACTTTCCTCGATGGTGTCGCACTATTTGCACCACCACGCGCCAGTTCCGATAGCTGGATCGACCTCTGGGTCGTACTCTTCGCACCGGACAATTCGGCTTCCGAGCTGAGCGCAACAAAGAAGTGGGGTACGGGAGCTTTCAAGGGATTCATTGCAGCTTCTGTTTTGGGAACATTGATCGGGTTCGCATTCGAGTTCGTCTTCCACAAGCATGCGGCGGAGGATCCGGATATGGAATGGAACAACTACCTCGGATCATTCACTCAGAGTCTTGGAGATTCTCCGGATGATCGTGCTGGTTCATTCGAGCCGGAACCGAGTGCGTGGCAGAAATTGACGAATGCGTTCACCCCTGCAACAAAGCCTGCTTATGGGAACGTCTCGGCCGCTGCCATTGACGATCTCGAAAAGAGTCCGCTCACAGACCTTCCGAGGACCAAACTTGGAGCTAAGGCACGCCGAGCTCGAGGCGGGAAGAAAGGCCCCGCCAAATTCTCAGCTCTGAACAGATCCGAGTCGGATTCAGAGACGGAGTACGATAGCGATTCTAGCATTCATAAGCTCAACCCGGGAGCAATCTCTACAAAGAGTCTCATATCCAAAGCAGTGGCATACGAGTTAGCAGACCATCTCAAGCCCCTCACGTCTAGCGGCGATACCAAGTACACCAAAGCCAGCTCGCCAGGTCTCCAACCCAGACCACCTAGCTATCGCACCAACACGGGTCTCAGTGCAAACGAATCCACAGGTAGCGGCATCAGTGGTACCACTGTCAACCCTGTAGATCCGACCGCTCCTTCGCGTTTGTCGAGCAGAAGCGGTGGTGCAGCAACATCCACAGTGTCGCCAACAAGACCAGGTTTTGAGCGTGGAACGACCATGTCTCCTCCTCCACCTTTCCCTTCCAGCACTGCAACGTCACCGCTCGCACCCAGCTTCCCTGCGACCCCAAGTCTGATCAACGCCATCACAAGGATTCAAGCCGCTCAGGCTCAGGCAAGAGCATGGTACGAATCGAACCAGCAGCAGACGTCTTCTGCCAAAGCTTCTGTAGAAGCAAAGACGGAGATTCCTGAGAACAAGAGTGCGATCCGACCTGACTCGGACAAGGCGACTGAGGGACAGTCAACAGAAGCAGCCGCTACGCCGGCAGCGGGTCAGGCAAATACGACTTTCCAGAGCTGGTGGGGAAAAGAGGTAAAGGGTGAGCCTAAGCCTTGACCATACGGCATTCGAGACGATCGTTGGACGCGTGCTATCGCCTAACAACATGGAGACCATCTTGATATTGCCTTGTCGAGTCAATCGGATCGGCAAACACTTGCTAATCTGTCATTTGGTAAATCATCTTCACATTGCTTTAACGACCTGCACGACTCGTCGTCACGCATCAATGGACAATTACGACCAAGACGCCAATGATCCCCAGTCTGTCCTTGCACAGAATGATACAGCGATGCTTTGCGTATGTGAGCGAGACCTCAACACTCGGCCCCTAGAGGACTGCGAGCATGCAGACTAGACTGAGAGAGAAGAGTATCGTATTGTGCTGTGAGAATCTCGTGCAGCGTGCCACAGGTTGGAGACTTTGATCAGTGCAGCGACGAGGAAACCTGTTGACACATTTTGGGAGGAAGTTTGGGTCTGTACGAGGAAAGCAGACGTCTGGGGCAAAGGTGGTAGCCTACACCGTCGATCGCTTGTCACCTACTCATCGTAGCGGCGCCAGATGGCCCTCTTCAAGCCGTCACCATAGCTTCGCCTCTCTTCGCCGCCGTGACCGCCGTGACCGCCGCGACCACCGGGACCACCACCTCCTCCTTCGCCTCCGCCGCCACCATCTCCCTCGCCACCCCCTTCACCTCCTCCCTCGTCACCTCCTCCACCATCTCCACCTCCTCCTTCTCCACCATCTTCACCTCCTCCCTCACCGCCGCCACCACCATCTCCCTCGCCACCCCCTTCACCTCCTCCCTCGCCACCTCC